ATCCAGAGCACGCTGGCGAGCAGCAGCATCCTTCTTGTTGGCCAGCTGCTTCTTGAAGGTCTCAACGGCCCTGCCAGAAAAATTCAGGTTAGCATATGCCCCTCCTCAAATTTCCAGTTTCCCACTGGTGGCGCTGGTTTTATTCCACATACTTCAAGGGCAGAGCCTGCTCAGGAATAGGACCGCTCAGAAGGTGAGCAAGGTCGTTCGAAGCAGCGTTGATCTCGTCCTGAGTCGAAGAAACGTTCAGGTTCTTCATCAAGTCCTCGAGGACGGCGACCGCCTGAGCGGTCTCCTTGCCGGAGACGGCAGGAACGGAGGAAACATCAGCAGCAGGCATTTTGAACGTAAAGAATTCGTAAAGGAGATAGAAAAGATAAAAGATAAGAAGCAAGAACGAGAAAAAACCGTTCTATGGGGTATCTCGATAAAGAGGTGGCGGCCCACGAAAAACTGCGTCTTCAAAAAATGACACAGCAAAACGCTCTAATGTGGCCGAAGTAAAATCTATTTTTCCTTTGTCCAGACAGAAGACAAAAAAGAAAAGAAAACGTAAAGAGAGGACCAGACCTCTTAGAAGAAGATGAGGATGGGATGGGAGAGGGAGGAAAGGAGGAGGGGGGGGGTGGGAAGTGGACGGGGAAAGATATTTATCAGTTTGTGGCCTCTTTTTTTTTTTTCGCCGCCCAACCCACCAGCACAGCACCTTAGATTAGAAAAGAAAATTTTTCTCATACTCTTTTTTCAGTTCCCTGTCCCGCACTAGACCCGGATTCGGACTAGTCGAGATGGCTGTCGAAGCAACCAACCCGATAGGGCCCGTGGCTGCGGTAGGATCAATCAGAGGTCGGTTATTGGCCCGTGGCGGATAAAAAGGAGGGTCGTCGAGAAAAACTTTGAAGCGCTCCCACAGACACTGGCACACTGGCACCCTGCCCAGTGCCCACGGTGCACGGAAGATTGCCTGCCTGATTCGGGACGGACAATCCGAGAATGCAATCTGAAGACGGATACTGTGCGATGAGTGAAGAAACTTCACGTTCGTACCACAACATTTCTCGAACATTGGGGGGTAATCATCCTACGATCAATCTGAGGCGACATGGATTTTGATTTCTATCAGAACACCCAAGTTCGCTTCCTACGGAGTATTCAGACAGCGCCAACTCTTTACCAGTGGCAGAGAGGACTTGCTCCGTTCATTGCCAGCCAATCTCAGGCACGGCTGCTTATTGTTAAAGGGCTCAAAGACAGGCGAACGCCGGGGTCCCTTTTTAGAAAAACAAGGCTGAAGGCGCTGCGCCGTATTCGCCGTTCATCTCAATAATGTACTGTACCTGGATTCTCGGCGGTTACAGAATTACGACTCTTAGACATCGGTACCAAGCTAGGTAGAATAAGGCCATCCCCGGATTAAGTTGCTACGGTGGATGTTGCGCATCCCTTGATAATCCTTCACTTTGATGGGCTAGAGTTCTCTAGTCCCTGGCAGGCCGTGAATCCGGGGGGATGTAAACAATATCGGGCAGTCCACCGCGCCTAGTCTCCTTCCTCCCCGTGGAAAATGTGCTGGGGCTGCAGATGACTTGCTGCTATTTCTGTCGCCACCCTCAGGTCGGGCTTGGTGGCGCAGCCAAAAAGCCACGTCTTTAAAAGAAATTGACAGGGAGAATGAAACATAAATCGGAAAAAGAAAATCGGAAAAAGAAAAAGAAAACAATGCTCGAGCTCAAAGAAAGAATCTTAGAGTTAAGAAAAGCCATGAATTTCTCGGATCTTTTTCATCCGTGTAGGTGCGGGAAGTCTGGAATATATCAAGGGCTTCTGAACTGTTCGCTACGTTGGCATGCACTGCATATATATCTCCACGCCGCCACACGCATCTAGGGAAGATTACAAAAGCAAAGGAGGACCCGACCGTACTCAGTACGGAGCAGAGACACAACGCCGGTGATTGTTGTCCAAATTGCTGATCGACAGCTGGCTGTGGTGATATTAATAACGTCTTGTCTGAGTTCTGGCTCTCAAGGTCTACTTGGTTTGCATTGGGGTCCAAATACTAATCGACGTGTTCTGACTTCTGGGGGCAAGAGAAACCGGGCAGGAACTTGTCCGGGGTCAATAACAACTTGCTTAATTGATTACTTGTCGCAAACCCCAATGGCTGAAACGCATGGCTTATGCACTTGAGGATGCGACGCGTATCACCGCCATTTCTGATTCGGGCGTTGCATCTCACCGCCGAATGCATAAGATTTCTCACTGCACCAGTAGTCTACGGATGATTATGATACATGTGATTCTGACAAAACTACAGATACTCCGTCCGGAGTAGACTACCCAAAAATATGGGGAAGGAAGAGGCATCTTATCGTGGTCTATACTCTTATCCCCCTTATCGATTATCGACTATCGGAATTTGAGTTTTGCTCCCTCCTTGCCAATTCTCCGGATCCCCCGCGAATCCGGGAGATGGTGGCAATGCCGCAGGAGGGTGGAAATAATGCAACACATGCAAAATGAGAACCGGGAAAAAACCGAAGGGAGCACAGAATTTTTCTCTGGAAGATCTTACTTTGTATTTTTTATTCTTCTTTTTATTTTCCTCTCAGACCTCAGCCCTTACTCTAAGGTAATTCGGCTAGCAGTACTCCGTACGGCTACTCCGTAATCAATCAGACTTTTCAATCTAACCGCCCTTACTGCTGCATACGTCCACATCCCCCGGAGTGCACCAACATAGGTACTGTACGGATACTCCGTAGGCCTAACTCACTACGGTGTAGTCAAGCTAGATATCTAGGCAACCGTCATTTAGCCTTTATATAATCTGACCACCAACTAAACATTCATCCATGATGAAAATTTGCAAACTTTCTTCTGGGCGATACTTTCTGACTCATTTTTGTCAACACTCCGTGCATCAATCATGACACCGTCATTTGTTTGCTAATTATGAACGAATCGCCACTGTCTGAAGACGAAGACCAATAAATGTCAGAGCCCCAACTGATTATTAACACGAATCACAATCCGATTCTTCTTCGCGTGGCTACAACACCCATCCATACAAAGACAGTTACTAATCCTCTGGCTCTTTTCTGGCTCGTCTCAAAGATCCGGAAGTACATGTTGCCACTGCTGCCATTTACAGTCTCTGCTTTCGTCATGCCTTCACCTTCTCGGTTTGCCCGCCAATAAGGTGAAATGGTCGAAGCCAGAACGTAATACTTCCATTATCTCGCCCAGTCAATTGACCTGGTCATCCAGACACACGTGTGATGCTTTCGGTCTGCCGGATCTTTACACCGCAGTCTGTCTAGAGCTCTTGGTGTGGCGACATTCTACTCAAGACTATGGTGAAAGCATCTTTTCTTGATATCATATTCATTGCCGAGCATCCCGAGGGATCTTTGGGAGATGAAAAGTCAATGTATTCCATAACTTCATCTGATATGAATGAAGAACGCGATACAGAAGAACCGAAACAAGAAGCCATGAGACTTGGACAGACATCAATTTGACCGAACTCAACCGTCCACCAGGACAAATTTCAAACCACAAAGCAATATCATTTTGCGAACGAACAAGTACTTGCATCAATCATCAACGCATGAATCATTTCAAAGAGGAAGAGAGTCAATGCCGATTCGAAAGCTGAATAATAGCGGTCGCTCAATCGCTAGAGCTCGAGCTCGATGAGCTCGATGAGCTTGAGCTGGAACTGGAACTAGCGTTGCGCTTGTGTTCCTTCTTGTACTTTTTGTGCTTCTTGTGCTTCTTGTGCCTGTTTGAAACCCCAAAGGTCAGATTGCTGAAGAAAATAGGAACGATCGGACAGTCTTACAATTTGCTGGCCAGTCCCATTCCGGCAGCACCAGCCAGTGCACCTCCTGCTGTTCCCAGTAGTCCACCTCCGATCTTATGGCCTACAAATCCACCACCAGCAGCACCGAGAAGCGATGATCCGAGACCTTTCTCGCCTTCCTGTTTTCCCGGGGCTGGACTGTGTCCTGCATGTTGCGGAGGGCCTCCCGGCTGGGCGCCATAGAATGAAGCACTTTCGCCCTGGTAAGGCGGTTGCTGCTGCTGCGGTGGAGGATAAGCTGAGCCCTGGTCGCGCTTATAGTTCATGTTCTGGTCATAACCGTGCTGCTGGCCTGGATATCCTTGTTGGGGTCCACCATAAGGGCTATAGGCCTGCTGGTTGTACGGGGGAGGAGAACCGGAATACGGCGCATGTTGTTGACTCTCATAGGGAGCCTAAATGAGGAATGGATGATGTTGTCAGCTGGATATGTCGCCCAAAGCTGCGGAAGACAAACTGGTAGGTCGAGGAGCAGACTTACGGGGGGTGTATAGTAAGTTTGTTGTGGCTGACCGTACTGACCCTGCGAAGGAGGGAAATTGCCTTGTTGTCCCTGATAATATCCGCCGTACTGGTTGTTTCCAGCCTGGGAGGGGTCGTACTGGGGGTACGGATTGCGGTTGTAAGGATCGGACATGATGGACAAGTGATGCAAAATAGCGAGAATGAGTGTACCGATCTGTGTTGGATAAAAGGGCTATTGTCTTCTGGTCATACGTGAATGAGAGAAAGAGTTAAGAAAATGAAACGATCGCGCTGGTCGACTTGGCTTCATCAGAAGAATTGCTGACAGACGGGGAAGGCATGGCCAGCAAAGGGAAGGTCAGCGGGGCGCTTTGTCGGATCGAACGTGGCTCATCGCGTTATGACGGCGGGCTGGAACGGGCTAGCGTGGATAATACGAGAGAATAATAAAATATAGTTTCACGTTCCGGATGTTAACATCATATCTCATAGTTTCATAGCATTGTTAATTCGCATTTAGTTATTAGCTATCGTGAGCCTCTAATGTACAGCCTGTTGGTAGGCCTATATCTAATACTCCATGATGTTAGATCATTAGTTTGTTCGCGCCCATCTTCCTGTACCCTATCGATTCAAAATTCATCGACAAAGCAAGACGCAGTCATGCTTATTTTTCCAACACACCCTCTTGGCTCTGCTTGATTGCTGCTTCTGCAATCGATCGATATCGGGCGCAGCATTGTACAAAGTTAGTAATATTCTCATCCGATCGGATCATGGAAATTTCTGAGAAGAAGTTTTCCACCGTAAGCATTAGTTTGGTGTCTGTGCTCCCGGTAGCGACTTGTGGATCTTGCACAATGAGCATGGAGAGGATCATAAAGGCGAACATCGTACCGTATGCGATGGAACTATCATCGACCGTCAGTCATGTCAGTCAGTCTGCCGTAATGTAGAATATCTAATAATGAGATTTTGGAGGGTGCTCTCACCCTGCGAATAATGCATGATCTCGTGGAATATGTCGGACTAGTTCCATTAATTCTCGTGCAGCCCGCATACACAGCTGAGCAGACACCAATGTTCGCGGATTTGGCGAGCGAAGAGACAAAGGCCGATTAGAGCGAGGGTCGATGTCCATTGACCATGTTGCTCGACTGATTGCTCTCCTGTGGATAGCCAAAATGCAGCTGTAATAGCTGAAATGCATGTATAGAATAGACAGATGTGGATCCCTTCTGACAATGTCGTCAGGTCTAGCGAGCTCTGGCCGATAATCATGGGGAATACCGTCTCTCCAGGCTTGGAGAAGTGTGTCGAGCTGACCGACGATTGTGATAATCTCTGCATCACTTTTATCGTCGGCAGAGGTGGAGTAGAGCTCACGGTACACATGGCCTTTCAGGTTGGTCAATTCATAGTACGAATCCAACAGGTCAAAGATATAGGAGGAAGCAAAATTATGATTGGGGTGATGGTAATTCGTGTTCTTGATGCGATCATCGAAAAGTTGTTTCAGAGACGCGGTCGGGATGGGCTGTAAAGGTGGAATTGCTGAACGGAGCGAAATACTTACAAAATTAGCGGTTGAGGGTTCTTATAATTCTGCCGAAGCAACGAAGAAAAAGCACTTACTCTATGTCGAGGTCGTAGGTTACTGCGAGAACCCGGCGGTATACTGGAGACCCCTCGCGCTCGGCAGGGCTTAATGCATGCAGTATGCGCATTGCGAGTGAGACGAATGTATGCGATGGAGTGGCACTGAATGTTCCAATGAGATACGCAGTCTAATGCTGCAGTGAGCACTTGACCGGGCAGTTTGAATCGTTATGAAGTTTTACCATTGCTATGAGAGCTTGTGCTGATGGTAATTGCGGTCGTCCAATGAAGAAGTTGTTCAACGAGAGTGTGGCATTCTTCCAATAAAGCCATGCCTTTGAGTTGAATTCTGGTTCGAAGGCACATGAAAGCGCTATCGTGGCGTTTATACATGCCCACCAAGAAGGTGATGATTGAGGGTAGATAGGGTACTCTCGCTCGACACGGGAAACAAACTCTTCCTCGTCAAACAATGGACAAAATGGATTTATTTCTCTGAAGTAAGTATGGAGGAGTTGCAAAGCCAGGTATTTTGGTGGTAATGGAATGAATGGCTCGTTTAGACCTCCATCCGCCAAGGGATCGTCGTCAATGAATTTATTTTGTGGATGTAATGGTGAATCGAAGTCCTCTAGATCAACAGATCCATGCCTGGACTTTTCGTGTAGCCAGTGTAAACCCTCGGAGGAGAGTATTGAGAAGGACGAGGAACTTGAATCGACTGAATCAATGTTAGCGGAGAGGAAAGGACCTGGGTCTGTCCGTCCAATTACCATTGGTTTCAGGTGTATCAACAAGGGGCCGCGGTAGCATGAAGCACGGTGACGAGAAAAACATATGATCCAGATTAGAGACCTCGGATATTGAAGCGAGGGCTGAAAGTGGATCATAGGTTATAGGACCATATCCCCCGCCGTTTTGAAACGAAGAGCCGATAAGATCGGAGTAGATGGGAGCCGATTGAAACAGGCTTGTATCCAAGGGCTCTACCAGTGAACTAAGGAGGTTTGCAGGAAAGAGCGATTGTTCAAAGGCTGGGGATGGATTGATGACCCCGTTTTTATCAGAAAGTTGAGATCTTGAGTTGACAAGCACACACTCGCTGCGGCGTCTCTCACACGCACGGCATTTAAGTGCTTTGTTTGACATTTCACATTTTACTTTGCGGCGTCGACACGATATGCATGCCTGCATTTATTTTCAACTCAGTATTTGCGGTCCTACTCCGTGGGGAGGCCAGATGATGTGTGTGAGGAATAGAGTCGGACCTTGCCTGCGCGCATGCGCTGATACCCCTGACTGGATTCCATGATGGAAGAGCAGTAAATCCACAAAGACCATTAAGGCAGACCTGAGCATCGAGAAGCGGTGCTACGGAAAAAGGGAGGAAGACGAAGGAGAATAGATAGATAGCACCGTTGCCGGACGGGCCGAGTACCTCGCAGAGGGACGGGAGTTGGGAGCCTGAGTGGAGCCTGATCGACCATCCACAAGGCGTCCCGAGAAAAGTTTCAACGCTGGAGTTCGCCTCTCCGTGCGTATTGTTTACCGCCGTCGAGCCCGTGATTACGCCGTCAATACATCCCCCGTCGTTCCCGTTCCCGGGACCGAACCTCCACTCTACAATGGACAACTACTTCAGTGGGTATGCTGGACGCTAATGAGCTGCATATGCGCCCCCACGATGGAGATAACGCCTTCCAATACACTCGGACAGCCAGTCTCCGAGCTGTATCTTACAACGGGCTCGATCTTATTATCCTTTATTGCGAACCACACCCCTGGAAGCGCAGGATGATGACCATCGTACACGCCGATTGGCCAGATCCACCACTCTACGCCCTCTTTCGCGACGGAATCTGCATTTCTAGGCTCTATTCTGGAACCCTGCTCATGCCGAATGTGACGGAATCTCTACCCGATGCCATTCTCGAGGTCCGAGTCCGAGCCTGTCGGGCTAGGCACGATGGATTATGGGATACTAGTTTACGGAACGGAGGGTCCGGATCGGTGTTGACTATTGATCTGCAGCTTGCTGAGATTACCAACGGCATTCATTACGGGACAGGTCGGAGACAGTGCAGTGGATAGCTGAAGTGCTATAAAGAGGTGTCTTGTCCGTTAAGCTGGACATTCTGTTTCCTCCCTGGTACACCTATTCTCTGCCAAGAGACACGATTCCCCCCCCCTTTTTTTTTGCTCCTACTACCAGCAAGGCCCATGTTATACACAGCCTCCTTTGAAAGCTACAATAATGTCAACCCTTGGTGGAATGCCATCTTCGGATGACTCGCGAGACGACAATATCAGAGGCGAGCCCGAGATAAGCGGTCAATATGAAACAGATACGGCATCGACTCGAACCAAATTGGATGGACGGGATGACAGCGAGAAAATGGGCGATATGGAAGAGGAGGTTGAGCAGATGGTGCGGCAGCTCACCCGTCATTCTACCCGATTCTCCGCAACTGGTGCGAACAATCCTTTCTTCGAGGAGAACAAAGAGTCAACATGGCACCCCGATAGTCCATTTTTCAAGACGAAGGATTGGATCAGATCCCTTCTCGCCGCGCAGTCGCGCGATCCAGAACGGTTTCGTCAGCGTAATGCTGGTGTAGCCTTCAAAGACCTCCATGTTCACGGTTTTGGCAGTCCAACTGATTACCAGAAGGATGTGTTCAACTCGATCCTAGGTATTGGTGGTCTTGTGCGACAGGTGGTTGGCAGTGGTCTTCAAAAGGTTCAAATATTGAATAACTTCAACGGAATGGTTAGAAGCGGTGAAATGCTCCTGGTTTTAGGCCGTCCGGGAAGGTAAGTTCGTTCGAAGAGAACGCAAAGCTCATCCAAGAAGCTGGTTCACGGCACGTCTAACTTGCAACTGATACCAGTGGCTGCTCAACACTTCTCAAGACAATTGCCGGTGAAATGAATGGAATATATGTCCACGAAGACAGTTATATGAACTATCAAGGTATCATTCTGCCGCGCTTCTATCTTCCTCTATCTCCAAAAGTGAACTAATGAATGATGTATAGGTATATCCTCCAAGGACATGCAAAGTAGATTCCGCGGAGAGGCTATCTTTAGCGCTGAAAACGATGTCCATTTCCCACAGCTTACAGTTGGGGATACGTTGACATTCGCTGCTCAGGCGCGAGCGCCCCGCACACGGTTTCCTGGATTGAGTCGCAAGGAGTATGCAAACCATGTTCGCGATGTCGTGATGACAATGCTGGGATTGCGGCACACTTTCAATACACGGGTAGGCAATGACTTCGTTCGAGGTGTTAGTGGCGGGGAGCGCAAACGAGTGAGCATTGCAGAGGCAATTCTCAGTGGTGCGCCTCTGCAGTGCTGGGATAACAGCACCCGCGGACTCGACAGTGCCAATGCATTGGAATTCTGCAAGAATCTGCAATTAATGAGCAAATATGCTGGCACAACTGCATGTGTTGCGATTTATCAAGCCTCTCAGAATGCATACGATGTAAGTGGGCTACGTGGTGGCTCACTGAAGCAAAAGTTTAGACTAATTCCTCTCACGATAGGTATTTGATAAAGTTGTTGTACTATATGAAGGTCATCAGATCTACTTTGGCCCGACTAACGAGGCGCGCCAATTCTTTACTGACATGGGCTTTGATTGCCCGCAGCGCCAAACCACGGCCGATTTTCTTACTTCCCTGACCAGTCCCAGTGAAAGAAGGGTGAAGTCTGGGTTTGAAGACAAAGTGCCCCGAACCCCAATGGAGTTTGCAGCGCGGTGGCGGAGCAGCCCAGAATTTGGTAGACTCTTGCAGGAGATTGAAGCTTTCGACCAAGAGTATCCCATCGGAGGAAATTCCTATACTGAGTTTGGGGAGGCGCGTCGATTGATGCAGTCAAAGCAACAGTGGGTTTTTTTCCGCAATAAAATCATTGCGACTTAATTTACTGACCCAAACAGGCGTGCCGAATCTCCATATACACTCTCTGTGATTGAGCAAGTGAACCTGTGTCTAGTACGCGGTTTTCAGCGCCTCAAAGGAGATGCCAGCTTGACAACTACTGCTATCTTCGGTAACTTTTTCATCTCGCTAATTCTAGGGAGCGTGTTTTATGACATGCCCTCTGATACGTCCAGTTTCTATTCTCGTGGTGTCCTTCTATTCTATGCAGTGTTGATGAGTGCGTTTAGTAGTGCACTCGAGGTTAGTCATGTCCCTACATAGGATTGTGAGTCGACTAACAGTGTCCTAGATCTTGACGCTTTACGCTCAACGTCCTATTGTGGAAAAGCAAGCTCGATATGCGTTTTATCATCCATTCGCAGAGGCCATCGCATCCATGCTCTGCGACCTGCCGTATAAAATAACCAATTCGGTGACATTCAACCTACCTCTCTATTTCCTGTCTCACTTACGCCGAGAGCCAGGGCCATTTTTCATCTTTTGGCTTTTCTCTATAGTAACGACATTGACTATGTCAATGATTTTTCGTTCTATTGGTGCCGGGTCAAGATCATTAGCTCAAGCCCTCGTGCCGGCGGCGATATTGATCCTAGGTCTGGTTATTTACACTGGCTTTATCATCCCAACTCGTGATATGCTGGGCTGGTCAAGATGGATGAATTATATCGATCCCATTGCATATGCTTTTGAAAGCCTCATGGTCAATGAGTTCGATGGTCGAGATTTTCCCTGTCTTTCGTTCATTCCCTCGGGCCAGGGCTACGAAGATGTTGATCCCACCCATCAAACCTGCAGTGCGGTATCCTCTTCCCCAGGATTGCGGAGCATTAGTGGAACTTCTTATGTTGAAACAACATACCAATACACTCGCTCCCATTTATGGCGGAACCTAGCAATCATGATCGGGTTCATGGTTTTCTTTATGTTCGTTTATCTTCTTGCCACGGAGCTTGTTTCCGAAGCTATGTCAAAAGGGGAAGTCCTTATATTTCGACGAGGTCATCAGCCGAAGAATACTCAAGACAGCGAGACTCCATTAGATACCGGCTACAAGGAAGATAGTCCGAAGGAAGGTTCTGCTAATATACAGCGTCAAACTGCGATATTCCAATGGCAGGATCTGTGCTATGATATCAAGATAAAAGGGGAGCCACGCCGAATTTTGGATCATGTAAATGGATGGGTCAAACCTGGCACAGCTACAGCATTGATGGTACGTTGGTTACTGTTACCCTCGAACTCTAACTTTTTGCTAAGAACATATAGGGCGTCTCTGGTGCTGGAAAGACAACACTGCTCGACGTGCTCGCCACGAGAGTAACAATGGGTGTTGTCTCCGGCGAGGTTCTAGTTGATGGCCAAGCACGCGATGACTCGTTCCAGCGCAAAACCGGCTACGTTCAACAACAAGATGCCCATCTGCAAACTTCGACTGTACGTGAAGCGCTTCAGTTTAGTGCTCTGCTCAGACAACCAGCACACGTCAGTCGACAAGAGAAATTGGACTATGTAGAAGAAGTGCTTGACCTACTTGGTATGCAGACTTACGCAGATGCTATAGTTGGTGTTCCAGGAGAGGGTACGTTATCGTATATTCAACTAGCCCGTTCGATCTTCTTATCACATTGAACATGCTGACTTTCTGAAAGGCCTCAATGTTGAGCAACGGAAGCGCTTGACCATCGGGGTTGAACTGGCTGCCAAGCCGCAACTACTGCTGTTTCTCGATGAACCAACTTCCGGGCTGGATAGTCAGACCTCATGGTCAATTCTAGACCTCATCGAGACACTCACGAAGCATGGCCAGGCCATTTTGTGCACAATTCATCAACCATCTGCAATGTTATTTCAAAGGTTCAATCGCCTCCTATTCCTTGCCAAAGGAGGAAGAACCGTCTACTTTGGGGAAATTGGCGAAAACTCTTCAACGCTCGCGAATTACTTCATAAAAAACGGAGGGCATCAGCTTTCAGCAGGCGAAAATCCTGCGGAATGGATGCTTGATGTTATTGGAGCGGCTCCGGGTTCCCACAGTGACATCGACTGGCCAGAAGTTTGGAATAACAGTCCTGAGAAGCAAGCCGTGTGTAACCACCTGGCGGAACTGAAGTCGACCTTATCTCAGCGTCCTAAGGAATCGGGCTCTCAAGATGATTACCGCGAGTTTGCCGCACCAACCTCGGTCCAATTAAAGGAATGCCTTTCTCGGGTTTTCTCGCAGTACTGGCGGACTCCGTCATACATATACTCCAAGCTCGTGTTGTCTATCTTGACTGCGTTGTATAATGGCTTCTCCTTCTTCAAAGCCAAGAATACGCAGCAAGGTTTACAGAACCAGATGTTCAGTATATTCATGCTGATGACTATTTTCGGGAATTTGTGTCAGCAACTCATGCCCAATTTTTTGATACAAAGAAGTATCTATGAGGTGCGCGAACGTCCGTCAAAAATGTACTCCTGGCGTGTTTTCATGGCCGCCAATATTCTGGTGGAATTACCGTGGAACCTGCTGGTAGCTATCTTGATGTTCGTCTGTTGGTACTATCCTGTTGGTTTGTATCAGAATGCCGAGCCAACAAATGCAGTACACGAGCGAGGAGCACTCATGTTCTTGTTCATGCTTACTTTCCTGTGGTTTACATCCACTTTCGCGCACATGATCATTGCCGGTGTTGAGAATGCAGAGACAGGAGGCAACATCGCCAACCTCATCTTTGTGCTTTTGCTTTTGTTCTGCGGGTTTGTCTTATCCTTCTGATCCCTTCATGTTTTGGGATGGTCCATACTGACAAAATAAATAACAGTGTTGTCGCTACTCCGGAAGCCATGCCTGGGTTTTGGATCTTCATGTATCGCTTATCTCCGTTTACTTACCTCGTGTCAGGCATGTTAAGCACTGCGGTCAGTGGAACCGAAGTGACATGCGACTCGATCGAGACTTTGAAGGTCAATCCACCCCCGAATCAAACATGCTCAGAATATCTCGGAGCATTCGCGGCGGCAAGTGGAGGACGCGTTCAGAACCCAGATGCAACAAGTCAGTGCGCATACTGTGCCATGTCAGGGACAGATACCTTCCTGGCGTCTGTGAGCAGCTATTGGAGTGATGCGTGGCGAAACTTCGGCTTGATGTGGGTGTACATTGCCTTCAATATCGTGGCTGCCATTGGCGTATACTGGCTGGCGCGGGTGCCTAAGGGGAGTAAGACGAAGGGCAGCACTTGATCGGCAGTCATCAGAATCAGCTTTCCGATTCAAGGAATGCATCTGATTATGGGACGATGGGCGAGAAACTTTGATCACCTTACCAGGCCATTCTTTATCTTGAATTTCTTTTTCCCCCTTCTTTGTTCTGGTTTTCTTTTTCTCCTTCTGTATTTTCCTTCTTGTTCGAACACCGCTCTTTTGGTATTACATAGATAGATCTTTATGGTCAGTGTCTTACCTTACTGACAAACCTTATAATTCGATACATATTGTCTTCGATTACTCCAATACACACCTTATAAGAGACGTGTCTCCGCCACCAGACATGAATAAAACTCAAATAAACAAAGATAAAACATGATCTAACAACGGTGGACATTCTTCAACTTCCCAACGGTATCATTATACCCCTTTTTCTGTTTCTTCAACTCAGCTTAGAGCGCTACCTGGCAATACTTGAGAGCCTGAATTGCCTCCTTGTTCGCGATCTTTTCAGCGAGCTTCTCCTCCTCCTCCTTCTTCTTCCTCTTCTCCTTCCTGCCCTTCTCCTTCTTGCCCTTCGCTACGTCCTTTTTGTACTCCTCTTCCTCATTTCCAACAGCTTTGACAACCTTCCACCTTCCGCCCTGATCTTTCTCTGCCAGTCAACGACACAATCATTTTCACTGATAAGCTCAACCCTGCGGATTTTATTGGCCCTGTGTCAGGGAAGTTACAATAGCTCCAGGGACCAGAGTATCGCCATCCCAGTTTCGTCTCCAGGATGGCTTTAGCAGCATTAACCCTGCGCTTCTTTGGTTTGGTCTATTGTCTATTCAGTTAGTCTAGAGTACTGCTTAACCACATAGAAAGATACCATCCACTTACAGCTATATAGTCTCCACAGAGAAGACTGCCATCTGCCCTCTTTGAGTGCCCTGCCCAAGCCACTTTTATATTGGATTGCAATGAGCAAGCTCTCTAGTAACAATGCCATGCAATTCTCTGTATTGGGCTAGAACACGGAAGTGCGGTTTCCGGCCAACTCTCTGAGTTTCAAGGATAACGATATTGAGTCGCACTTGTGTTGTAAGACTTAGTCGGTTTTTCGTGTTCTGGTTCTGAACTGGGTCGGCGGCACGTCTGTGTCTCAGGTATATGGCAGACAATTAGCTGGGATAGGAGGCTGACATAAGGTAGAATACCAGGCCACAAGATATTTCAGTTTTTTGAAGTTTCTAATAACAACTTGTTACTTTCTTAGGCTGTTGAGTGGTACTATCGATATTCGAATTTTTGTTGTTTCATCCCATCCATCGATAACGAGGATCAAAGGACGTCTGAAAGAATCTGCAGGATTGAGAGCGTTAGGAAGAAAAAGGAGGAAGAAAGGATAGAGATAAGGAGGAAGGTTAGAAATGGTGATCCAGAAGGACTATGGTGAATACGAGCTACTTTCACTACATCTACATCTACTTGATGAATTTGGAGGCTTTGAGATAGTGAATGGACTATCTTGGAAGAAGGAAATAGCGAAGAAAATAAATACAAAACGTTCTGGCGAGCAACGCTGACGACTAATTTCTAGTGATATAGTTTCAACTTGTAGTGTAAGTTTAATCGATAGATACTATTTTGGCCTCATGTGTTTGGAACGTATGCATGACATAATTCTTTAGAAAGGTATGGGAACAGTAGAAAATCTTCGATATCATAAAGAGAAAAGAAATCAAAGACATTGAATGTATACACATACCAGCACAGTTTGGGAATTCTTAAGATCTGGTCATATAGCGCTTCAAACCAGGGTATTGAATTGACCATTGATCATACATTTGCGGTGGAGGTTTCGAAATCTAGGGGATGATAGACGAAGTTTCACTTTGCAGTAACAACAAAAACCAGGGAGGATGAGACGTGTATGTACGCATGTGTATATCAGTTCCTAATCACTCAACTCTATAAACCGTGCTGATCTGCGTACAAGAGGTAAGGTAAAAATGAAAATCACTTCCTGGCCACGAAGATTCTATCCAGGATCCACCGTATATACAGACCGGGCGTAGAAGAGGTACAGCGATGGCATGATGAGGATTATTAAGAAGGACAATGCCGGTGACCTTCCAAGGCAAAGGCGGGATGATAGATGGGGAAGCATTAATGAATGCTGAATCAAAAACAAGGCGGGATATAAGATGGAATGAAATGGATCCTGTACAATAGGAAGATAAGACAAAACCAAACACCGCTCCATAGTGAACGCCATAGAAGTATGATATGGTCTGAGACGTAAGATGCAAGAACATAATGATATAGACTGGACAATGAGAATAAAAACGGGCTGGAAAGGTTGATCCGGCCATAAGAGAAACAAAACATGATAATGGTATATGATATTGATTTATGGTTTTTTCTTCATGTAACTCCTTGGTTCGGAGGTGGTCTGCGTTACTTCGTCTCCTTCTAGGACTCGCCATAATCGGCGGATGGAGAAACCGCTGCTGAAGAGGTAGATCCCGATCAACCAGGCGGCGAGGATGTTTGCGAGATGGTGGAGGAGGTAGGCGTATGAGACGCCGTAGACTGCCGAGTAAATGGCAATAGAAAAGAAGAGCATGTATGTGAGGTGTTTAAGCCTACAAACATTAGTAAGGAAGCATTCGGAGATGGAAATCGGTGAACATACCGTGAGGTGACTCGGGGAATCATAGTCCCTGTAGTCATGGCTTCGACGAGGAGTATGAAGGGCATTATCGACAAAACATTATGATGCGATGAGAATGGCATAAACCAATGCACAACCAGATTATGAGCCCACACAAGAAGCACAAGAATGTTGATGGGGAGGATCCACAGCATAAATACGAAGATTGAATAACTGTAGTTGGCGAAATTGTAATGCGCGGTAGATTTCTGAAGCTTGTTAGCAATGCTACCACACGAGGTTCAAAAGTCAGCCATACAGTTTCCTTGGCATGCCATTGGGCCCGGACGGCGGTTGCGAGCTGAACGATGCACGCCACCATATAAGCGAACTGGTAGGGGACGGCCGTCGATACGAGAATCAGCAGGATGATTGTGTTGATCACACGTCGTCTGGGTGTAGGAGACGAGAAGATCGGGAGGTTCCTAAATGTGCGATGTTAGCGATATGAACTTGACGTTCAAAACAGACAGGCAGATTTACCCTTTGTCATCACGCCGAATGTACCCAGATTTACTCTTCAGAAAACCATAGACAGAAGTGAAAATCAAAATGAGAGCAAGGGCTGCGTAATTGACAATGACACATATACCCACGCTGATTAGACCGAAGACGGGCACCAAGAACCAGAAGAACGAGTCCTGGGAGCCCAGAAGCAGGTCGTTCTTGGTGAAGTCAATTGGGGACTCGGTGGCATTCACGGGCCAATGAAAAGGGTCATCGCTCGGCGGCAACTTGCTGGAAGTGGCTAACGAGGAAGCTAGGAGAGACATGGACAGTAGGAGAGCGGGCAAGGAAGACCGCAAGGAGCGATCTAAGCCCTCTGCAAAGGTAAGGAAATAGCCGGTCTCGTCGTACACTTGAAATTGCTTTCGCAGAACCAGAGCGATAACAAGGACGGGAAATGCAGCAAAAACAGTACGATAACGCATCACCAGCTCTCCTAGACTGCCGAGAATGTCCACCGACAATGAGAGGTCGACCGTGGAGCCGCTGCTTGGATCCGTCCAGAGCTGAAAGGAGACACCACCGTAGGTTGCCTGGTCGCGAAGCGGAGGGGGCATAAACGGTGCCAGTCCGTGCAGATTCACGTTGACCTCCTTCACATTGACGAAGAACTTGGACTCGTGCGGATCCGGAATAGACTGCCGCAGGAGGGGAGCAAAGAGTTCCTGCTGGCCCTTGGGGCCTCGTTGGACGATCTTGAGTTTGTAGTCTAGCAGACTGGAATACAAGGCGGGGATTTTAACCTCCGTGAGCATGGGACGGTTGGCCGGCAGTCGCATCTTCAATCCAGCACTGAGCAAACTGCCCAAGCCGATGCGAGCTCTGATGACGGCATCCGAACTGTCCGAAAATTCGGCCAGCACCCATCCTTTGGTCGGTGAATGGGCCTTGTCGATGATCGCCACAAACTGATGCTCCGCCAGATCCTCCAAGTCATACTGGAGATAGGAATAGGGCTGGACTCTATCATAGGGGTGTTTCGAGGCGGGTGTCGACGCTGGCAGATGGATCGCATCGTCAGCGGCGTTCTTGCAGGCAAGCCGCGTAGAGCCCGAAGAGCCCATGCCGCCACCGGAAAAGTCCACGTTCATGGAAAAGATGCTGGAGAATTTTCCATTCTGCAAAGGGAGCACGCTGCAGAAGAGGACCTCCAGATTGCTCTGATCCCCGGCTCTCTCGAATGGCTGATCGGTGAGCAGAGTGAATTTCTTTCCCGGAACCCCCTGCGGAGGGACCGGCATAAGATGCACATTGGGACCATTGCGATGACCGAGTTCTCGGAGAGTAAGCCGTTGCCCTTGGGGTAATATCGCGTTGGCTTGATCCTCCAGGGTCAAGAGAGAGTTCGGCTCTACAGGGATTATTGTATTAGTTTTAGTAGAAAGCAACAATAGAGTTCGAGAATTGTTACCTTTTTGCGGTAGGGTTCTCTCCGCCACGGGCTCCAGTCCGGTCAAGTACCATTTCTTGAAAACGCGCATCCGCTGCGCCCTCGGCTTCGTCTGGCTGGCACGTCGCACATCGACCACCTCGAACAATGATTTGATAATCGCTTTCCGGAATTGATCGCACCAAGTGATAGACAGATGATCCATCCCGATCCAGACGTCCGGGATGGTGGACGTAAACACGGTGAAGCCATGGGTCTCCGGGACAAGAGACGATATACTCGCATAATCCGAGGGAACGACCGTATCCCGTGAGCCGCCCGCAATCGAAATGAGCGTCACATGCCACAAGGGGTTGTTGTTGGCCCAAGTCTGAGAGTAGGCCTCGCGCCAGTAATCGTTGATTTGTTTGTAGGTTTGGACGACGTCGGATTCGAATGATACCGGAGGTTTTGCGTGGGGCGCAGACATGGTGACGATGGTGTTGACCGAATTGGCTTGGTAGTTCGGCATAGTCAGTGTTGTACGTGCGACAATGCCTCCCATGGAATGTCCGACGAGGATGACGGAGCTGGGATCCGGGAGATCGGGATCCCGCCACGACCGTCGCGGGTCGTGGTAAAGCGAGAGGATATAGGCCACGGCCTCATTGACGTATTCGGCTTGATCGACCAGTGTCTGTCCGTGAAAAGCCGCCATGTCTTCGTTGAAATCGATCATGAAGAAGTCCAAGCTTCGGGTTCCGGCCGCGAGACGCTCGTGGTCATGGCGAATCACATCGGCGTAGTGTCTCGACGCTTCGGCCGCTAGAGATCGGACCTGTCGATAGCTCCCGGCATTTCCGGGGAGAAATAGGACGGGAGCGCCATTCAACTATAGCGAGCAGAGGACTGAGTCAGATAAAACAGGGATCTTCCAGATGAGGACATCAGGACTTACCCCGAGGTTTTCCTGAGTATATGGGTCGACACCAGCCTCTCGGTACAGATACAGATTATACTTGCTCGCAAAGCGCGTATGTTCCGTGTCAAACCCCACCATATGGAGAAACGACGGACTCATGACCGGTATGCCGCAACCATCTCCACCAGACTGCCGAGTCGAAAAGGAACGGAGGATGAAGAAAAGGAAGACGGAGGCGACGCAGGTGGTCACGGCGGTTAAGATCGAGCACGGCCACGGGCTTCGGAGGCGGGACGGTCGAGATCGGGACTGGGCGTCTGGCGACGGTTCCATTGGGAGTCGTTGGGACGCCAATGGCATCATGACGGAGGAAGATTTGGTGTCGGAATGGCCAAGGTTCGTCGGCGACGCAACAGACGCCGGCGTTCTCCACATACTCGAGTTTCTAGAGCGTGGGGTGGATGCGCCGGCGTTGTCTCGACGCAGCTCAAAGCTGGTGCCTGTGCGGGCTACCTGCGGGCGCGATTTCTCCGGCGAGTCGGCGACATTGGGACCATAGCTTGATTCGTTCGGAGTTCGAGAAGCCAAAGATTCTTCAGCGTCGTCCTCGACAGGCGAGCCAGACGAGCGTCTGTGCATTGGAAGAGGCAAATATCGCAGTAATCATCCAGCGCGTTGCTGAGAGGAAAAGAAATCCGACAGATAAAAGGCGATCGCAGGTTTCGGGGAAGGAGGGAAGTTCTGTCTGGCGTCGGCGGTTAAAGGAGAATCGGATTGGATTCGATCAGGGGAGAGCGAGGTTCATCAAATGGAGAGAAATATCCGATGCTGTAGCGACTGAGTATTAAAAGAGAGTGGGCTGAAAAAGAGAATTCTATCGTTAGTCGCGACTTTTTATTTTTTTATTTTTTCCCCTCTGCCTTGGAATTGATCGGCCCCTAGAAAACCGGGATGATAGGACGAACGAGCGACGAACCGGCCGGGCAAGGACAAAGGAGGGGGAAAGAATTGTCGACGAGGGAACGGAGAGAGAGAGATACGCACACGACAGGGAAGCGCGGTAGAGGAATGGACCGAGGGGAAAAGAGAAACGAGCACCGTAGCAAAGGATCTCCCGGAAGGGAAGAGGTGAGGATGAAGATGGAGATAAAACTGACTGCCTGAGCGAACGTCGTCGTCAACCGCCGACGGAACGGGCTTGGCGGATGCGCTCGGCACCGGCGTGACTGGCCTGGACCTCGACTACGGACTCCTTACGGAGGTGGCTGCGAAGGATCGGTGTCTGAAGAATTACTACAAATAACAATCTCGAAGGACTAACGACTAGTTAACGAACTCTCCAGATTTGAGCTGCCATCTGAAACAAAGAAAGGCGGCGCGATCATGAATCATGACAGAGGGCCAGGGCCCCGGAAAGGGGAAGACGTGCCCCTTTCCGGCTTCTAGTCTGATATTCTTCATCGCAGACCGTCGGAGACTTCAATTCTCCTGGATCATCTTGCGTGGTGACTGGTCCAATAGTGAGTGATAGACCGACCTGCTCTGGTCACTAAATCTTCCTATTGACTGCATCTTCTCCACACGTCCATCTCGGTCTTTTCCTCCGTCGAGCGCTCAAGGCCGTTGGGACGACGGTCAGGTGATCTTTGTCGACCGCCTTCCGAATTGGTCAAGTGTCGTGCAGGTCGGTCGGGGTCGGATGAACATGGCTCCGGGCGAGGATCACTTTCGCCTGTGCATTCATCGTGCTTTCACAGTCGGTGTGTCACTTATTAATTAATGAATCATGTTCCTCTTTAGGTTGGGGGCTTCATCCAACGCTTGACTCGATGAGGGTAATACACTGTAGGGATAGAAGGCCTTGGCACAGTTTTATCAGCGACAAGCGACCTACCTTCACTACCTACTCCCTGATGTTTATCAGCCTCGAGACAGCATGGAATTAGTGCACACCATTCGCTTGTAATGCCCTTCAAAGTGTTTCGGGGAGTTTGGAAAAGCTTTCCAGGATCTCTGGGCTTTCTTGGAAAATGGAGCCAAGACAGTCAAGACCTGCGGATAGTCTGGGCAAGCCTCAGCCAAGGTATCTCGATGGGCGTCATCGAGATCGAGGTCAAGCCACGCCCACATTCCACATTCCGCACACCGGCATGGCACATCGCTTTATCGCACTTTGCACTGCGGAGCTCCAGCAGTAGAACGGGGATAGCTGATAGGATCATAATCAACACTCGTCGACCGCAGCAGCCATCCTCGTCACTCTACACCAAGCACGATGACTCCACGACGATTCCTTCGCGGCAGGTGATACCGGCCCAAACTTTGGTTTACCCAGTCCGGGAAGAGCAGATGGGTCGCGTGGAATGGACACAGACCGTGGCTTCGAGTTCTCCGTCAGACTTTGGCCAGGCGATTCGACCGAAATGGATGAGGGTCATCGACTAGCGGGTTTAGCGGCTTACCCCGCGACCGGGGGAGATGTGGACCATGGCTGGGTAAGCCCGAGTCAGACGAAGTTGCATTAGCGCGAAGGATGATAAGGGAGCGCAGAATAGTTCGGATTGAGAAAAATAAAGAACAAGACAGAGATATCCAGACCCGATACCCAAAGCGAGGGCATTTGGATGGAAATCTGGAGAATAGGAAATCAAGCATCAAGTGGAGAGCGAGCGGCTTGGCTTCCGTTCGGTCAGAAAGCTTGGCACGGGGATATCGATGCTCGTAGACATTCGTCGGAGGATTCTAGTACACCGGAGTAGACCATGGCTCGTCGTCATTCGGAGATCGGCACGCCAAAGGATTCTGCGGGGTTTGCCTGTTCTTTCCTTCCTGTTCTATTTTCTTTCCTTTTCTTTTCTCAATTTTAATCCTTTTCACTTGCCGAGGGTGGGCCAGCTCATAATGGTTATAAACCAGTGCTTCCTCCCATCGTAGCCTTGTTTTTCTTATCTTTACCCTCTCTCCGTGTAGTTCTTTCCTCTTCTTCGCTGTCCACCAGAGATCCTCATCCTCCGAGCGAGGGGAGGGCCCGCTTATTCTCATCCTATTCTCCGTAACCTTGTCGTACATCTGAACAATGACGGACACGCAGATAGAGAAAGTCGACGGGGGAGTCTCCCATGCGACACCTCAGTATGAGTCGCAGCAAGTCACCTTTGCGAGCCTGAAAAAATACCTGGTGACGCGCTTACCAACGCTAATCCCACCCATGAACAAAGCCCCCAACCCATTTTCTGCGCTTCGACTCCTAAACCGTCAACAATGGCTTTTCTTCTTGGTTCGTTTCTCGGGACCACCATGTCGTCGATCGAGTTAACGTTGTTAGGTCGCCTTCTTTGGCTGGTCCTGGGATGCATTCGATTTCTTCACCGTCTCGTTGACGACGTCACAACTGGCGGAGGAATTTGACAAGTCCATCTCTGACATCACCTGGGGAATTACCCTGGTGCTGATGCTCCGGTCCGTCGGCGCCATTTCGTTTGGAATTGCCTCGGATCGCTGGGGTCGGAAATGGCCCTTCATCGTGAACAACGTCCTGTTCATTGTGCTGGAGCTCGGCACCGGCTTCTGTCAGACCTATAAGCAATTCCTGGCCTGTCGGGCCCTTTTTGGAATCGCTATGGGTGGTCTGTACGGAAATGCAGCGGCCACGGCATTGGAGGATTGTCCACAGCAGGCGCGCGGTATCGTGTCCGGTCTGCTGCAGCAAGGGTATGCTTTTGGCTATCTGCTTGCTACGGCATTTGCGCGTGCCTTGGTGGACACGACGTCTCATGGATGGAGACCGCTCTACTGGTTCGGGGCTGGTCCGCCGGTCCTGATCATCATCTTCCGTCTTTTCCTCCCCGAGACTCAGACGTTCCAAGAGCGTCAGGCGACCCGGGAGAATCGCCAGGGCGGGAAGACGTCCGAATTCCTCGAGCAGAGCAAGGTAGCTGTGAAGCGTCATTGGCTTCTCTTGATTTACTTGGTTTTGCTGATGGCGGGGTTCAACTTCATGGTAGGTCATTGAGTTCCCAAGAAACTCCAGTCTCTAACTGGTTATAGTCGCATGGATCTCAAGATCTGTATCCGACGCTACTCAAAAGCGAGTTTGGCTTCTCTCCCAACGCGGTTACGGTCACGCAGGTTGTCGCTAACCTTGGAGCCTTGACCGGCGGCACTCTTTGCGGCTGGGCCAGCCAGATATTCGGCCGTCGCTTCTCCATCATCGCGATCAGCATCGTCGGCGGTGCCCTTCTATACCCGTACACGTTCGTCACCTCTACCAATGTAATGGCCGCCGCCTTCTTCGAGCAGTTCTGCGTGCAAGGCGCATGGGGTGTGATCCCAATCCACCTGATGGAGCTCTCGCCCGGAGCAATCCGTACGTTCGCCGTTGGTACGGCCTATCAGCTAGGGAACCTTGTCTCGTCGGCTAGCTCCACGATCGAATCTACGATCGGCGAACGCTTCCCGCTGCCCCCGACGGAGAAGGAGGAACACCGATACCAGTATGGCAAAGTGATCTGCATCTTCATGGGCTGTGTCTATGGCTACACAATTCTGGTGACCCTTCTTGGGCCGGAACATCTCGGTCGGAACTTTGACGTCGCACACGACTCCGACATGGCCGCGATAGGGGCCCACCGCGCAGCCGCTGATGGTGAAAATAGCGACCCGGAAAAAGGCACGGTGCGGATTGATTGATGGATTACTGTGGAAGCCAGCGAGGATAATTCTTGGACTCTGGATATCTCTATTGCTACCATTTCCTTTCTTGTATGTAATTATCAAAGGACCCAAGGACTCGAGAAAGTGAGTGGTATTCGATGGGATCGGAGGGCCGGGATCTAGCGAGAGCAGGGAGTCATTAGCAAGTGCAACCCAAAAGACAGGACAAGACTTTGTTAGAAAGAATTTGCATCTGAGTCTGCTTAATTGTAAGATTGTATGATTGCGTTCATGGGACAAGTCACAATGAGGTAAAAGGGTTTCTTCATTTGCAATGATGGACGGGGATAGTCAAACAGTCACAGTCAAAGACCTCGAGATAGGCCGATGACCATGACAATGACAATAAGAGCACAATAAGAGAAGAGGAAAAAGGTACTCACCCAGCCCGTCTGCACTCAGTGTCAAGAACAGACACCCACAGTAAACATCACGATTCAAAAGAAGAAAGAAGACATTCAGGGGGGAAAACCCAGCCGATTTAAACCAACCTACCACGTTAATTACCTCTTGGCTCACGGGATCCAACCCCGCACGATGATCGAATCATCGACGAGAGTTGGCTGACTCCGTCGTACTTTTTGCTTGGTGGCGTTTTCTCGGCGGATTTGATTTGTTTGTCTGATTTATGCTATGGTGTGATGTTGCTAGGGTGGAAGGGGATGGCGGTGATGTCAGTTATTTGTTGTTGGGAACCACTCTAGAAGTTGGAGTTTACCTAGTAGATAGTAATGGGTTGGATTGACTGCCTTAGATAGGCAGGTGGTGCCTGAAGATCGTCCCCATTGCATTTGGGTTTGGGTTTGGGTTGCCCCAGGCTCCACTTGTTTTTTTTGGGTGCCTGAGGTCCACTTTTGGAGGGCCTCTCCTGGACACGTTCTCTACAGCACGTGAAAACGGTTGAGCTTCTTTCTCTGTTAAGTTAGGTTTTGGGATTCGGATGCTTCTGGGGGTTTATCTTACGTCGATAAGTAGGTTATTCGATTTTATGCGTGGTATGCTGGAATATGGGTACTGTACATCAGGTATAGTATCTAGAGCTCTATTTGTGAAACCGAACCAAGTTCAACTGCGGTATAGACAAGAATACAATTTGTTTATTGTTGCAAAATCGGAGTAACAGCGAGACGTCTGGATGATAGATTGTTCCCCCGGCTGTTAGTATTGATCTCCAAATTGTTCGGGGAGCTAGTATGATCTACCTTTGAATATCTAGTTCATGTGTCGAAAACGTCGAGATATCATTTAAACCCAGGTGTAGGGAAGGATATACGCCTCAGACTGTCCACGATCTGTGATATCAGAAAGGACTATATCGTTTGTCGTTTCCGCGCCCAGATACCAAGTATGGCTACTGTACCGAGAACAGCTGCCACAGCAATCGGGTGGCTACTGGAAAACTCTCGGATATTGGAATTGGTGGTCCGTAGTGACACAGATATGATCGGCTTGGGTGATCGGCTTTCTTGTTTTGAAGGATGCTCTGAAACATTCCCGTTCACTTTTTCACTGGCATTGAGCGTGTTATTGTTGACTTCTACCGAAGATGGGGGCATTGGATTCTCAAAAACAACCACCGGGGTCTTCTCTTGCTCCACAGGTTGAGCAAAATTAACGGGATCCGGTTTGGGACGACTGGTTTCTATAAGCAAGCGCTTCTTTCGGATACGGTGGAACTCACATAGAACCTTCCTGATTAGCTTGCCAGGCCCGGCACAGTGGCCATTGTTGTAGCCTTTCATCACACGAAAGAGGCTTCATCAAATTAAGCAAAAGCTTATTAAATAGACTCTCCTTCCCATCAACAACCCACTGGGCCCAGAACTCAAACAACCGTGGATAAAAGCCCGCAGAAGCCCATCCTAGCAAGCAGATAGAGCCGTCAGGTTTCCAGATGATATTCCGCGGCGTAACGTCTAGATGGCAGAGAATTAGATTATCGTCTCCCAGCGATACGCTTCCATCTTCCGGGGAGAGTCGACTGTTGAGCCACGACTCCAGTTGTTCTTTGCTTTCGAACCTCACGCTTTCATTGTCAGGCCAAAGAAGACCACGACAGGGTCCGCCGCTGAGACTTCCGGGTTTGGTGCCTCGAATTGTATGCAGATAGTTTAGCACGTTGCTGACTCTTTTGATAAGGACGGGATCGTCCAGCGGATCTATCACATTTCCTTCGACGTACTCCATCACGATGTATCCACGGCCCAAGTTGTCGGTGAAAAATCGGTAAGCACGTGGGATTTGCATATGGGTCTGGTCGACGAGATCATATGCTCTTTGGTGATTGAGGAATCCATATTCCGAGATACCGATACCAAACTTGATCGCTGTATCTTCGGATACCCTGACGACGCGTGCACCGCCGTCCCTGCCTCCAATGATGCGGCCGGGTGGTCCATCAAGACAAAACGATATCAATTCACTATCGGATACATGGTTCATACTGGTTTTGCGAACGACCAGGACTACAACCTGGGGGGTAAAGACAATAGATGGAAAATGATATAGTTGTCCACGATGTGATGAAGTTGTTCGGTGTCTTTAATACCTAAGCAAGCACCCAATCATGTGATTTGAAGGCACCTCTTGCCGCAGATTCGATTGGTCGTTAGTATAGCTGCGCTGTTAAGGAAAATCGTTCATTTTCAGGCTGAAATGTTGGGTTCTCTTTCTCCTGTTTCGTTGTTAAAGGTCCATCTGGTCAGCCTATGCCTTCTTGGGCTTCACCTTTTTCGCGGCTTTTTCTCCAATGTTCAATCTAACCAGTTCATGCATAAATCAACATTGATAAACCGATATATGGTCACATTTCTAGATGTAAGATAACCCCCTATTTGCTCTGCTTTGACACATTCAGAATTCGCAAGAAGCTCAGTGGAGGCTACCTACGGGCAAGAAACCACAACTCTTCAGACAGACACGTATATTTCTGATTTAGCAGATCGCAGGATGTGCTTTTTAGATGTCAATCTACTCCTGTGATTCGATCAACAACCCTAATTAGCTCAAGCGAGTGGCAGAGAAGAAACCTCCATGTGATTGGGCACAAAAAGCATCAAAGAATGATTGACCAGATAGCATAGCAACAGATAACAAGAATCAGGACACTAGTTTGTATATGACTGAACATATGGTTCTTTTCACTAAATCTCTGTCCTCCTATGCAGAAATCAGCCATCATAGATCCACCCCAGAGAGATGAACGTCGTCATTCGCGGTAAAGTCAAGTTGACCGGTAATAGCGGATCCATCCGCCCGCTGCCCCTTGATCAGGATGCGTTTCGAGAACAGCACTGTAGCATGATAGGCCGGAACCAGTATCTCGGTGGTAATCTCTTTCTCGCTGTACTCGCTGTACGTGGAGGAAGTTCTGTGGGTGAATTGGTAGTTCAATTTGATTCCCAATTTCACGCCGACACCACCGCTGGCCGAAAGCTCGATGCCCGTGCTTTGAGCCAGCTCGGTCGACTCGCCACTAGTGACACCGGTCCTGAGCGTTTTGGACCTCCTGATTTGATCGGCAGTCCCGTTGGTCCAGGAACCTTCGACGTACCATACGATGGCTCTGCTCGCTGTGCAGAAAGGGTCGCTGATGAGTCGGAGGCTCCGTGCGTCTGTATCGTCGTAGAAGGAGGTAATGGCAATGTAACTTCGCACTGCTGAGTCCAATGATAAGTGGTGCCGGTGCTCGGGATGTTGTTCGCAGTGATCTTAGGTACTGAGTCGGTAAATTCCGCGGACTCTTTGGGAACTTTGAGGGTCGGGACGACTGCGTAACCCAGGTCAGGGGGGTTAGTATGGGATCCGGCACTGATCCTGAAAGTACCAGCAATCACAGGAAGAAGCTCAGACCCATTGAAACCGTTAGTATAAGGGTACACCTCCCAAATAGAAACGTCGACATCGGCCTTCGACTTTGTGTCATCCCAGATGCTTTCGGGTCCGTACTGGCCGTCGGCTGCAAGATCAGACCGTAGGCACCAAACTTTGCTAGTCGAAGGCGCGCTCCAGCCTGACTGGGCAACATCTCCCATCGATATATAACCAGCCGGTGCTATGGGTCGCCAGAAGGAACCATCTGCGCTGGCTCTGCTGCCCTGTAGGGTTCCATAGTTCCCGATAGCCATGCTTCCCAGAGGGCGCAAGCTCCCCTGTGCAAGCGGGTGCCAGAATTCTCCGTCCCTGGCGGCACCACTGCCCTTGTCATTCCAGATGGCGTCAAAGTTCGAAGTCAAAGTGACGACCAGGTCGCCATACGTATAAGTTTTGTTTGGCATTCTTGACTGAACGATATCGGTAGGAGAAAGATAGAAAAGTCTTTGGAGTAGAGGGTGGAAAGCAAGCCTGATATATAGACACGTTCTGGGGTTTTTTGTCGAGGGACAGGACGACGTATTTATGCCTGTGTGAGAGTTTCATTGTGTAAGCCCCCCTCCCTCCATTGACATGGTGTCTCTCGGCCCAGCTTCAAATTTTAGGAGGTCCGTCTCGATTGGACCAACGTTTAGATCATCATTCTCCCAATGCATGGCAAAGACGACCGCTCGGCGGTAGGTGTTGGCGGAGGGCAGCGACAGTTTCAGACGGTTATTGATCTCATCCAACGCGTCCAAGAAACGTTCTTTGTGGACTCGCGCTCGCTCCGCACGTATGAGACGAACAGTTTCCATGATAGACGAAGGCAACAGAGATGGCAAGGGAGGGATGGACTGAAAGATGGGAGTGTGAAAGCGAGCTGGATAGTGGTTGGAGCTTGACAGATAACTCGATAGCGGTAAGAACTAACAGGACAGAGAGCTGATAGCGGGTTGTGCAGTGATAAGAGCTTGACTGAGAACTGATATGGAGGATGGAAAGATGGAAGTGGGAGGAGAGAAGGGAGAGGAGAGAAGGGAGGAGGGAGTGAGTCACCTGGTTGAGGAAAGAGCATCATTTGAGAGTCATGGCACCTTAAACAGGCGGGTGCCACGGATCGCTTATTCACTACTTTGTGCAGTGTGCAGTCTACACCACCTGTGCTGCTGTTAACTGAATCCCGAGTAGATTCATCTGATAGATAGAATGGTGTGACATGGGATTGTTAGCTAGGAGCCGGGAGGAGTAGTGGGAGTAACTTACAGGGGCTTTGGCGAAGTTGGACTGCTTCGGGGTCTGGAGAAATAATTGTAACTGCTGGAGATGATTCTTGCATAATGGTCGCCCATGACAGGATCAGTATTGACAAGTTGGTCATTGTTGGCTCGTTCACAGAGAATGGGAGACGTGAGGTTTCACTGCTACCTTCAGCAGTTACATGAATATTCTACGCAGACTCCGAAGCAGGCCAATTTTGCCAGAGTTCCGGTAAGCTCCAGACCATAAACAATGCAGATTTCAATATAGGACGACAGTGCTAACTTTAGACAGGCTGCATGCCCCAGGAGATCCAATGCCTCAGCAATAGATGCTTATTTAGGTCTATTGACTAAAAAATGCAGATTTCTAATTTTTGTAGTTGATATTAGCTTTTGCTATTTGTTACAAAGATTTCCAAGTAAAAAAAACTAGAAGATTATAATTACCAAAAGACTTTTTTGAAATTTCACATTATGGTGGTTTGAATGACGGTTCTGATTACTTCCCGGACACAGCGTCGAAGGGGGCGTATATAGCCACGCTACTGAGCCCTGTTATTATGAAACAGAATCACTCCGTGGATTACATTGTGAAGGTTAGTCAGAGCTGTGATGTGCTCAAAATTGTGCTCTGATCGAACCAGACACTGTTTGCCCTCCATATGTCCAATCTGAAAAACAGAAGGACAATAAAAGAGAGCATGTCCTGGTATCCAGGGTCCCAAGCAGGTTGTTAGTTGCAAATTCAGATGACAAGTGGATGATTTAGTGTCACATACCTCCGGGCTATGAGCCTGGTGCTCTATCCATGAGCTAACATGCTGGAGATTGTTGTAGGATCCTGCGTTTTCGCAAACATCAAAAACCAACCAGAAGAATGTTGAATACCTGCAGTCTCTCAACTGCTCGGAAATCCCAGGGTTTAATCACTCCGACCAACGATACAGTCCGGGCTTGCTACCACTTCCACCCACGTTCTGCGATTTCAATCCCAGGCAGCTCCAGTTTACACCATACGAGAGATTGATCCACAAATATTGAAAACATAAAGATATATAGTACATCATGGTATTCTAGAATACAAGAGCCCCGTCGTTCTAGGTCCACATTACTGCTTGTTCATCCAGTAACCGGCCCAACACGAACGGTCGCTCGGTCCATCAACTTGTCGATTTCCTCTCTCTTGGCCGTCTCCTTCTCTCGTTTCTTCCTCGCCGCCTGGAATCGCTTTTTTGCGCCGTGTCTCAGCTTTGTGATCAGATCCGTCGCTTGACCTCTGGTTATATTTTCTGCCGTGCTCAACTTCTTCTTCCGGATGTCGCGCTGGTTCAGAAAATCAATCTGGGGCTTAGTGGCGGGGCGCTGTCGCCAGGGCTGACTTGTGGAGATGTAGCGCTCCGCGAACTGAGACGCCGCAAAGGTATCGGCCGCGTGCACGGCGGATTCAAATTCCTCCGCGTTGCCGATGAATCGCGGACGCGTAAACTGTGGCGTTTCGCTATCAACAGAGGTGAACCGGATGACGTGAAAGATTTTCCAAGGTGGATCGCCGGTGTTGCCACTATCCTTCTCGATGGTGAGCCAGCCGCTGGAGTCGGAGAGGAGGAATCGGTCTTCGCCGACGCGGACCCAGGCGTAGCGGCTGATCGAGCGGATGTGGCGCTCGGATTTCATGTCGTGGATGAGGTCGTAGATGGTGTCGTATTTAGTGAAGGTGAGGTCGATATGGTCGGGGGGGTCGTATGGATCCGAGTCGGGTTCTGGGGTCCCATCAGGTTCAGCAGCTGCAGAGTCCAGGCGGTCTTTTATGTTCTTGGAACTTTCCTTGTTGAGCACTTCATCGGGATCTAGACCGAATAGGGTCGGGGTGCTTATAACGCCTGTGTTTAAAGTAGCCACCATGTCGATAATGTGACAGTCCTTCTTGTCGGGATAGAGCCGTAGTCCTCGGCCGATCATCTGGATGAGGAGGTTGCGGGACCGCGTGGGCCTGGCTAGCAAGACACAGTCAATGTTAGGAATGTCCGTGCCTTCGGTGAATAGACCGCAGTTCAGAAGGACCGGGAATTCGCGGTTTCTAAAGCTTTCCAGCTGTTCAGCACGCACTTTCTTGTCCGTGCGCCCCGTGATGTACCGCGCATCGACACCAGCTGCGCGAAACGCCTCGGTAAGGCGCATGGTGTGATCAACATCGACGCAGAACACTAGGGTGGACTTGCGATCCTGCGCGTTGGCAAACCACGCGCGCACGGTGATGTCGTTGGTGGTCGGAGTGTTCACAGCTCGGGAAAGTGCACCAATAGCAAAGTCACCGAACTTGTCCTTTCTCACGCGGGCCAAGTTCGCATGCGACTGAACTGTGGTGAACATTGCATTTGCGAGCCATTTGTCATCGATCATTTCCATGTAATCCTTGTGATAGACAATGTGGTCGATCGCACTGCCTAATTTGAATCCGTCATGCCGCGAGAGCGTCGCCGACACACCGACAAGCACAGGTGAGTCGGAGGACGCCTCGCCGAGTCCGAAATGATCGAGGACTGTACGGTAGGACGGCGCAACAATATGGTGTGCCTCATCGACCAGAATAAGCTTGAATCTGCTAGGGTCAAACTTATCGATCCGCTCACGCGACGTCAGACTGCGAACAGACGCGACGGTAATATCTGCATAACCCGTGGCCTCCTCAGATCCCATTTCGACCTCGATCTTCTTGGTTGAGCCATAGGCGAGCTGACAGTGTCGGAACGCTTGGTCGACAAGTTCACGTCGATGAACAACGATCAAGGTCTGGTCTCTCTTCTCAGCACGCGGCGGAATGCGCCCAATTAGTTGAGTAAAGATCACCTGGTGTAGTAGAGAGAGGAAAGAAGTCAGCGGAGGCAAGGTGCATCTGAGGTGTTTGCAGGTTTCATACTGACAGTTTTGCCGGAGCCTGTAGCTAGCGAGACCCCCAGTCGCCTGTGGCCCTGGTCCACGTGGTCGAGGATCGACTGTATGCATTCCTCCTGATAGTCGCGGAGAACTATAGCATCGCCATGCGAGGCTGGAGCAGCAGCGACCGTAGAATTAAGCCGGGCATGCTGTTTCGGCAGAGCGTAAGCTACCCGGGGCGTTCTCCAAGGGCCCCGAGACCGACACAGAAGACGTGAGATGGGAATGAACCCCAATGATCGACATATACGCTCCATATACTCCGTACGGTGGATGCCATGAGGGAGGAGGAAATGACGCAGTGACGAAGTTGTCGACGGAGCCAAACAGGTGACTGATAAAGTAAAGTAGCCCGAGCAAACAGTGCAAACACCCGGTCTTATCAGCTCTCGACGACCGCTGCGGAACAATTTCTTCGTTTGCTTCTCCTCCGGGGAAATCTCAGCTCCTCCAGGTTGCATACGATGTTTTTCTGATCGGTCTGATGCCGGGCATGTTTCCGACGCTTACTCCAAGTCCATGTATTTGGTGCGACGGCCCCTCGGACCTCCTTCCTCCCGACCATGAGCAGTTCAAGCCTTTACGAGCCGCCCGAGGAAGACGAAGATGCATCTGATTCCGATTTCGACGCCGGAGCAGCGCGGCGAACGAGAGCCCCTCCCTCTTCCCCGCCCACCGAGGGGCTGCGACAATCCTCTCCAGCTGAAGCGAATGGACAGTCTCCGCTTGAGTCAATAGACCGCGGCGGTGTAGGCACGCGGTCTCAGGCGCTTGAACGTCTTCGCACGTCCCTAACCCGAGAATCGGTCACGGCGTACGACAACCTTTTAGATACGACAACCGATGAGAATTCGCCTATCAAAACCGCCGAAATCGCGTCAACGCCCGTAAAATTTCAAGATTACAAAGGGATCGTTTTATGGACACCCGCCGAGAAGGAAGTGCTTTTCAACACACTGGAAAGAAAGGGCAAAAATGGAATCAAGGAGATTGCCCAAACGATTGGAACAAAATCGGAACTGGAAGTGCAGGAATACATCCGACTTCTACACGAGGGCTTAAATGAACGACATCAGTCTAAAAAGGATTTCAGACCGATCATCCTGGGGCAGATTCCCGCAGCGGCCGAGATCAGCCACAAATGCTGTCGTGCACTCGACGAGTATGCAGGGTTACTGCGGCTTGAGGAGGAATTTTCGGAAAATGTGGCTGGGCGACACAAACATCGTGACATGTGGATTGTCGATCAAGACGTTGCGGCAGAATTGGACGAGCAGATTCAATCGCGGGATGAAGCCTTTGTTTCAGATAGCAGTATTCACCATACAGCGGGGCTATTGAACTTGAAGTCATGGATCCGACTTTCAGAGCGGTTTTTCATGAACTTCGGCGGTCAGAGGCTCGACGACAACTGGGTCAACGTCGCTTTCGCCGATGAGACGCCGTCGGTAACCGCAGACGCCTTCGCAGACTTTTACGCTCTGACGGTAAGCGTCACACGGCGCTTGATTCATTCGGCGCTCTTTTTCGCCATGTCCCGACTCCACAGCATGAGAGACACCGGCAATCCCAAAGCACAGGTTGTAAAATCGCGTGATGTTCGGACCGCGCTGGACGTGCTGAACATGAAGCACAATCGCTTCGACTATTGGGTAGGATTGGCGCGAAGGTGCCACTTGGACGTGGCCGATCTTCGACACCGCAAAGGCTGGAACTCAGTTCATATGGATTACAACGAAGTCGAGGACATCCTATCTGACAGGGTCCCGCTTGACCCGGGACCCGGGGGAAGAAGTGTCTCGAGGCATCAATCACAGGATGGGACCAGTGATGACGAAGACAATGGCTTTGTGCATGCATCAAATCTGTCCTCACAGCTGCCGGATGAGGAGTTCTCGGTGGTAGATACAGAAGACGATCACGCAGAACAAGTCGACCAGCAATCGAGCCATCTAGAAGAACAGCAGTTATGGCAAAAGTTGGGCCAGTCACCGCCCACTTCCCTCAACTCGCTCATCGCGGGGGATCACAAGCGAGTCTCGAACTTGCGCATGCCAGTTGGAGAGCACAAGACGCCCGAGGATCTGGTCGACTGGCGTAATAGGACCCTATACCGAGGAGACTGGGAGGAACACGGTAATGAAGTGTTCGATATCTACGAAGACATATCCGAACACCGACGGAAACGCCGTCGTCTTGAAAAGCCCGCTGTGTCGCTATATGTAACTGACTCTTCGAACGACGAGATATCCGAGTCCGATTCCGCTTCCGACGCTGCAGATGGCGATGCAGACGATGTTGAAAATCAATCAGACGCTTTAGCAGATCCAAGCGCCGACGAAACGGATGACATGGAGAACGACGAACCTGAACCTGACATGTCAACACCCAAACAACAACAATCACCCACCAAAGGCTTCTTCGCAACATCATCCCCTTCACCAGTCTCCTCTCCTTCAAACCGCCACAATATCCCCATTAAACCCGACCCCTACAACTACGCTCAGAACAAAAGCCAAGATTATTCTTCAAATTCCGAAGATGACCTCCCTACCACATACGAACGACGAAAGTCATATTCGTCAGCACAAGAAGATGATGACAATGACGGAATACCGCTGTATTCGCAACCGATGAGCCCAACTGACTGGCCGTCTGAATAAAAGGTTGTTCCTATCCTGCCCTTGAAAATGAGCTTGCTTTGAGCGTTGGAAATCCCATGTTTGTTATTATTACCTGCGGCGTGTTTGATGTACGAGCCTATTGCTTGCTGTATGTACTATTTGTATTGGCATTATTGGTGTTTGATCTATAGATGGAATCTTTCGGGTTACTTTCGGGTTGCATGTTTGGTTTAATTCGATGTTCACCAGGCTGGAGGTTATATATGGACTTCCTTGTTTCGGGTACACTTGCTACTCATTCTTGGGACTAATGAAAAGTCATCATCCTACATGCATGGCTCTACCAAATTTCTAAATGAAAACAAGTTGTTTAAAAAATTGAACCAAGTAGATTGATCGCGAACAAATACTCTAAACTCCGAGACAAGAGCGCCTTTTCCTAGCAGCCCAGACGACATCAAACAATAAGAATAAGGGGAAAAGAAAAAAAAGCAAAAGAAAAGTAAAAACCGCAGAACCCAAACCCCAGGCGTCCGCCCATCCATCACCAAAACAGCCTCTTCCCCAATCAATCGCAAACGCATCACATCTCTCAAACTGCCCAGCCATCCTGATGCGATAGAATAGTAGATACCCCTTGACTTCCATAACCCAAGGATAAGGTATTGTACAATACATAGGATATTATAATGAAATCAACTTTAGATAAGAAAAAGTGTTTCCTGCCAGACCGAAGTAGACAGAGAAAGAAAAGAGAAGAAACAGATGTACTGGTTATGTTTTTTGCACTTGTTTTGAGAGCATTTTCGGTTTCCAATTGGTGGGTTGGTTGAGTTGGATTGAACGCACGTCCATTAAAAACATTTCAATTCATTCTTTGTTTTTTGTTTGCGGCATTACAGGTCCAGCGTCTTGTAGTCGGCGCCGGCCTCGGCGCTGAGCGGCTGAGCATCGGCTCGGGCTTCGCCGGGACCAGGCTGGAAGTTGAAGCGGTTGCCAATGCCCGTCGTAGCGGCGTCGGCGATCATGTTGTTGGCTTCCTCGCCGGGACCCTTGAGAGTGACGGCCTGCAGGGTATCTTGGACTTCCTTGACCCTCTTCTTGAAGGCCATACGGTCTAGGAAGAGCTGTTGGCGAGCCAATTCAAGCTCGCGGCGCTCGGCTTCGATGATCTCCTCCATCTCATTGAATTGTTGCAGTTTAACTTCGAACTTCTGCAAAGTAACGTTGACGGCGGCAGAGACCAGGCGGGTCATCTCGCGCTCTTCGTGCGAAGCAAGAGCACCGGCACGGGCAGCGGAGGCGGCGAGAGCGACGGTGGGCAACGAGGACTTGGTTTGGCCTTCGGCGGCGGCGGATTCCACGATCTCTGCAGGCGCATCCTCGCCCACATCCATTGAGTCCTCGGTTTTCACATCGGAACCCTCTTTCTCCTTGCCCTTCTCTTGGCTCTTGTCATCTCCCGAGCCCTTCTCGAGCTGTTTCCGGAGCTCCTTGCGAATCTCTTCGACGGAGCGGCCAGCGGCGGCAGCAGCCACGGCGGGCTCGGCCATCTGGGCAAGGAAGGCGACTACTGACAGAACAGGGTTCTCGGCCTGGCTGATGGGCTCCCGTCCGGGTCCTGCCCGCATATCCGGTACATCTTCGATGTACTTGTCTTCGATCTCCAGCTGCAGGAACTTCATCACACACTCTTCTCTCGTCCGGGTTCCGACGTGGCTAGCAATCTGCTCCCAGTTGTCGTCGAAATTCTCCAGTCCTTCGAGCAGAAGCACCAGTTCTGCATCAGACCAGGGTGCATCCTTGTCGGGCACGATAGAATAGCCGCTGTCTTCGAGTTTGACGAAATCCGAGGCACTGTGGCTGTTGGGCATCCGGCCCTGCAGGAAGCAGTTGGGGCACAGGTCATACTTGGAATCCGGAGCAGCCGGGTTCGCAGCCGGGGTCGACTTGGCGTAGTGGAATCGCAGGCGAGTGCAGTCGATACCGCACGAGAAGCAGTGGAACTTCTTCCGAGGGTCCTTGGCCGCTGATTCGATCGCCTTGGTCGAATCGCCTGCCGTGCCGTTGGCACCCGAGCCCTCTCCGTTTGTTTGTTTCTCCTTGTCCTCGGCGGCGGGAGTGATCTCCTTGCCCTTATCATCGTAGACATTGCGTCGGATTTCTAGGTTCAGGTCGGCCTTGGGTGCGGGGGTGGCCGAAGCGGCACGGTCGGTGGCGGAGAGAGGCTTTCCAGGCTTGACAAAGGTGTTCGGTCCAGGCTGGAACGACTGAAGGCCTCTGGGTGTGTCGGCAATGACTCGGAAATGACCAGTGAACGGAGGTCCGATATTCGACGGCCGGGTTTGGGGGTCCACCTGGCAGGTAATGTCAGTTAGCCCGATACTACAAATTAGCACGCGCATAACTACTCACTTGGTAGTTAATCAGACCCCACTGCTCAAGGAACGAGTGAAGGCGCATGATCGCACACACGTCTCCCGCAAGGTTGCGGCGACACGCGGTGACTGTGAGATACTCGATGGGGTTCAGTCGGTAGGTATTGATCATGAAATCACGGTAGTCCTTGTAGACTGCGGGAGTCTTGCTTCGGTTTCTGCCGTTGAAGAACTCCGCCAGCGCCTTCTTCTCGATCGGATGAATCGTGTGCATGTCGAACCACGTAGAGTAGCTGGGGAGGATGATGGCATGTGTCTGCGAAACGAGTTGCGAACGAGCGGAGTTCTCAACCGACGCTTTGCCCTGCGCGGGCTGCTCGTCGGCCGTACCCTCAGCGCCTGACTGAGCAGCAGGGTCGGCGAGCTCGTCGCCGCCGTCGGTCTCTTTCTTCGTCTCGGTCTCGGTGCCGCCCATTTCCTCGTCTTCAAGTTCGCCATCGGCATTCTGCGCCTTGGGGGAGGCGGGGGCATCTAACGGGTTATCAGTTCCTGGGTCATTCTTGTTAGGAGACTCTTGACGCGATTGCGATTCTAATTTTATGCTTGCGAAAGGTTGGCGAACCCCATGCAGCGTTGTCAGGGGGGTGCGTAAAGAGGTCAAAACTAACCGGAGGTGTTGATCACATCACCGGGGGCATCTTGGCCCGTGGTGCCTGCGAGGGAATCATCGGCAGCGCCGCTAGAAAGGACAGTGTTATCCTCCATCCTGCGGTGTTAAGGTTAAAAGATGGATGCTGAGGTTGCGGACGACGGCGAGCAAGGGTCTTTGCCTGGAGCGAGCCGACGTCAATGGCGAGAGGGGAGGGAGGGTGTTAGCAGGGTGCGGAGGCAACCCTTTGAATGAATGAAAGATCAATGAACGGAGCAGGCAGGAAGTCCGGGATGAGTCGGGATGAGTACGACCATACGACGGACTGGCGGAGCAGAGGATGGATGGGCTTTGGGGGTGTCACCAACTCGTCGCGACACGGACCTTTCGCTCCAAAAACTCGCGCCAAGACCCTCACGTGTACTAGCCTGATCGGGACTAGCGCCGATTCCGCCTGACCTCCGTCGTCGCTCTTCCTCTCCTCCCTGCCCATTTCAGTTATTCATCATTCAACAGTCGACCTTGTCAGATAGGACTAAATTCTATCAATTAAAGAATCGACACTACATGAATAACAACTACAAACATAATCTCCAGAGTTTCCGCCAGGATACTCAATTCATTGCTATGTGCAGTACAGTACTTGATCAATTACAAAAGACGAGCGCAAACAGCAACATGCCAATATAGAAATAAACACATTCGCCCCAATAAACGGAGTTCAACACCCTCCTACTTCGACTGGCTCGCACCCGCCTCTGCCCTATCCTTCTGCATTTTGGCAATAGCAGGTCTACCGTTCAGCCTCTTCAACCAGGCGTCAAGGTTGGGGAATTCCTTCTCAGCATCGATAGCGTCGCCAGTGTACTTGCCCAGAATCCCATACCAAGGCAGGAAAGCTACATCCGCGTAGCTGAACTTTCCGCCCACCAGCCACTCGCGACCCTCCAGCCACTTGTCGAGCACTCCGGACACCCTCCGGATCTCATTCAGATAGCGCTCCTGCGCACTAGGGATCTTCTCCGGATGGTGAAACGTGAACCACACGAACTGGCCGAAGTACGGTCCCTGGCCGGACGTTTGGAATTGCAACCACTGCTTTGCGTGGAAGTATTCTGGAGTGCCGGGCTCGAAGCTGACCTTGCGCTCTTTGTCATAGGTCTCGACAAGGTACTCCAGGATGGCCCCGGACTCCCACAGGGTGATGTTTGTGTTTGGGTCCTCGATGGCGGGCACACGGCCGTTGGGGTTCACCGAGATGAACGGCTCTTTTTTCACGTTTTCGCTGAGGATAAACTTCGTCTCGTAAGGGATGTTGAGCTCCTCGAGGAGTCCGGCCACCTTCCATGGGTTGGGGCCACCAGTATGGCTGTAGAGGACAATGGGCTTCGGAGACATGGTGGTTGTGTGTCTGATTTGATTGCGGTGGGAAAGGTAGTAGTAAGCAGTAGAGACAATTCCGAACTGATTTGATGATTCTGGATTCTAATCTGCAATCATCAAGCCGTTCAGAACAGTCATTTTATATAGACTCGGAGCCTCACTCTTCATAATTCCTCGACCTTCGAGCATCATCTCTCGCGATATTCTCGGCATCTCGTGAGCCCGAAGTCCGTATCTCACGGATCCCCGCTGACAAACGAACAACTCCGCTGCAATTGTCAGCAACACTTTGCCTTGGACACGGGAAATCTTCGCATTTCAAGGGGGAAAAATTAATAATATCAGAGAGAGGGGCTGGGGCCGCTCCGCTGTTAACGGAGTTATGTGATTGCATCACAATTCAAAGGGCCGCATGCCAAGAAGCTCTTATGAGCGGAATTACGGGATTCGCGGAGATCTTGACCTAAAGTCCGGCTTTGTAAAGTGGACTTGGCATTGAATGACCTGGGAATTCCGGGCATAATCACTAGTTCTATACTAGCATTGTAGCATAGTGAATGAGAAGAACAGACAGGTCGGTTCATGAAGCAATCATTGGAACCACCTTCGGCCCTGTGCTAAGCCCCCATGTGATACCCACGTAGCCTTGAACAAGTCAAGCTCTCCTTCCGTTTGCTTCCATCTCGTCTCTCATCCTATCGTCGTCCGTCGCCGAATGATAACGAAGAAGAAAGAAGAAACTTGGGTAAGCAATCGAATATAGAGCTGTTAATATGCTCGGTCACTTTCGGTCACTTTGTCCCAATCGGGTAGTCAGCCCTATCTCCATCGACTTGTCTGCTTAGACAAGTATTAATATGACTAACCCAGCTTGCGAAAAGGGGACTCGGGCGTTGAGCTGCTCCAGTACGCCGATTGTATTAATGCTTATATTTGCTGCTAGGCGCTTGTATGAATCAGCCATGATTTACAAGTCCGCGGGTGTTGCTGGAGGAGCCTGAATTCTCATACGCAGAGTCTGCTCGGTTCTAGAATAGCGGGACAACTTCCGCGGGATATCTTTCAATATAAGCAAAATCAACGACGTTCTTCACGAATCTAATGCACTATGTTAACAAATCTAGGTTTATAAAATTATTTATACAGGTCCAACCTCTAATCTAAACATGAGAAGTCGCCGTTTGAGAATCGACCGATAACTCCATAGGCGACGTCGACTTCGGATCCCTCCAACTCCCAGGAGAAGACTTGAAATCCGACCCGCTGTATATTTCGTATTCAGTCAAAGGATATTTGTCCGTGTCGTCACCGGAGTGCCAGTGCTCCGGCCGAGCAGAAGAGACAGAGTGTTTGTTTCGACTGCCGTGAGAATGCGAGTTCTTGAGGGAGCGCACCACGCCGGCAAGACTCGACGGCATATCGTACCACCGCAGGAAAACCTTGACGGTGGGCAGACTTGAGCAAATAGCCGCGATGAGCACCTCGAGGAGGGCAAAGAGCCAGCAGTACCAGACCTCCCACGAGGCGTCGTAGGTGGCGTAAAACAGCCTCCAGACGAAGTATATGCGGATGCCGGCGATGACTGCCGCAAGGTAGCCGGCCGCGAAGATGGCGTTCAGTGCGATCTTCTGGCGTAGAGGGAGTTGGAGTTTCCAGCAAAGCCATGCCGGTAGACTGGTTGCGATGATGTCCTGAACGAGACTGATTCCCGTGGCGGCGAAAAGGTGGGCGGCTTCATCGTAACAGGTCCAAGAATTGGTCTGGGACCAGACAGGATCGACTTGGAGCCAGAAGGCCTTGAAGGGGCGACATGAGACGAATATGACGACGAAAAAGGCGACGCTGTAAGCGATGACGGATGCTATACTGATCCAGATGATCATGATAAAGCGGGGGGTAACGGTGCGCTCGCCCATGCGACGGTAGAAAAGCAGCACCGATATCTTGATAAGACTGGAGGATAATACATAGAATATCTCGCTGGCGATTGCGAGTTTGCGCTCGCTGATCAATATCGGTAGCGGGTTGTCCCACACGTGGTAGTTTTGACCATATTTGTAGGCTCCTAAGGTCTCGGGTAAGCGGTGGTTCTGGATCGATGGGATGCGTGCGGTTACAATCTTACCAAGGGGGATGGTAACGATCAGTCCTATAGTAGGGATCTTTTCAATCTCACTTAGTGATTGCCCCAGCATGAATTGGAATGGGAAAAGCTTCGACTCACAAGACTCAATGCGATCAGGATATCATCCAATCCTCCTGATCTTTGAATTACACAGCGAGCCCATAGTCGGACACAGATCAGGATGAAGGCAATGCCACCGAGAACGGCCGGCACTACGATGGCTGCCGGTCCATGAGATTCGGGATTGACGGTATTTGCAGGTGGCCAGGATTCAATGACCGAGAGCGGCGGACGGATTCCCCCGGGCATTCTGGTATGTGAATGGTAGATTGAGAATAAGCACGAGTCAGCATGAAGGAAATTGAGCGCTTAGGCCGAGCAAAGAACTGATCCGACAGAGGCCCTCCATCCCTGTAGATATATGGCATGATTTCCTTAACGTAAAATCAACGGCGGTCCCAACTGGGTCCAATCTCAGGTAGGTGCAATCTAAATTGAACACAGACCGTGGATCGGTGGAACTCAATTTGTGATGGATCACCCCAAAAAAGATCGATGAAAGCATTATTCGTGGCGAATTTTCAGGGCCAAATGGACGAATAACTCTGCTTATACGGTGGTTGAGGGGGATCGCCGGTGAGCTCAAATTTGAGGCTGGTTTGAATGAGCCTGAAACCTACAGGGTCCGGGGTCAGCAAGCAACGGCTGGCACCTGTCATTCCCCCCTCGTCAGTCCGATCGTTACGATCATTCGATTATTTGGGCAATAGTGGGGAACTTTTGGGCGTTGGAACGTCTCCAACGGTCTTCCCAAATTTCCACATCCGGCTGTCAAAGAGGTTTTTTTGACCTGCCGGACGACCGGGTGTCTGTGTTAAACAGGATCAGTGGCTCATGCAAGTCGACTCTCTCGGTCCTTACGGCGGCCCAAGCACCTCGAGGATTCAGAGTTCAACACGGATTAGGGCTAGATTTGATCAAATGTCGATCAATCATTCGATGAGGACCCATCACGCTATATCCGGCGTTTGGACTTTGGAACCTCCACCTGGATCCCTCCTTTCGTTGCGCGGTATGCCTTCATCGTGTCCGAGGGAATTCTTTTCCATCGGAATTGTTACATAATGCTGTCAATCCCCTCCAAAATTGTCCATCATCGACCCGAGCCATTACATTAAATGAAACTCTGGCCATATGTTCTTGAAATCAGGGCGTGCCAGGATTGCCCTATCCTGGCTGGCGCAGTCTAGCGCCAAGGCAGCAGCTCCTTATCCCTGGAGCTAGTTGCGAAACAGCTCCCTAAGAACTCAGAGCAGCTCAAAAGCAGCACGGTGTATATGTCGGAGGTTTCAGAATCGTCTCAGCATCCCAGCAGGTGCTATATTGAGTAGATGAATCACACTCGTACACTCGTAAGCCATTAACTGCTAGTCGGAGCAACTTCGGAGGCAGCACCACAAAGTTCGATCGGTTGGTTGAAGATTTCGGGCCTTTAGAGTTCTCTGATGCGATGCGACCCGGCCGATCGCTCTGCTGCACTCGCACTCTATTTGTCCAAAATGATCAGAAGCTGGTTCACTGTTTTCTCCTCGATCAGTCGGTCAGTGCGTTGTGTGTTTTCAAGTTGGTCTGGCCTTTAGTTCTCTGGTGAGCCTGAAAGGCCAATTCTGCAGTTTTCCTCGGTCGGGTTAGGTTTTTGAGAGGCATCGATCATTCTTTCTATCAGATAGTTTCTGTTTTCCCTGGGCCAAACCCTGGCGATGCTGTTGGGGATGCCGCAGAAGGATGGAAGATGAGAGAGCGTTCGAGAACACGAAACGGCAGGAAAGCCGACGTGACCTGAAGTACTCCGAGCCTGCGATCATGCACTATGAGATCACCTGGCGCCCCTTGTGATGCTGTCTCCCTTTGGATTACAGGCCATATGTTCTTCACTATTAATAAATCACTATACGGAGTAGATTGTACCAATGATCTTCGCCTGTCTGGTGCAAGGGAAAGTTGAAAATTTGCTGTCGGAGTAGTATTCGGAGTTCGGTGTGGCTCTAAAGGATGTCGGAGTAAAAAATGTGCACAACTACCTAGAATTCTATTAATGAATTGATCAGACCAGTAGATCTAGACCGACTTTTACATTCAAGCATGCAACCCAGGGGATATTCCATACACCTTGAATTCCGCCGATAGGCAGAAATTGGGATCCGCGTCATTCTCAGTATCTGATCGCGAATGGAGTCAATCCCGCGGGGCTTGTTGTTGGCCCTGAGTCACATCCCCAGTCGATACGATCAACGCGATACTCAATCTGGACAGCGTATTCGGACTGAGACCGTGGATGATGACTCCCAAGAGCGATCATTTCTTTCATCCTGAATCTTAATTCCAGCCACCTTGGCACCGCATACGCACTCCGAGCCCTACCTGTACTACCTCTCTGCCTAGCGGACAATGGAACCCGCCCCGCGGGCTCCCAAAACGGTGTCCGACCAGCGACATCGGGACTCGTATATCGGGTTGATGCCTTCGAGGCTTAATAACAAAGCCAATTCTAACTCGTCCAGGCTCCAATTAGGCATCTTTCTGAGTCAAGTCCACCCGCGCTTTGGATGGGGCTCGTGCTGGGCGCGCCCTTCAGACGGCAGCAACTACTCGAACGGGCAAGTCAGTGGACCAGACACGAGGTAGGTCTGCATCTGCCTCTCGTGTATACGGAGCATGGTCGACGCGTCTAGATGCCTTGGGCTATGCTAAGCCTTGTGGTGAGGTGTGGTGGGGCGTGGACTGACGTACTATGAATCAATTTCCCTTGCCTGAGACCAACTCCGTAGGGCGTCGGAGTAAAAACCATGCGGTACGGAGTAGACAACAATGAAGTTACTGGAAGTAGTCGACAAACCGGCTGTATATATAGACCGTGGATTTCCTCCAAATCGAAGTTTCTTTTTTCTGTATCATTCAGAGCATTCCTCACAATTAGCATCAGAATCAATTAAATCTTCTGAGATTCTCCACTGCAATCCATCGTCTTGACCGCATCCGCTCTATCAATACATCTGTTTCTACATCCACATCTACTACCATCACTACTATAACTACAACCATAACAACCATTGTTGAACATCTACTCTCCACCAAAACCAAAATAACACTCTCCAAATTCGATCCTCTGAAATCCAAGAAAATATCCACTACAATGGCCGCCTCCAAGACCTCCTTCGACACCGCCTCCACCTACTCTGTCTCCTCCACCGCAACAACCCTCAAGGGCGACGCAGCCAAGAAGAAGAAGTGGTTCTCGCTGAAGAAGAGCGACGAATGCACCAAGTCCATGCCCAAATACAAGCCTGCTGAGCGGGCCGCCGAACGGGCTCTGCACAACGAGGCCGTGCTCGCATACCTCTCCAACCGGTGATCGGAATCGCGATCGACGGTGAACTCCGAATTGGAATGTTTGGGGGGGGCTCAGACTGTGTTAAAAATAATTGGATAATGAGACTTACGGATACCGGAGTTTGGGTTTGCTTGTGATATCTCTTAAATGTTTTCTTCTTCTCTGGATTGTTTTGGCGGTATACATAGAAGCATGCAAGCTCGATTTTATGTACTTACTTAATTAATGACTGCTGTTGTTTTGATCAGATATAAAATTGTGACAGAATGTTTCGAAATTATGAATCATAATTAAGGAGTCCTTTGCATTCTTGCAGTATAGTAGAAATTGTATGCAGAGTTGTTTAGTACCATTGATTGTACGGGTCAGCCGACCGCTACACCGTATAGTTCGCGTGTTTATCTTGGCCGATCATGTAGAAGTGCCGATAGTTTTCGAAAATTCCTGCGTCCTGAAAGCGCAATTTATTGCTATGCAACTTGGCCTGTAGGGTCGGAAGAGGCTCAGGACTAGTTCATAATAATTTGAATCGTCTGGAATCGCGCTGTAGTGGTGTAGATCACCTTGAAATGATGCGACGAAAACCGACCACGCCGAGGGTGGTCGACAGCAGGCGGGTCATGTGGCATCTGTCATGGCTCGCAGGAATGGTAATTCCCCTCCAGGGTGTCTTACCTAGTGGGAATCGCTAGGTCGTCTCCACACTCCATACTCCATACACAACTGCTACTGCCTACCATCTTCCTCCTTTTAGAACATTTTGGATTTGGTTTGGTGATTGTGATTGGGACCATATCAGCATAATCAATGATCAGTGAGAGATCTCAATACCATTAAGGACAACATATGTCTTGTGTTATAACCGATTCCTGACAACCAATTACTAATGATACGTGCCACCTTTAGTACTAGACAGCTCTATATTCGGATTAGAAAAAATTTCGAGGACAGAGGTCTGCCCATATATAACAGTGACACCAAAACAAAGCTCAACCAGATGTATGCATCGTCTGCCAAAACGTGCGGCCTTCGGCATCTTCGGTCTCGAGCATCCCATTCTCGAGTCGCTGTGATGCGTCCTTCCAACAGTTACGCTCATATTGGACCATTTGAGCAGTGCCGCTTTTTTATGGCGTACCACGAAGCCTTCGAAAATACGTAGTAGTAACAGAAGTCAGGCTATTTACCTCTTCGGTGAACATCGGGCCATCCTCAACCTATGCGATATGCGTTTGTTCCTCAAGTGATAGATCCATGCCGAGCCTTTCGGGATTTGGCCCATGTTAAACCGCTATATGTTGTCTCACTAACCAGACTCACTGGTCTTTTTCAAATAAAAATGCTTACTAGGGTTCACGCAATAGGCGGCAGCCTGATGCCGTCTCAGATATCTCGAATGTCTTGCTGTCTCAGTCTCACAACCCATCGACATTTTCATTTTTGGCACCTGCATCAAGTTCCTAGTTCTGATGGCTCTACAAGTGGATCAACTTGAAGGCCAAGGGAGAACGCTGGGAAGATTGGACAAAGAACGCTCCAGCAACAAAGAGCGACGGGACGGAGCCAATCAGGCCGCTACCTAGGAACCCCCTTGATCTAAACGAAATTGACTAAACAATCACTATCAATTCAGCCATTCCTAATTTGGCTCGCATTTGTACTTTGTGTGACATTCGCTGCCTGTTGAGCCTCTGATGCCTGTTGCTGTGCTGTCGACGCGTCGCGTGAAGAGCAAGAGCAAGACAGCGAGGAGACGTCGCATCTTAAAAGTCATGATCGCTCAGTTTCAAACTATGTTCCCATCATCGTCAATATTGTTTCGTTTGCAGTTAATTCAGCATGGGATCAGTCGCTACCACCCACTCCGACAAGCAGTCTGCGAAGGAGTACCCTAAGGGGTGGAAACTGGCTCTCCTCATGATTGCGATCTGCTTGACTATCTTTCTGATTTCCCTTGAGTAAGTGGGCAATGCTTCGATATCTGGGTAGTTGTATGAGCTCACGAGGATCATCTGGTCAGTCTCTCGATTATTGCTACCGCTATCCCCGCAATCACATTTGAATTCCATAGTTTGGATGATGTTGGCTGGTATGGAAGCTGTAGGTTGGCCGTGCCTTATGACAGAGAGAGGACCACTGACATCAACGCAAGCGTATCTTCTCACAACGGCATCTTCGCAGCTCCTTGTCGGAAAGTTTTACTCCACAATGGGCATCAAATGGGTGTTCTTGATCGCACTCGTTGTGTTCGAGGTCGGTAGTGCTATTTGCGGTGCAGCGCCGAATTCCGTGTCTCTCATCCTAGGACGAGCCATTGCTGGCTGCGGCAATGCTGGTCTGTTGTCCGGGGCACTCCTCATCTTGGCCCATAGTGTATCACTGGAGAGGCGTCCTTTATTTACGTGAGCCAGGCCGCCCCTTTCCTGGCAACCGTATACTAAGTTGGACCCTTGTCTAGTGCCCTCACTGGTGGCACGTATGGCGTCGCAGCCATTGCCGGACCTCCGCTTGGTGGTGTCTTCACGGACAAAATCGTATGTCGATCTCATCCTTCCTCAATAGATCAAAATGTCTAACACAGGGAACAGTCATGGCGGTGGTGTTTCTATATCAATCTCCCCATCGGTGCCGTGACCTTTCTTGTCGTGGTGCTTTTCTTTAAGAACCCTAGCCTGCCCGATGCCCCAGTATCTCGCACCCTGTTTGACCGGATCAAGCAGTTCGATCCTCTGGGAAGCATACTCTTCATGCCGGCCGTTATCTGCCTCCTTCTGGCGCTTCAGTGGGGAGGAGCCCTATACCCGTGGAATAGCGGCAGGGTTATCGCCCTGTTTGTTGTGTGCGGTATGCTCCTCATCGCCTTCTTCATCGTTCAGTGGCATGCCCAAGACAACGCCACCGTGCCGCCACGCATAATCAGGAACCGGACCATCTGGTCCTGCGCCGTATACCAGCTAGCCCTAGGGGCCGGCTTTTTTGCGTTTGTCTACTACGTGCCCATCTGGTTCCAAGCCGTGCAGGGCGTCAGTGCCATCGAGTCGGGAAAACGCACATTGCCTATGCTAGTTGGCAACATCGTCGCAACCACCCTCTCAGGCATAGCCGTCACCGCCATCGGCCTCTACGCGCCGTTCATGATTCTAGGCACCATAATAACCTCTGTAGGCGGTGGCCTGCTGACACTGTTCAATCCAAACACCAGCACAGCCGCCTGGGTCGGCTATCAGGTCCTCGTCGGCGTGGGAATCGGCCTAGGATGGCAGCAACCCTTCGTGGCCGTCCAAACAGTCTCCAGCATGGCCGACGTACCCACTGCGACGGCCATCCTATCCTTCTCCCAGACAATCGGCGGTGCGGTCTTCATCAGCGTAGCCCAAACCGCGTTCACAAGCCGACTGACCCACGAGCTGCTCGCTAAGGTTCCGGACCTAGACCCCTTCGTGGTTCTGGACAGCGGCGCATCCGATCTAGCAGGTCATGTTCCCAAGAAGTACCTTTCGGTGGTCATTTGGGCGTACAGCAATGGATTGAAGAATACGTTCATTGTCGGCACCGTCATGGCTGCGTTGTCTGTCATAGGTAGCACGTTCGTGGAATGGAACAGCGTAAAGGGTAAGAAGATCGAAGCTGGTATCGCCGCCTAGCTTTGATTTGGCTGTTCAGGAAAAGGCTATTAGCATCACTGTTCCACCAGCTGTAGAGAGTCTGTTTGAATATATGGGGTCTATGTTGTAAGTACCAAATTTGAAGTGGATAGCGGGGATCTTTGGAGTGAGAGACTTATTTGTTATTACTACAAAAAGTACTTACATCTCTAACTTTTTGGTTCTCAATATAAACAGCCTCAATTTTCTTCACTTTTCATGTTTCTAGCGCTTCCTGAACTGAAGAGTTCATCGAGTGTACTCGGGCCAAGACGCTTCAACGCGATGCTAAAAGATACAGTACAGCCTCTCATACACGTCCAGAGCAGATGGCGTTGGGACTAGACATGACATTCAAGCGAATTCTTTGTTCTGTCTGGCTTCCTTTATTAATTAATTACAGTTCATATACTTAAAGACCAGCCATCAGTTCACCCATGGATATCGGTTTGCGCACGGCATTCGAGAACCCATCATGGTATGTCACCCAAGCCTTTCTTCCTGCCTTGGACGTCTCGTCTTGCACGGTACGTTCTTGCGAAGTTTCAACGGGTGGCGTGGGCTCCTTGATTATTCTTCCGAAAAAGTCTCGCTTGACCCCGGCATCCTTGATCCCCTTCTTCTTTGATTCATCAACATCCTGGCCGTCGGCAGACTTGCCAGCTGCCTTGCTGCCAATCTTTGACGAGCTGAGTGCTTCCGAATGCTTTCGCACCGTCTCCTTGCGATATTCCTGATCCAGGACTTGGCGGACGGCATACCGGACGGGCCCTGAGCTGCTAGTGCCTGGCAGAAGCCCTTTAGTTTTGGAGAAGCTCACCAATGAGTCGAGCGGCCTGTTTTGGTTGAATGTTAGTTATGAGTGATAAAATTTGCTCAAAAATAGATGAAGCGGCGGGTACTTACGGTTCCATCCGATACGCGAACCCCCCATGTGCACCACCCTCACTCTCGACTCGCACCTTCTCAAAAGTCACGCCGAGTGCCGTCATGGCGCGGACTGCTGCCTGCACCAAAGTGCGCTCACTTTCCTTCCGAACGCTGGCTACACTCCTCTGTTCTCCGTTCCCGCGGACCACCACGGGCTTCACATCGGGCGACAGCATTCGCATGAGGTTCGGAATGAGCTCGCCCACCAAACAATCCGTTGACCGGAAAAGACGGTGCAGCGGGGCAGATAATGAAGACTGGAACCCTGTGATAATGGCACGTTTCTGCTTCTGGGCTTCGAAAGCCGCAAAGTCTGCTCGGGGTCCGGAGAATGGATGCTCCTCTTCTTCCTCCTCATCAGCACCAATGGCATTTCGTTTGCCTTTGTTAGACGCAAAGAGATGGTGGAATGCGACAACCGCCTGACTGAGATATGGGCTGAGCTCCCAGTCTTGAGATGAAAAGACCTTGGAGGAAACAGTATCGTGAAAACTCAGCCATTCGTAGGCCGCATTAGGCTTCGAAAGGAATGTATCGTCCTGGTAGGCTTGCAGAGGATATGACGCAAAGCATTCGGAAACGCAGCGGTCCTGGTCTCCACTAGCATCAACCATCTCACGCAACCGGCTGATAGCATGGCGTTTTTTCAGGTCTGCAACGCCCACGGGCACCTTGTCGCTGTCATTGAAAGCATCGCGGAAGGAATCTATGCCGACGGGGGCATCTGCAAGTCCTGCGCCTTCTGTGAAAACGCGGTCGACAAGGTCGCGTACCCCTCCCCGATTCAAGCCTTTGAAAAAGGAGCCACCCCCTGAAGCCTCGCTCAACACGCGCTGCTCCAGCCAGCTTTTTGTTAGCCGAAGCGAGGCTTCTCTATCATATCTTAACTTATGAGCGACCCATTCTGCTGCCACGAGGACGCTGCGAATGTCACCCTCGGCCGTCCCGCTGTTTTTGACGTTGCCTTGTTTTCTTCGAGCGAGGCCCCAGGATGCTTCACAGAGCCGTCTCACCCCATCGTTGTCGGCAGGAATGCCTTCGTTGACAAAAATGTTCTTCATCCGGGAAACAACATTCTCTAGCGGTGCCTGTCGGACATGAATCATTTCGGCTATGGAGGATGCCCTCAGTGGCCGTAGGCTAGGGTGGTAGACATCGTTGCAAACCAAGATTAGTGGACGGAGGAATCGAAAATTGTCACCCTTTCGTTTCTTGCCAGTAGAGTTTTGTTCAGAACGTGCCGCGTTCTTTTGGTCCAGAAGAACAAGGTCAATCAATGCCTTCATGAAGCCTCCCTCTCCACCGCCTCCTCCAGATCCACTGACCACGCCGTCCACTTCGTCAACGACCACGCAGACCGGCCGCCCGACCTTTCGTACCTTGTGCTCACCAACTTCCACACTCATACCCTTAACGTTCTCGGTACCAAGAGAATCCCTGATTCTACCTTTCACCACATCTCTACTTCTCTCATCGCTGGCATTGATTTCAAGAACTTCGTAGCCTGCCTGTCTGGCACAAACATGCGCCAAGGTGGTCTTTCCAAGACCCGGGGGTCCACATAGCAGCAAGACCTTTCGATGTGCTCGTTCGTTCTCTTCATAACCATTGGCCTGCTTCTTGGATTTGGATTTTGCGAGGTTCGGGAAAACTATGGGCTCCCAGCCCTTGAGCCAGCGTAGAACGGATCGATGCGTTCGTTCGTCTCCGATGAGGTCTGTGAATTTCCGAGCACGGTACTTCTCGGTCCACATTGCAGCCGCGCTCTTTTTACTTTTGTGGTTCGCTGACGATGATTCAATTGACGGGTGTACTGGTAAAGCTGACGGTAACTGGGATGTCTTTTGGCGTTCGGGCTCTTGTGCCGCTTCGTCTAGTAATTTATGAATATCGATTCCGTAGTAGCTTTTCTGCGCCCTCCCCGGGGCCGTCGTCGAGCGACCCGCAATGAGTCTTTCGTAAGTTACCGGCGCTTTAGGCTTCTTCATCGCAACGTTGAGAGATTTGCCGGAGCAAGTCTTTATCTGCACTCGCCCAGGCACTTGTCGTGATGTAACAACTTCGGCGGTTCTGGGCATAGGTGTCTCATTTACCGGATCGACTGTCGGTGTTTCTATGGTGTTGGTATCGGTCTGTGGTCTTTCAATCGGCTTGGGAAGTTGAATGGCTTGTTCGTTGGTCTCTTCAATCGCGAACTGGCTCGCGAAATGCGCATCTCCGAACGCATCCATAGCATCTTCGTCGTCTTCATCCTCGTCGATAAATCCTCCCATAATCTTTTGCCTCTTTGGCTCTGCCGCCGCCGACTGTTCATCGTTCTTCCTCTTCTGCGAATCCGGCGAAGGGGCACTGGAAGGGAAGGCGGCGGGGGACGAGATGAACGGCATTTTTGCAATGGGTGGCGAAGAGGGGATTGTCGGCAAAGGCGATCCGGCGCTCTGTATCAGGGCTCTTCGGCTCGATTTCGTCGGTGTATCTACCCATCATCAACCGTCAATTCACATCTCATAGTCCACATCAAGTACACATACAAGGTCTGATATCCTCGTCACTCCGAAAACAATCCGACAAGTTCCACGCACGATGCTGAATCACAACCCTATTGCGCGTCTTCTCCAAACGCTGAAAATGCAGGGCTTCAAAGTCGTCAGAGAAGGATTCTGACGGCGGCTCGATATCGTCTGGCGGGCCCTCCGAGTGCAGGTGTATAGCGGGATCAAAGGAAGGGGGAACTGAAGCAGGAGATGTCGTCATAAAAGGCGTTCAGATGGTCATGTCTCTAGATGGATGAATGGGGTCGGATTCATTGCAATGATGGTATTATCAAGTGGAGTCAGTCAGTTGAATGATCCTCATCTTGGGTTATCTGCTCGCCCGATTTGGCGATGCGACGCGTTCGACGCGTGGGGAAGGTACGCGCTAGTCCGGAATGGGATATATGCAGGCCTTATGGATAAGGCATTATATTCTGCACTGAAGTGGGAGGCTATTCCTATTTGGGAAGTATCCCACGGAACGGTTCCGCAGGCAAAGAATGGATCTATACAGGACCTGACGCTTATAGGCTAGGTGTAAGTCTCTATCAGGTTATTCTAGGCAGTTTTCGTTGAGGAACAGGTCTGATGGTTATCCTGTTAAAGTTCTTGAAGAAAAATTTCAACATTTGTCCCAATTACACCTTAGCACTTACTGCTACTTCAGAAAGTATCCGTGATACAGAGACACAAAACTTATTTAACGGCTTAACTGAACTATTGTTGAGATCCGGCATGCCCCTCGCTTTCATAGGCGAAGACTCGCCCCTAGATCTCGTTTCTTGGAAACGTAGGCGGTGATATTATGATTCAGCTCCCTTGGTCAGTCAAGAAGGCTTTATGCTCAAGTGGACTAATGCGGGATCTAGAGGAGCTTGGACAGGTTATCTTATCTGATGTCGAACAAGACTATAATGTACATACTGTAGCAAGCCTTCAGAGATCAAACCGAGGTTCTCAGGAATACTTCTAAGTGGGTTTCCCTTGGCTGGAAGGGGACGGGGAACAACGTTGATAATTATTGTTGTGAAAAGCTAATCTGTAGAGCCTTCACACCAGCTAGTTTTCTAAAGCCAGAATACAATCATTACGACGATCAGAAAGGAATAAGGTATGACTCCGAAGCAGTTTTCCTCAGTTGGCAAGGTGTGGTATACTGTATAATTCATCTAAACCTAAAAGCTCGCAAGGAGATAAGCAAACATCATGATACAAGAAACATAGACAAAATAAAAGCACTACTGGCTCTTCAGCTTCTCAGTCAGCTCAGGCACCTTATCGAAAAGGTCACCGACGAGACCAACATCAGCAACCTGGAAGATAGGAGCATCGGGGTCCTTGTTAATAGCCGCAATGACCTTGCTGTCCTTCATACCAGCCAGATGCTGAATGGCACCCGAGATACCAGCGCAGAGATATAGTTGAGGGGCAACGTTCTTTCCGGTCTGGCCGACCTGGAGACTGTTATCGGCGAATCCGCTGTCGACGGCCGCCCGGGAGGCACCAATGGCGGCACCCAGCGAGTCAGCCAAAGGCACGATCACCCGGTCGAACTCCTCCTTCGACTTCAGTCCACGACCACCGGACACGACCCGGGAGGCAGTAGCCAGGTCAGGGCGCTCGGACTTCGCAAGCTCCTCGGACACCCACTCGGTCTGGGCGGGGGCCTTGGGGTCAGCACCCTCGACGATCCCGGCGGAGCCGCCCTCCGTCTCGACACCCTGGAATGCGGTGCCTCGCACGGTGATAACCTTGGTGGGGTCGGTCGACTGGACGGTCAGGATAGCGTTTCCGGCGTAGATGGGACGGACGAAAGCTGGCCTGTGTTAGCAATTGCGGTGACTCATCTTCCACGAGATCGGGTTGGGCTCGGTCGTCCCGCATAGTACGTACTGTCCTCGCTCTCGATGCCGGTGATATCGGAGATCTGCTGCACGTCGAGCAGAGCAGCCACGCGGGGAAGAAGACTCTTTCCAAAAGCGGAGTGGCCGCCGATGATGTGGGTGTATTCGCCTTTCTTAATATTCTCCACGAGGAGGGGAGCGTAGTTCTCAGGAAGACCCTGCAGTGCAAGAAGTCTGGTCAGCACAATAATCCCTGGGATAAAATCCATTTCGACAGCCTCATCCGTACCTTCTCGTAGGCCTCGTTATCCACAGCCAGGACCTTGTCCAAGCCCTTAATCTTGGCCGCCTCGGCAGCAGAGGTTCCCTTAACGTTGTTTCCAGCCACGAATGCGGTAACGGGGCCACCAAGCTTCTGAGCGGCCGCGATTGCCGACAGTGACGAGGCTTGAAGCTTGCCGTCTCGCTGTTCGAGCACGGCCAGGGTTGAGAGGAGGCGGGCGAGCGCAGAGGCTGCGGGCTGGTTGAACGCCCGCGGGCGGAGGTTCGAGCGGACTGCCTGCAGAGCAGAGTGTCTAGCGATTGGGATCATGATGATTATGTCTGGAGGGAGGAAAGAGAAGTGAATGAGAACCTGCTCAACGGACTATCGGACAGCCAACAAGGAGTGGAAAGGGTATACTGCCTCGTCCTGAGGGTTGCCGCGGGCGGGAGGTGGCTATCGTCGGCACGCCAAGTACCCGCCGATCCTCGGAGTCTTCGGTTAATCCACATGCGGTGCTCACGTTACTTCTTTGCTTGACCCCGACTATTTTATGATATTGACCTTCTACGCATCTCAATTTCACGGATTAAACAGGTCTCATTTGACGAAAACCAGTGGACTACACGTAAAATGACTACAAAGTCATCCAAAACTATAGCAACGAAAACTTTTTTTTCCTTGAAAGGGTATTGTGTCTAAAGTACAAAATCGACACACGTGACATCTGGTACGCCGCTGTATATAAGAACCCAGAAATAGTTGCAATCCATAAATACAATCCATTAAACACCGTAAGGAATCTTTGATTATGAAGTCGACTTTCTCTTCTTCTTTCCGGCTCCGGCTGCGGGCTCCTTGCCATCCTCGAGAGCCTTGGCCTTCTGCTTCTGAAGCTTCGCCTTCCTGGCGGCCGCATCGTCGTCGTCATCCTCGGTAGTCTTGGACTTCTTGTTCTTCTTGGGGGCTTCAATCAGCTTCTCGTCCTCCCCACTCTGCTTGCGCTTCTTGTTCTTCCCTTCGATGGCCTTGGCCTCGTCCTCGGGTGCCTGCTCAACCACATCGGCTTCGTCAACCCACAGCTCGCTAGCCAGCCAGATCGGCATGGCCATCGTGTTCGCGCCCTTCACATGAAGAGCCTTGATATTCCTCCAACCCTTGGTGATGAACTTTTCGGTCAATCCCTTGACAACGGCCTCGACGTTCTCGGCCAGCTGCTGGGAAGTGAACTTGGAGTTACCCACACGGATGGCGGCGGTGGTAGCGGGGGCAAGGTGCACAGCAGCACAGCTGAGGGCCCTCTCGATCTCCTTGGCGACGATGGCGGGAGAGGCAAAAGCGCTGTCCTCATCCTTCGACTTCTGCTTGGGATCCTTCTTCACCTTCTTGCCGTCCACCTTCTCGATCTCGGCAATGCGAATGGGAATGGGTCGCTTGCTGGACTTGTAGAAGATTTTACCCAGGGTCTTGACCAGGCGCATGATGATACGGTCATCCGCCAAGAAGACATCGTGCTCCGACAGCAATTGTCGCCGGCTCTCAAAGCTCTGGTATTTGGCCTTCAGTTTCGAGAAGCCGATGACCTTGTCGATGCGGGAGGAGAGGTGTTCAGGGAAGGACGAGTCGGCGACGATGTTCTTGACCGCGCGCTGCGGGTCGGCGGTGATGAGGCAGACACTGAGGGAGGACGAGGCGTTGAGGGAGTGAGGGATGCTGATCTTGCCGGGCTTCAGGCGGTTCTTGTCAACAACGTGCTTCTTCGTGGTGAGCACGAGCCAAATGGCTTCGTTGTGCATGGGGCTGTCTTCTTCGTCCGAGTCGCCATCGTTGTCGCCGATAAGAGTCTTCTTGGTCGCCGACTTTTCCTTCTCCTCTTGCGTAGACTTGATGTGTTTCAGCAGCGCAGAAGAAGCGCGGGTGACCTGTAGAATTCATGATTAGCATTTGATGCCTGCCGACTTTTTTTTTTTCTTTTTTTTGTCCCGGTAGAAAACAGTCTGTTCTTGATCGCATACCTGGGTGTTGTCAAGCTGGTAAGGAGACCCCGAGGTCACCTTGGTCGTGACCGCTGTAGAAGACGGCATTTTTGCTAGAATGTCTGATTGCTGCAGATTTCGACGGTCTCGATTCTGTGATAATCGAAATGGAAATCAAAAAAATCGACAGGAAGGCGGTGGGCAATTTTTGTCCGATCTTGGCGGTCCGAGTGGGTCGCTGAGTCATCCGGTCTTTCTTCTGCGTTTTGTATGGACTGGTTCTTCAGTTCTACATGCCGCGGCATAATATGCGATACTCCCAATTCTACATCCTATAACGTTCGTTTGCATACCTCCATTGCTCTGTATGACTATATTGCATATCTACACCAGGAGAGTTGTACCGACGAATAACCTATACTCCAAAATAGCCGTGTATAGGATATCGAAGGCTCAAAGATGGTCGCTCACGCCCACCAGCTTCAGCGAGTCTCTCCACAGGCGCTCCTCGTCCTTGGGATCGTACGTCTGGCATACATATCCAAACCCAAATGCCTGACCGTCATCCTTTCCTCGTTCTGCCTCCTGGCAATCCTCCAGATATTTCCCTCCCTTGCTCTCCCACTCTTTTCCAACCGCGGCCAGAACCGTCGTCGCTGCTCCCTGCTCTGGAGACTTCAGGATCTTAAGAACCACCGGATTGCTCATGATCGCTGCCACGAATCCAGGACCTATGTCTCGGGAGATGTCCGTGTTAATGGCCCCAGGGTGGATACTGGTGGCATGGATGCCTTTAGAACCGTAGCGACGATCGATCTCGTTGGTCATGTAGACGGCGGCCAACTTGGAGTTGGCATATGCCAGTTCATGGCTGTAGTCGCTTTTTTGGAAATCGTAATCGTCACTGTTCATAAGAGTGCAGAAGCGGTGCGCGGACGACGACACATTAACCACTCGAGAGTTCAAGTCGAGCGAGGCGCTGGCCAGCAAGGCCGGCTTCAGCAGCTGGAACAGGAGGAAAGAACCCAGGTAGTTGGTCGCGAAGTGCGTCTCATGGCCATCCTCAGTCAGCTGGCGTTCCTGGATGCCCATCACCCCGGCGTTGTTGATGAGGATGTTGACCTGATTCTGTGAAGCAGACAGGATCTCCGACGCCGCCATCCGGATGCTCGCAAACGAGTTGATGTCCATCTCAATGAGAGAGACACGGCCTGATTCCAGGATAGTCGAGAGAGTCTTCCGGGCCTTTCCTAGATCGCGAGCCGGTAAGAACAGAGTCGCTCCGGTGGCAGACAAAGCGCGGGCAGTCTCGAGACCGATGCCCGACGTCGCACCGGTGACGACAATGGCCTTGCCAACTAGCTTGTCTTCCAAGTTCTCATCCCGGATGATCTGGAGTGCGGTTGGTCGTGCATCCCCAACGCCTTGGGGATCAACATGCGCTTCGGCATAGGGACTCGGTGGCACTGTCATTGCGATAGAAGGTCAAATCCCAGCGAGAGCTAGTGATGATACTGCCAGGGCAAGGTGGTGCCATGACCACTTCTTAATATTCTTTTCCTATCAGCATACCGTGCGATGCTGCAATAATGAACAATAGGCGGCCTCGACAGCGGCCGCAATATAGTATGTCAGCGTCAGTTCTGCGGCCGCCATGTAAGCCGCCGCCCCGCGCCTTTCATCGTTGGTCCATCGTCCATCATTATGCCAGTCTCCAGTATTGATTCAAGCGATCAGGCACCTCATGTTTGTAGATCGTGTAAGATTCGGAAGCGGAAATGCAATAAGGCCCTTCCGACTTGTTCATTATGCGCAAAGTAAGTGGATTCGATTCGACATCCCACAGTCGCAGCATAACACTCAACTTCGTGGAAATCCAATTCAGGAAGAACATCGTATGCGAGTACGTCCGGCTAGGTTTTGGTAGCAGTTCTGTATCGGCTGCTGCATCTGATCCGGAGTGGTTCAGCTCTCCGGGGCAGCATAATCGGCCAGATACCCAATCCATCGACTTTCCAACATTAGTATTTCTGGACCCCGGCCATCTGCGACATGGGCAGGTAGAGATCGAGCGAACTGCACCGCCGGTGCCAACGCATATTCTGCGTCTCTTGGGCGATATGGACGAGATTCGTGACATCGCCGCCAGGTTCTTCGAGCACATCCACCGGTGGATGCCCTTCATTTCCAAGAAACAATTCTACAAGCTTCATCTGCAGCCCACCTTCTCGTCACAGGCCAATGTCGCTCTGTTGCTGCTATCGCTCAAGCTCATCACTACGATTCTGCCCATTGGGTCGCGCAGTCCCCGGAGTGCCTTATACTACACCGTGAAACACTTTCATCTCGAGGTCGAAGGCTCCAGCGACTTATCGATGCAAGTGCTGCAGGCCGGGGTTCTTATATCATTGTATGAACTCGGTCATGGGAATCTATTCGGCCGCCTACTTGACTATCGGGGCATGTGCTCGTTATGCATACGCCCTCGGAATCAGCGTCAGCCGGACGGTGTACACTAAAAAGGTCCTCACGTTGGTGGAGGCGGAGGAGCGAAGGAGAGTGTGGTGGGCGATAGTCATTTTGGACCGGTCTGTTCTGCTCTGACCTAATTCGATCTCCCCTTTGAAAATCATACTGAACTGTGATCTAGTTTCGTGAGTATAGGCTGCCCCGGCAGGCCCTTCGCGACGGCGGATCGCAATTAGATGATCTTTTACCGGCAGATTACAACGCATGGGACCAAGGTGTAGCTTCTCGATTGAGTAAATGGCTCGAGTGCTAACTGTTCCCCGTAGGTTGTCCAATCCGGTGATCTCTTTACTCTATCATCCCCATTGGCAGGACACATGAGTAAGTTTGCATTGCTCGGTCAAGTCCTCCACCACGTGTCAAGCGCGACGACGACAGACGACGGTGCCTGGATGCAATTAGATCGGACCTTGCAGCTAATGCTAGCTGCGGCACTTGATCTAGGCAGCCCAGACCATGATCAGATTGCTTTTGTGTATAGGTGCGTGCATTGGGCCCATAATTATTGTAAGCCTTATTGAGTGAAATCCAGCGCTTTCGTTGCTTTGCATACGATGTGGCTGCCACCTGATGGAGCCACCACACCAAGCACGGATCGTGCTCAACGTGTAAGAGTCGTCATTGAACAAGTGCCAATCTCGTGGAGCGCCAATGCTTCGCGGGCCGCGATCCGGAGGGCATGTCACCGTGGGGTCTCTTTTTCGCATATCGGGTTTGTGTCGCCCATACACGATCGGCGCAAGATACTGCGAGGTCATCGGAAGTGATGAATAGCATTAAGGAAGCATTCCTGGTAATTAATGCCCGGTGGAATGTCGCAGGTAGATGTCTGGTATCAGCCATCAGCCCGCTCGGTTTGCTAACATTGTGTAGGTGTTTAACTGCAACTTCTCGAGGCACATGAGGTTGATACTCGCTTTTGAGTAAATTGAGGATGTTAGTCTGGAGTCGGACATATCCTATTCTAGTTTCATCGTCCTGTGTTCGCTTAGTTGTGTTGTAATTCTTGTGGAATAAACAACTATAATCCGCTCTATATATTTCTGGTGCCTCGGAAGTAAATGAAAGCTAAACAAATCCGAAACGATCATGGGTGCTCTTTCTATTCAAAGACAGAAGATCAATCCAGACCCTTAAACTATAAAATTTACCTATGCTTCAGTTACTTCATTCAGAAACATCAGCTTTGCCTCGAAATAAGTCGACAACCAGTCCCTGGTGAAATCAAGCCATCAACTCCAGTAGCAGTATTACTCCGTAGTAGCGCCCGAGAGGCGGCCGCCGAATCTGACTGAAACTCCGTGCTCCGTTTCTTCGACTGATTTCGACCATCCACAAAGACCTACATCCCTACAAGACAAATGCATCAATCCGACTAACTAAATTTCCTCGACAAACAACCCCAAGATCAGGCAGCCTCAGGGCAGGACCAACACATGCCAGGAACCCGACAACAACACCGCCCTGCGACATTCTACAAGGTATCTAATCGTCGACATCACAAAATAAAATGCCTAATTTCCGATCCTCGTAACTCAGCAGGGGTGACTGACCTGCCGACACGAGGCGGAGTGATTCATGGCCCTGTCCCGCTGTGCAGATACGAACGCAGGTGCCTAGCTGGACAGCTAGATCGAGTGGAAGTTTGGGAACACGAAGTATCGTCTTTCTGCTGACTGGTGCAACGTTCGGTTCCTGTTCCTGAAAGACACGTCAATCGGGAGATTAAATCTCGCTTGTACCTGATGTACCTGGTCGAATGGCAGGGCGCAGTTGGCACAACCACACGATAAAAATGGAATGAAAGGAAAACAACCCCGGCGTGTGCGATGCGATGCAAAATACCCGAGGAAATTATCTCCATCTCCAGCCTGGCTGTGCTCCATCATCCATGACTATGGCGTACGGGCGGAGTTTGGCCATGGAGTTCTTTGTCTTTCTCCATAGTACCCACCACAGGCTACCACCAAACACCAGCACCACGAATCCAACCCCCCTCCCCCCAATCAAGCGCTGACCATGCGATATAATTTCCATAATATCAGCTGACTGGCTAATTAACGAGCCTCGAGACCATTGATCAATAGCGTGAAGAAGAAAACGTCTAACGTAGAAAGAACTCCGGAGAAAGTTCCCCCTGAACTAACGAACTAACGGGAAAGAAAACACGCTCGGCTTGCCCCACGGGTTACTGTAACTACGGAGTACTAGAGCCTAGAGAAGTTGGAGTACACTACGTACTCCATCAGCTAAGAGAGAAGATAACACGCAAGTCCAGCGCCGTTGGTGAATTGATGAGCCGATGAGTTTGCGCCGTGGATTCCGAGATTCGCATTAAGGTTGCCCTCCTGGATCAAGATCTTCTGGGTGGATGTTAGTCGAACTTGATCCCGGCATGATAAGATCATAGCCACGTAATTCGCTCTTACAACCCTGAAGAGAGTTCAATTACGGCATACAGTGTATTCTACCGAGTAGTTAGCGCCTACTCCCTTGCCAATAGTTGCGAACTTGAGTTTACAACATGTCTCGTTTTCATCAGAGCACAAGATCAAATCCAATTTCCCGTACCGCGGTCGCATACCTTACCTATCAGTATTACCTACCCAGTAATCCAATTCTACGGAACACTCGGATTTCAAACCTGTTGACAACCCGCGGAACCGTCGTGCACGTTTTTCTTGGGTTTCGGCTGCTCTACCCAGCGCGAGGAGGCGGGTTCTCAGACGTGGTTGAACCGGAACGACTGGTCGGGACAAGCTGTTGATGAATTATTCATCTGATATAGCTCGTTTGATCTTCCGGTTTGTCATCTTGGTCAAGCTAGTTAATTGCGTGTTTTCAGCCCTGTGAATGGGATTATGATGTTATCCCTGTCTGCTGCGTTGAATGCGCACAGTATACCCATGGTGTGCTCTGTATTCACAATGTTAGCGATTATTCATGGATTGAACGTATTGAGACTCAGTTCTTTCCGATAATATGTTGTATAGAGGGAACTAGCAGGTCGAACACCGCTGGGGAGTAAACCTCGTATAGATCAAGGATTCCGATCGTATAACCGTACCCCAGCCTTTCTCGTCTTCTTCGCCCCTAATTATGACAGACATGAACCCTGTTACTCGAGATCCTCATCAGCAGTGACACACGGTGTACAGCGACAGGAAAACAGATACCCGCATCGAAGAGCCAAACCACGCGGCCCCTATCTCGCTTCGCGATCATCTCCATCGCAGAAAGTTAGAAAGTCAGAGAAGAGAGCCAAGAAAAAACCTCCACGAGAAGCGAAGCTCAGAACAAGCAACTGACTGGATTTAGGCCCCTGGACCCCAAGAACTATTTGATAAAAAGACAAGAAAGAAAGAATAATTAGAACTCAGAACATGGCCCCCAGTGAGATAGATGGTTGGGAGGATTCTACACTATGGTGCTTGTCTGGGCTAAGAAAAACTAGTCAAGTCAGACCGCGCAACCGATGATGGATCTCACGGGCCACAACTGTCAGGTTGTTTCACGTCGCTTTCTGAGTTCTGTGCTCTTTACAATGTACAGTTTACACATTACAGCCCTACGTTCAACACTGGGAGTGAATTGGATCTTGCTGAGGACGGGTTAAAGCGGCTCCTACAGAGGGAAGCCCTAATCACCCAACTCAACTAGATCGTCAGTGATCCGACGACCAGACAACCAACGCAGATCCGCCACGGTGCAGGCCAATGTTCTCATGGGAGATTGCGATGGTCTTGGATTTACTGACCGCAACAAGAAATTCAGAGGCGAGTTGGTCTGACCTCGGGATTCTGAGTAGTAGTCCTGCAAATCCGGGATTCGGGTTTAATTGTGATGTTCAGAAACATCAGCAAGGAGGTATAGGCACTTGGGCAACGATGCGCGATGCACAACGCGTGCTCGTTAACCCTATCTGCCAACCCGCCGAGTATATACAAGGTTTATGATTTATATACTCCGTACTCTATAATAACTACTCCGTATGTTTGGTAAAGTTCCCCAGACCCACTGATTGGGAGATGTTGGCCAAATGCTGACTCAAAAGCATGCATAGATGCTAGATCTGACCTGAGTCCTCAAAAGCGCCAAATTCTGGAAGAATAAGCTCGTAATTCATCTTGAAAATAGCCCCTTGGGGCCTCTTTTGGAATTGAGATATAACACAAGCGTGTCGAAACTCATTACCATTGGCTAGAAGGGTCTCGACCAAGATCGCGAAGCTGCTGCCCTGAAAAACTCCTCATCAGTAAGGTCGCAAGTGGACTCCACACTTGTGCATACAACAGCATTTGCATTTTGCGGTCTGCCCCGTGCAAGAGGTTGGATCATTAGTGCATGGAGTCATGTACTAGGGAGAGCATTTGGCCCCCTTTTAGAGAAAGCGCGTGCAGGCTAGCATACATCTAGCTCCTTCTTGCTCTTAGAGCTATCCGGAACCAGCCCATTACGGGGCGGGCGTCTTTAGTCGACTATTGCTACGGAGTATTCCGTCTGCACTAGAGAGAATATAGACAGACTGATAAGTGACAACTGGAAAAAAAGGGAAGGAGAAAGAGAGAAAAACAGGGAGCCAGCAGAGCATGGAGGGGACTCTGTAACACGCTAGAGGAGATGTCGAAAAGGAAGCTGCAAGGTTGTTACAGGGCGGAGAACAATTGCCTTTTGTGTACTCCGTACGGAGCAGTTGGCTATTGATTAATGATAATTCTTTGTTAGTGGATCAGGGTCGTTGTGCTCGCTGTCAACGTTTCAACATCTATCAAAAGGTCGATAGCCTCGACTTTTTCTGCAGCGCTAAGACGATGAATTGTCGTCATAGAATCGACAGGTCTCGACGAGGGGTTGACAACGCAGCATTCACATCGAATTAAATGCAAAGTGACTGGATTGTAAGCCAGCATCGAATCAAATCCAACCACACAATCCGGGATAGCATGGATCATTGGATGTCAGGTCCGGGCAACTTGGTTGGGTATGACGGGTCGTCACTCGTCACAAGCAAGAGAGCGAAAAACAGAAAGAAAGCTCCGCGGGGATGAATTGTTTAGTCGGACGCCAATAATTCGAGCACTGAGCAAGCTGCCAAACTTGAGCCAGAATACCCCTATTTCGCGGGAAGTATCTGGATCATGCGCAGATCCAAAAAGTGGACTTTTCTTAGGAGGATTGTAATAGCGCGCGCATATGGATGACTATTTATACAACGGCTCAAGAACCACGGGAGGCGCTGCCTAGTTGGTACCTGCCGCTGAGGATCGAAGGAGCAGACGTCTTCCTAGTGAAGCATGTCATGTATCAACCCCTTTAGAACAGGGAGGTAGACACGCTGCCTGGTAATGTTACCGACTTCCAAGTGTTAGGCAGGTAGTACCACCTTTCGGAGGGGGAGGGCTTAGAAAAATAAGAGCGAAAAAATAATACGACCTAATGCAGCCATACATAACGATCGGACATGAGACATTCCTTGGGAGTGAACCTTGTGGCGATGGTTCGGTTGACCGGGAGGCCATGATTGGTGTACCTGGCCAGGAGGGGAAAGTCTGGGCTCCACAGCCCGGTGCCAAGACATCCATGCTGATTGGCCAGACCCGGCCCAGGGCAATTTCGGTAAACGCCAAGCTCACCATTCAGGAACAGGAAACCTCCAAACATGGAAAGGGCGGGTGGCCGAGGGGGAAAAAGTAAGTTAAGTAAGTTAAGTAACGGTGGCTCCTGCCTGCCCAGCGCTCTCGAACGGTGGACAAGACCTCAAGAGTGTTCATACTTCATATTAAATTTTCTCAAGGTAACTTCGTACAATTAATTCTCCAACCCAAAGACAACCAGCGCCCAGACTAGCTGGACTTAGCCTCTTAGGTATCAACTAGGTATCGTGGACACGACGTGTCCCCCCTCCCCACCCCACTCGGGGCTGCAATTCGACTTTCTACTGTGGAAGAATCTCTCAGGCGGTTGTTCCCTCCCCCCCGTCCAGGTCTTCCTTGGGGCCTTGGCCCTGTTCCCACCTTACCCCCCTTGGACTGGACTCAAAAATCCACTCGGGCTGGGCTGCGTCTGGCGGCCAGTCAGACGGTACTGGTCGATACGTGTATGGTAAAATTGGTCGACTTCGCCGGAAAAATCAAAATAATCAAACAAATAAAATCATGTCTTTGAGTGGAACCCCCTGAGTTTATTATTATAATTATAATAATAATAATTATTATTATTCTTTTTGCTTTGAACGACGGTTAGCCTCTCTCCGCCCATCGCTCTCCAGCGCCACACATACTTTCTTGTCTCTCTTTGGTTGGTCTCTACCCCCTGGAAGGGTCTGCACTGCACATCTCGTCCCTCTTGTACCCCTGGATGACTTGACCGACAGAGTCTAATTCCCTCTTCTTCATCTCCCTCTTCTGCTCGCGTCCCTCCACATTTTCTCATCCCCAGAGCGTTTCATCCTTTTTATCTCTCTCACCCTACTGTTCTTCTCGCGAGACTTCCTGTCCGACCAGAGGGGACTTTGCTTCTCTCTCGCACGCTCTTTTCGGGAACCTCTTCTTATCTTCTCGTTCCTTGCCACTTTCTTTAAATTCTAGGCATTCTTTTGCGCCTCCGCCAGACATTGTCCAGTGGTCACTGCATTTCTGCGAATTCCGTTCTTGTACAGAAATACTTTGACAAGCGTGCGACTGGCTTGCCGTACCGTTCATGTATGTTGACTGATCCTCTCCCCCACCGCTGCGACCATCTCGTCGCCGTCTGTTCCAATGGCGCTCATGGCGTGGTCGAGGGCTCCCCTCGGAGGTCTCGAGTTCGCTACCATGCTTGTCGCAAGCATGCGAGTCGACATTATTAGGCATACCTAGACGGGCGCCTGATATACGTCGCCGAACAACTCGGGCATGTGGACGGAGGCTGCGTGTGTTGACAAGTACGCCTGGGACAAAGACGCTGACCAACAATTTTTCCAATCGTATACAGATTTGAATCCTAGGAAAGCTCGACAGGGAATAAACAAGATGAAGTACTCGATTGCCTTTACTCTGGCCGCGGCGGGCTCCTTCGTGGCTGCTCAGCACCACCACCAGCACCGTCACCACCACAAGCGTGATGCCGACACCGTCATCAAGTACGTTCTCGACGGCAACTCCATCTCGGCCAGCGACGTCTGCCAGGGCATCAAGGACGGCTCTCTCGAATACAAGCCCGGCGAGCCTACGCCTGTCGTGGACCCTTGCCAGGAGAGCACTGCTGCTTCTTCTACGTCGGCTCCTTCTGCTACGCTTTCCGTCGACGCCGCCGCCGAGTTTGCTGAGACCTCTGCCTCCGTCGCCCCCGCGACCACCAGCGCGGCTGCCAGCTCTACACCTTCCAGCAGCTCTTCCAGCTCCAGCGGCTCCAGCGGCTCCTCGAGCGGCACTGGCATGGGCCGCGATTTCCCCGACGGTGAAATCGACTGCGGTACTTTCCCCTCCGAGTATGGAGCTATTGCTCTCGACTACCTGGATCTTGGCGGATGGTCCGGTATCCAGTACGTCACCTTCGCCGACGAAGTCATCAGCGACATCGTCACTGCTGTGACCGGCGACAAGTGCCACAACGGCGCTATGTGCTCGTATGCCTGCCCTCCCGGTTACCAGAAGTCCCAGTGGCCCAGCACCCAGGGTTCCACTGGCCAATCCGTTGGTGGTCTTCAGTGCAAGAACGGCAAGCTCTACCTCACCAACAAGGACCTGTCCAGCAAGCTCTGCATTGAGGGTGTTGGCGGTGTTCACGCCCAGAACAACTTGGGCGAGGAGGTTGCTATCTGCCGTACTGACTACCCTGGTGAGTGAATCGCAATACTGCCTAATCATTTTTCCTTTCCCATGTGAGAATCTGTCTAACGGCGATGTGTTTCAGGTACCGAGGCCGAGACCATTCCCCTCACCCTTGGAAACAACGATCTCCAGCCCCTCACTTGCCCTGACAGCAACTACTTCAAGTGGCAGCAGAAGGTCACCTCCGCTCAGTACTACGTGAACCCCAAGGGTGTGTCGACCAAGAAGGGTTGCCAGTGGGGTGACGGCAGCGAGCCCGTCGGCAACTGGGCCCCCATCAACCTCGGTGTTGGCGAGAACAACGGCAAATGGCTCTCGATCTTCCAGAACTCCCCCACCACCGACGAGAAGCTTGACTTCAACATTAAGATCAAGGGTGATGACCTTGGTGGCTCGTGCAAGTACGAGGATGGTACCTTCACTTCCGACACCGGCTCCAACGACTCTGGCTGCACTGTAAGCACCTTCCTCTATCCCTGCAACGTTAACTCTCCGATCGGTACTAATCCCTTCTTTAGGTCGAGGTCAAGTCCGGCGATGCCACCTTTGTCTTCTACTGAACAACTTCTACGATCCTGTTGTGAGGTCCGTTACTTTGCCTGGCCACAGCCCGCGGGTGCAAACATGACGAGGCAATTACACAATAAACATATTTCCATTTTCATGCCTCTGTCCGCATTGATGCTTTCTTCTGTGTATCTTAGTATGTTGTCCATATGACTTGGAAAGTATATCTTCTTGTCATATGTAATGTCTCTATTCGCTTGGTAGGGACAATTGTGTTTAGATTTACCTTCTCTACTGCGAAGTAACTCCCGTTTCCCACTTTCCACCTTATGTACACACGCGCACTGTCTCTTTGTTGTTTTATGTTCTATATCTCTGGTCTATTAATCGCATGTACTGTTCAATAGATATGATGTAAGTATTAATGATTAGTAGAGCATTTCCAATGGGTTATCTTGTGTGGAGTAAAGCAATACTGAGTAGAAGATCTGAATCGCCCCCACGTGGTGCATCGCCAGAGTACAAGATCTACGGAGTACTGTGCTGGGTCACGGACCGGTACAGATATATAAATATGCGTCCATGGCTAGACCTCACCGACCGCCTAAACAAAAACTTGCATCCCTCGCTGCAAGCCCTTGGAAATTCTCACCCTGACAAAGGGTTGGAAATTGTCCCGGTCAATAGAAGGGTAAAGAAGGTGCTGGACTGCTGGTAGACAAGACACTGGATCTCAAGCATATAGGCCAGACAGACCATTGGGTTACATCATGCATAGATTGATGTAATGCGTTTGGATTTGTGGAATGTGAAGTGGAGATCGGCCGGTCGGTGAGATCAGAGAGAGTTGCTTTCAAGTTTCGGTTGAAAGGGAATTCCGAAATACTCGATACATACTTAGTGGCGACGGGAGTCGGCGACACCAAAAAAAAAGGCTGGGGGGGGGGGCTGTATGTATGTATGTAAAAAGTCGCGTCGAAGCACGTACCGCTGCGACGCTGCGAGTTTAGTTTCCACTACGGAGTACCACCTACCTTGGACCTAGGTTGGTAGTACTCCGTACGCCGTGCCTAGTAGACCCTGCTAAGGTAAAAGGAGTCAGCCGCCGCGTTTGTTTGCTTGAAATACTGCGTAATAACTAGGAGCGAATAAGCAGTATTCGTAATGAGGGGGTCAGTGAGAGGAAAATTCGGTGGTTGCAGTAGCGCTCTCTACTTGTTGGGTTTTTTGAATCTAGGGTTGGCGACGAGACATGTTCCATGTCCGATCACATTTTTCGGCGGGGAACGCGGCCTGATCGGCCCCTATGATATCTGGGTAAGTTATAATGAGAGGGATCAATGACAGTTTTTCAATATGAGAAAATCTGAATGTGGCCCTCAATAGGAACAATCCACAGTTTACACAATAGTGAATACCTTGCTATACAAGAAGTACAAATGGAAAATGCATTCCTTGTTACGCAATAGGCTCCTGTCACGATTACCGTGCAGGGTATGGTCCAATCAGCGACGAGAAACCTCGGGATCGTGCACATGGCTGTTCCCCTTCGGGACTAGCGCCCCTGCCATCGCCGAGAGACGCTGCACGTGACCAGGCGCGAGTCCCGTGACTCGAACCAAAGAACGCGGGCCAGGTGATGAGCAGACGCGGGGAGACGCGCCGTGAGAGTGCCTGCCTGGGTGCCTGACACGCTCATCAAGGGCTGTCGCAGGAGTTGTAGAATTGCTGGGGATTCTTTTCTGGTCTTTTAGTCACCTCAAATTCTTTGCAACCGGAATTTCTTGCACATTCGACCAATATGCAGTGCAATGCATAGTTTGCGAAGGTCAGGCCGTGAGGCTGCGCGAGGTTAGTGGTGGACCTCGTCGGCGCCTATCGAACGCGTCTCGGGTTGTAAGCGTGCATTTCCGCGCTGGAAGGACGAGACGCTCCGTTCCGGCAGGCAAAGCATTCCACCACACACCATTTCTCACCCTTTTCGTTTTTATGCTTCTCGCTCTTTTTCTCCCCTGGCAATTCCAGTTCAGTCACTCGCCCCAACCTCCCTGGCTTCTTGCCCTGGAGGAAAAAGTGTCAACGTTCGTTCTTTTTTCTTCTTCCTTCGTCTCGTCCTAAATTTACGCTTTATTCACCTTGTTTCCTTTCCTTGTCCCCTGGTCCCCTCGCGTGACTCTCGACCCTCTCCTCTCCCATAGAAATAGACCCCCTATTCGACCTCGACGCGGCTCTCAATTGAAAACTTCTGTCCCCTCGAGGCCTCTGCTTAACGCCCAGAGCAGCGTGTCCGGTGCTTGGAGCAACCGTTCCATAGCATCATGGAGTCTTCTCCCCCGAGGAGTAGCTCTGCTGCTCCCGTGGCAGGCATGAAGCGTCCGGCGTCCCTGTTGCCCGCTTTCGAGCCATTGAGCTCTTCCCCGTCTCTCCCTCGGCCCCAGAAGCGTGTAGCACGCGATGACCATGGGGCTGTCTCGACCTATCCGACTCCCGTCCCGACGTCCTCGACTCACATCATGTCGTCCTCCCCGCCTCGAATGGCCCTGCCTCGACCCGCATCGCGTCGTAACCTCACCTCGAGCAGCTCCGAGCGTACCCCTCTATCTGCCGTCCCGACTCTGATGCTCTCAGACTCCGGCGAGCCCCTTCTCATGGGCAGATCGAGCGTCTCCTGCCATCACCAGCTCGCCGCTAACCGTATGATTTCGAGGATACATGTCAAGGCCACCTATAAACCGGCACCGAACCCCTTCGACCGAGATAGGGTAGAGATCATGTGCATGGGATGGAACGGGATTAAGTTGCACTGCCAAGGGAAAACATATGATTTGGCGAAGGGAAAGACTTTCACGTCCGATATCAAGGATGCCGATATCATGATTGACGTTCACGACGCACGCGTTTTGGTGCAATGGCCGCGTGGCGAGAAAAGGGATTATGCCTCGACCGACTCCGAACATACTTGGGAGGAGACCACCCCCAAACGCAATGGGCAGTCTCGTCGCAGCTTGCAGGATAGCCCTAGTGTGGAGCGTCGACGTTTGGCCTCCCCCGTGTCACCGTCCCCGGCGGTCAAGTCCCTGGTCCCCCCATCTTCTCCACTCTATACCCCGACTCGCTCGCGCAATGCCGTGGTTGTGTATGAAGACGAGGCCTCTCCTGTCCGCGCCACTAGCTCTGCAGATGATCTCACGTCTGAAACCTTCCACGACCCCTCTTCCGCTGTAGACCTTCTGCAGAGCTCCCAGTCCAGTGAACTGAGTGACCTGAGTAAGCACGACGAGTTGTCTGATCACGATGAGGAGAACGACCCCATCATCCACTCGTTTGGACCCTTTGGAGAGAACATCCTGCCCCGTATGGCTTCTTTCACAGCCGACGAGTCACCCGTTCGTCCTCCGCGTCCTGGCAACCAATCTTCTACTCAACCCCTCCAGCCCACCCAGTCACCTCGGCAGCCTTCCAAGGCCGCAAATCACGCCGAAAGTGCACCCAGCAAGCCGGAGCCGCTTGATGAGGGCCTGGAACGCGTCCAGAACCACGCCATCAACCAGCTCGCCTTCTCGCGCCTTTCTTCGACCCCATTCTCAACCATCTTGAGCAACCTTCCTCCCACTCTGTGGAGACAGGACCACCGTTCCGGCAAGGGACCGTCCAAAGAACAAATCCTCTCCGTCATTGATACCACCAAGTGCATTGGCAAGGTTGCTCGGGAGGGGAAAGATGCGGCCGGAAAGCCTCTGGAAAGCGAATACTACTACATTCCGGACTTTGACGAAGATGACATGCGACGGGAAGCCGTTGTGCATGATCTCCGCAAGCCAGGTCTTCGGAACTGTAGAAAGCAGCACAAGGTATGTCGACTGATCTCACAGCTCCTGACCGTTCCATGCAACTGACCATATCCAGCAATACTTCTGGCGCAAGCCCAAATAAATCCAGCGCCTTAAGATGACCTGTTAAAAAGCCAACCTTCTGTTCAGTCTCCTGATAATATTTTCGCCCAACCGTTTTAGTACATATTTGCAATGTTTTTGTTCTTATTTTTCCCTTCATGGACTCGCATAGCGTGGCGTGGGCATACCCTGTCTCTGATTTTTACGTCGTTGAATGAAGGTGTACGATGTATGTTGATTTTTCTCTTTTACCCCCTTTGGTTTCTATCGCTTTCCTTCTCTTCTGCCTCCTGTTTTCAAACGATAGAGGCCCGTTTTGTTTCCGGTCCACGTGCGATGTCTACCTCTGTTGTTTCATTTCTGTCGACCAGATCATGTGCTTAACATGGCCTGACGGTCTTCGCCATCATTGTATCACAGTGATGCGTATGCTTTTGCGGGCATCGTTGTCTTCGGTGACATGCCTGTATGATCTTATTGGAATTCCAGTCCTGTCTGCCAGGCAGCTTGCGGGGAGGTTGTGTCACCTCGCCACCCCTGGCAGAGTTATGATGTGTATGTTACCAAAATATCTTGCAGGGAACAAAAAATGCACTTAGTTCTTTTGTCACTTTTGTTGTTCACTACATTGACTGCTCAACACGTGCTCGGTCTATCATTGATCCGATGTCCTGTACATTTCCTTTTCGAGCACAGCACCGCCTATCACGTGCACCTGTCACTGTGAGGCGTAGTCGAGACTGCTCGATGCCATCGACCGTCCGTCACTTTGACGCATGATCTTCAAATCGTCTGATTTTCACATACCTCTCGTTATACAAGATTAGGATAACCCCGGCACTTATTGGCTACGTGACAGGGAATCATGATCGGACTGAGACGTCAACGTACGTCCGGATTCGCCACAGACCATAACGCGATGACTTGACTTGTCGCACAGGACGGACTACATATGAAGCTTCCCTGCACTCGACTCGACACTGCTGCTAGCTTTCCGAGATCTATCTTTCTCAAGCAAAGCCACCAAAAGCTTCTATCTTGCCATACACTTGAACTCTTTGCAAGTCGTTGGCCTATCTACTTACTATACCTCCTAAGTACTACACACCACAATTCCGAGCGAACAGACCATCGCAAAAAAGGTCCCTCTACCTCTACTGCCCCCGATGGACCGAACAATCAACCGAACCATCCATCCCTTCTCTTATCCAAGATCGACAGAGGAGGATGCCTCGTTCAGCGATCAATCTGGTGAATTTCTCACCATACAAACCGACATCCAGACCACCCTCCTTCCCGGAAATCCAAATAGATTCGGGACAACCAATCCACCGCTCCAGACTCTCAGTAGCGATCCAGAACCCCGGGTCCTGGCGAAGCCGTGGAGACCATCCGATGCCCACGCGCATAGCTGGAGCGAGGAGGATCGGAAACATGAGCTGCAGGCACGGTTGTTGGATGTGGAGAAGGGTGTAAATGCTGGGTTTACGGAGACCGAGTAGGATGTGCTTGCAGGGTTGGGTTAGCATGTTGCGGTGAAATTGATGTAATGTGATCGATGGATGAGGCGACGGGAAGGTAAAAGTCTGATGTTCATTGCATTGTTCCAGTATGCCACCGTGTATCTCCGGATGAGCAGCAGAGAATGTCCACTGAGTAGAATGTTATCGGAGATCTCCTTCATTCAACTGTAGGCACAAGCAGGTGACAAAGGCCGCTAAACCCAAAGGGGCAGTGAATGCATATCCTCAAAAAGGCGTCCGCCTTTCTTTGCCGCAGGACCGCCTTCCGTTTCCCACTTTCGTCGCCCGCAGTCGGTCCAGCACAGCTTTTCCAACATCCCTCTCTCTCATTCATCCCTGCACGCATGCTGTCTTCACTTTCCAGACGTTGCGCGTCATTTTTCTTCACCGTGTTTTACCAATGTGGCGTTTAAGTCACGTATGCGCTTTCCTTTCCGACTCATTGAAAGGACCCCACGACAGCTGAAATAGACTCCGGCGGGATTCCTGAGAACCGACCATAAGAGATGGAGCGCCAACGGAAGCGTACAGATCCCCGCCGACCCAATCCAGTATCTATTTTCTACCCTGTGATCGATTCGCTAACGGATGTGTACAAATTTATAGGGGAGCTTCGCGATCTCAATGAGAGGGCCTGGACTGGCGAAAGTGGTAATGATCTCCCCTCCTACCTTGCCCTTTGCTTCTTGTTTGTCCCACACCTCGACGGAGGTTATTTCTGTGCTTATTTCTAACCCCTGTCCGTCGTTTGCCTGCGTGCTCGAAATAGATATTTTTCCGGTCAGCAAATCTCTCGACTCGGCTCTGAAGAAAAACACCGCCTTCATCAAGCGTCTTCGGACGGGAATTAACGCCTCCGCCCAATCAACCTTCTTGGCCGACATCCGTACCCTGTCGCTCCACAAGTATCTCTCCGAGATCATCGCCGCTTGCTACGAGGGACTCTGCAAACTGAAGACGCCCGGCGAGATCGCCACTGGGGTTGAAATCACCAGTGCCCTGCATCAGCGTTTCGGCCCCGCCGAGTTCACGAGACAGATTGGCTGGCTTCTGGGTCGAGGACTCAGCACACCGGACAAGGGACAGTTGAAAGCCCTCAGCCAGGAGGTTCGCGAGCGCGAGGAGAAAGAGCGGCTTTCTCGGCATCGGGTGCTGTTGCGAGTGGTCACGGAGCTCTGGTTGGTCGGAGTCCTCCGGACTTTGGATGACATCGAGCGGCCGGAGGATTTAGGCACGAAGGGCAAAGATGGCGTCGTCGGGAAGGTGCCTGATGGTCCGTCCAAAGCCAAGGCCCCGTCTGCAGTCCGAGACAACGATAAAGAGGCCGAGCCGTTTCCGCTGGAAGTGTTGAAGGATCTCCTGGGACATGATCGGGACCACACCAACTTGCCACTTGCAGTTTTGTTTGTGAAGAGCTTCAGTTGGGAGGTTTTGGGAGCCAGATCCGTCGAAGAGGGCCGGAAGACCGTCGAGGCGGATGGTGCGGTGACGTCTGGAACTGCTACCGAGGCTTCGAATAGCCAGGAGGAAGCGGAAGACGCGCCGGCCGGCGAGGATGATCCTCCACTTGCCTCCGAGAAGATCCAATCACGCTTCAAGAGTATCTTCAATCGCTACCTGGAGGATGTCAAGGCACACGTGGTACGCGACCAGAGAGCGTTGGCTGCGCAGAGCCGTCGGAATGCAGAGGCCTATGTCAAAAGCGGCGAGATCTTCGAAGATCGCCAGGCCAACTTTGATAAACAGACAAAGACGCTTGAGAAATTGATCACCAACACTCAAACCTTGTGTGAAGTCCTAGGCGCGGAGATGCCGGCCTTGGCGGAGCAGGAATCATCGGACCCTACATCTAATGGTGGCATCGGCCTTGTCAAGACGTCTGAGTATCTGCGAGGCCAAGGTGAGGGAGCTGGTATCTGGGAAGATGAAGAGGAGAGGCGTTTCTACGAGAACCTCGTTGATCTCAAGGGCAAAGTTCCGGCTGTACTACTGGAGGATGGCAAGAAGAAAAAGCCCGAGTCCGAGGAGGCGACCAAGAAGAAGGCAGACGATGAACCTGCTGTGGATTCGGTTGCCGAGAAGCAAGACGCAAACGCCCAACCCCAGTCAGCCGAAGAAAAGGTCGAGGCAGATGATCAATCCACGGCAATCGCCAGCAGGACGGTCGGAGCCCAGGTCGATGGACTTCTGGCCAAACTCCCCGAACTGCAGACCAAGGATCATGTTGACCAACTGGCGCTGGATTTCTGCTTTCTGAACTCGAAAGCGTCGAGGAACCGACTCATCAAGGCTGTTTCGGATGTTCCTAAAGGCCGTATCGATCTCTTGCCTTTGTACTCACGTTTGGTCGCGACCCTTGGACAATATCTTCCTGATATCCCTCAAGGATTGACCACTTATCTCGATGAAGAATTCCGCAGCCTTCAGCGCCGGAAATCAAAGGAATTTCTCGGCCAAGTCCGGATGAGCAATGTTCGCTACCTCGCGGAGTTGACCAAGTTTGGTGTTGTTCCGGAACACATTATCTTCCATTGTTTCAAGGTTTCGCTTGATGACTTCTCCCGCATGAACATTGAAATCATCGGACACCTTTTGGAGAACTGTGGTCGCTATTTGCTTCGCAACCCGGACACTTCTCCAAGAATGGCCTCGTTTTTGGAGACACTCAGTCGAAAGAAAGCGGTTCAGCATCTCGGCCAGCAAGAGCGAATGATCATTGAGAATGCGGTTTACTACGTCGACCCGCCCCCGAGGCCGGCCATCCAACAGAAAGAACGAACTCCCATGGAGTCGTACATCCGGAAGTTGATTTACTTGGACATGAACAAGCGCAACTACACCAAGATCTTGAAATCAATCCGCAAACTTCATTGGGAGGAGCAGGAGGTAAGCATGAATCTTCATTTCAACTAGCTTCCGATCGTTAACAGTTCCTGCTCGTAGGTGGTCGACATTTTGGAGCGTGTCTTCAGCAAACCGGTGAAGGTCAAATACGGAAATATTCACCTTCTAGCGATCTTGATCAGTGCTCTTTACAGATACCATCAGGACTTTGTGATTGGCATCGTGGACAATGTTCTCGAACAGATCACGCTTGGACTTGAGCAGAATGAGTTCAAGTTCAACCAAAAGCGTGTCGCTGAAGTCAAGTATCTGGGGGAATTGTACAACTATAAGATGATTGATTCACCGGTGATCTTTGATACCTTGTATCGCATTGTCACGTTTGGTCATGGTGAGTCAATTTAGGCGATAAAGGTTCTTTTGCATTCGCTCATGAATTTAACAGAAGGTGGCACCCCGGTTCCTGGGAAACTCAACGTCCTAGATCTGCCCGACGATTTCTTCCGAGTTCGCTTAGTTTGCACTTTGCTCGATACGTGTGGCCATTGTTTCGACCGAGGTTCGGCGAAGAAGAAGCTTGATTTCTTCTTGACTTTCTTCCAGGTAATTTTTCGCTCTTTGTCTGATGCAAAGGTTTGTGCTTACGAAGTCAATAGTATTACATGACCACGAAGGACCCATTGCCTATGGACATCGATTTCCTCGTTCAAGACACGTACTCAATGGCTCGTCCTCAGTGGAAGCTGGTGACAGACCCACAGGAAGCTACGCGCATCTTTGGCGAGGCTGTTGCTCAGAACTACAAGACGCAGGATTCCGAGAGACCCGCGGAACCGGATGACGATGATGCTGAAAGTAGCTCATCCGATGAAGGTCTGGAGGAAGACGCGATCCCCGAGGTCGAGGATGAGCAGGAATCGAGCGAGGAGGATGAAGTAAGGATTTACCCTGAAAGTGCCCATATCAAACCATGGCTTGTGCTAATAACCGCCTGTTAGGTCTCTGGCCCCAACGCCGAGCAGAATGGCGACAGCGATTCCGAGGATGAACAGATCTTCGTCACCAGGCAGGAAGAGGAACGTGACCCGCAGGCTGAAGCCGAGTTTGATCGTGAGTTTGAGAAGATGATGGCGGAGAGCATGGACTCGAGGAGATTCGAACGCAAGGGTGTCTTTGATATACCTCTGCCTATGAAGCGCGCTGGCCGGGAACCTTCGGCTTCCGACAATGCGCCGGAGGTGCCGGAACAGCAAACGCAGCAAGCGCAGCCAACCATGGCATTCTCTTTGATGACCAAGAAGGGCAACAAGCAACAGGTATGTCCTCTGCTTTGCATACCCACGGAAAATAGCATGCTGACGCAACATAGACTCGCACCATTGACCTGCCGTCCGACTCCAACCTCGCCGTGGCCATGCGAAGTCAACAACAAGCCGACCGCGAGGAACAGCAGCGCATCAAGAACCTGGTCTTGAATTATGAAATGTCAACAGACACGGAAACGCCCGAAGGTGAGCGACCCTTGAACAAACAACCATACATGTCTGCATCATTCATTCTAACATATCCCGATCAGCAACAACCGATAAAAAGACTCCTCACCGCGACACGCAGCTCAACAAGTCCAACGCCAATCGCACTGCCTTCCGCTCCCGCAAGCTGCAACTCAGTGACGTGAATTGGTAATTGGATTGGAATCAAACAGCACCGATTCATTGATACCAACACGGTATTCACTCTCAACCAATCAATAAACTTGAAGGAGGTTGCGCAGGTTAAGTCGCCTTTTCTTTACCTGCCGGTTACCATAGCGGTAATGATGGCGAAACCTGCAAAGCGACACGGCATCTATTCAATATCCACCAAGACGGAGCCATGAGCTTCGGCCGATCGGCTGAGATTCTTACATTTTCGACCCATTCCATGAGTATGCTAGACTGCGCTTCTTACATCTACACCTCACATTTCAGGGTATTGGATCTCACGTGGCGGTGGACATGTTATTCATCTATGACATGACAGTCTCAACCATGACGAATGGATTGATGGAATCATGGATATGGATATCATCGAGAGAAAACACCAGGATGAGGAAGAGCGGACGAGTCAAACGTGATACATCGTTTGTCTCAGCCGAATTCGGTTTCCTGTGCTGTAGAGCGAGCGAGCGAGCTTCACTGGCCTGCTTAGGATAGGATGTATTCGAGCAAGATCCATCCATTCGAATTCGAACATCCTCCAGGAATCTAGGTTAGATCGCTAGCAGCTTTTACAAATTGATATAGTTCATTTCATGAATTTGATAAGGATTGTTGACATCATCAAATTACGAATTCCGTGACCAGTTTTATTAAAGACAAAATCTAGTATATTTACTTTCTTTACTCCTTACCTACCTACATACATACAAACGTAGCCAAGTTGAATCCTTCGACACGACCAACTCAAAGAAAGTGCTTGCTGACTGACTAACTGACTGATTTGATACCTATACAAACGACCCAATTCTATTTCTATCATCAACTCTCGCTTCAACCTAAGGTCTCGACGTGAACAAACATACAAGTACAGTAGGTTACATGATAGGGGCAAGGGAAAACCAAAAAGGAAACGGGGAACTAGAACACGAAACATAGCCAATAGGAAAAGAAATGATAAAAGACATAAGTGGGAATGATGTATGCTGAAAACTTTCCAAGGAGAATGAAGAAACAGATGAATATGAGAGATGGGTTGAAGGGGAAAGGGAGGAAGAAAGGGGGGGGAAGGAAAGAACGGGGGAAATATGAATAGAAAGAAGAGAGGAGAGGAGAGGAGAAGATGAGATGCTCATGTAAGAAGAGAAGAGAAAGAAAAGAAAAGTCAAGAAACAGAACCAAGAGGGGAGAACAGATAACGTGACTCGCTTTTTTCGAAATGATGTCCTTTATATCGAAATCAAATACCGTTTCCTCCATCTCTTCTCAACTTTTCCTCTCTTCTCTTCTCAACTCCGTTCCCTTCTCTTGCTATTTCTCATCCGAACAGAGATTCATAGAGACAAGTCACTTTTATTTTTATTTAGTTCGTTCTGCTTTCGCAAATCCATGACTTATTTCTCCTTCTGTTCGTCGTTCTTGGCCTCCGTATCATGCCATGCCTTGGGCAGCAACTCGTCGCTCTCCGGCAACTCAGGTTGTCCGGCCGCGACAGACTTGGTCTCGGCGACGGTCTCCTTGGCACGAGCGCGCTTCTCATCGGGATGCGACGAGGCGTCAATCTCAGCGGCAGAAGCGGTAGACTGAGGGGCGACGGCGGCGGCGTCGTCGCTCACGGGAGCAGCAGCGGGAGCCTCCTCGTCATCGTCGATCTCGGCACCGTAGACCTCGGGATACTGCCGGAAGCAATCTTGCATGCCCCTATCACATTGGAACGAATCCGTTAGCTCAACCAGATCTAATCCAATTCCAACCCAGCCGCGGAGCGGAGCAAAGAACACATCCTCAAGAAGTTAGGAAAGGGTATCACGGACTTGAACTTCTCAATACAATCAATTCCCTTCGGCTCCTCGGTCGAGTAAACGAAGCAGCTGAACGCCGCCTTGAACTCCTCGCCGCAAGGACCATGCGCCATACCGCCCAGGCACGGGCACTCCCAGTTAATCTCGCCGGTTTCCGGGTTGAACGCGGCCTCCTGGCCGGCTTCCTCCTCGAGCTCCTCGGGGGATTTTAGGGCGGCTTCGGAGGCGGGCTGGTGCTGTTGTTGCGCATCGTCGGAGGGGGCGGGGATGGTGGATTTAGATTTGGACTCGGATTCCTTCTGTTCGCGGATCTTGGGCTTGATGGAGTCGAGGGTGAGAGAGGTGGCGGGTTCGGAGGGGGTGATTTGTTCGCGGAGGGAGACTAGTTTGAAGGATGGGTTAGTGGGGGGATTCAACACGGGGGCTTCCCAAGACCAGTATAATGAAAGAGAGAGAAAGAGAGATGAGAAGAGATATCCAAAGCGCGACGTGAACCCAATTGATGATATATCATCCACACCACGCCGCCTTCGCGGTCATCGACGGATTTTTTCCTCTCCTCGGTCTGTCTTGCCTCTCTTCTTTCTCCAGGTGTCTCCCGGAAACAATTCTTCGCATTGACGTACAAGACGGAGGCTCCGCGAACACGCTGGCCGTGTTATAGTAGTAGACCGCACCGGCCGCCAGACCGAGTCGGACGGCGGTGTTCTTCCAGCTCCTCGACTTAGAGGCCTCGGCGGGAGCGGTGCTTATCAATCGTCTGCTGGCCGGGCCACGGACTGTGGCCGGGGCGCGGAGGAGGACTCTAGAGGCGGGACGGAACATGATGGAGTCAAGGGGAGGAATTGGAAGAAAGAAAGAGGAAGGATGAAAGAGGAAGGGGAGAAGGAGGTGGGGAGGCGAGCGCAATGGGGGGTGGAAAGGAATGGAACGAGAAACGGCCTAAACCGGGATTGCGAGGCGGAGAAGAAGAAGAAAGTCGATCTGGAGAGGTCGACAAGATGTTGGTGCCTGAGGCTGCCACTTGCTGTTCGGGGACGGGTGGGTCACGTGCCTGGCTACGGCTACGTCATGGGTGTTCGTCAGAAGATGATCATACTATCTGTTATTAAAAACATGACTGATATTTAGATTGTTCAATGAAGCAGGAGTGTCATAGTATGAAGTCTCTGAGCGGCTTGTGTCAATTGGCTTATACTGGGCATGGAGCTATCTCAAACACAAGGCCCCGACTGGCGGAGAACCCAATGATATGCTTGGACTCTCTGGCCAAAGCCTAGTCTAGCGTCTACTCCTCGTATCCGGCACCAGATCAGCCACCATTGAATATGGCGTAGTGGTGTACTGACACCTAAGCCTGGCTGCCTGAGTAACTTAGTGAAATGCAACTTTGATACCTCGGACCATAAGCGCTAAACCCAAACGGGTCATCTACCGCGATGGCCCCACAAGGTCAGATCTATGAGCCTCCAGGGCAAAGACTCTGTCGCCAGGAAAATGTCTGAAAGGTATAAATTGGGTTCGGTAGAAGCCTTCTGTTCTCATGATTGTGGTGTTCCAATATAACTCTCTTTCTCAGCACGAAAAGTCTGCTTGTGAACAATGCCCTCCATCATCTCCGCTGACAGGCGTCATATCGCCATTGCCGAGCTCATTGTCTTCTCAATCATCCAGCTTGTCCAGTTTTATACCAGGTTTATTCAAGAGTGGCGGTATTGGCACCATGACAAGCGGAAAAGCTTGCCCCGTTGTACCATGTACTCTTGGATGGGACTGCTGGGTGTTCTGGCCCAGCGTATGCAAATCCACGCACCCTCTCCAGACTGACGGACAAGTGTAGCTGACGCCGTTGACAGTTCGAATTGCTGGATCTGCAATGACCATCTCAAACGCCAACCCAGGAAAGTCAATGCTCATTGCCGAAAACGTTCTTCAAGGCATCGGTCTCTCCCCGCTGATGTTCGAGGTGAGCCTTGTCTTGCTGCGAAGGTGAGTCTGGTATTTCGGATCTAGTCCGGTCCTTGACAAGCAACAAACTCACAACGAACATAGTGGCCAAGCCGGTCGTACGGGCCCGGGAAACTCAAGATACCCGAAGCAAATACGATTTGCTCTCACGTTGTTCCGATTCCCTATCTTCTTTTCGATTGTGTTGGTGGTAGTGGGAGCGTCCATACCGAACCGCATTTGCAAGATTGTCGGATCAATCATGCTGCCCATCGCATTTACGTTTGGATGTGGTCTGGCTGTCCTGCTGGCTGTGCAGTACCGGGCCATTCTCCCCAGAGCTTGTCACCGCTGTGTTTTGTTGGTGTTAGTGGCACTGCCTTTCCTTGTTGTGCGAGTTGCGCATTTCCTCCTTGCGGAATTTGGACCGCGAAAGTTCAGTTCGGCGGTGGGCGATACCGGTGTCATGGTGGGTATGGGGCTTGTGATGGAGGTGCTCATAACCATTTGTCTTTGGGCTGCTAGAGCTGTGGCAGAGCCATTCTGGTCGGTGCCTGTTGAGACGGAGGCGGAGGCAGCTTAAGTGGATGATTGGGTATTCCAAACGAGAGAGTCCAAAATTAGGTAGAAGAATGTATGTCAGACAGTGAGCAGGGTACGCGGCCCGAATAACGAGAGTATAGCAACTCAGTCCACCGGTATTTGAAAGTTTCTAGGCTGTACCGCTGCGTACGCTTTAGAAAGTCGTTCTAACCACACCTCGAGCCACGCCTTAGTGACAGGGTCGGCGGTTTCGTACGCCGCGCGCAATGAGAATCCCATTCGATACGGCCCCAGCATTCCGCGAGCATTATACTCGATTGACTGACAAATCAGGTCTCGAAAGTGGACAACTGTAGCCGCATGCTCACCAGGACAGCCACAGGCTCTAAGGATCTCATGCAAAAGCAACATGTAGGAATAGTAGCCGCAGAAGAGGGACCCGCTGTTCACGTCGGAGTAGACGAGGACGATAGGAAATAGCTTGTCCCCTGTTGATGACCGCATCTGGGTTGGAAGCGAAACGGTCGTAGAAAACTGCTCGTACCATGCAGACACTTTATTTATCATGTCATAAGACCTCGCCACGAGGTTTGCAATTCGCTGCTGCACCCGTGGTTCTGCCCGATCGGCTTGCTTCAAGTCATAGAGCTCATGTATGAGGCTCGGTGCAGAGGTGAAGAAGGCAAAGAACTCTTCCACCAGGCGGTCTAGCTTGGCTGACAATCCAGTGTTCACATGCTTCTCCATCACGGAATGCCAGGTGCTCGAAGCTAAAAAGCATTTCTGGCCTGAGAAAAGGGAATGCATAACCTGCGATGTGTGTCAGTAATGGGCTCGAAAGAAAATGACTTAGAAATGTAAGCTTGTAGAGCGTACAACCAAACCACGAGATGCCTTCAACAAAGTCAAGTCAAACTCGTCCACATAGCGCCCAAACCCCCTGATCTGCGTCAATTGACTCAAAGCCTGGGCATGTTTCATCCATGACACCGAGTCGGTCGTATTGGCGAAGAGCTTACCAAGTCAGTCATGATCAAACGCAGTAGTATTCGGGCACTACCCACCTCATACATACACAACAACAAAACAGCGCAAAACACCTCCGACGAAAGCCCCTCGGCAGGATTATCTAGCGATTTCCGAAGCCTCGCCAGCGCCTCTACATACGCGGATCTGGCATACCAAAGAGCCTGCTGATTCCCAACCACATTCCCGACATGATGAGAGACAAAGCACTTGATAGTCGAATCCAAGGTCCGATTGCGACCATAAACAGCCGGAAGACACCGGAGCCATCGCGAGATAACATAGGCCGAGTTTAACTGGTAGGGCTGGGAGACTTCGTCGAGGACAATGTCAAGGCTTTGCAGCACGTTAGAGTCGGCAGATGTTATTGATAGAGGACCAGAAGCTTGAGTTTGTAACTGATAGGCAGCCTGAGACACGACGTCCGTGCCAGTCTCAACATTCGTAGAACTGGTTTCATCCTTGGAGCTGCCGTCTTCTGTCTTTGGGCGTCGTCGGGAACGATAAGGCTTCCCTGCAACGAACTGAAAGCCCCGGTCATACCCGGGACAGGGTCTCCCGTAGGTCTCGCATCTCACGCACCCGGGGACCCTCTCGTCGCACTGAATTCTAGCATGAGCGACTCCATTTCTGGACAATAGACGGGGACGCAGGGCGTCGAACCTTGACTCGACGCTTGACACAAAGCAAGCACCCGTTGCTTCGAGAGACGCCCATATTCAGAGCATGACCGCAATCAGGTCCATCCGGATATAATCCTAGGAATGACCCCTCAGAAGAAGACGTGAATACGAGGTGGAAGAGTAGATCCATGTATGCTCTTAGTCAGCGCGGACAAGCCGGGTCAGTCTCCAGCCACACCACGCTAAGATACGCCACAGTTGGTGTCCCGCGATGTGGCGCATGCATTATTCCCATTGCGACGAGATTGTATAATTTGGATTCATCGATCCAGCATTCCCAATCAATAGAGGAAACCACTCGCCAGAATACAATTACAGACCCGCTACGGCCTACCTCATCACCTACTTCCTTCATTAGCCCCCATTTTCCCGGCTAGACCACCGCCCCAACTCAATGGAGTGGGATCCAACGCAGTTCTTCCGCGCCGACGACCCTCCCACGCCGTTCGCGCTGGTCGTTCTTAACCAACCAATAAACGAGAAGGCGTTTGCGGTGCTGAAGGGACACGGTGAGATCAGTCCATATTTATTTGAATCCAGCCCTGATCGCTGGACCTTGTAGTCCAGTCCATGTTTGCTTCCCATCCCTGTCCATCCGCCTGGTCTTCTTTTCTCCCCCGCAAAAATCATCCAGCCCTTGTCCAATCAACTATCTACCCTATACATGTATACCATGCCAACTAAGACCCCAAAGCTAACGCCACAACTGATTCATCAAGCATGCATCACGGTCTGCGCAGACGGCGGCGCAAATCACTACTATGATCTGATGAAAAGGCAAGGCCGGGAGGCTTTGGATGTACGTACATACCATTGGCACATGATACGTATAAGACAAACTGACCAGACCCTCTAGCTTCCTTCTCTCATAATCGGCGATCTGGACTCCATCTCACCAGACGTGAGAAGCCATTACACGGACCTAGGCGTGTCCGTCATCGAAGACAGAGATCAGTACTCGACTGACTTCACGAAATGTCTGAACTATCTGCGCTCGCATGCCCACGAGATTGTTGGTCGGGGGTCGGACACTACCACTAGCACCGCGATCGCCCCTTCTAGTGAAAGCACAGGGCCAGGGTCAAGGACAACCCCAGTCCTGAATACCCTCATCCTAGGCGGTCTAGGAGGGCGAGTAGACCAGGCGTTCTCGCAAATCCACCATCTGTACACGATGACGCAGGAGATGCAACATCAACAGCAGCAGGGACCTACGCAAGAAGAACACGAAAAACAAGAAGAAGGCAATCTATACCTCATCTCCGAAGAAAGTATCACGTTCATCTTACGACCAGGAAAGAATGTGATTCGCACGCCGGGGACGAATCGTCCTTTACCTCCTTCTACCACCTCTACCACCACCATAGGTGGCGGTGCAGCAGCAGCAGCAGCTACACCCTCATCTTCATCCCTAATACCCAGCGAACGACCCTTAAACGAAGGAGAGAACCACTTGCTAGAAGAAAACGTCGGCATAATTCCCCTCTCCGGGCCCGCGCGGATCACCACCTCCGGGCTCCAATGGGACGTGACGGACTGGGCGACCGAGATCGGGGGACAGTTGAGCACGAGCAACCATATCCGGGCGGACGTGGTGGAGGTGGAGAGTCAAGTGCCGGTGTTGTTTACGGTGGAGTTGGCGAGGAGGTTTAAGAGGACGAGGTAAGGTGGTGGGTTCTGATCTCCTGCCTGTTTTCAGTTGCTTTTTTTTTTCTCTCTTTATGGCTATACTTGGTTTACGGTTGGGTTTCTGATTTTAGATTATTGGAATTGGCATGGTAGAGTTTTGCATGGGTAGATTGAAGATACCGGATATCCCATAGATACTCAGTAGATAATTGTTATCATATATCCAGGCATGATAGAGCTATAACTCCAAATCGAAGCCCCATGCATCATAGATTTCAGTCAAGTCGAACATTACTCGTTCGCAGTACGCTAGATCGATGAAAACCAAGAAAAAAAAAGGAGGAATAATCTGGACCTGACCAATACATCCAAGGCGCCTCTCCCTAACCAATAAAGCAAAACACAAGCAAGATAAACTGAGTTACACAAGCGAGGACTCAAGAAATCAAGAAATGAGAAATCTCACACACTCATCACGCCGTAGAATAAAGATCAGCCCGAAAACGAGAGGATATCAAAAGACGGTAATCGCAGCGACAAACGCCGACAGCAGTAGCACCGTCCGCCAGAAAAGAAGACAACCAACCCTACCCAAACAGCCAAGGAAATCTACTGCAAAGATCCTCTATGGCAGTAACAGCAACCGGGCTTCCGATACAGCAGGCAGATGGATCTCTGCCCATCTTCTCACCGTCCATACAGTTACGCCGTATCAGCATCATGCTTCAACAACAATCAAACAGTCCTCGTACCTCGAACCCGACAGACAGGTTGTGAGCAGGCATATATTTACTTCTTCAGAATGGCCTCGTACAGAGTCCCGATCGTTCCGATGGCAGAACCGGTCAGTATGCCGGCCCATTGTCCGGGAACGGAGGTGTTCACTGTCTGGATAGAGGTGTCGCTGAAGACATTCCAGAACGTAAATCCATTCGCATACACTAGGTACGCGACCAAAGCCTTGGCGATGTTGAAGCTTAGAGGATCGAAGGTAGTCTGAGCGGCACGGCTCCGGCGTGTATTCAAGGCAGGGCCTCCGCTAGTCTGCCGACTCAGGTTGAAGAAATAGGCGACGGTCAAGGGCAGGAAAAGGCTGGTGAGAAGCCAAAGCGAGAGCGGCGCCCAGAATGTGCCCTCCACCAACTTGAAGAGATCGGGGACCTTGATGGCGAATTCGGAAGAGTGGATGGCCTCCACTGCCGGAACGCTGGTCACGTAAACCAGCGGCAGGAGTGTGCGAAAGAGACCGGCTCCTTCCAGGGCAACGAACAGGATTTCGACGGCCTTGACGCTGCTCAAGATGGAGCGCAGCGCATGCGAACGCTCCCGGACGCCTAACACGGTCCACGCGTCGCCAATGCGCTTGCCCCAGACAGCGGTCTGGCGGTCAATCGCGTCGGTCACAACAGCCGGGGATGGCGGCAACGGCGGCTCAACGGCCATTAGCGGGCTGCGACCGGGGGTAGTTGTCGCAATCACTCGTGGCGACGCATCGGAGTCGTCTCTGTAACATGAGTACGTTAGATTCCATCCGTCGCATAGATCATCCTAAAGAGTGGGAGCGCGCCCGTGCGCGACGCGCGCCACATCGCAGAGGTCACGGGAACGTGAACGGGAACAACCTACGTCTGTTCGATCTCCTCCTTTGCCTTCCGTCCGCGACGTGCCGATCTGGGAGGATCCAACTTGGTCGGTGACACCTTGGTCGGCGACGGCTCTGACTTGGGCTCCCTCTTTGTTGGCGACAGACGGGGGCTTTGCGACAGGCGGCGGTAGTACTCAGCCAGCCGCTCGTCATTCTGGAAGATAGACTGGTTGGATTGAAGGTGATCGTCGAGAGTGGTGACCAGCTCGGGTTTATTTAAATCCTCATAGCTGTAGCGGGTTATGAGTTAGAACAATGCGGGAGTTGGGGGATCGATGATAGGGGATCGATAACGGCTACGGGCCGACGTACTCCTGGAGATCAGTAGCCTCCGCAAACTCCACTAGTTGAGGCTTGCGTAGCTTCTGCAAATAAGGCAAAGCGTTGGACATGATGAGATGGAAATGATGAAGAGGGAAGTAGACAAGGATGACGCGCACGGAACAGGATCCACTAGAACCATGCGACGACAGATACCGTGCAAGGGGTGGGGGAGGAAGGCAGTTTAAGTATGAGGGGGAGGGGAGAGTAGCGCGGATAGAAGCGATAAACAAACAAGCCGAGACGAGGGAGGGCCGAGAAGTAGAAAGAGGGAAAGGAAGGGAAGAGAAAGAGAGGGAGTGACGGGGGGGGGGGGGGGGGGGGGGGAAGAAAGAAGGAACAGAAGACAGAAGTACAAGTCAGAATGGAATAACAGGGCGGGGCTGACCGCATCCGTCTTTGTTTACTTTTGGGCGGGTCCCGCCCGGCGCGTGTTTACTTCCAAGTCCAGGGAATGTTGTCTGTTGTCAATTGTCAATTGTCAATCGTCCTGCTCTATCATTTTATCTGTTCTGATGTGATGTAATGTTATGGTACACGAGGCCTCTCTGGCCAGTCTAAAGTCTATGTAAATCCGTACAATGCTATCCAATCCTCTCTCTTTCTCTCTCTCTCCAAATCAACCAGAAAATGTAGTGTGCATATACACACACGAAACAACCCATAGTGGAGAGATGACAGGAGAAATCAAACATTATAAAAAATCAAAAATAAAAATTCATGCCACAACCTTTCCAGAACGCCCGATCCTCTTAACCATTCAATGTGCAAAGTTCCGGTTGTGGTGCCATATTATCTACAACCGAGTGGCCAGGCGTCTCCTGGCTGACCCGAGAGGCTCGACAGAATTATAGCGGGTTCGTCTCCCCGATGCTCTGGTATTCTTCGAATTTCTTCAACAAGTATTGGTACAGGACCAACATCGTTCCGCTCTGAATGCTGGTCCACACGCCTCGAGGTCCGACACCGCGGAACCAGCCCCGGATACCTTCCGCCTGGTAGATCATCTTCAAACCGGTGAAGAACGAAGTAGTATCCAGGCGAGGGGTTCCGGGAGGAGGCATCGACGTCGACGGCGGAGAAGTGGAAATCGGTCGCGAATGCGTTCGGAGGCTCGATGACGTCGTCTGAGATGGCGCATGCTGCCGGGGACTCTCCTTGACCGAGGCGTGTTCGGTGGCGCCTTTCGGCGGACTCATGGTCTCGGGGTTTTGTTGCGTCTGGACGCGGGTTTTGACGACATCCATCGGACATGTGATCACGCCTGCCATTCCACCGGCGGTCGCCGCGGTCAGGATCTCTAACCCAAGTCCAATGTCTCGAGACCCCATCCATTCAATGGCCATGCGGTGCTCCTGCTCGTAAAAAGCAAATTGTAGGGCCGAAAACGGGAGGTCGCGGAAGATAGTCGCCTTGTATCCGTAGAACAGCGCGGCGACCCCCTCCTGTCGGACAATCGTGCGAAAAGCGTCTGTCGTGGAACGGTAGTTGTATCCCGAATAAAAGTAGGGGTTGTTGTAGCGTCCCTGCAATTGCATGCGAGTTTTCAAGACCTCCGAAGGGACGTAGACGATGGATGCGGCGAGATCGGCAAAGAAACCTGGGAGCGATCCTCATCAGTACCGAGCGTGTTTGACGATCTCTAAAGCAACAATGAACTCTTACCCCCAGAAAGATAGGCAAGATTGGGATTGATCCCGGCGTCCAGCATCCGCCGCTTGGTGAACTCATAAACTCCGAAAAAAGTCACCGTTCCCGGGAAGGAGCCGAGGAAGGCAGGCGTCACGCCGCCGTAGAGACCTCGAAAGAACCCTTCTTGTCGATAGATGGTCGCATAGGATGAGGTCATGGACGTGTATTTCGGAGGGAAGTGAGGGTCGCCCTGCTGTCTCGTCTTGACTGTGTCGAGCGAATGCATGAGCATATCACCACAAGTACCGCCAGTACCACCCGCAAGCATAGCCTGTACAAAGCCCAGTCCCGGGGTCAGCCATCGACAGTTCCAAGAATATCGTTCCAGGCGCACATGGACAAAGATCATATCCAGCGGACGACGGTAGACCGATCAAACATACGTGCAAATACGGAGGCCGGGGCTCCTCCTCGTCTGCTATTGAGGCAGCATCTTGGGCATGAGCGCCTCGATGCGTCTTCACTTGACCGGAACCATGGGGAACGTGTTCGCCGGTGCTGGCGGTCTTCGAATAGACGGCCGACGCAGGGGAATCCGAAGGTGTCTCTGTCGTCGTAAACAGGCCAAACACACGCGAGGTCAAGCTCATTGCAAGAACACCGCAACCCACCAGATCGGTGCGCGGACCAGACCTCGGGGGGTTTGGTTGGGATGCGGCGGCGACGTTGGGCTTTCCGAGGAGGACGCCACCTACAGCGAGGATGACGGCGGAAGGGAAAAGACAAAGAGGGGAGGTCGAAAGGCGAAAGTGGACGGGGAGGAGAAGGGGGATTAGAGGAACATCAACGACAGTGGGGAAGAGGGAAGTAGGAGCATGGCACCTCTTGAGGGAATTATCCAAAAAATCTTTCCAGATTGGCGCAGCATCAACAGCCCCGAAATTTCGGTCGGTTTTCCCTTTTCTCCGCGCCCGATCCCGAGTTTTATGCCTCAGGCATGCATTCTGAATAATCGCGAGAGCCTTCAGGTGACCTTCAGGTGACCTCCTCTACCCTACCGCTGCTCTCCTAGAACTCATCTCTAGATGCATCTACTCAGTAGACATCGTGTCCTCTCGAGCCTACAGGGTATTGAGGAACCCCTTCGATTCCTCGGATTTCTACAATCTGCACCCTAGAGTGGACCCACCCCAACAGATGGCACTAGCATTCAAACAACGTCATCGCTTGGACTTGCGACATTTTCTATCAAATTACTTTAAAAGCTCGTGTTAGAAGCTAGAAAAATTGATGAAGACTACCTAAAAAGGCTCTACTATATTACTAGTTAGTTCGCCATATTTATAGTGGCCGCTCGTTTACCGGATACGTTAACTAGTCCTGCCACAATGTAAAAGCATCTTGATCCTTAGGCCGTCAACCGCATCGAATTTGGCTGTATAGTGCTGCCTAGCGAGCGAATGTGACTATCCGGTGTACCTGCATTGTCGAAGAGTTCAACACAAAGAAAGGTGCAGAGGTTCAGCGGCATACTCCGCGTTCTCTGTTCATGTATGTAATTTGATGTGCCGAATCAAGGATCAGGAGGGTTCTAAGAACTGCCAAATTGGGAATGGATTACTACAAGATATGCCGGCTGATGTTACGTAGAAGCGCTATTGGCTGGTCCTTTACTCTTAGAAAGCTTGGAGGGGATTTCATTAGAGGATAATGTGCAACCTGCAACAGAAAAATGTTCGATCAGAGTGGCTCGCGAGGGAACTCTCATTAAGGGAGTAAGGTTGAAACGGATCGTTGAACTGTGACGGAGGAACCCATATTAAATGCTAAGAGTGATAGTATTTAAAGGCCATCGATGACCTTTGTACGTTGTAAGTCCACCAATATCTACTTGAGCGTGTTGCAATAACTGCAACTTCGAGCTAACATGGCGGGAAACACTGTCGAAAAGCTTCCCGTCGAGGTGATCTTGGAGTTCATAGACGGTCTGGACCCAGTCAGCATCAGCAAGTTTTCGCAGACCTGCAAATCCTTATATGACCTCTTGTACCAGCAGAGAAAAGAAGCCGCAAGGAGACATTCTGGTTTCCTCGAATCCCAGGAGTGCTGGGAAGCAAGACGACCACCTCCGCCTCCTCCAATTGGGCACTGGGACTTCAATCGAATAGTGAATAATTTTCCCATCTGGGATCCGACTTGGCGAGATATGCGCCCAAGATACGGCCTGACTGAAGGGCCGGTCACGCACATATTCTTAGCTCTGCATGAGGGGCGTGCCGGGGCTCTTCGAGGTTACCTAGAAGCTGGTGCTGATCCTAATAGTGTTTGGAAGGGGGTGACACTAATAAGCGAAGCGGTCTGCTGTGAAAATACGGACTGTATCAAGATCCTCTTGGATTATGGCGCCAGCCCGTACTCCTTAGACAGACTGGAAAACGGAGAGACAAGGACTCCGTTGGCTCGTGCGCTCCACTTTGTCTTTCGACACGCCTTGCAAGCTCCAGGGATTAGATACAGTCCAGTGTTTCATCGCATATGGAAACCTGAGTTTGATAAAACCACCCGCCTTTTTGAAGCTGGATTCAAGATTTCTAACGTTGATGAAGCTAGATACTTATGTTATCAAGTCAACTTCCTTGAGGTTATCAAACTTGCAGTGCAAAAAGGGACAGACCTCTCAAAGTTGACGAAGGATGGCAAAGGCAATACGATATTGCATCAAGTGCTCGATTATGCATGGAGATACCCTCATGATCTCTACAGATTCTGCATCCCAGGGACGGATCTAATTTGCTACGACGACATTGAGAGAGTTGAATGGATCATCACACAGTTTCCTGAACTTATCAATGATTTTGACAACGAGGGCCAGGTCCCATTCGACAGGGCGGTTTCCAGCATAGTCCAACGATCTGACATTGCCAGGCTTTTGTTCTATCGTGGAATCGAATTGGGATTCCCAACAACAGGTCAGCATACTTGGTATTTTGACTTCATAAATGGGCAGCTTGACTACTACAAGGTCGATTTGGTCATTGAAGCGAAGCAAGAGCTGTTCAAATACAGATGCTTGTTCTGCAATCGCCGGTGTTCTTGTCGGATCTAGTGGTGAGGTCTTGGTTGATCTTGCTTGTTGGGATTTGAATTGGAACGTTTAGGGATATTGGAGAGTACAATACCTAGAGAATTTAAGTCAAACATCCAACGCCTTTGACAATATCGCCAGACTCTGTGCTACAGGGCACACGTCGCTCATCTAACATGGGGAAATATAACCGCGAAGGCCCAAATGAATGCTTGGCATTGCTATTTGGTACCGACCCTACGACGTTCTTGAAGCTCAGAGACATAATGTGACAATTTATCAAATGCCTGAGAAGGTCATAAGAGTGACATTTCCGACAGAATGAATTCCTCGCTGATTGCCAGCGAGTTTTGTACAGTCTTGTAACATGAAATGAATAGACACAGTAACTCCAAAAAGCTCAAACGCCAATGCTGCCCAATGCTGTTCCGTCTGTGGTAGAGTAGTTCTAGATACCACGTTTGTCAATCTTACATACAGAGTCTCACAGAAAAGGGCAACATTCTATGAAAAACAAAAAGGTGCAAGTAAAGGAGAGGTCTTTCCATGCTTTACCCATCCAACTCCCTCCCTGCTTGCGGTGCTAGTTCGAGGGAGTTGCAGTTTGCACACCGCAGTCGTACGCGGGAGGGAACTGGCATTTACCAGGTTTTCCGCGAAATCATGATTGAGACCTTATTTGGCGCGTTACCGAGGTAAGGCAAGGAGAGATTTGGTGTTGAAATGACATCCTGAAGGCTTTCTCTCAGTAGCTTACGCACCTCCGTCGCACTCATGTTGAGATGTTCCCGGTTCAGACTCCGGAGCACCACCTGTACTGGGGTCGATCTGGCATAGTCGACCTGGACTGGGGTGGTGGCATGGTCGGCCACATGCTCAGGGACGAGAGCTAGGATCGCCTCTACCACTTCTTTGTCGCTCTTCATGACGACAGTTGTTGGGATATCGTAGGTCTTGTCCTCGATCTCGATGTAGCCGTCACTATCAGGGGTCAGTCATGATCATCATACAAGAGGAATGTGCGTACTTGTCGGTCATATTGAGAGATGTTTCAGAGTTGATATGAGACATCAGGGATTTTGCAGGCGTGTCTCTCTCCAAGGTTGGTTGAAAGTCTCGCGGCTTGATACGTTGAGTGATGGAAGCAGTTTGATTTGCCTTTGCGTGCGAGGCTTCAAAGGTAGAAGTGGAGGTTGAAAGTAGGAGGATGATAGTATTTAAATGGGAAAAGGGAGTCAAGGGTTTCGTAAATGAGTTATTTGATCGGGGGCTGAACTTGGCGTAGATGGGCTTGAGGTAGTTGAATGGGTGGGATGCTTTTCCCTTTTTCTGAAGTGCGAGGGGTAGGGGGGTGGGAGTTGGAATGGAGTGCACGAGCAAGGCCGGGGTTTGAGGTCCTTTTATGTCCGTGGGGGCTCCTAAGGCAGCGTCAAAAGCTCTACGTAGCCAATAGCCAGTGTCATGTCTAATGCTGTAGCAATAAAGGGACCAGTAGCCAATGACTCAGCTATTGTCTATTTCGCACGAAGCACGGCGTTGTCACAGATTATTGCTGGGTCAGTGAGCAATGCAGCCTCAGTGAACCGTGGAGCCAACCGGATGAACCAAAGAGAAGATGCAAGAATAGACTGTTCAGAAAGAAGGCATTTACAGGTTATCAAAATAGATCATGCTATGTTTGAACTAATGTAGCAGAAAGACATCTCCATCAATATGAAATGTGAAGCTATCTATAAACATATTGTCTTCAAAGCCTCCCTTCCACCGCACGAGACCAACGGGGGTGTTTGGACAAGCCCATGAAGGAAATGAGTCATCAGCAGGATGTCTCAGAATGTCTCAAAGCTCAACATGGGAAGCACTTTCTTGCGCTTCCTATTTGGAATTCCCCTGCGGTTGCTCGATTCCACTTGAGCTTTGCAAAAAGACATTCTTTTGCCCATGTTTGATCATTAGCCTTTACCCCAATCACAACCAGATCAACAGGGCAAGCTAGTGGGACACTTGGTAAGCCAGGCGTTTCGTATGTGAAGCTTGAGGCAGTGCTAAGATAATGAGCTCCATAAGCAACCTCTCCTTCAGGCATGATATAGCGATTTTCCGAAAGAGGAAATGTCAGTTGATACTCCAGAAAGAGGAGCAGACAGGAAGGAAAGCTTACTCAGTAAGTCCTCTATATAGCTGAAACGGTTCCACACAGACAAAATGCTAAGTGAACTTCTGCTGACTTCCTGATGCTTAGAATCGCATCGGGTTTGGTTGTCCGGTCTTCTCCCCCTTAGCGCTACCGCATCGCGAGAAGGGTTCCGTATATCCCGCACCGTTCAGCCAGCCCTGTGGGGGTCATGGATATCTTATATATGTCGAGGACCACAAGATAACTGGGTCAACCGGCAAAATCTCGCACACCACTTTATGTCCATAAGGGTTCTGCCTTCGATCGTGTGGATGCTGAGCTCCAGTGCGGTTTACGATGACTTCATTTCTGGGAAACGGTTGGGTCATCAGGTTCTCGATATCTCTAGACAAAGACACCTGGCTGCATAAAAGGGGCATGGAAGGAGAGCTTCCGTCAATTTAAAGAAGCGCAACATGCTGGGACACACGACGGAAAGGCGCCCAGGCGGTTGAATGCGTGGACACAACAAAGATAGCAGCTGGGCAGCGCTAAGGTGACTGGAACTGTGAGTGGGAGCTGACCGAAACCAAAGACTACCAAGTTGTTTTTTTGGATTGTTTACTATGCTCGACTAGGTGTATGTGAATGTTACAACATGCAGAGTTAAGATGTCCACTTAAGCTTTCCAATCTAACTCGATTAACCGCGATTCTGCATTTACCGAGATATACGGGTCCTAAACCCTCTTTGAACTAGTTGAAATCTATTACAGGGCCAAAGGTCTTTCTTCAAGCCCGATTTCATTTGAAATACTTCTAATTATGACAATATTGGGGTAGATTTCTAGCCCTAGGGGGTTTATTCATCTACAGACATCTTAACACCTTACAGGGAATAGAAATGGTTCGGCATTCCCGGTTTGACCAAACAGATCCATTTCATTCATCCATGTTATTCACTTTCTAAGCAAGAACCTGCAGAGAGAAACTTCACTCATAAAACATACAACGCACAAAGACGTGGCATAGGGCATAGAGTAGCAAAAGGAAAGGAAAGAGACACGAAAGGAAAAGCAGTGGCAGCATCAAATTACTCCGCACAGAAACACTCTTGAAACCATTCGCATTATAGCTCGATCACACACTTAACAATATCAAAAAGAGGGCGATCAGGAAACGCAAGAAAAATAACAATAAAATTGAGTCTTGAGGCGTTGCACATTAACCATTTCCCCATCCTCCATCAAACATACCCCTACCATTTCTTTCTCCAAATATACGTCATCCTTCATTCAAGTATTAAACAAGCCACAGGACCAACCAAAGTCAGAGCCAATGACATCGCTTCGTTATAGGTAGATACTATCAGGCACCTCGAACAGACAGGTTTCCATGACGTCAGGCAGGTCGGAGATAGTCCGTCTAGAACCACTCTCACATTGTCATAATCGCCCGACTTCAAAAAAACTCGTCCACAATCCTTCCCTTTCTCGGTTCCCATTTATTGCGGCTTCTTGGCATCCGCCTTGCCGATCAGGCGGCCCAGGTCAGTGGATTCGTAAGCCTGGCGCACGATGCCCTTGAAGCTCTCCCAGCCCTGGCGCACAGCAGGGGGGGTGCTCTGGTGGGAGACGGAAGCATCAACACGGGCGGTGAAGTGGCGAACGCCCTGCTGAACGAACGTGCTCTGGCTGTATCTGGCGCGGAAGAAGGCGAGGTAGATGAACAAGAGAACGAAGCTTCCCTTGGAGAAAGTCAGGATCGAGACGACCAGGCGCAGCAAAAGCATAATTTCAAGCCCGGCGACAAGGTCCATGCTGGTATCGTAGTACTGCTTGACAAATCGTCCGATGGTCTCGGCCAGAGGAGACTGCTTGGGGGCAGGCTTGGGGGCGCTAGGAGAAGTGGGCGAGGCAGGGGCGCCACCCTGAGGAGGCTGCAAGGTGGGGATCAGGTGGGCACGCGAGTAGGTCGCGACGTGGAAGACCGAGTAAACGGTGAAAGGAAGCAGAGCGAGCGAGATTTGACGCGAATACAGCCAAACCAAGGCCATACCTAACACAACAAGTTAGCCACAATCGATTCTCCAGCCGCGGGAGGGCTGTCGAAATTGTCCGACATTGGACCCTGCGACGTCTGCTACTCACCCAGGTACTGCACGTTCTCATCACCAGCAAGCTTCAGCGCAATGCTGGGAGGACTGCCCTGGAGACGGCCCCGCGCGATATGTCCCTTGTATACCACAATGCCATATGTAGCCGCCGCGGAGACGAACGCGAGACGATAGGCGGCCTGCGCGGTGGAGGAATAATAGTTGAAGGTGAGGTAGGACAGGAAGTAGCGGAAGACGGAAATCAGCAGCGTTACATGTCTAAACTCCGTCAGTAAGCGACTCTATTCGCCGTCACGGTCTCACCGCGAGGTATCGCGAAACCAGCGGCTGCCATTTGCCGATGGCCGGAGGAAGTTGGACGCTGCTGGGCGAATAATATGGGAAAACATACCCGGCAAACCAAGCGAATCTGCCGACGAGCCAAGTGGTCAGTATTTTTTCCTTGCTTCGACTTGGATCATTGAGTGAAGCACTCACTGTAGTGTTTGGGCCAGAGCCTTGAGTCTTTCACCCAAAGGTAGGTGCGCCGGAGGAGGAGCCATTGTAGCGATACGTGTTCGGAGATGGCGGTGTTGAACGGAACGAAGCTAGAAAAATGGTGGATAGTGTCGGAGAAGAAAGAGGAACAGGGAGAGGACTAGTGGAGCGAAGAGAATGGAATTGAGCGGTGGGAGAGAAGGTCGATATCCACTAGTCTATCGTCTTTTGGGTAAATTTATTTTGGGAGGGAGGCTGGGCTGGGCGGGGAGAGAAAGAGAGAGAGGGAGGGAGAGACCGAGAGAGAGAAAGGCGGTGGTGGGAGGACAGCAAGCGGGTTTGCTGGCGCCTCGGTCTTTCCCGACTGTTCGGCTGGTGACGTCGGGACGTTGATGCAACGCTCCGTCATACTATTTCTAGTTCTACATTCTCCGCAATTCAGGAATAGACGTTTTGTTTTTCTTTGGACAATGGTCTAGTCCTGTTCTAAAACCCGGTGGTACAAGTCCTCGTCCAACACCAGTAGACACCTGCAGACCTTCAGGTACCAACGCCAACGCTGACCACAGCTGATTTCCTTTTCGGTCATCTTTTGAGGCCCTCGAGAAATCCCTACGAGATACTGGTCGTGATATCTATGACAGGCTGATTGCGCAAACACTTCAAATTGACAACTAACAAAAACTGCGAAGATGAAAATAAACACAATAGGAAAAGGGAATGCGTCCAGAAATGATGGTCGGAGGGTGGGTCAGGTCACTAAAAGGTTGTAGTAGAGGACACAAAACGTGCACAGAAGATATAATGAAGAGAGAAAAAGGAAAAAGAAAATGGCGGCGACAGGTAAAATAGAACAGGATGCCACGGGGGAATAAGAAACAGGCGGGACAAGGTATAGCGTAGGCAAAGTACATAACAAGAAGCGAAAAAGGGACAAGACGTGAATGAGGCCGGTTTTTTACCCCCGTGTGCATCATCTTGCAGAAAGTTCCAAACATGGACATCGCTCGCGTGTTCCAGCACATTCTCCTAGTCATTTCCCCCTATTGTTATTAATCCGACTGTCGGTATGAGAACGAGATGCAGCTTTCTTTTTTGTGTTTGGCGTCTTGCAACCACCCAATTAATAAGAGAAGAAGAAATTCACAAAAAGATGTAAAAAAAGCGCAAGAGTCATTACTGGAAGCAGATAAGAGGAAAGTATTGGAGGGAACGTCGGGGGTGAGAACAAATAAACACAAGAGAATGAAGGGAGAGAGTTGGGGTGAAAAAGAAATGGACAAAAAGAAAGACAGCGCTCGATCAATCGACAGTCGTGGAGAATCAACCGTAAAATCACCAGAATGCCTCCGACGACCACATACATCCCATGAGCAGCAGTCCGTCACGTTGACCCCTGCAGAGAAGCACCGGGAAACCTCCAACGGACTTGCGGTTTCGCTTTAACGGAGAGAGAATCCCTTTCTCTTCCCCTTTTCTTCGATCGGACGTCCGCTTTCGAGTCGTGATTTCTTCTCTTCCAGTTCCTGGCGCTGCCGATCCAGTTGGTCCTTCATCTCGCGATGTCGAGCATATAGCTCGTCCTCGCTCTGTTTCAGTTTGCTTTCCTTCTCGGCCACCTTCTGTTGGAAGACCATCTTCATCTCGACCTCCATCTTGGCGAGTTTCTGCTCGTGGAGAGCGCGCTCCTCCTCCTGCTTGACGGCGGGGTTGACCTCCTTGAACACGCTGGGGTCCTGGGCGACACCCATCTGGGTAAGCTTGTCGGAGCGGTAGTTCTCGTACAGCGAGTTGTTGGTGTGTTCCTTGAGCTCCTCCATGTGGGTGCGGATCAACATCTGGCGCAGCTTGACGAAGTCGCAGTGCTCCTCGTTGTCGACCTCGATGAGACCCCAGGGGTAGCTACGGCCGCGGACCTTGCGACCGTCGGAGGTCGACACTTCCGAGTTGGCACCGACGACGGCGAAGGGCACCTTGGACATGATCTCCTGGTTCTCGGCGATAGTTTCCTCATCGTCGAGCTCGTAGCGGGGACCCTCGAAGATCTGGATGTTGTGGTGCTGGATATCGGCGAGAATCTAGAAAAGGGGGGGGAACAGGCCAGGTTAATAACCCACTATCAGAAATTCAGGGGAAGAGAAGGTCTATCATACTCTCTGCTTGAAGAGGGCGATCTCCTCGTCGGTGAGAGTGTCCGCCTTGGCAATCACGGGAATCAGGTTGACCTTGGTGTGCAAGCGGCGCATCACTTCGATGTCGAGAGGCTTCAGGGAGTGACCGGTGGGCTGGATGAAGTAGACGCAGGCGTGGATACGGTTGTCGATGATGTTCGTGCGGTTCACCTTGTTCTCGGCTTCCAAGAAGGCGTCGTATCGCTGCTCGATGTTCTCCACAATGGGGCGCCACGAGTCATCGTTGTTCACGAAGTCACCAAAGCCCGGGGTGTCGACCACGGTCAAGCGGAGACGCACGCCGTTCTCCTCGATGTCTGCACTGATGGACTGGATGGCCACGGTCTTGGGGATGATGTCGTGGCTGGGACCGGCGGGCTCCTTAGGGGGGTAGAGGGAGGTGTTGAAGAGGGTGTTCACAAGGGTGGACTTTCCGAGACCGGATTCACCTAGTTAAAGCAGATCAGCAAAGCCGTCCCTCCTCCAAATTGTTCGTATGGCTGTTATTCCTGGGACATAGAGACTCACCGACAACCATTACGTTGAAGTTGAAACCTTTGCGAACACTCTTTCGGTGCCATTGGTTGGGCAGGTTGGCAAAACCAACGTAGCCAGTCAACTTCCGGCGAACGACGTTCTTCATATCTGTTGCGGCCTGAGCGACAGCCTTGGGGTCCTTGGAGCTGACAGTCTGGGCATTACCGGATCCCATAGGGTTGCTACGCTCCACGAAGGGAGAGCCAGGCTTGCTGCTAGCGGGGGATTCCATGGCCGAACCGGGGGTCCCGTTGGAAGGGGGAGGAGGCGAAGCTGCATCGGCGAGAGTAGAGTTAGTAGTGGTCTGAGGATCGGGATAGTAGCTGCCATCCGACGACGATTCCCTCCTAGGCGAACGAGACGAATGGCTCTTGGATCTTATCGGGGGCGAAGAGTTGAGGCTTTCTGAGTCTGGGACTTGCGAGCAACCCTCCACAGTCTGACGTCTAGAACGCAACATCTTGTTTTTTTTTTTTCTTTATCTTCTGTTTACTCGATCGTCACAAGGCGCGAGTGTCTGGCGGTTCTGTTCACGACGGAGGGAAGGTCCACGGGATAGGAAAGCGGAGATGAGATGGTAGAAGGATGAGATGTGGTGCCATAGGCGACGTGAGCTTACCCATTGTGAAAGATTCGGGATTTAAGATCTAGAAGCGAGTGTCGAGAATGAGACTTTTTTTTTCCCTTTCCCTAATCAGGTCGCACCGAGTTGGTTAGCATGGGGATTCCTTGCAGACCGGAATTAAGGGGAGGTGGTAAGTTTAGACCGACGCAACGACGGGCAGGCAGGAAGGCATCGAGGGAGAATTGTGGCACAGGGAGCCAAAGGTAGATCAAAAAGCCACCATACCTTGATGAGAGAGTTCACTAGAAGAGTTTAAGAGGGACAGGTACAAGTGACCACGATCGAGGGAGACCGGGATACAATAGGGGAGGGAGGAAAGTGGAAAAAGCACAAGCTCCGGGGAGAGATTAGAGCGAGGAGCCGGGGGGTGGGAAAGGTAAGAAAAAGAGATATAAAAAGAAAAAAGACACCAATGAAGCAGCGAAGGAGAAAAAGGGAGGATGAACGAGAGAAAGAAGGCAGTAAAGCGAAAGCAGGGGAAGGCGAGAACGACTGGACCTGCGGAGTGAATTGACGGGGTGGAGGATGCGAGAGTTGGTCGTTGGAGAGAGAAAGGGGGGGACGGGCAGAAGAGACGGGACTAACGCCGACTTTGGTTAACCCTCGTCCCCTGGCGCTAATTTCTCTGACTTTGGTCTTTCTTTCTTATTTATTATCTGTTCGTTTACAGAGTAGTATAGTGTTCTGCGATTCTCTGAAAGGATTGTTCAATTGAATTGAACAATTTGAACAACGGCTCCCACAGAATACACCATTCCTGTCAACGGTCGCATGTTTTCCCCCTGTCGAATAACGCTCCTTACCCACCGGACAGGTCAACTGCCCGGCATTGAATCAATTTCAATAGATCCTCAGTCCGTCATTTCTGATCTGGGAAGAGAGACACTAATCAATCAGATGGACAAGGCAATACAGATCATACGCTCAGTGACTAGGTAACTACACCGTAGTTACCCCTAAAACAAACACAAACAGTCCCATGGATCGTAACGTCTCCTGACCCATACGTCCATGTTCTTCGACTGGCAAACAATCTCGACAGAGGCAATGCCTTGCTTGCTCTGGCTCGAGAGAATTGCCATTCCGCCCGAGTGGTTTGTTAGAGACTGCGACTCCGTGCAACTCGATGCTATTCATAGATAGCTGGGTTCTGGTTCTATTACCCTTTACTGCAGATACCTTATTCAGGGGATCTCTTCATACAGTTATTCCCAATTGCTCATACTGAGGCAGATACCTACTAACTACACCTGAAGTCAGTAGATATCTGGCCCCGTAATCAGATACCAACAGTCGGTCTCGGTAACGACGTTACTCAAACATAATTAAGGGGCAACTTATATACAATAATAATGGATACGATGGTTACCTCCTCCTGGGTTACAGATAGAATAACAAAACCACAAAATAAAAATAAAAAATGAATAGTCGCCGGAGATCTCATGAACAGAAAATGTCTTGCCTCTGATTCAGATTCTCTTCATGCACGCCCAATCAGACACAGACACAATTCAAGTCAAGGCTTCGCTAGCCCGCTAGGTTGCTTGTTAGTGGGCGATACTCGATATATATAGTACCGACTACTGGAGACCTCTGGTGACTGCGACATGCATCAACACTCCTAACATAAGGATATTGCCAGGGAAATGAATGGATGGTGTTTACTGTACTGTACGTCTGGGTGCAGGAAAAAGGAGGCACCAGACAAAGAACCTGGGAGACAAACCTACCTATCGGTGGATAACTCACGGTCAAACTAAACTAAACTAGCTGGCATTCACATTCCAACCGTGTTCCAGATGGATCTGCAACACGGTGCCCATGCAAGCGCTGCATTTCGGCATGTACAAACCGCAGGGTGAAACGGGCATTCGGTCGAGACCATTGGGCAGCATCCCGTGGACAGCTAATAAGTAGAACAACTCATGAAATTGTTGTATTTCGAGGTATGATATTATATTTACTGTATACCTACCTACTCTGTAAGATACAGTTACCAACGGTTTACCTATCCCAGTACTTACTAGGTAGATCCCTATCATGGACCTGTTCTGTTATGATCTACCGTACATGGCCCGACCTTTATGATCGACCAGACAATCGTGTCCCGTCTGATATATGCAAATGCAGGTGAGACTCAATAGTGCTGTCAATAGCAGACTTGATGGCACTGACATGTGATTATCGATCTGATAGATCAGATCGGGGGTCGGTGCCAATTATGATACGGATCCAATGGAGGATACTAGAGCCTCGGTGCTACGACGACAACCATGCCTGTACGGAGTAGAAATAATCAAATTGACCAGATTCATTATGCAACCATAATCATGATGTTCTGTAAGACAGTATGGTTGTTTCTCCCCGCAAAACGAAGGGATACAGCAAGTAGTGTCATTTTATTTCCCAACCTTTGACTTCTTCTTTGGTCGCGTCTCTTCGTCGTCGTCCATGTCGACATCACCGTCATCGTCGTCGCCGCCGGATGCATACTCCATCTCGGCATCGCTTCCGCTGCTCTCGTGTTCCGAATCGAACTCCTCGGCAACGTCCGACTCGGTGTCGGCCTGGAAGTCCTCGTCAACCGACTCCTCGTCTTCGTCGGCAGAGCCACGGTCGGGTCGGACACCCTCGTCGTCGCTGGATCCCATATCTTCGTTGTTCAGGGCGGCCTTGAGAATTGCCGAGGTCTGGGAAATTTATTAGTTTCAATGTGCACACGGGGAATAGGTAATTCCAACGTACATCTTCCGTCATTTCGTTCTTGAATCGGATGTTCTTCGCCTTGAAGAACTCTTCCAGGGGTTGTTGCTCCTCCCTGTAACAGAATTAGAAAAACATATAACCAAGAAGTTCCGTAGAAGATTCCATACCGGTTAATGTTACTGAATTGATGCGATCCGGCGTTGGCCTTCAAGGTGACTGTAATGTCGAACGTTCGGCTGGCCGACACGGCGCCGCCAACGCGAGACATGGTGATGACGGCAATGTTCTCAATCTGGATGTACGTCGCAGGCTTAGGAACGAAGATCAAGCTCTTATCCAAGAAGTACAGGAGACCCTCGTTGGCCTTGATGGAGCACTTGACCCCGCTGTGACCGTGGTGGCTACAAACTCGTAAGCATTTTCACATCAAGAAACCTGGCGCATGACTTACCTGACAAAGTCCTTCGACGGCATGATAACCTTCTTGCCTGATAGGCCGCGGAAGATCTTCGTGACGACTTGGTGGATGGGCTCTTCGTAGCGAGACTCCAGCTTGTCCTTGTAGCGCGTCTCCAACAATTCACTGGAGAAGTCAGACGATCATTCAAACATCCCCACACCTTGAATTTAACTCACTCTGTCATGTTCAGCTCCAAGCTGATCTCCTCATCCAATTTCAGCTGCATGACCAGGAACGGGTACCGGGTCTGTCCCTGGCGCAATGGAGGATCGAGACCCAAAACAATGAGCGTATGCGTGTCGTCGTTCTTAGGAAGCAAGAAGAATTTCTTGATCGAAGCGTATTGAATCTTGTAGTCGTACGTTTTGCCACGTAACCGGAAAGACGCCTCGTACATGTCGATATCGAAACGACCTCTGCAAAACATCTGTTAGAACCATTCCACCCGATAAACCCCAGAAAGAGACCACATACCTGGGCGTAAGATGCAGCACATCCAAGAAAGTGGCAAACGTATCGCCAGCCACATCGCCAATCTCCGCCTTCTCCATGAGCATCTCGTAGAAGAGGTTCGCGGCATTCTGCTCCTCGCCGCCCTCCTCTTCCTCCTCCCCTTCTTCACCCTCAGCCTTCTCCTCGCCGTTCTCCTCCTTGATGCCCTTCTCCGTCTTCACCACCGTACCGGGGATGTAGAATCGCATCTCGACCAGCTCGTCCGGCCCGGCGGCCGCCTTCCGGCCCCTGTTTTTCGTGCTGCCCGCCGGCTGGCTCTTGGGCTCGTTCTCGGCGGGGAGGGAGAACTCGACGGCGACCTCGTTCTTACCCGCCAGGTTCGTGTTGGAGATCTCGGAGTAAGGGATTTCGAACGCGGGGCGGTTCTGGACGTTGAAGCTGAGCTCGGCCTTTGCGAAATCCGCCTTACCCCAGTTCCAGCCGCGGAGCGCATGTTCTCTGCTTTCGATGTTGATGCCGTACCAGATTTTGAAGGCCTTGGACAATCGTTCGAAGTCCTAATGGAAGACAACACCGCGATTAGCAAAGAAAAATCAAAAATCAACACAGATCCCGTGCTGTCTAATTCAGAGACACACAGATCCGCCGAGGGCAAGACAAACCTCCTGATCAAAACCATCCAGCTGAATAACACCCGAAGACCGCGACAGGATCTTCAGCTCAAAACCCTTCGAAGCTCGACTCCATTGAGCGGCGCCGACATTGCTGCTATCCAGAGTAAACGTCTCGCCTCCGCCCGAGGGTTTCCATCCCAAGCCGCTCTCCGCGAGCTTGCACTTTCCCGGTTGTTTCGAGAGGTCGAGGTAGATGTTATCGAAGCTCTCCCTTGATAAGACATCAGCGCCGGTACACAATGGGGTAGTTACACAAGGGCAAAAGTAGGGGGAATGCTCACATGGTGGAGAGGCGGTCAGGGGAGGTTTCGCTATTGGTACAAAGAAGAGATAGGTTGTCCGGTCAGCGTATGTGATGAGAGGCGACAGAGATGAAGAAGATGTAGGTGAGAAGAAAAGTTGCTTGCTGTGAGGGACAGCTGATAGATTGGCTGGTGCTTAACTATCACTTTTTCCCTCTTCGCGTTGCGCGCGGCTGCCGGTTGCTACGCGGGCCGGCAGAAAAACTGCGCCTGCGGGCGGTGAGCGGGACCTCACTTCCTGTCAAATCGGGACTAGCGGGTAATATCGATGCCTCAGGTCACAATGTGTTCCATGCCAGGTCAGTCGAATATAACACAAGAGCAGTGTCAGAAGGTTGGTCTCCATGATGCTAAAAGTTAAGGCTTGTATTTGCATGTGCTCAATCCCAAATTGTCTTGAGGATTCAGAGGGCTCTAGTATCAATATAGACCCAAACGCTAACGTACATTATCAAGTTTCGCCTCGTTCTTTTCCTGGCATTTGAATATTCAGGTTCAAATAGTTCTGCGCAAGCGCTTACACTTGTATTCATTAGAAGTTGTAGGTGAACTGATCTAATTAACTGCACTTAGGCCAGTCAAAGTGTTTTGAGAACTAAGACCATTACTCCTCACCATAGCCCTAAGTACCATTAAGAGTAATCTAAAATCGAATCTACATCCATAGACAATCCAATCACAATTTCTTACCCTGTTCCCTCTTCTTCCCTCGCGAAGACTTAGGAACCCGAAACAGCCAATACACAGCCAAAGCGCCAACAATATTCACCACCACATAGACCCAAAGCAACCCGAAATTTCTCCACCGATCCGCGTAATAAATATTGAACGTCGCTAAATAATCATCGGTGACGCTCAACCGACAGTACTCGCATTGTCCCTTGGCTCCTTCATCAAGAAGGTATCCGCCAGCAGTGCTTATGAAATCGCTCATGTATTCGCCGCAAGTCAAGTTCGCGGGTGGTAGCATGCGGAGAACTTCATGCGGCGCACAGGTGATTTGGGCGCCAGATAGCGAGGTCGATAATACGCCGCTCACTAGGTATGTTGCGGGTGAGACGCGGTACATGAAGGACCAGAAACCTGGGAGATCGGCTTTGGCTACGCCCACACTGTTGATCGGTAGTGGTTAGTCGGAATAGACACTCAAACATGCAGGGAATCGGGTCTTTACTTACCCGCAGAATGAAATACATAAAAGCCAGATCAAGGTGGCTAAAGCGCCTGCCATGTCTGGAGTTTCGAACGCTGCAATGCAAAGATGGGAAAATGTGCTGACGAATAGCATGAACATCCACGAAAAGAGGAAGACGAGGAACCCGCGAGTGTGTTCATCTTCAGGCGACATGTTCTGAGTAAAGCCGACAGGGTAGAACCAGCAGCAATAGACCAGGACGGCCATGAGCGTGTTCCAGAATATTTCTACCAGTATGTTGGACAGAACGTATGCTTTTCGAAGTTAAATGATGTTTGGACAAAGGATTGGAAGAAAGCGCTTACTGGCCCATCGATACATCCGTGATGGCTGCTCACGCACCTCGTATAGGGCACGTTGAGGGACAAATAACGGCATTATCTGCTCATTCAAACTGCCGAACATGGTCAAGTACATGAAAAAGGCATAGATCTGATTCTGGAGCCCCTGGAGGCTGTTGTCAGCCTTGAAGCTGAAACCAACGTAGAGCGCCTATGATCAATTAGCCACCGAACCTGTAGTTACTGTCTAAAAGGGGTGAACAGACCGACAAGGCCACCAAGGCGACCTTCGAGTAGATGTAGCCTGGTGAACGGTAGAAATGCTTTGAGACACGCTTCAAAACTTGCCAAAATTGAGTCGAAAACGAAGCGACAAACTCGTGATGCTGCGAATTGTCTGTGTCCCTCAATGGAGAATTCAAAGCCCGGCCGGTAGCATGTTGTTTGAGTCGAGCAAGCTCATCTTTCATCTGCTGGTATTCAGGCGAAGAACGCCAAATTCTGGACCATTCAAGCTGAGTTGCGGAATTTTCAGAGACTGGTTCAGTGACTCTGAGCATCCACTCCGCGGGATTTCCATCTGAAGGGCACCTAGGGGCTCCGTTGCGCTCAAGGTAGTCGATTAACGTGCGGGCATTGTCGCCAAGCTCTGGTTGTTTTAGTAAGTGTTTACTCAGCGAAGGAATGAATGACATACCACCAAAGTAGACAGTCTTCCCACCTGGCTGAAGTAGAAGAAGGCGATCAAATCTTTGGAAGAGAATTGCAGAAGGCTGGTGAATCGTGCATAGGACTGCTTGGCCGCTCTTCACCAGTTTCTCGATCAAATCACATACTGCCCATGAGGTCTGAGAATCTAAACCTGAAGTAGGCTCATCCAGAAAGACAAGGAGTTCGGGTCTTGCTGCGAGCTCTACTCCAATGGTCAATCGTTTGCGTTGTTCGACATTCAGACCTTCTCCGGGAACGCCGATAACAGCATCTGCGAATTCCTGCATGTCAAGCATTTCAATGACCTCCTCAGTGTATGCTATCTTTTCATCCTTGGACACATTAGCAGGTTGACGAAGAATAGCGCTAAATTCTAGCGCTTCTCGGACGGTCATTGTATCAAGGTGCAGGTCTTGCTGCTGCACATAGCCAATCTTATGAGCGAAAGAGGCATCCGTCGGTATCCCGTCAACAAAAGCATTCCCGGATACCACTCCCATGGTAACTCTGGCAGCTAGAGTGTCCAAAAGAGTTGTTTTTCCTGCACCGGATGCACCCTGATCTAATGTCAGTACCTCACTGGCAGCCAATTAATAAAGGGGCAACATACCATAAGTGCGGTGGATGTTCCAGGTCGCACCCAGCCGTCTATGTGGTCCAGAATCCTACGATCCTCGCCTTTAATCTTGATGTCATAGCAAAGATCTTCCCAGTGAAACACAGGTCCTGACTGCTCGTTTTTCTTGACAGGGTCATATTCTTCAATACGTTGGGAAACCACAAGCCTTTGTACACCTAGGGACTCCACATCTGACTTTCGAGCAACAGATCCGTGTGGTACTTTTCCTCTGCGAAATACCAAAACCTCACCCTTGCTTCGGGGCGGACGGGCGTACTCGGCAGAGATGAAGTAGATAGCTAAGAAGCCGATAAAAAAGCCAAAAAGGATACCGACATTCCTTGACCTCCGTCAGCATCACGCATCAATGTAAGGGAGTGTAAGGGAGCTCATTAGCTAGATATAAGAACGGCGCTCACCTCCATTTATGGGAATTCCAATAATCAAATGCTTGGTTGATGTAATGCTCACCATCAACGACCGGCGAACCAGGTACTGAGCCCACAGATGCACAGATGCGATGATCCAGCGTCACATTTCCGTAAGACGGACCTTCGGGGACGATCTGAGCACATGGAAATTCTCTTCCATGAAACTCGTTCGCCATCAGCGCTTCGAATGCGTAGGCCAGAGGGTTTATGTACCCCATCCAGCGGGACCATCCCTGCATATAAGCGGTGGGAATAGTGAAACCAGTATATATCATGACGCCTATAGTGAGAATAGAGCTTGGAACCATTGCTTGGTGGGAAGTTCGCGTGACACTTGCGAGTGTGCGATAGACTGCGGACATAACCAAGGTGGTGATGTATGAAGTGAGACAGTAGAAAAAAAACGCGCCGACTTCACGACGAAAATTCGCCATGAAATAGATAAGTGTGTTGAAGACGATCATGTTGACGGTTTTGTACGGAACGTCGATTAGGTAGCTCGCGATGGATTGAGCAGACTGATGATAGAAGGCGTAACGGTTCTGTTTCTCGACTGTCGGACGCTCGGCATACAGTGTGAGAACCTAATCAAACGTAATGATCAGTTACACGGTGCACTCTAGCAGAAAAAGAATTCTTACCTCGAGCTGACTTGAAAAAGCGTTGAAAAGCAGCCCGAAGAACATCATGGCTCCCCGGTAGTAGAAACTTGATGTATCCTCTTTTAGGTTGTAGAACATAGAGCCCAACACGAGAGCGATAATAGTATTGAACAAGAGTTGAATGATGGTAAATCCGGGGTCTGCCAGGAGTCTTCGCCAACCGCGCCAAAGACATAGTTCAATCTGCTTCCAGTAGGACAATTTGTAAGGAGACTTGGTGCTTTGAAACCTTCCACGCTCTGCTCGCCGGGATTTGGTGAATTCTTCAAGTCGTAGCTTTTGGTCATGGTTGTTTTTGTATACTTCGATCTCTTGCATGAGATTCTGACGTTGGACACTGTTCTTCCATCGCTGGGCGAAGTCTTCCGGTGTTCGCGGGGCCCAGTTTTCGCATCCGGATCTTATCCTGCGCTCTTGAGGACTAGTCATTGAGGTGAGGAAATCAGGCGTAGTTTGTCTTTCAGGGCCTTCGCATAGATCAATTAGATACTTTATCTCATACCCTGAAATGACAGAGATGCTCACATTCAAACCCAAGATCTTCGAAATATTTCTTTGCATCCTCTACTCGGCCGTAGAAGATCTGTCTCCCATCGTAAAGGACTGTTACTTTGTCGAAGAGCTAAAAGAAATGACAGATTGAGTGAGCAGTCCATTCCCTTCACGATTCCTGAAGGCAAACGCACCTCGTAAGCATCTTGTGGAGCCTGGTAGAGGGCTATCACAGATGCCAGACCCATATAATCTGCTTGCAAACGCAGATTCTTACAGAATTGAATGGCATTCTGACTGTCCAACCCGCGAGTGGAATTATCCCAGCACTGGAACTTTGCACCAGTCAAAGCCGCCTCAGCGATACTGACGCGCTTGCGTTCACCACCACTGACTCCGCGCACGTACTCGTCGCCGACTCGGGTGTTCTTGGTGTGTGCAATTCCAAAAATGGCCATGACTACATCCCGAATGATGTTGCTTGCTTGAACGGCGCTGACTCCCGGGATGCTTGTACATGGTTTCGCGCGAGCCGCAAAAGTGAGTGTCTCTCCGACAGTGAGGTGCGGAAGGTGGACGTCTAACTCGGCATTGTAAAGGACATCGCCCCGGAATCGGTGGTGCATATGCTTGGGGAGTATTCCTAGAGTTCGAGATAAGCAGTTGGCAGAAGCAGTTACGTGAGAAGTATTTTCCTACCCCTGTAGTTGAGGTACGAATCAGGACTAATATCCAAGCCACTTGTCTGGCCCGCCAGAGTCTTCAACAGGGTTGAGCATCCTGATCCTGGCGGGCCAAGAACAAGAAGCATCTCCCCATCATTAACAACGCCCTCGAAGTCACGCAGGATTTTGATCTTGTCTTTGCGTCGATTCCTGCTGATCAATCCAGCGGCATATGACAGGATACCAAGAGGGATGTTCCCAGTGCTCTTCTGGTACGAAGCTCCATTGTTGTATCCCGAAACACTGAGGTTGCGATATGCAATGCCGCTTTTTCGCAGAGGCATCTCGCCAGAGCGTGACTCCAACAGCTGCATAAAGGATCTTACCCATATCTTTGCGTTGAACGAGGGGGAGAAAGGATCAAGCTTGCTGTTGCTTTCGGGGTTCAAAGGGGAATTGACATCGGCACCACCTGTCACCGAAGTTCGACTCACTTGGCGAGCAAGTTGAGAGATAGAGGCTTCCCTATCATCATCACTCGATCCCTTTCCCGATTCGATAGCTGCTGACATTGGCTCGAGCTGTTTGGTCATACTGTAGGATTTCGACAGTCAGTTGTTTCCTTGTTCTTCCGACACATGGAGCGGTGTTGTTGTTTCGAAGAATGAACATATGTGTTCGAGAAATAGTGTTGACTGAAAAGCTAAAACTATATAAATAAGCAAATTGGAAACTCCCAGGCTCCATAAAGAGCATCTTATGTACCGAAACACCGAGATCTTTTTGACGACACAGTATGATCCTTCGTACCCTATCCACGCCAAGCACCGAGCACCGAGATATGACGCCTAGAACCGATTCCACAATGAGTTAGTGCGCAAGCACATTCAATCCTCTTGTAGCTATGAACATTGGCTTTTTAGAGCCCCAGTATACTTAACATGTAATTCTGGTGGCCCGGACTCTAAACGGTCGCTTGCCAGTCATCCTCAGGGCTTGCAAAACCGTCAGGGATAACCGAGCCGAACAATGTGCGCACATCAAGCCCATGCAGCAGAGGATCATCGATGCCGACGTTGAAATCCACTGCTGGGTAATATAAATAGTCTGTTGGGTCGTTCCAGTCACTAATTTGGTCATACAGTCCCAAATCAACATCAACGTCCGGATTGGCTGGGATGTGCATCTGGAAAGCCCAATGGTTAGTCGATTATTCGGGACAAAGGAACGGAATTTGAGGCCTACCGGATCTGCAGAATCTGCAGAGCTCGATGCCTTTGGATCCGTAAGATTCTTTTCATGTGGCCTGAGCACGAGGCAGCCATTATGTGAATCTTGAGTGGGACCTGGGTCACCCATGCGTTCTTGGGCACTGTTTGCAGGAAAGTCCCTGACATATTGCCGCGCTATGTGTGAGAATTCAGAAACGCCAGAAGAAGGAAGTGAGCCGTTAGACGCATGCTCCACCAGGTTGAAGTGACCAGAAGCTATATCCATCATGAACAAATTAGTTTTAGTTTCAGGGTGCATGGGATTATGCACAACAAAGTCGAAGAGGATGAAGAGGGCCACAAGAGGTAAGACCCCCAGGATACTGTAGTACTGGTCAGCGTCTTGAAGACTTCTTAAACCGCAAAATGAGGAGAGCATAGGCACGTACGAAATGGGAGTATGAGCAGCCTTGTCAATGTACTGGGTTAGCTCAATTATGCGTCGGGCCGACTCCATCAACTTTATCTTGCTGTCCTCACGCCGTTGTCCCTTTTCTGGGCCGACCTGTATAACGAGTCGAGCCAGCGCAATAACCAGACTATAATATAAGTAATGGGTCTGCAATAGGATCATCCTAAAGTCAGGATCAGAGAATGTATACGACTTGTGAGCGCCTGGTCGAAAGTCCTCAGGTAGTGTCATCTTCCAGCGTTCCAATCGATCCTGGACGTAGTCAATCGTGGTGTAATAGCTTTCTACAGTATTCACCGATGCACTGATTGAGAACAAGTGCTCATATGCTTCAGAGGTAATTCGAGCAAAGCGGACTCTTGAAAGGAACCAGTTGCAACCACCGAAGATTGCCTCGGGTGTATCTGGAAAGGGACATCCGATATCGAAGTCCACTATTATCTAGGATGATATTAATCTTGGCGCCTCACGCTCACATTCATTAACTACTCACCGAATTCACACGATTTTGAAATACCAATTGTTTTTCCATAATAAAAATTACCCAGAATGTTCGCTGACGGCATACTTGTTGATCTCCGCGGTGACTTGACCTGTGATATCGGAGTGATTGTGCCATGCGTGCAGCTTCCATGACCAAAAGCTCATCAATTTGGAGGCAACACGTGTTCATGGCAAATATTGACTACAAGGATCTGTTAACATTGGATACACAGGAGACAGACATTAAGAATGCTTACCATTGCAGTCAGGGCCTGTATAAGTGGCAGTTAGTACACTTTCTGAAGAAGATGACTACAATGTCTCACTTGTAATTTTAGCAGCGATTCCTCCGGCGCCAGGATATCGGCCATCAAGCCCAAGGATATCTGGAATAATTTCCACGCTTTGCCTTTGCCAGGATCAAAGCTTCCGCCATCACGGTACTGACACCCTAAAGCCAGAACGGTGTGGTACAAGGCAGAAAAAGCGGTATCGGAACTTAACTTGCGGGCAATATCAGGCCCAAATGCAGTTCTCTCAAATCGTTGCCTATCCAGAAATGGATAGATAGAGTGAACATGTCGGAAATAAGCTAAAGAAAGTTAGCCTATTACTTGTGGGAAAGGATAAAGAGCCACAACCATCAATGTAGAACCGAGCTGCTTCTCTTGGAACCTGAATAGAGCTTGATGGTCCCTTGAAAGTGACAGGGGAGATTGACGCGTTTCCTTGAGCTTTCACCCGCTGAGCGATCAGTGTCTCAATGGACTCTAGTAATTCTCTGAGACGGTTATTCCCTAGTCTCTGCGATACAGATTGGATTCTTTGTTCCGAAAAGAAGGCCAAGTTTGAGCTGCTGACTGCAATTACTAGTCAGATCTAGATTGGGTTTGAATTCTAGTAGCGAGATTGTACCTTCATGCTCTTGTAACTGTATAACGTATTAGAGGTGTTAAGGAATCTCTAGGTGCGGCGTACTCACTCTGAAAACACAAGCCTCATCGCTAAGTTGCACGCCGCTGGGAGAGCTATCCAAGAGGTGGTCCACGAATAACGGCTTGATATTATGTGGTGTCTCGGTATGATTGCTCCGAGCACAGTGGAAGACGTGCGAGTGCTGACTTGGGCTTGGAAAACTTGGGTTATGAGCTAAGCAGTCTTGGTTAGATACCTGAAGTTATAGGCACCTGCAACGCACTTGCTCTACTTACTCGTGGCAGTTTGAGGTTGCGCTCTGAATTTGCGCCTGATCTGTCTGAATTCACACTCTTCGTTCCGTTTCTGGAAATTAAGGCATAGGTGCGTCAGTCGCGGCTATTGTCATCCAGACTGTATCCAATTCTGCTTACAGTACAGTGTGTGCATCTTGAAGGATCCTCCCGGGACACTATCACACACGGTTAGGGATAGCTAGCATCGCAGAGAATTGGATGGTGTACCAATGCAGCGGACCTTACGCAGCCTGCATTGTTCACAGGACTTGCATGTCTTACTGTAAGGCGTGGTTCGGTGCTCGGTGACCGGCATCGCAACGATGAGCGAGGGTCTAGGTCGCTCTGTCGGGTTACAATAGAGAAACTATGGGCTCAAGAACACGAGACCTCGGGGTCGACAGTATAGTCCGGGACAGGAAATTTAAAGAGAGGTGGCCTCGAAGTGGTGGGATGAAATGAAGGTGGGAAGCTTCATCCTGATCCTGCTCGGTGTTGAAGCGGCTCGGTCCTCGGGGCTTGGCACTTGTGCCTTCCGTTGGCTGTCATACTGAGTACTTCTCCTCCGTACCTCTGATTCTGCATGATAATGGACAGTTACAATTCGATAACCAAGGGATTTAAATCGACTCGTCTCCGTCCGATGCTCTCAATTCTGCAGTGATCCATCTGAGCTACGTCAGTCGCGATCGCTAGAAGCGCAGTATAAGATATCCTCGTCAACGGTGAACTCGGAGGTCGAACTAAACAGACAATTGAGCAAATTGATTCAGACTACAAGTGCAAACATTCATCCCAACAAAGTAAAGCCTTATTTCATCTTATGAAGCTGGAGATGGAGGCTGGAGAATGGCATGTAACTACTCCGTACATTTGATCCAGTTGCCACCTACGCCCACCTGTAGAGGGCGAAGAGAAAACCCCCGGCGATGAACCTGACTAGACGGGTATGGAGAAGAGTAAGGAGAAGAGAAAAGGGATGGAGGCTATATTAAGATTGATTCTTTGTTTGATGAAATTTGAGTTGGGACTGTGCAACAAAAGATATGTAATTAATCAACGCGCCTAGACTAGAATGTCAAGATCGACATGATTTTCGGCTCAATAGCTTCGGGGTTTCACATTAGCTCTATGCGTAGGTTGCTTGACGGTGCTAAATTGTATTCTTGATGCTCGCGAATAGCTAATCAGCAGCACTTCGTATGGCTGGTGTTGGTTGTGCATGTTAGCTCGGTTGGTGTTCGGACTGAGAAACACGCCTAGGGAATGCCGTCTTTGTGAGCTGTCAATCGAGGGGACGACCAGGAGATGGACTCAACGTTCCAAACATGATGTGCTCCATCCTTAAAAGGGATTGATCGTTGGTGGCTGTGTCGACGAATCATAACGAGTGATGTCACTCCTGGGTCCCATGTCTGATTGCCATGAAGCAATAATCCTAGTAGTGTGGTGAACTGGACAGTAGCAGGTGTTCCCCGGTGTACTTACAAACGATCAGTCTCCCTACTAACTATGGCGTAAGTGTATGATGTAGTTTCAGTCTTGATGAGGAATGAAACGCGTGCTATTTATATCTCTCGCCATCGGGCACTCTTGACGGGCGCCTATAGCATCGATACACCGCCAGTAAACCGTGAATCTAATCGCAACGAAGTCTACGGTGTAGGCAGAGTCGCAGTGCCAAGATCCTATGACCAATGGATGATGTTACAGCACGCTGTAGTCTGTACAAACTCATGCACATACATAGACACAGATCGACGTAGATCCTGATCTATGCAGTTGCATACATACATGCATAAACGGTGGCTATCATGCGTGCAACCAGCCTTTCCTTCGGATGGGAGCCGAAATGAGGGTCTCATGACGAAACTCATCTGGAAGCTGAACATGAAATGTACACTGCAAGGTTTTTGGCGAAGTTCTGCGCGGTCGACTCCAGGGGCCAGGGGTAAAAGCATACCAGCCGCTCCATTTGCCATTTGAAAGATGGGTGGAGTTCTGAATTGTCTGGGTAGAGCTTCATTGTACATACAGACAAACATGTTTTTTTCTGTACATTTAGATGGAGTATGCATGGTTGGTGATCCGGACATCGAGTCTAATGCGACCTGCTTTGGCTGGAAGATGAGCTGAATCAACACAAGCAGAACAGAACAGTCTTAGGCTGTACCGGTACCTGATGGTATTAGTGGTATGTAACCTGGCGTGTTCCGTACTGTCAGGCGGAATGAATGACATTGTGGTCCACCGTCGACCATGGGTGGTCGCCCGTGGCTGGCAGGTAACGGTGCGTATTGCGTATCGGACCAACGTATATCCTGGGACTTAATTGCGGCGGCGGGGCCGGTGGAATTGTATTCAACTGGTACGCGTAAGGATCCAGATGGACCCGGCCAGGCACCGGTGCCCCTTCCATACAGATTATTACCACTTTACCGCCCGTGCTAAGAATAAGATGCCATCCGGAAAAACGTCGAGAGGCTCCAGACTCGAACAAACAAGCCCCTGCCATGTCACTCGTTCACCCAGTCATTCGTTAATTCTCTTTTACCTGCCCATTCCTGCATTTTTTTTGGCTCCCCTCTGGCCGGATGCTATCCATTCATTCATTCCGTCTTTAATTTTTGCATTGTTGTTCTCCTTTTCTGACCAGTTCCTTTTCATTGCCACTCCTTTTTCCACTGCGTGTCGCCCTTATTGGTACCGGGACTCCTTTAAAAAAAGGAATCCCCCCCCCCTCCCTTTGGTTCGACCGTTCCAATAATTTGATCCCAATCTGGCTTTTGTCCCAGTTGTGAATCAAAGCCTGATTTTTTTCGACACTATTTTACCTCTACAGTGACCTTTCCACCCCCTTGGCCTGTCGTCGCGATCCTGAACAATGAGGGCCCCCTCACTGTTTAGGCCTGCGACGGCTGGCTTGTCGGCCGCCCTCTACCTTTGGTCGCTCTTCGAACCCGCCTACGGTCTCTCGTTTAACTCGGTATCCGAACCCGATCTGGATTTGACGCCCTTGGGAAAAGTCGCTCTTACCGGAGATTTCGATGCGGTCTCGATCTACGCTTACACCGAACAATCCGTGACGGCCTCTGTGCAAGAAGGGTCCCAGTCCATCCTCACGCCGCTCCCCAATGGAATTATTACGACGCTGTCGGTGGCGGATGCTGATATCCGTGTGATGTGCCCGTTCACCCTGAAAGATGGAACGCAGAAGGGAATTTTCCTGGGCGGCAACTTCACGAGCCTCGGAGACGTCGAGACGCAAGGCGCTGCATTGTTCGACCCCGAATCGAAGAAGGTGACGGCCTTACCCGGTCTCTCCGGGTCGGTGTCGGCTTTATTGTGCGATAAAGAGTCCGACACTGTCTACGTTGGCGGAGATTTCAGGTACAAGAATACGTCTCACGCCGTCGCATGGGTTGACAATAAGGGCTGGTCGAGTCTGTCTTTTGGCGGGTTCAATGGACCCGTGTCCTCGATCTTGAAGGGCGACGATGGGAACATCATCTTTGGTGGCTCGTTCGATGGCATTGGGAACTCTACCTCCTCGAAGAAAAACGAGCAAATTGTCAACCTCCAAAATGCCACCATCTCTTCGGATGCGACCTCTTCGAAAAGCGGCCTAAGCGACCCTCGAAACATTCTCTGTCAAACAAGCGGCGAAGATGGCGAGGGGAAGACATGGCTTCTCGCCGACAATTCCCCCGGCTTCTGGCGGGCGGACATGCGTTTTGGATACAACCCGACCAAAATTCGCCTTTACAACACCCATTACGAAGGACGCGGTACGAAGTCGTTTTTGTTACGAGCTCTTCCGGATAACGGGATTATGAACCTCACCTATACCGAGCCTGGTTCCCACGATAAGAAGTACTGCGATTCGGTCTGCCCGCTTTCAAGCAACTCGACCGAGAAATACCGTGAGTTTCATTTTGTGAACGGCGTTGGAATGCGTGGCTTCCAGATCGAGGTCTTCGAATGGTATGGCGATGGTGGTGGTCTCAATGGGATCCAAGTCTATGAGGACGGTAAGTCTCCTAGTAATCTTCTTTACACTTGATAATGGGCGTATGCTGATTTCATAAGATATCTTTGCCTACGCCGTGAGCGACTTCAACGAACCGTCATGTGCCGATATTAAGTATCCATCGAAAGCGTCCCAGAAAGGCTCTTGGACCCACACGAAATCCGACCAGAGTCAGTCCGATTATTTGACCGCGAAGGTGACCGACTCTTCGGCTGAGAGCACGTCCGTGGTATTCGAGCCCGATATCAAACGGTCGGGCAACTACTCGATTGTTATCTACACCCCCGGGTGCATTCAGGACGGCACTTGCGACTCCCGTGGTATCGTCAATGTCACCGCTACCGTCTCAACCCGCTCGAAGAATGACAAGCCAATTGAAAAGCTCATCTATCAGAACAATTACTATGAGAAATACGACACACTCTACACTGGCCGCGTGGATGCCAGCGACAGCTCGTTCCGCCCCAGTGTAACGTTGACGCCGAAGTCTGGCCAGGGAGATCTCACGGTTGTTGCATCCCGGGTCAGGTTTAACCTGATCCATGCTTCTGGTAGTCTGAACGGAGAGTTGAATGGACTTTACGACTTTGACCCTGAGTCGAAGGATACCAACTCCAACTTCACCGACTACGCTGTCAATCGAGCGGGCCTGAGCTTGGACGAGGACGCCTCAATCAAGAGCTTGGTCAGCCATGACAACGCCGTCTACGTCGGCGGAAACTTCTCCAGTTCTGATGTCGACAATGTAATGTTTTTCGAGAAGAACAAGAATGCCACATCACTGCCCCAGGGCGGCTTGAATTCGGAGGTGACTTCGATGACGGCCCTCGACAAGATTCTCTACGTTGGAGGAAACTTCACTGATACGGCGGATGGCGGCAACGAGCATCTCAAACATGTTGCAGCTTACTCCTTTGGCTCCAAGTCTTGGTCAGCTCTAGGGGGCGGTGTCAACGGCCCAGTCTCGCAGGTTCTTGCCCTTACTCTGAACGTATCCTCCGAAATCAACGAGACTATTATTGGCGTCAGCGGAGATTTCGATCAATTACTTGCGTTCGACAAGACTCCTTCGACGAATGTATCTGGCTTTGCAGTATGGGTGCCCTCGCGAAAGAATTGGCTGCAAAATCTTGATGTCAACCAGATGGAATTTGCCGGTCAACTGTCGGCTTTTGCAAGGGTGGATAACACGAGTCTTCTTGCTGGTAATCTTGCTTCGGCAGGCATTGCAGCCGCAGGTGCCGTGTCTCTACTTTATGATGACGGCCTTGATTTGGATCCTCTGCTTTCCAGCACCAACTCTAGTGGCAGCACGCATACCGGCATTTACGACTCCAGCTCTGACCGTAACCTCACGATTTTGGGAGGTCACTTCACCACGATGTCCAATAATGGATCTGAAGTCGAAAATATCGCCATCCTTGATGGCACTCAGGGTACTATTTATGGTCTCGGAGCAGGGGTTGATCGCAACTCCACTGTGTTGGCGCTTGCCGTATCCGAAGATTGGCTGTACGCCGGTGGCAACCTGACCGGGACTGTTGGCGATTCCGTCTTGAACGGGCTTGTCGTGTATGACCTCGAAAACGGAACTTATGCGCAAAAGCAGCCGCTGCAATTTACCGGAGAGGACGTTACCGTCAATGCCATTGCTCCACGTCCGGGATCGAGTGAAGTCTATGTCGGTGGTAACTTTGTCAATGCCGGCGCTCTTCCTTGCGCGGCAGTGTGCATGTACGACCCGTCTGAGTCTCAGTGGAACAGACTTGGAGCAAGCCTTGGCGGTAGCGCTATAGCCCTCACTTGGATGAATAACCACAAGTTGATGGCGGTCGGGGACTTGGTTGTCGATGGTAATCGTTCGGCTGTGGCCACATACAACCAGAAAAAATCAGAATGGTCCGCTTTCGATGGGGCGTCTTCCTCGGACATCGAGGGAACCGTAACCGCCTTTTCTCCAGCCAGTAAAGACGTGTCTACCTTTTGGTTGGCAGGTCAATCCAAAAACGGGTCCAGCTTCCTGGCCAACTATGACGGATCCGAGTTTCAATTTACGGCCGACATCTTTGAGCAAGGAACTTCTATTCAGGGTCTTGAGGTTATTCCCCTATCAGAAAAGCACGACAGCGTCAATCTGTTGAATAAGGACTTGATACTCCTGATTACCGGACAACTGGTGATCCCAGGCTTTGGCAATGCGTCCGCAGCGCTTTTCAACGGAACTGTCCTCAGCCCGTTTATCCTCACAACCGGGTCTGATGGCCGACCGGGCAGCATGTCCCAGATCTTCTACGAAAAGACCAATCCTTATACCAGCGAAGGTAAGTGCTATTTGAATTTTGCCTTGATCTATGAGACTCATGAGTACTGATCGTTCACAACAGGAAAACACCGTTCGAACGGCATTGTTGTTTTAATATCGTTCTGCCTTGCGCTTGGCTGCGTTTTCCTCATCGTCATTGCCGGAGTCATCTTCAATAAGATCCAGCGTCGCCGTCAAGGCTACATGCAGGCCCCCCAAACGTACGGCACCGATCGACCATCGAACATGACACGGCTGCCTCCCGAGTATCTCTTCAATACGTTGCAGCAACGCAACCCTGGCACGCCAGCAATATGAGCTTCGGTCTTTTTCCGTGACGACGCAGTTGGTTCAATTTAAAAGAATGATCCATTTCCTTTTCTTCTTTCTGTTTGATACCTCTCAGAACGGCGTTCTTGGGAAGCACATCATCATATACCCTTATTTAATTCTTGATCCCCTTTTTTCATTTCACTTCTATTTCTGCGCTTGCATTTTGGCATTCGGTTAATTGACCGTTAATTTCTCAGGAGATATACCATAATGGCTGGCTTCTTTTTTTGTCTTTTCTTTTCTTTTTTTCTTTCTGCTGCTCTTTCTGCTGTTTCTATGCTCTTCCATACAGTCCTTGAGTTGGCCAGGGACGTGTTGATATATCCTTGCCCACATCCGGTCCTTTGTCAGTGAATCATCTTGTTGATTGTTTTCCCATGTACCATAGTCTCCGACCTGGGTGACACTGTTTACTTCATCCTCTGATGCTTTGTGCGGAGGAGGGTGGCGTTACCAGGTGGGCATGTACATAACCCGCGCGAGATCGCGGTAATGACAATAATGCATGTTGTTAGTAACTAGAAAAGCGATCCTCTGACGGAGCCAACTAGAGCTCCTGTGTATCATGTGTGTTATACCAAGCGATCCAAGCTTTGAGGAGAGCGCCACTTTAGGAAATAAGAGGCCCAAAGCCTGATTGTAACCCGGAACGGACAGACCATCCGAAATACTGGTGGATCGGATGCTTACTGGACTGGGCTGACTGACTCCGTACTCCGAAGAGACGCTGGAGACCTTCAACGACCCAACCCCATCCAAGACTAAGTGGACCCCATGGTAACAACGTCGCAGTTGTTATTGTTGGGTGACCAGAAAGACCATGATTGGGTGGTAGGAGGCTGAGATGAGTTACCTAATTTAGAAAAGCCCGACATGCGACGTCGCTAGCGTGGGATGTGATTCGGCCGGATGCTCGCCACAGATTAACTCTGAAGTCATGTTTACGCCCCAGGAGCTTGAGCCTTGTGGGCTGTGTTCTTGTGTGAAGTGTTTCCTTGATCGGGGTTTATGTCTGGTGATGGAGGGGGGCTAAGAGGTCTGGTTAGGTTAGATGGTTGGAGAGACCCAATGTAAATATGACTGAGTGGGCGAATAGGTCATGGGACGGTTGAGCTAGCGGGCAGAATCGGGTATATTCCGGAGACTTGGACTGGAGACGGCGGTCAGGAAACGTAAGAAAAAGGAAGAGGGATCGAACGTATCCATCCGCTGTGTTCTCCGTGAGGGAATCGTGACTGGGGAAGGCTGGAGAACAAGATAAGGACAGGAGAAGGAAAAGAATGAGCAACAGGAATTATTCTTGATAAGCAAGCAAGTCCCATGACCCTCTCCAGCCCCAACCCCGACCTTTCATCCCAACCCGGATTTTTTCCCCGCAAGGAGAGAGCGTGGCGGACAAAGGATGATCCGCTTCCCCGACCGGCGGTGCAAAAATCCCCGCTTTATCTTAGTCTCTCCCGGTCCCTTCAATAATGCCAAGTCGCTGGGGAGAAAAACAGTAGTAATGGAAATTATATTTTTTTTGGCAACAGAAATTTTTCGAATGCTCTTCTGTCTGGTCTGCTCTTGTCCTTGCCTAAATCGTGCTTTGGGATTCTTGTCATCGAATCTTCTTTCCCCTCTCTCTTCTCCTAACCTTCCCCCCCTCCCCTTGACTTCCCTTCCCTTTACCCCCTTTCCCCTCCCCCCTAGAGTCTTGGTATCGACTATCGATCCATGTACGGAGGCCCTCGCACTACTGTCGATTTGGGGCTAGTCTTTGCGCCTTGACTCTCCAGCTTTCTCTCCCCCGGGTTATATTCTTATTATTGGCCCACCAACCGTCTCTTCGGATGCTGCACCTCAATCGTCGTCGATACCATCCGGTATGCGATCTCGCACAGGCTGGTACGTTATGTTTATTAGATGGTTTGAATCTTTCTTCATCATCCAAATAAATAAATTCACATGAAAAAAGAATCAACACAGTTACAGCACAGCTATCCTCCCTACCTACTTTGCCCGTCGCTTCGGCGGTGCTCAACACCTACCTTCCAGGCAATACGAGTGAGCTGACTTTTTGGGCTTTGGGTCTTATCTATCACAGCTTGACGTGCCGCACTCGCAAACTCAAATGTACGGTATCTTCCTCGTCTTGATGCTCAGAAGACGTTCCGGACTAAATGCGCCCGTCTCGCTTTAGGTGACGAGCAGAAGCCCGAATGTTCGCAATGTCGCAAAGGTGGTAGAGAGTGTCGGCCCAGCGAAGGCATCGTCTTCCGCCATCAGCAAAATGCCTCCATGAACAAGGACTTGGACGATCCTTCGGCTGGTCGGGGGAATCTCAAGGGATTCTACTCGTACAAGAATACGTTCGATAAGGATAGCGTGTGGTTGGATATTCCGAAACATGGTAGTCCTCCCCTTCTACACTTCCACTTACCTGTTCGGTGTTGTGAGACAGCTGGCGGGTGCTGTTTACCGAGGCGGTGTGGTTTCCATCGTCGTTCATCATCAAGCACACCTGTCTAATCTTCGGTTCTGATGTAGTTATATTCGTCGACAATTCGGATCCGTACGCCGACGACCTCGAGGCCGCGCTGGGCGAGTCCGAAGCTGCTATTCTGGCCGCTAATTCGCAGACTCGGCACTGGAACTCTCACCATCCCTCTCCATCGGACGGGGAATCACACGGCCTCGAAACGCTGTCCACGGCGGCTGTTCATGATCGCCTTTCGTATCCCTCCTTCAGTGTTGAACCACAACAGGCTTTGGCAGCGACCGACGGCGGCTCGGCCTTCAACACTGTTTCGACCACCTCCATCTCGTCGGGGCCCTCTCCGAACCCTCCCCGCAGCGCGATACCCCCTCTCGCTTCCCCTCCAATCTCGATCGCCTCCAGCAATACTAATACTAATAATAACATCAACTTCCTTTTGAATCCTTCTTCTCAATCACACTCGCCGCCGGTTGATCCGACGATTCAGCATGCATCTGAGCGTAGAAGTTCGTCGTTGACGGCCAGGTCCCTCGTGTCAAGAGGCGGCAAACCGGTTGAACAGCGATCAGACATGCCGGTGGAAACCGAGCACGAGATCGCCTTTCTATTAAGGAATTTCTCCGAAGCGCCAGGACTTTGGTGAGAGGAGTCTTTCCCTCGTCCTCTTAACTATAGCGAGCTGACTGACAATGTTAGGATGGATTTGTTCGACCTGGGAACGTATTTCGCATCTTATATTCCTGTCAGGGCGCTGACGAATCCGTTGCTAAAATATGCAGCGTGCGCGTATTCCGCAAAACAATTAGGCCGCGTCAGGAAGTTCGGATCCTCCACCGGAGATGCTGTGCCTATCCAAGCTTCGCTGGATTCGTGGCCCGATGAGAGTGCCGTAGACTGGGGCTGGTATGGGGCTAAATATTATGAAAAGGCCATTCAGCTTTTGATGAAAGAGCTTCAGCCGGACAAAGGCCCAGCGCCGTTGAGTACTCCCGAGGCCTTTGGGCAATGGCAGGCTGCCGAGCTGTGTGAGAATGGTGACAATCCTCGGAAACGTCGACGGCGTTACACGGAAAGTCGCCTGTCTAATGGCGTTCATTCGGACGAGATCCTAGCCGCAACGGCCATCCTGTCTGTGTATGAACTGCTGGACGCGACCGGCCCAGCCTGGAGTCGGCATCTGAGTGGTGTCAAGTCACTGCTGGATGTGGCGGAGGTCGGAATGATGCCGCTTGAACAGCGTCCGTCGCCGGGAGAGACAGCCTTCCCACCTCCGAAACGACCGGGACTCTCCAGGGCCCGCAAGGCGACGTTCTGGAATTTCGCTCGGCAGGATTATCTAGCTGCTTGTAAGTGCTTAACGGCGAGTATCCTGGGTTGCAAAGGGTTAACCAGTGTTGGCTAGTCATCAATGAGTGTCAGACGAGATTGAACACCGAGGATTTAGTGTTGTGGACTGAGGCGGGCCTTCAAATCGATAATATGGGCTTTGTGCGGCTCACTAATGCCACTACGGCTGGGTATCCGGAGGGCGACGAGGCTATGAAGGAGGATATTGTCGGTAATGGGCTCATCTGGATCCTGTCTAAGATCGTCAACTATATCAGTGCCGGGGACCACTTGCACTTGGACAACGGTTCCGTTGACTCGGGGCCCTTGGCAATTTCGCAGCAGGTTCTGCTCGAGCGGTGGTACCGTCTCGAGACCGAGCTTGACGTATGGTACAACGGGCTTCCGCATACGTTTCGACCTTGCGCAAGGCTTCAATCACGGGCAAAGGACAGCGCAACCGGCAGCGACCTTTCGTCTCTATGCGAGATATGGTACAGCATTCCGGTGTGCGCATCTGCCATGCAACACTACCATATGGCCCGGATCCTGCTTCTCATCAACAAACCCCATGAGTCAACCAGTAGACGGAGCACCATCACCAACAGGCTCAACTCATATCGTTCGATTGAGAGCGAAATCCGGTTTCACAGCCGCGAAATTGTAGGCATCTCGCTGGGCCGTCCAAGTGGCGCCGTCCGGATCAACTCTCTTCAGCCACTGTTCGTCAGTGGCCAGTGTCTCACCGAGCCTGCCGAGCGACGAACGACGTTGCAATTGCTGCGCGGCATCGAGACCGAGCTTGGCTGGGCAACCGAGTACCGCGTCAACCAACTGCTCCGAGAATGGGGCTGGAATGAGGGGGCCGGGGACGTTGAAGTTCCGTGAGAACATCATGCTGCTCTGAACCTCTCTCATCTCCGCTGAAGGCTCGAATCGAGTCAAGCACTCTGGTGTACTCGTTGCACAGATTGGGTCCCTTTGAGAGGAAACCCCATATCTGTGGTCTTCAACGAGTACCACGAGGTCATGCAGGTCTCTTGAATGACATGTCAAGACCCCGCTGCGCTTCCTGTCGCCGACTTCGAGCGGGGAAACATGATCATGATGAAAGAGTCATTTCATTGGCAGTGACTGCGCCGACTAGTTGAGCCGGGATCCCGAGCGACATACCCCGCCAGACGGGCTTTCATGATACCACTGTGTTTGATACCACTGTGTTTTTATCTTTTCTTTGCTGTTTCTCTTTTCTTCCGGTTATTATTCTCAGATACCACACCATGTACACCATATCAGACTGGTGAAGTAATGTTTCTCTTTGATAATCTCACCCTCTTTGCGTCTTGATCTGTTTGTAATCAATGTTCTTTCTCTAGTTGATTTTTCTTCCGTTGTGTTCAGATCAAGTGACAGGGGTCAGTAAGCCAGCAAATCGGGAGCATCAGCGACGGAGCATTCGATAATGATAGCGATTGAACATGAGGAAGCAGGGCGGGTGCAACTGAAATGAAAGCGGAGTAAACCCCTCCTTCACGTTGTGCTGTACGGTCCACAAGCACGGACGAAAGATAAAGAAAGGAAAAGAAAGAAGGAAATTCCAACAAAATCACAAAATAAATCAAAAAACCCACCCCAAGCCGAAGCAGAGGCCTGCCACTTTTTAAGAAGTCAAAAGAGTTCGGCAGAGTTGCCTGAGGGTTCTTCAGATGAAACTGAGCCGGACCCAAAGCGGCACCTTCGGCAAGGCCCAGTCGATCGGTGGGTTCCATTCGGCTTGGATTCCTTTCAGGACTGACGAAATTTCACCAGCGTCCAATTTCTTTCCCCGTCATTTACCTTGTCGGTAACCCTAACTGTGCTTACCCTTGTACTTGACTACTGACTACAGAGTCGGCTGAAGAATAGCCCCTGTATTTTTTTTTATTGTTCAAGTACCACGAATAGATAAAAGGAGAGGGGGGAAATGAACCAGTGAAATAGGAAAAAGAAAGCAGGTTTTCCGACTTCTTTAACCGGCAACGGTCACCTTCACAGTTCACGTAGCAAGCGTTCTGTTCCCCCTCCTTCAATATATGGAGAATACTGGAGACTGGAGAATTGAAAAAATGGAGAAGGCACGAAAACCATCACAAATCAAGGTTGGGCAAGTCGGAAGTGCCCCCCCTCCCCCAGTCCTCTAAAGCCAACAATTCCATCCGTCGCGCGTGTCGATCTTCAGCAATCCCTCCCGATCTTCGTCTGTTTTTCTTTCAATTTTAGGCTTTGCTCTTTCTGTTTCGATGATTTAATATTTTTTAATTCCCTTTTTCCAACCCCAGCCCTGCTTGCCCTGTGTCCACTTTACTCCGGCGGCTTCCCCCTTCCGATCATCCCGGGTTTTCCCTTTTTTTATATATTTTATTTATTTTCTGGGTCGTTTGTTAGGACGATGGGAAAGTATTCCGATGATGCTTCTTGATGCGGGACGGAGTAACTACTGCTTTTAACATGAGGGAATTGCCATTCTCTCAATTCAATAACCTAACTGACTACATGAAAATACATGACATAACACATGAAGTAGTGGTCTCTGTCCTAAAGAAGGCATCCCGAACGTGGCAGTCCATAATTACCCCATAGTCTCTACATATTACATGTTACATGTTACATGTCATATTATGGGGGAGACCGGAGAACGCAGCCAGCCCGGCTTTCTTTTCCAATTCACATGCTTCGCATGCAGCCGGCAAGCAAATTTAGTGATCTCATATTCTGCAAGAACGAGAGCAAATGCAATGAGCAGCAGGGATTACTTAGTTAACATACTAGGTACGGAGTACACCGCTCCTCTCCCCTACCCTACCTATGTATTCTACTGTACGAAGTCATATCTGTATGTACATGGACGGTGTGTTTCGTATAGACCAAGACTCCAATATCCGTAGGTAGTAAGAGGATTAGCACACAGTCAAGCTTCAACTCTTGACTCGTTCAACCGCCCTTGGCCGTCCTTGGCTCTCTGGCCCCGGCTTATCCGATTTAGGTCATGCCGGGCTTGTCCCGTCGAGGATCGTCAGGAAGAGAGAGATGGTCTTGGTGTTGGGTTGGAAATTTGATTGACCGATTCAGTGAAGGAACGTTGGCGTTGCTACTCCGTAGTTGGGGCCGTGAGATGGTTGGTGGCTACTGGCTACTTACTGGCCACTGTGACTTTCGGCTCTCTTCTCGGTTCCTTCCTAATCCACAATCTCCAGTTATCTACTGTAGTGAGTGGGTCAGTCGGTCGAGTAGATTTGCGGTTGCGGTTGCGGGTTGGAACTGGAATGTGAGGGCGTTTACCCACTTTTTTTTTTTTTTTTTTTTTTTTGCTGATGGATGAGGTCATAGGTTGGGGTTGTCGAGTTGTCCCTGATCCGGGGAATGTGTTTACCCAGTCATTGTTGGCAGGTACTCCGTACACTGAGTAGGGTTAGATTATGGTTTAGTGAGGAGAAGGCTTTTTAATTCCGTGTACATACGGTGCACTCTTTTCACCGCAGTTCTGAAGTCTTTCTCCTTTTGTCGGGATGCAATTGTTCTGGTTTCTGCTGATAATGTTCTCATAGCGATTGCTCATAAAGTAAAGCCCTGGTAACGTGTATGACTGGTCTGAAGGCAAATGCTGCCAATCGGGTCTGACACAAAAGAAAGCTGTCGAGATACAGCACTACTGGTCCCCAGTCCTTTTAGGTGTAGGCAATATCTTCGATCTTGAACCAGACAGCAGTCAATACCTATAAGCGACCTAAGCTTAATCAATTTATGAGCGATATGATTAGTTTGTATCTTGTGCAATTTGTATATTGTGCAATGAAACTGTTCTTCATTCCTGAGGTACTTATCAAACTATGAGGCTGGCAAAGTAGGACTTGTGTGTCAAGAAAACATTTCAATGGACCATGAATAGATATATAGAAATTCACGCGTCCTAACGAATAGTAATATATCGATAGAGCGTTCCAGGCCCTATACTTCGAGAACTTGTTAACAGACGGCTTCATAAACGAAAAAACCACAGGCCATTTTTGTAGTCAACGATAAAGAGATATAAAATTCATCTTGTCAATCCACAGTCCGATCAAGGTGACTTGACCAACTTCCCACCAGCTTGTGCATGCTTTTCTTCACATATCCTAGTTCCTTGTGCATAGCTGGCTTCTTCTCATCCTAGTTATATAGGTACATACACTCCAGCGCAAATGTATTGAAAGTCATTGAAAGTGGAGTTTAGAACAGGCCCTATGCTCGTGTATAACCCTGTAGTCCCACCTTTTGTCGCGGGATTGACGCTGGCAAAGTCGAGAATGATGACAGGAATAAACAGCTTGCCAGAGTAAGGGGATCGATACGGCCTTTCCTCTAAGCGGTGACATCTTCATGCTCAGAAATAATCTGAGCTCCTTCCAACAGATCTTTATCATGTAAATGGTGGATCCACTTAATATATTTGTCCCGTTTTAGTAATGCCTAGGTAGGCTATCCATGACATAGATTTGTCGGTCCTTGCCTCGTCCGTGCAGATACGCGCAATTTGGGGGTTCGTCGATAGAGGAAGCTATTGAATTTTTGATAAAGATGGCGATTGGTCCGAACGAACGCTTGCCGGAGGCCTTCCAGTAGCTGGATCATCGGTGCCATCTGAATAAACAACATCGTCGGGTTCACGTGCTACCACCAGGGTATCTGGCTTCATCTTGGCCCATTTTTCTCTGTTTGCCTTGCAAGACTGTGCACGCAATCATGTAAACACCTTATGCCATTCTGGCGAGCCGAATGGAGCACAAGCTGAGAGTCCATTTCTCCGTTGCTTTCAAAGCCTCGAGCGATCTGTCATCTTCGTCTGACCTTCGCAGGCTCACGAGCTACGCTTAAATATATTCACCTTGAAAACATCTTGGACTTGCTTCGCCATCGCTTATTCGTCCAAAATACATCAAAAAGCGCTGCGGGGTGTTCTTTGAGCTAGATACTTTTTCAAGGAAAATTCGCGCTTTGAGAAGCATGGAAGTTGAAGATTAGTTGACACATGCGGTCATTTCCATCGATGAAAGGATGAATTTTGAAACGGAAATGTTTGGGTAATTGGAAGTGATGGCGATTGGGTCAATGGTGCCCTCCTTGGATGAACCCGCCAGTCGATCTATCCGCGTATCTAGCTCGAATTCTCCAGACTCAGGCTTGCTCTGATCCTCAATTGCATTTTATACTGAACCATGCCGTGATCAGGTTAAAGCTGAAACCCGACACTGATCTCGTCTTTTCGGTTAACGGCCCTGTATTCTTCTCAGGGTGTGGGTTTGGAATCGACATAATGGGCTAGAATTCGATACGTTTGGAAAACGGTCTCCACCAAGCAATTGCCAGCTTTTTGGAAGATGTTCTTGGTCCCTGGGATTTTGAGTTGTGGAACCACCATCTTGCATCTTCACGTAGCTACGTGGGAGATTCCCTTCCCACCATTATAGTATATCAGTCATGAAGCTTCTGGCCCAATTTTTAACAGACTTCTTTGTCGATGTAGCAGGGGTGTTTGATCTCCTTCTTTGCCCACTATCACAATTGATCTGTACGCATTGGCCATAGTCTGTCCGACCAGAAGATGCGCATTCTGATCTGCAAGTCATGAGTCACATAAGTCAAGTTGTTGGCTGAGGCTTTATACCACTTTGATCTGTTCAAAGCTGTATTTCAATTCACTCTTATCTCCTCGTTGCCATGGTTAGGGCTTTGATCTGATTATTTTAATGCTTTGTTGAATGGCAAAGGCATCGGTGTCCATTTCCACCGTTTTCAATATAGACATAGTAACGCAAAGAGGTGCAATCCCGGTATCTGTAGAGTTGGGGTAGGGGAAGAAGACAGGAGAGCGTAGACTCACATATGACATCTACCGGGGGAAAGGCTACAAGGTCTTTGGGCTAATATTCACGGGCAGGATTAGCAGTCTTCCAGTGAGTCAAACTTCATTTTCTTCCGAAGTCTTTGGTTAATATCCTAGAAACATGAACCATAGATACATGACAGCTCTTTGTTATAATAGACTCGATCACCGCAACCTTTATACTGTGTTATACAGATACTCTCTTATTATATGGTTAACTGGTTTGCATTTGGTTCTAGTAGAATATACCACAGGTACTGGAGTCTTGTAAGAATGGTAGTCTTTCTCCTGCCTGAAAACCGACCCCACTGGACAATTAAACTAGTGAAATGATTGCCCATACTATCTGTAGGCCATGGTCAAAAGTAGACGCTTCACCCACGCAAGTGGAGAGCATAGTAATGTGGTCACAGTAACTGTGGTTTGCTAGATATTCATCGCGGTCAAGATAAATATTCATCATGGGCCCACCCCGGAGTCACTCGGGCAAAAAGTTGCATGAAAACTATCCTGGTATGGGCGTATATATAATTATACCTACTAAGTGAAGAAATAATTCGACAGTTTCAAGGTCCAAGCACATGTTCACGCTAAAATATACGAACCAAAACACCGCCTCATCAGGGTTGCATCCGTCGTTCAAGCCCTAATCTCGATATTAATGGCCAAAGTCACATCCCATGGAACCGGTGCCTTATTGGCGTAGTGTAAGGGTGCCCCTGGATTGAACTAGGGAAAAGGCCCCCAGGAACCCCTCTTAAACAATGATAAGCGGCCAGTTATAAGGATCTCCCGGGAGCCGCCAAGGCACCGGCTGCGATCTATCTCCGAATAGGACCCTTCTCGAGACTCTGTGTAGGCGACGACGGCGATGCTCATTTTTTTGGTGACAGTAAGTTCCTGGAGTTTTGAACGTAGGCACCGTTTAAGTAGAGAATCCTTCCGAGTATCTCTCGCGCCCTAGGTTCTTCTTCCAATACTTCGAATCCCTGAAGTACACCGGAGTGTAGACTGTATCTACAGACCCACTCCACCTCGAAATGGAGATGCTTACAGTACCAGCGGACAATTCGACCGATACTCCGGCTCAGATCATCCCGGACACCTGCCACAAAGTCTGCAGTCAGTAGCCCTACTATCTTCCTTCCATATCTATCGTCGGGCTAACCTCATATACCAGGCCATGCCGCGGTCGAAGCAGGCCCCAACCCCAGAGACTGGACGATCTGCATCATCGATTCCACCCTACAAGTCAACTCCGCCAACTGTCTAGGCTGTATTGTTCGCGCCATCTCCTCTGACGAACCACTCACCTACACGCAATCCGACGCCGAGATCCTATCCACCCTGCGAGCCTGGCGCGACTTCTGCCACGACTGGGATGACGGCTACTTAACTACAGCGGTCGATGATATAAGTCTCATCATCGGCGATTCGGACTCGGTCGTTGCTCTTCCTTCTTGTCCGGCCGTTCCACAGGTCACGCAGACTCGGGAATTGCCGTTCTCGACCTCGTGTATGGGCACGTATTCGTCGTCGTCTTTTGTCTGGCCGGCGTCGACCAGCTCGCAGGTCGTGGTTGGAACGGGGTCCGAGTCCACGGCGACGGCGACGGCGACGACTACGCCTGCACCTACTTCGGACGCCGGGGCTGCTCATGAGACGAGGTCGGAGACGGCAACAGGGGCGGCGAGTTTGAGCGTTGTTGGCTTTGCGCCGGCGCAGCTGTTGCTGCTGGTGTGGGTGTTACTCTCGGCTTGGTGATTATATCCCTTTGTAGATAGATAAAATTGCTGTCTTGTATGAAGTCTATTGTAACCGGACATACACCGTCTAAAAAGGTTTAGTCTTAATATATACACAGAATGAAATTTAATATCGAACAAGTATACCCGGTCCCCTATCAGCGACTCCGAAGCCGCTTTGACATCCTCCTTGTGGTGGTCGTCTGCGCCGCTTGAACCACGGCCTTGAGATTCTCCTTGGACTCATCGTCGACCGGCTCAGCCTTGACATCGGCCTCCTCAGTCGCAGACCGCTTCAACGCAACCGTTGACGTCGTGACTGTCGTTTCGAGCTTCACGTCGCCCTTGTCATCTTCTTCCTCCTTGACGTCTACCTCGACCTTCGCCTTGGGCGCAACCAGTCGATCAGAAAAGGACCTCAGATCGGCCGTAAACAGAACGCTATGAGCCCACCCGGCCTCCTTGCCCCAAAGCTTGCGGAAATGGTTACCGACAGCATCGTATGTGGCTTTCGTGAGGGATTTATGGGACCCCTTGCCGAACTTATAGTCTCGTTGGGCGATTTGCCAGACTAACGCAATCAGCACGATCCCATGTTGAGGGGGGGAAAGAAAAAAGTAAAAAGAAAGAGATAAGAAACAACTCACCATGAGTATCAACCGGCACCGCCTCACCCCATCCCAAGCCCATCAAGCACACGCAGTCCGCAACCTTCGGTCCCACCCCCTGCAACGAGAGCAATTTCTCATGCGCCTCGCGATATCCCTCTCTACCCTCCGGAAACATCTCTCCAGCTTCCCCCTTCTCTCCCCCAAACGCCGGACACTCAGGATTCCTCAGCGAGTCCAACCACCCGTCCCCTTTCTCCTTCGCGACCATCACCGCCGTCTGATAGATGTATTTCGCGCGGTACCCGAAGCCCAGCGCCCGGAGCCGACTTTCAACATCGTCGCCCGTCAAAGCCTCCGGGGTAGGGAAGTCGTGGTATGCGCGACCGTCAACCGAGGCGACGGCGGGCCCGTAATGCAAGCATAGCTTCTCGACCATCTGCGAGATGCGCGAGATGTTGTTGTTGCTGCTGCAGATGAAGCCGATCAGGGCTTCCCAGGCGTCTTGGCGCAGGATGCGGATACCGGTGAATTGGGGAGCTTTTTTGCGGAAGTTCGGGTCCTGTGAGGACCAGAGGGCATAGAGGTCGGTTAGGTTGGAGGTGAGGTTTAGGTAGTGTTTAATGAGGGCGAGGGTGGTGTCGGAGGGGTCCGAGGTAGAGTTCGAAGGGGATGAAGGTGCTGGCGTTGTTGGTTTGGAGGTGATGTATGTTCGATAGTAAAGGTGGCTGGGGTCTTGCTTTAAGGAGAGAAGACGGCCGTGTAGAACACATCGCCATTCCTCGGTGTCGGGGACATTATGCCATCTAGATTGATGTGAGGGTTGTGTCAGTGCGCGCAAGCATAGGACCAGAAGGAGAAGAGCTATATACCTGAAAGACTGCCCACAGCGCAGCGTGGTGTTAATGCAGAGTTCGCTGAGACTGACAGGAAGCTTGCGCCACTCGGAAAAGGCCCCAACGGTCATGGTGAGAGCGTGGAATGGTCAAGTTTCGCATGGCAGGAGGCAAAAGCGCGAAGCCAAAGCCCCCGATTCTGCCGAGCGTCGACACAAAGCGCAGGCGGTCAGACACAGACTAAACCTCAGCAGGGATAGTCGCGCGGCTGCTTCGCCGATCGTCACCTGCGAGTTTTCCTCTGCGCAACTCGGCCCTTCCAGTCTCTCCCCAGTGCCCCTGCTTCGTCCCATCGGCCTGTCTTTGAGCCTGTTTGTTGCGGCCCCTGACCTATTCCGGAGGTTTCTTGTTGTTTTTCTGGGACCCATCTCTTTGACATACCCGTCGGAGAAAGCAAAAAAATATTAATAAGTGAGATCGCGGAAACCGGTAACTGGAGCTCAGTATGAACGGCGATACCTATTCTTCCAGAGGTGAGACATGCTCGTCTTGTTGTGTTTCAGCTTTTCGCTCGGCTTGAATGTCTAGCTAATAAGTTATAGGAGACTCTGGTCGCCCTAGGGACTACTACGTGAGTGAACTTACGATATACTCCGAGCTGAATACCTAGCTCGCACCACCCCCGACGAGAAACTAACCACCTATCGAACCCACAGCGTGAAGAGCGGCGCGAACGGGGAGGCGACAGAGGAGAGAGAGGCGAACGAGGTGAACGAGGCGAAAGAAGACGATCGCGGTCCCCCCATTACGGTTCCCGAGGCTCTCGACGCGACTACGAGGTAGACACGTACTCGTCGAGCCGGGACTATCGCGCTCGGGAACGAGAGGACCGGTACTCCAGCCGGAGGGAGGATCGCGAATGGGACCGAGACCGTGGTGAGCGTGGTGAGCGTCCCGAACGTGGTGACCGCGGAGAGCGTGGCGAGCGCGGCGATCGCCGACGTAGAGACTACGAAGACCGACCATCTCGGCGCGAGCGGGAGAGAGGAGATTTGTTTGAGGATAGACCTCGGCGGGAAGGCAGAGATCGCGGCGACCGTGATCGGGAGAGCCGGAGAGAGCGCAAGAGGAGCCCGTCGCCTGCTCCGCGCAAGCGCGAGCCTACGCCCGACTTGACAGATGTGCCGTCGATCCTGGACCGGAAACGTCGCTTGACACAATGGGATATCAAGCCTCCTGGTTATGAGAACGTGACCGCGGAACAAGCTAAGCTGTCTGGTATGAACTCTCCCCCCGTGGTCCCTTGACTGTCGCAAAGAGCATTGCTGACTTCTGTAGGAATGTTTCCTCTTCCCGGTGCCCCTCGACAGCAGCCCATGGATCCCAGCCGTCTTCAGGCCTTTATGGCGCAACCCGGTGGCGGATCGGCCGACAGCGCAATGCTCAAACCTTCCAACTCTCGCCAGGCCAAGCGTCTCTTTATCTACAACATTCCTACTAGCGTGACGGGCGAGTCTCTGCTGGCTTTCCTTAACACCCAACTCAATGGTCTCAACGTCATTCAAAGCGTCGACCCTTGTATCTCGGCGCAGGTTTCTGATGACCATACCTTCGCTCTCGTCGAATTCAAGTCGCCCAACGACGCCACAGTTGCTCTTGCATTTGACGGCATCTCGATGGATGAACATGCAGCCATGGAAGGCAACGGTGCTGCCAATGGCGAGCACAAGGGCTTGGATATCCGACGACCCAAGGATTACATCGTCCCTAGCAACACGACCGAGCAAGAATACCAGGAGGGTGTGCTGTTGAACGAAGTTCCCGACTCCGCGAACAAGATCTGTGTCTCCAACATCCCTAGCTATATCCCCGAAGAGCCCGTCACCATGCTTCTGAAGTCGTTCGGTGAATTGAAGTCTTTTGTTTTGGTCAAGGATGCTTCGACGGAAGAGTCTCGGGTAATTTGCCATTCTTGATTAGTGATATCTCAGTCTAACATTTACCAGGGAATTGCTTTCTGTGAATACGCCGATCCTTCCGCCACGAGCATTGCTGTGGAAGGTCTTAACGGTATGGAACTGGGCGACCGGCATCTCAAGGTGGTGCGCGCCAGTATTGGAACGACGCAGGCGTCTGGATTGGACATGGGCGTCAATGCCATGTCAATGTTCGCCAAGACGACATCGCAGGATCTGGAAACCAGCCGCGTGTTGCAGCTATTGAACATGGTGACGCCTGAGGAGTTGATGGACAATGAAGACTATGAAGGTATTATTTCTATGCTCTGTTTGATGAACCACGCCGCTAACGAGAATAGAAATCTGCGACGATGTGCGCGATGAATGCTCCAAGTACGGACAGATCGTCGAGCTGAAGATACCGCGACCTTCTGGCGGCAGCAGGCAGTCTCCCGGTGTGGGCAAGATCTTTGTCAAGTTTGACACGGTAGAGTCGACCACGAATGCATTGAAGGCCCTCGCTGGACGGAAGTTCTCCGATCGAACCGTGGTGACGACCTACTTTTCGGAGGTGAGCCAACCCTACATCTATCTCTATCGTTCATATCTAACCATCTGAAGCCCAACTTCGACGTCAATGCCTGGTAGATAAGAAACAAACCCTAATTGGCGAACTCTTCTATCTCAATTTTGTTTCTCCCTTGAATTTATTCCGGGGGGATGGTTCATGATAAAAAACATCCGAGTGGGAGGAAGGATGCACTGCCTCATTTAATTCCGTTCACGTCTTGATTTCGCGTTTGCTGTGTCTGTCTGGCCTTCCAGTTCTCTGGGTTCCCTTAACTTACGGTGTATCATAGCGGGAGATAAATGAAATTGGAACGTTTGTATCATGTTGACTTTTTTGTCTTTGGCATGGCATAGTCTAGTAACCGTTTTGAGAAAATCCAACATATTCAATGAGAGCTTTACACATCTTGATCCTTGGATGATTCAAAGTTGCGATGGAACAACCAGAATCTCTTGATAAAGCATCTACTCTGGAGCCCCTGTCGACAAACTGTTACGAACCGAACAGCCAAAGATGCAAACCAAAGAGTATCTCGAGCCAATGCTTTCTCACATGCTATAGCCATGAAACATGATCTGCTCGCCACGCTGAATTGCATAGGGAGGTGTTTGATAATCAGAGCTAGGCTAATAGCTTCAATTAAGCCCCCCCCCCACACATCTGATACGACTGGGCTGCCAAGTTTAAACATTCCGGACTCATATCCAGCGGAGGGCACCATCGAGCATAGATGGCCATGGGTCTGAATTTTATCTAGACTCGGGCCAGGATCTTGCGCCTGAGCCTTCTTCGGATTCCTGTTTTGTCGTAGCAGCCAGAGCGCCCATGCCAGCGATGCCAGCGCAATCACGCCTAACGGAACGCCCACATCTAAACTTATGTGCTACACGCGTTGTCAAGAACGAATACGCTAGTTTCAACAAGTATCTTCCCGATTTGAAAATCGCCGTCTTCTACGGAGATATATCGAATACGAAAACCTACCCAATATTATTATCACTACCCCCGGTCGTCTCAACGCTTTGATCCGCGACAAGAAGATCTCCCTGCGTAACGTTAAGGCGTTCGTTCTCGACGAGTGTGACAAGATGCTTGACCAAATTGACATGCGCCGTGATATTCAGGAGATCTTCTGTGCCACCCCGGCCGACAAGCAGTTTATAATAGTTAGTTAGCGCTACTCTATCGCAAGACATGCGCCCTATCTGCCGGAAGTTTATGAGAAACCCTCTTAAACTGTTCGTGGATAACGACGAGAAGCTTGGTTTGCAACAATACTACATTAAGCTCAGCGAAGCGTTTTACGGCCGTGAGAAAGTCCTATATTTTCACGCACTCGCCGATCTTCACGTTTTATAGTTGTACGGTGTTGTCTGCTGATCCGATTGCCAGGAGAATAGTGTTGAAACTTACGTCAACCATCTAGATGACATTTTGATATCTGTTATAAATATCGAGTCGCTCGCCGTTAGTCAATTATCAAACACACACAATTTTGTTCTTTGTTACAAAGAAGATAAGATCGCCATCGTGATTGAATTTGATTTAATTGAAAGACTGCTCCTATAGATAGGTTTAACTATTAGTATATCTGGAATCTCTTTTAAGGTAAAATAAAAAAAATGATAAATCTGCAACACAGACAACGCACATGGTTTGAAAACAAAATAAATCTCATTTTGGGCTGATCAGAATCTGATTCCGGTGAAGGTGACGGAAAATAAACTAGAATAGATCACAGAAAGATCGTCTGTGACCGAAGATATCTAAGATGAGGCGGAAATGCTGGCGGGGTGCTGGCGGGGTGCTGGCGGACTAAAAATCCCCAAGCTCCCTGTCCAGATCGGGCAGTTCCCAATTCAGAGTATTGTTGAACCTATGATAAAATCCATTCATATGACTCCATTTCCGAAACTGCGGATAGTCATGGCCCTTGTCGCAGGAGGTGGTACAAGGTGACCTGCTCAACAAGTTTCGGCAGGTAGGCAGAACAAGGTGGGCATGCGGGCACCATTCTCCAGGGCACACGTATCCTTCCCCTACCATTAACTAGAAAAGTTAGTTCCTATCTTGATAGCCTTTGTTCATGAACGTACCTCGCATCTCTTGATCTGCACACAATTAGGATGCATGCATTTGACCCCGCCCAGATGGGCAGGACAAATTTCCAACAGAAAGGCTCCGTCGTAGTCCGGGGGTCCTCCCGCCACTGCGCTGCTTGGAATGTTTCGGGGAGGGGGCAGATCGGGGTAGTCGCAACATGATCTGAGTTCGACTGCCTTAAATCTTCCCCAGATAACCACCAGGCCAGGTTGAGCGTGGTCTGGGGGCAGCGCACTGTGTGATTCAATTATCACTGGCGCTGGAGGCGGGGCGGTAGACGCCAGAGAAGCCTTTGAGGGACCGGCGGAAGGGGTCGGAGGCACGACAACAGCAGGAGACACAGCAGGAGACACAGCAGGAGACACAGCAGGAGACACAGCAGGAGACACAGCAGGAGACACAGTCGTGATGACGGCAGCCATATTGACGGTCTATATTCCATTAGTCACAGGGTATCGAGAAGAGGGAAGCAAGAGTGCGACATTACCAGGTGACGTGCTCTCAGCATCCACAGCTTGCTCAGGGAGAGAGGCAGGAGAGAGGCAGGAGTCAGGAGATCGAGGTAAGACGCAGGAAAATGGAGTTGGCTAGGGAGGAAGGAGGGAGGAGCTACTTCCAAGGTCAACCTCGGTTTTGCATTGTAGTGAATGAACAAAGTAGAAGAAACAGATAGGCCGCTATTTCAACACACCAGCCACCTACACTAGAACCAAGATCCCAGTTCACCCCAGAAGATGGCCATTGTTTGGCTGGCTCGGTCTGGAAAGTGAATGCAGAAGAAAATATTCCTTCTTGAGATGGGCCCTTTCCCCCCTGTCTTTCTTTCTGTTGGATGGGGGCTTATCATTAACTGCACCATGTTACTATAGCACACTGCACCTCCATGGCTTTCATTTTGTTCAGTGATAAGAGTGAGTGGCGAAGAAAGTTTTCTTCTCTTCCCTGACCCCCAAACCCCCGCCAAAATTCCTCTTCTGCAAGTGAAGTAAACAACCACCTCCCACCTTCCCGCCCACCTTCTCGCCCACTTCTCTCTCACCTTCCCTCTCACCTTCCCTCACTCCTTTTATTTACCCTTATTGCTTGCAAGATCCTTGCCTGGATTGGGCACATCGATCCGCAAACTTGGCTAAGACTTTGACGGAACCAGCGATGGAAGGCGCAGTCGGTATGAGCAAATATAGCAAGACACATTAACCATGAATGAGTCCCATGCGGGGGAACCACGAATGCAACAATCTCTTCTGCCCAGCTGATAAGAAACTGAATATCGTTCTATCTGTTCACAGCTCCGCAATGCGATGTTCTCCTGCTCCTGCGACAGGGCCGTTGGCCTTCCGACTAGTAAACGACTATGAGCTCTAGGATAAACTCGTTTCGAGTTTGTTGATTTCCAGAAGCTCTTTCGTTTGCCAAGGTTGAAGATTTAAATGAAGATGGTTTGATAGTGGGTTATGAGGTTCTCGCCAGGAGGGTATTCTGCGTAATTCAGCCCACTTCCAGTAGGAGTTGTGATGGACATCCTTCCTAACGGACCCTCGCTAAGGGGAGCGTTTTGTAGTATTCCTATTCTATATAGATAAGCTGAAAGCTCTGTAGAACAGTGCTTGGCACGGAGGAATCATCTGGCCAACATGCTGTTCGTTTTGTTTGCCGAAGTTCGTCTAATTCGACGCATAGTTAAGCGGAAGCACCAGAATAGGACCGGCTCCCGGCAGTCGATAGATGAAAGAAATGCCCGCCTAGAAAGGTGGCAGACTCGTGCCCAGCCTCGACAGAGTCCGTAGTACGTAGCAATATTATCGGATGAGCACTGTCACTGGTTTGACGCTGTCCCTCAATATCTTTCGGATCCGAAAATCCTCATCTGCTCTAAGAACATCTATGACTCCCTCACTCCACGGACGGACCTTGGTATGGGGGATCCAGGAGACGGCCCAGTTCTCCGATAGGCTGCTGGTAAACAAATATGTCAACGTCGGAAGTTCCATTCCCTCTGTCTGCGCGGGAATCAAGGCGATTAAGCGATATGCCTCGGCGCGGACGTATCCAGACACCATCTTTTCTGGCCATACGTCATAGTCCGTGACAATGGGAAAATGGGCGTCAATGAAATTGTCGATGAAAAAGCCACCCAACATAGGGTGCTTTCTCTGAGCAGCGGTTGCGCTGTGTAAGAGTCAAATTTGGGCTTCGGTGTTTTGCATAAGCGAGTGCCATATCGTACTATTTGCTTTATAATGAGGTCCTCTATCCTCTTCCATCATAGAGTTTGTCAATGTCCTTCGCTTTTTCTAGATTTGCGGGCTGTGGCGAACCAAGCATGAGTTTCTGCAAATTATGTTTGACAGAGGAATAATCGAACCATATAAGGACTGCGTCCAGAACGTGCTGAATTCTGAAACGCATCGTCGCGCCAGGCGCACTGTTCATGGGCTGTCATGTGCTGAATTTCACATCAATGCATGAGCAGAGGAGCATTATCTGTGTTTGGGCACGAGGCCGTGATCCGAGTATACTACCTTTCCAGAGTCCATGGTGCGGTTTGAGCCCTGCAAAAGTCTATGCTTCCATTCGAATTGAATGGCTATATCAAAGGCCCTATTTTCGAAGCTGGTCGTCTCTTTGAGCCTGGGTACACTCCGCAAGTGTAGGAAGGGTGACAGTGAGGTGGTTGTGCATCTTTCCTCCATTGACCAGCTGGATAGGCCCCGGGGAAAGCATGACGTTCCTCCTTCTGGAGCCCCACCCTCTTGTCAGCTGGGCTCAAATTTCATGCAGCACTGTCAATTCGTCACTGTTGGTTTCGACACTGCAATTGACTTCGGAGCCTTGAGTTCAGACGCACACCTGAAGAACGTTGATGATTTTGTCAACCCCAGGACCGACGCATACTAAGATACTGCGCATATACAGAGCGATCGTTCTGCAGGTCTTCCTTGATAAAATCACGGCGGAGACCGTACTTGTCGAGAGTCTCATAGAACGCGGTATGGGAGGTGCGTGGAGGCATAGTTATGGTTGGTTAGACAGTGTCACGGACGGAGATTTGATTTGATGAAGTTATTAGAAGTATTGCAGGTAAGACGGGAAGTTTCAGGTTTCGTCCACCTATCCAAACAGTAAGCTCCATGATTCCCAGATAGTCAGACAGAATTGCAACTTACCGGGGACAATTGCACTGGCAGATGTTTTGGTATAACCTTTTTCTTCTTGTTTTCGTCTTCTCCACGTCGCTGATAGCAGATTGTTCTGGGAAATTCAACACCCGACGTTGGTCTTTACATGCGTCATGTATATCTGACGGTATTTCGGTGTGTTGATGACCTTTACCCCGTCATAGTGCAGAAGGCTACCCACGAGCCTATGTATGAGGCCATATCGGAGGATATGCTCAAAAGCGAAGCATCTGCCGTTAGCATTTTCGGTTGACTTGTGGGGATATTTGCGTGGGAATTGGTTCTTTGCCCTTCTTATTTGATATTGAAAGGAGTACAGCAGAAGGCAGAAGGCATCCAGAGAGAATATATGAGGGAAGATACATGAAAGTGTGTGTATGGGATGTATGTAGAGCTGTATCCAAAGCTGTGTGGAGATGTATGTAGGAAGGAAGAGCTGAAGAGGAAGATCAGGGGGAGATTTGAAGATATTCATCTAGGGCTGTGAATACTTTCGCCTTCAACTAGACATTAACCACTCTAGCTATCTTACATTCATCTACTAAGCAGTCTGCAATTTAATATTCACCAGACAGCAGGCAGGAAGCCAGGTAACTTCATAGAATTCACGCCGTATATGTAGACTATTGGTACATCAAGATAGCCTCAAGAACATACTCTATACATCGATCTATCTAGATAAATCCCGCAAGCAACCCGAACCAAAATCCACAATCCCCACGGGGTAATCCACTACCTACCCCAATTGCACATCGTACGATACCTCCAGACTCTAGAAACAGATCGTAAATGTAGAACTCCGTGTTCCGTCTCCGTCCGTGGACTAAGTAACGACTAACGACCTAAAGATTTTAGTTCCCATCAGTCCGGGAATTGAAATCCAAGGGGACCAGCCCGGTCCATCCGAGCCTCGTCTCTCTCTCCCAACGATCAAGACCAAGTCGCAAAAATGTACTCCTTTAGCGAGGGGAAATGAACATGAACGCCTCAGCAATTCAATCAATTCAATTTAAAATGGAAAATTAGATTAACCTCCCTCCCTGTCAATTCAAGTCTGGCCAGGTCTAGTCCGAGCTCTGGTCCGGTCATGTCATCGCCACACCAAGCAAACTTATTAACCCACTAAAAGATACCCTAACTAATTGGGGATTTATCGGCGAACATAACCTTTACCCCTACATTTACTCGCCCACACCGGAGTACAGTCTACAGACCGGTGGTGTGGACGGAGTACGTACGTCCTCAGGGTTCGGGGTGCCTAGTCCCGACCCTATGCATACTATAGTATTTAATATGGATATTAATTACTGTACTGCGGTGCTGTGCATCCTGGTCTGGATCCCGATCCTGGCTTTGGTGTGGGATAGTGGTTAGTACTCCGTGGTTAGTCTAGGGCTTGGACTAGAACTAGGACTAGAACTAGGACTAGGACTAGGACTAGGTAGGACCCTGGACCGAGGATGGGATTCACATGTTTTTCTATTTTCTTTTTCAACTTGTTCTGGTTTTCCCTAAACAGTATGCAAATGTACGTCTAGTGTTTGGGATCCATGTAGTGTTTAGGGCTGTTCACCAGCGATAAGATCAATCAATAGAATAAAATACTATAGTTAGTTCAAACAAGTTATCCACGGAATTTACTCATCGTCCGTCCTCTCATCAGCTAGCACCACTAAATAAACGAAATCAAAGCCACCAGATTAAACAGAACGTGGCATGACAGAGTAGCAGCAAAGAACCAACCGAACGCACTGACCCAACCGCGGCATCTACTTAACTAGCAACTACGAATTAGTTCTTCTCCGTATAGAATCGAGATACAATCGACATGCGATCATCGCATCACCAGTCGCCACCTACCAGATCCAATGCCGAACCGAACCCCAACGTTACATACAGTTCTCTGGGTGGGTTAGGTTTGGTCTAGTTTGAGTTTCAACACCGTTATCACCCCACATGTTACGGAGTCCATGTCGTAGTCTTATGATAATCGTGTTATGCTTTCGACTAGACTAGAAGACCACCAAAATGCGGGGGATGGTAGACAGACAGACAGACAGACCGCCGGGTTGACTGATTTTTGGGGCCCTCGGGTCGTCCCTAGTGGTTTTTTCGCGGGGTTGGACGGTTGACACTATGGAGTACGTACTACAATACTTTAACTTTGGGGGTTGGTGGGTCAGGATCTGGTTCGGTCTGGTTTGGTTGTGTGAAGTTTCATTATTAGTTGAGATTAACTAAACTAATAAGTTGTAGTTCGTATAATGCCAGAATACATGTCGCGTAGAATCAATCAAATCTTCCCAGGGTATACCCAATACATCGTAGAATGTACAATACTTTTTGTTTTCAATAAAATATATCCGATCCTCTCCCAAACACCGAACCCCAAACCCATGCCTCAAGTCGGAACATCTCATTGTGATGCTCCGTATTGGTGGTTACCCCGCGCAAATGTTGCCTCGGGAACCCATTCTCGACCCCCTCCTGGGTGTGTAGGACCAGGGGGCCGAGGCGATGAGAAGCTCATGGAGGGCTGGATGTACCGCGCTTCTCGGCCGTACGAGCCCGGCTCCGGGCTCGTGATGCGCTCTGCCGGAGAGGGGGACCGGACGACGGGTTCGGGCGTTTTCAACGGTGATATTGTCGAATTGCCCAGCATTTCGTAGGTGCGCGAATCGGGTAGTAGGCTGCGGGCGTCGGCGGAGACGTATTCTTCGGGTTTGCCGAACTTGCTTCGGTAGAGGTCGAGCCAGCCGAGGAAGAGCGAGGGTCGTGCAAAGAGAACAAAGTTCCACAGCCCGACGAGCGACAAAAGGATCAGGACGGCCAGGAGCGTGGCTTCGTTGGGTCCGACCTCTGCGATGTACTTGGAGCACTTCTCCTTGTCCCCTTCGGACGCGATCAAACACGTCAGCCACGGCATGGCCTTTTTCATGTTCTCCGGCGTCACCTCGAGCTGCTTGTCCATGTCGATGAAGACGACGGCGAAGAAGATTACGTTGCCGATAATGATTAGAACCAGCGCTACACCGCGCCATTGCAATTGGAGAACTCGTCGGATACGTCGGTAGGCTTGTCGGGCAGTTACGGTGCGCACACTCGATGTGTAAGACGGTAGACCCGAGCTGTTCGTGGTGGTGTCGTTGTCGAACACGGACCGGACATAAACGTGAATGCAGTACCCCATCGTTGCGAGCTGCAAGACCAAAGCAGCGGCAGCAAAGGCCATGACCGGGGCCCAGTAGTCCTGCAGACTGTGTTTGATGTTGATGTGGCACATGCTGCCAAACCGAAACGAGACTCCCGTCAGGATCAGCATGACCGTCAATCCGATCGCCGGGATACCGAAGCCGCAGATGAATGCCCCCCACATGAACTTCTTCCCAATGACAACCTCCCAGCATACCTGTAGGTGGAAAGCGACAGTACGGATGAAACTCCACACGACGACCACCCAGCCGCCGAAGAGCAGCAAGGAGCCGGTAAAGGCGCATGAAAGGTCGTCATGCATACCCTTGGGAGTGATCTGGTTGTAACATTGCTCCGGGTTCGAGCCGAGAGGGATTATGAACGCAAGCTGTTCGGTCAGACGGGTTCGGGTCTAGAGGAGCCGCAGGTCTCTCACCTCCATAAAACAGATTCCTAACGTAAAGCAGATGCTCAAATAGTGGCGATGCGTCCATTTCACCGGAAGGACCGCGTACGAGACCAGAAGGAATATGCAGAGGGGCAAGACAGCGACACTAAGCCAGCTGGCCGCCTTGGTCTTAGACATCAGTTCTGGACCGGGCGATTTTCGTTAGTTTTTTTCACCTGAGGTAATGTAGCCGACCAGACTTACCATCGCCGTAAGTCCATTCCGCCAATGGACATGGTAGACAACAAGAAATCTGACTGTCTCCGCCAGGGATCTCTTTACAGTATCGTCCTTCGATGACTAACGGTCCATAATTAGCATCACTAAAAGAGGTATAAACGAAAAGAGTTTTGCGGTGGGCACAGCATACATCCACCGGAAGATGGGAAGAGAGATTCTTGCAGGAAAGGTCTTGGACAATGTCCATGCAGAGTGGTATTTGACATGGTGAGCCCTAGCGATTGATCGTCGTATACTGGGGTGGCAATTCAAAGGGCGCAAGAGTCATAGTCTAGGAAGTGGGAGAACAAGTCGCAAGAATCGTCGAGGTCCTCCAAGGCATTGATACCCCGTGCGAGAGGCTCGCAGCCGTGCAACCACAGCGATTGACGAGAGAAAGATGTGAAATGCACTCTCGCAGGGGATGATCTCATAGAAGGGTGGAGGGGAAGTAAAGGGGGGGAACAAGAAGGAAGCGGACGAAGGAAGGGGAGGGAAGGATGGGGAGATATAGTCCGAACAAGGATGAGAGATGTACCTTGGCGATATACTTCTCTAGCACGGTCAATTAACTAAAGCGAGCATCGTTGGGGAAGAGGGACCGCGTTCCAGTGGACTGATGGAGCAGAGGCCCGTTCACCCAGGGCACGAGAAGAGGGTATGGGCGAAGAGACATGGTTGTGATTGGGCCTGACGGGGATACCTCGAGACGTAGCTTGGCACCAGGGGCTCACGACGATGAGTGGAGCCGAGAAGGAGAAAACAAAAAAAGAAAGAAAAAATTGGAAGAACGAGGATCCTCAAAGGTTGAGATGGAAGGCAGGAAGAAGCGGGGAGGGAGTCGAGAGTCAGACGTTGTGAAGCTGCGCCGTAAGCCGGCCGGATTGGATCAGCCCGCAGGCACCAAATTCCCCCTCGACGGGGACTGATTGGGTTGAGAAATACCGACGGCCTCCACTGCGACCCAAGGATGCGTTTCCTTTCCTTTCTCCTACACGAGTGGACCCGGCCTCGCTAGCTGCACGAGTGTCACTTCCACGGGGGAAACAGCCTGCGTTCCACGGTCCACCACGCTACACAACATGATATCCTGGGAGTTTGGTTCAGGCTAGGGTAAACTAGGACCGACTGACTCTTTAGGTCGTTGCGATCACCGTCTTCTAGAGTTTACAGTATCTAAACTATTTCCTGCGCAATCGGACCGAGGAACGAGGAACTCGGGCGGGAAACGTGCAACCCTAAGGAACAATCCAACAGAAGGAACAGGCTTAAACGAGCGGACGCTAATGTATGCCGGATACGGTACCTTACGTCGAACAAATAACAATATCATAGTACCCGGATTATTATGATGATTATGATACTAATTATTTGATCGAAAGATGAGAAAAAGAAAAAAGATAGAGTTCTCCTGGAGCCACTAGGCCCAGAGGGGTAAGCATCCCAGGCGCTACTGCAGACTAGCGCCGCATCTCTTTTGTTCCCTTGGCCAGCATGAGGGGTTTTGAGTTCGACCGTCTCCTCACCACTGCCGCCCCTGTTTTCTTTCTTTTGATTATTTGTTTTTGGAAAAGATTAGATAATATCTCCCTCTTTATTTTTCTCCTATTGCTCATTGTAGCAAAAAAACAGTGCACAATCCTGGTCGTTTGTACGACACTCGCAACGAGTTTTTCTGCCTCGTGTTTCTTGCCCGAATCGAGAACGCCATTCTGGATCCCCCAAGGATTGCGATGAGATGGTCTCGATGGAGACCCGGCGAGACTCCACCCGTGGTCGGACTGCAATTACTATCTCCATTTCTATTTTCTCCCGAGCACCACTCCCATGACGACGGATGGACAAAAATAACTCGAAGGCAATGGGAAATTAGAATTAAGAACAGAGAACCTCGATCGTCTAGATTCCAGAGTTCGCCTCTCCGCTTACGTCGCCTAAAAGTATAAGATTGACGATTGATGGCCACTCTGGAAGTGGTCGCATCTAGATCTACTCCGGCGTCGCACTGACCAAGACAGCCTTTTCGTTGATTCCGGCTACTGTCGCGTGGGTGTACTCCGTACTGTACTCCGCCGGGGAGAGACATTTAGATTAATTACTCCGTTCTCTTTTTCCAAGGGATTCACAATCCTGGAGGTTAAGAAACGCGATAAATCCCGCGCCAGAGACCCCGGACAGGAAACAGTTCCTTCTTGGGCGTAGTTTCTGAGCACCTCATAACGATCCAGATTCTCAAATCCAAACCCTAACACTAACAGACTACGAGTACGAAGTCAACACTATGAGGTCAACACGGCTAAACACCAAACACTATTTATTTAGTAGATACTAAATAGTCCAAGGGTATAGCGGGTCCTTTGGAATGTGCCAGTTTTCGCTGCCCATCTAAATGATCGAATTCTCGAGTCACAACCACGGCTCCAGGTTGCGATCGCCATGGAGTCGGCAGGCTCTCACGGCATGAACTTGCCGACTCAAAAGTCAAAACTAGAACCTTGGATCGATTGGCGCGTCTATCACGCTTCACTCTTCTAGCTGGTTTCTCCCTTTGCACATCCGGACGATCATCAATCGATAGTGGTGTTGTGGGAAGCCCAAACCCCAAGGTTGGGAACCTCCACGGAGGCCGGACGTTCTCCGTGATCTTCTCTCGAATTGAGTATGCAGATTGCAGTAGATCCTCGAGTGGAGTTCTGTACTTTTTGTTTCTCGCTATTGTTATCTTTGCTTTTGATTTTGATCTTCCCTCGTACTCCGGTGTTCCTTGCAACCTTGCGACGAATTTATTATGCCATGATATTACAGAGTACGGTTAACCACGCACACGTGGGGAATGGCTCATATCGCATATCTACCCGCATATAATACGAATCGCTAATATAGACCATTAAGGAACTTTCATTTGGACTCTTAGCATGTACAACTAGCGTAGCATGGCGGACGAGGGCTCTACACTAGACGCGACACAGTCGACGCTACTCCCTAGAGTCCCTAGACAGTCCTCCGTCGCATTCCATACGCTGGAAGTTCTGTGACTTTCCTCGCCTCAGAATTAGGTTGGATTTAACCTTTGAGACGTTGGCCCTCTGAATATCCGGAGCTAACCATACTTTCGTCCACATTTCCCAGATGCCCATCTTCGAATAGCCTAAATCTTTGGTTGACGGTTCGAATGTTCCATGGAATTCCCCCAACACGTTGTTTCATCGTGTCTGAGATCATGGGGGTTGTTTATTTTTGGGCCGGGGGCTGTTGTCGTTTCTTTTTCTTGCTCTTCTTCTTCTTTCTTCCCGGTGTTGTCGTATTTCTTTTTTTTTTTTTCTTGCGACCACAATGCGATTCTTCTGGCTGGGGTTATCCTGGCTATACTTCCCGGCGCTGCAGGCACGCTGACGGTCGTCACACCGGTCTGGAACGCAGGGATTGGGTTTGCTTGCAATTGAGTAAAGCCAATTTACTCATGAAGTCATTTCTTGCCACCGGACGAGTATACCGTATGTGGACGGAGTACGAGACGAGTGTGTATGTGGGTTGAATGCCTCAGGAATCAGGCAGCAATCCTCTCGACGGACCTGGTACGGAGTATGCATCTACGGAGCACAGTAGATACCTGGACTATTACCTACCAGGCTACCACTGCATCCTCCGTGGGTGCTGCACGGTACCTACATACTCCGTATACTCCGTATTCTATACAGGGCATCCCTGCCGGCTGACGGGAGATCTTTCGTTGAGAAGAGTAATACTTCCGGTCTCCACTCCCCTCGCCATACGGAGGATTCCTCCAGCCTCGCAGAGAATTACTACCGTGTCGTGCATCCTGGCATTTACGCCACTCCGTTCATTTTATTACTGTCTCGTAACTCTTTGCAGTGCCACCGAGATCCTGCAAAGTCAATATTATTAGCCGACCGATCAGGCTCACGCAGCCGACATGAAGGGCGCTCTCGTCGGCGATTTGGGGGATTGGCATCTCATCAACATGACAGCTAGGAGATCGTCCATTGCACCTGAGCCAAGCAAACCACTAAGACGGATCATTTCAATTGTCTTGGTTCTGGGACTTTTTGCTTTTAGATTCTACGCCGTCATTGCCTCGTCCGTCAGAGTCTAGACTGTCTAGTGTCTAAGAAGTCTGCGCCGACGTTTTTTTCGCGCTGTGCCTCACACGGTGGGTTCTGTCCACAATTGCGCAGATACTAGACCGACTTCTGAATCATGAAGCCTGTGTGGACGGGCGCTGGTGAGCGTCGTTGAATCCTGATCCATCGGGCCACCCAATCGGTGCCAGATGGTCGGCGCCGACAGTGACCGCGGCTGGAGCTGGGCCCTGCGGCAAGCCCTCTCGTGGTGATCATAGGCCCGTCACTAACTCGACCGATCACTGCGCGTGGGACCCAGGTCCCCACGATCACTATCTATCAGCTTCGATCACCGCAGCCTCCGTGTCCTGTACTACTCCGCTCTTTCACCTTAGACAGGGCACAGTACTCTACGGGTTTACCCCTCTCTGCAATAATCCGCAGCTGCTGCTCCCGTTATTCCCGGGTTAATCTCGCTGATTTGACAGTCTCGGAGCTTGGACGATGCTCCATGTCTCTGGGAGTGCCAAATCACAGCGGGCGATCCGCCCATGGATGTGGTTTTGCCCTGGCACATGATGTGATCGCCATGTTTTGGTTGTGGTCATTGCTTTTCGTTGCGGTTCTGTTGGTGCGCTTTTTTTAGGTGTTGGATCTTTTTCCCGCCGTTATATCTGCGCTGCATTATGATTTCCCCAATCGCGCGATTTCATGGAGCTCCCCGCTCAGTGCTTACAGCCGCGACGAGTCTGTGATACGGTCCTGTCTAGGCAGGATTCGATCCTCTCGTCTCCATGGTTCCATTGGCTTATCTGTTAACCCGTCCGTCACGGTCTCCTTCCTATCACAGCTCCGCTAGCCGGTAGGTTCATGAGATTCAGGATTGCAACCAACAGACCTGGTCGAATTCACATTGCCACGACGATCCGGCGGTAAAATCCGTGCTCAGCTCAAGCCCTATCATGTTCAGCTGCCAATTCACAGCGAAATGTTCAACACGAGTCCATGCCAGAATCAAGGAATGATATTCCTCGTGAGTACTCCGTACCACCACGGGCAATGCCACAACTGTACCCGAGAGACGGGTTCTTTCCCCCGTGTCACCAGACCATCCGGCAGTCACTGCAATACCGCACATTCGGGACATCACTGGACGATTGAATAGCGGTGTGATGTCCGTGCATTCTGTTCCTGTTCCCCGGTGCCGGTGTGACTTCGGCTGTCAAAGGGGGACGGCTTCGTGCTCGCGGTCTGATGCCAGTAGATTGTGTGATACTTACATCCTGCAGTCTGTAGACGGATGTGGACATGAAACAACGCGAATGCGTGAAGTTGTCTATCAAGCGTAGCCTTGTGCTTTCAAAGTCAAATTCAACTGGATCTGCGGCAGATTACTCCGTAGAGATTTGACAGGCAGGTGGGTACGGTGTACACCGTTGGGTTGCCATCATTTATCCCCATCCAGTCACATCCAATTATATTGTTGGACAGAATATGATCATCCCAATTCAAGGACTCGTTGATAACTCTACGGACTCAGTTGCCAACATCACAACTCTACCTGCGATATCTACCACACGGAGCAAAGTCGAGCCAGCAGACAGCCAAGTCTTTACTTCTACCAGTATGCAAGTATGCGATTCATCGCAAGATTGTTCGTTGAACGGATCCATTCTCATTATATGCACTACCCTATTCCGAAATCCCACCACTTCAAGACACTGCAGCTCGCAGGCAATTGACGATCGAGTATCGAAACCTAACCATGTCCAAGTCAGCAAGACTGCACACATCCAACACGACAAGAGACAAATAGCATCAAAGGCGATTTCAGAAGTCCATTTAGATCATCGAAGAAAAGACCACAAGGGTCTTTCCTTCTGACATAAGAGGTACCAGAAAATAAAATAAAAAAGGTTGTGTTTCATCATTGTAGAAATAGGGGATTGAGACTGGATAAGCAGTACTAACCTTGATCAAGCACTGAACGAACGTAGCTCAGTTAGTAAATACGATCGCAATGATCGCAACAAACATCAAGAAATAGAGACATCATAAATCTCAAAATCAGCGACGATGCTGAAGCTCCCAAAGAACAACAAGCACACCAGAAATTTTCCGCCGCGAAGACCGCCATTTAAATTAAGCGAAACCAGACCTCACGTGACCCACATCTCTACTCCACCCGTGAAAATTCAACCCACGTGACCCCACCAACCGGCCGCTCTCCATTCCTCATATCGTCGCAAAAAAAATCTCGACTGCTTCTTCTTTTCTTCTATCGCAGCCTCAACACCGTCGACAACCAACCCGGTTTTTATCACCCGCCAAAAAAAATCATACACAATGGGTCGTCTTCACTCCAAGGGAAAGGGCATTTCTGCCTCCGCTCTCCCCTACTCTCGCACTCCCCCCAGCTGGTTGAAGACCACTCCCGACCAGGTCGTTGACCAGATCTGCAAGCTCGCCAAGAAGGGGTATGTTCTGGCAGATTGATGAGAGAAAGAAAAAAAGAGGAAGAAGGGACGAAGGGCTAATGAATTTGATAGTGCTACCCCCTCTCAGATCGGTGTTGTCCTCCGTGACAGCCACGGTGTTGCCCAGGTCAAGACCGTCACCGGTAAGTTCTTATTCTCTTGAAATGATCGAAGAAATCCGGGAATCAAATTCTAACGAGCATTCATCTACAGGTAACAAGATCCTCCGTATCCTCAAGTCCAACGGTACGCCAACCCCCTACTCCCCAACAAACACACTCGTAGCCACGGGCGAGGATCTCTCTTCAACTCTACCCTCACGATAGAGCCAAGAAGGGAAAAAAAAAATCCAAAGACCCCAACCCCACCAGGACTCCCCGGTCCTGCAAATGCCTCTGCTTGGTCATCATCGGCTGACAGAGAGATCTTCTATCACACAAATAGGCCTTGCCCCCGAGCTCCCCGAGGATCTGTACCACCTCATCAAGAAGGCCGTCGCCGTCCGCAAGCACCTCGAGCGTAACCGCAAGGACAAGGACAGCAAGTTCCGTCTGATTCTCATCGAGTCCCGTATCCACCGTCTGTCTCGCTACTACAAGTCCGTCGGTGTCCTGCCCCCTACCTGGCGGTACGAGTCCTCGACTGCTTCTACCATGGTTGCGTAAATTCGTTACTCTTTTTCTTGTTTCGATGAAAAAGGGTGGTGGGTTGGATGCGGCTGGTTAGAGATGGTGGTTGAGTGGCTATCTTTGTCCACTGAGGGGGTGTTTATGCGACATTGATCGACTTGGTTTTGATTATGCTGGGCCCTGGAAGTAATGGGTTTGGTTTGGTTGAAACCAATCGTGTCGTGTTCTAATTGAATGGTTGTCTGTTCAATTGGGCTCTCCTGGGCAAGGATAGTTGATCAAAAAAAAAATAAAAAATGATTTACATGACTTCATATCTCGTTCTTTATGTAGCAGTAGATGTAGATCTGTAGTCATGTCCATAAATCCCTCCAACAGCTCTAAACCCAATTGCTATACAAGTGTGGTATATATACAGCCAGCTCCGTATCTTCAACTCAATCAGCAGAAGCCCTTACCTCCCTCGCAACAGCATTACAAAGCTCCACCCTCACCCCGGCTCCAACCAACACATGAATCCACAACCTCTGGGTATCACTCAACCGATCATTCTCCGACTTAACCTCCACAAACAACACCTCCCTCGTCTCCCACCGCCAAAGAAACAGATCCGGAATCCCGCCCCCGCGCTGCTGATACTCCTGCGCCAGAACCTTACAGATCGTGGCCAGCGCCTCGCCGCGGAAACACTGCACGATCTCGACCAGGTCGTCTAGCTCGAAGGACCAGTCCAGCCCCACGGCGCAGGTCTGCTTGGGGGATTCGCGCGCGTGCACGGCCCGCAGGATGGATGCGGAGTCGCCGTTGGTGATTTCGACGAGGCGGTGGTTGATTTCCGAGGCGCGTGATGCGTAGAAGGTGTCGGTGTGGAGGTCGAGCGGGCAGGTTTGGAACGGGGTTTGGAAGACGTTGGGGACGTAGGTGAAGAGGATGTCGTAGAAGAGGTAGCCGAAGAGCGTTTTGAGGATGCCGCCTTCCGAGTGGTACCCCTTCCAGCCTTGAGAGCGGTACCAGTTCAGACACATGCTTTCGACGCGACATTCTCCGCCGTCGCGCTCGTCGAGCCAGATGGTGGGACGGCCTCGTTTGGAGGAGTCATCGTGAGAAGGGGTGTTGTTGCGAGGGGGTAAGTCTTCGGGCTCGATGCGGACGCCCTCGATGGTTCGTTCCTCGGGCTTGACGAGCTGTACGTGGTTGAATTCGTGCTGCTCCCGTTTGACGACCCGGAGGGCCTTTTCGAGCTTCGTGATTCGTTTCTGGAGATCGTAGTGGTAGATCAGGTGGCAGTCGGGGTCTTCGAGGCCGGCTTCGCAGGTACGGAGCGCATGGCGCCGCCAGTGCTTTCTCTGCGCGTCCTCGCTGCGTCCTTCGTAGGGGGTCAGTGCCCACATGTAGTGCTCCTCCAGCAGCGCTTTCCGCTGATACCATGCCCCGCGACGGGCGGCGTGGAAGAGTCGTTGGTCAAGGAGCTCCGAGAGCACTCGGTGTTCTTCTTTGTGTTCCTTGAACCGTCCCAGCGGATGCAGTCCTTTATGGATGATGCGCGTGTAGACCCATGCCGGAGAAAAGCGACGGAGGTATGCACCTTCGCCGCATTCGTAGATGGTTTCTTCTTTGCGTCGTTCGTGTTCCAGCAGGAATTTCCACCGCGGATGTACATTGTATGCAAGATCTCTCACTTGCTCTAGTGTTTCCTTCGTCGGCGTCCCGCTGAACTCGAGGAGATTATCAACTTGAAATTGAGTCCGAAGAGCCAGCTCAAACTCCAGCAGGAAATCCCGCGACGGGAAGATGGAATTCGACCGGCAGACCACGTACTCTGGGAAATTTCGGCGGGAGATTTTCGCCAGAATGATCGTGGATAGGGACTTCTCCGTCCACTCGGTCGATTTATAGAATACAAGATGTACACGTTCAAAGAGGGCCCGAGGCCCCGATGCAAGCCTGATGCAGTCGCCTGTATAGTCGAGAATCTTCTGTACAAAATGCGCGTCTCGGTTGACCGGTTGCCTGTCACTATTCCAGTCCAGGCCCGTTTGTCTTTGACTTGCTCGGCGCAAGGCCGCCAAGAGTTCTTTTTTACTCTTCCCTTGGACTTTGGCCTCTTTGGCAAAGTTTTTCAATTCTTCAAGTAGTAATAGCGATGATGCTTCTTCTAAGGTTGTAATTTCTTCAGTTTTATCCGCAAAACGAAACTCCCTGCCGAGGCCCATTTCGTCGGGACACTCGATGCCCGCCGGGTTTTCGCCCGCAGACACAGAGCTCGGAGGGAGGCTTCGACATTGTTGGAGATCGTCTATGACGTGAGACACGTCTGAGATATCCGAGTGATATCCCAACCGGTTGATACGATGCCACGCGGAGGTCTTTCGCAGGAAGAGCCGAACATATCTAACCGGGTCAGCCGGAGTCCACTAGGCTCGTAAAAAGGCAAACCTACAAGTATTGCGACTCGTATGAAAGCGCCCTCCATTGATTAAAGACCTCCATCTCGGGCTCGTCAAATAGATGCGCTTCCTCATCCAGCACAGTTTCCAGCGCCAGATTGAACGCATCCACGTAGATGGAGCTCTTCCCCTTTCGCCACTTGCCATTTTGCATCCGTTCCTGTAGGCCTGGCTCCTCTGTCTGATTTTCCGTCACGGTATGCGACATCTCATACTCCTCAATGGCCTCGCTATCGGCCTGAAGCGCAGGAAGCGACGATTCCAACTCCGTCTGGCTCTGCGGGAAGGGGAGCTCCTCGTCGCCGGGAATGGTTTCATCGGGCTGGTCCAGAGATGGAGTATCCAACGCCGGGACGGCAGGGCTTTCGGGGCCACCGTTCTCCTGGAGACCATCATCGTCTGTTCCGAGGCTTTTGCCTTTTTCCGGGTCCTCTGGCGAAACTTTTCTTCGTTTTACGAGCGGACGTTGCGTGTCCCAATAGTCCAACAGGGACATCCTGGCTGATGTAGACGTGCAAAGAACATTCGCAAGAGGGCCAGCAGCATCGCAATGTCATCAACGACGCCGTCGAGGCAGTGAGGCGCTGATCCTGTGGCAGAGAAAAGCCGGACGTGTCGGGACGTGTCGGTGGCTACACGAGGTCACCTGATCTTACCGGAAAACGGTGTTTGTGCTGTTTGCATCCTTCCTAAACAGGCAAACACAAGAGGGTCAGCAAACATCTTATCCTGCTCTTTCTCTTTCTCACCTAATGCCCCTGAGTTGACTTCTTCTCTCAGCCTGTTGCTGCCATCGTCACCGTCAAACGGAATCTCCCAAACATCATGGCTGATGATGATCCTGTAAGAGCCACTCCTGCCGTTGACTCCCCACTACGGAGAGGCACTGAGTGGATAGAGCGACAGAAACGCTCTCCGCCCGGCCTCTCCGCTCTCTCCCTCTGGCATTTTGCCCGACTTTTGGCTTTTACTTCCCATTAATATCCCAACCCAACTCCTTCCTACTTCCCATTCTCCCTCCTCAATATCCCCAATTCTTCACACCACCCAAAGCACTAACTCATCTTCTCACTTACACTTACACATATACCAAGTCCATATCATCCCGCTCCTTTCTCGCGGACCTCTCCACCGAACCGACGAATACACCACCACCACCTTTACCGACCATCAACTTCAATCCTCCCTTCAATTCCACACCCACCGCAAATCCCACCGCCACAGCTTACCTCCCACTCTCTACAATCATGGGCAATGATTCTGCAGCCAACACTCCCACCGCCGACTCAACCGGCTCTGCGCCTATGCGTCCCGGAGGCGCCCCGGCTCGCGTGTACATGAACGAGCGAATCGTGCCGTATCTGCTAGATGGGATGAAGGTTGTTGCGAAAGAGCAGTATGTTTCTCTATCTTGTTCCTTGTCTTGAGTTACATGTGTTGTGTTGTATTGTCGGTCTGGATAGTCTTGCTTCGTGCTCTGAATCTAGATTTGGAAATATCTCTATTCCCAGTGGTTCAGACACGTTACATGAGGCAGGATCTCTCAGATGAACCAGCCCATACCAAAACGACGGAAAGCGAGCAAACCAGTAAGCAAGAAAAGCTAACCTCCCGGAAACATCTAGACCGTCGAACCCGCTCCGCGTACTAGGCGAATACCTAATCCAAAAGAGCAACGAGGTCGAAGGCGGTGCCGGCGCAAACAAGACGCCCGAGTAAGAACTACAAGATCGGATCGGATCCGCGATCGAATTGCTCCGGTCTTGTTGAAGGAGTGTGCAGCGTTGGAGGAAGAAACTGGAACTTCGACTTGAGCTTGGTCTGCTTTCCGTCTGCCGGTCTGCGTAACTACCTGCCTATCCACCTTACATACCTGTCTTTTGTCTGTGTCGATGCGCGAACGAGTCGCGCAGGCTGGACGGGACGGGACGAGACTGAGCTGGGCTGGGCTGGGTGCGGGTAGATACCAACCAAGCCCTGGGTGCACGAAGTACGATTTTGATCGGTCTACTGACCGCGGGGTCATGCGCGTCTGCTCTCAGTCGATGAATGGGACGGGCCCTTTCTTGCGCGCTCGCGCTCGGGAATTGAGGAGCAACAGGGTTATATATACCCTCTATCTATTGCATTCTATGCTCCCTTCCTCCAGACGAAGAGCAGACAGCGAGAGAAGAAAAATGAATCCCAGGCAGGACCGCATGGGGGTCAAGTCATGTTGGAAACTCTAATGCCGGTCGCATGGTTCATATCCAGTATTGATGCCAGGAGATGAATGAGTCGCATAAAGCGCCCATCTTCCCTTCCCATCGGTGGCGTTGTGCGGGATTTCACTATTGTTTTCTAGAAGCGAGATGAATTGCTGTATTTTAGTTCACTAATTATCAGAAAGATGATCCAAAACTCCCTATATTTGTTCGATGTTGTCTTTTTATATCTGTTCTTGCATGCGTTCTCGTAGCGTATAAGTTTCAGTAAGATCAGGCATGTGTGATTAATGGGATATATATCTCGTATCTGCGACAGCTCCACTCTCGATGAACCAAGCATATCTCACTACAATGAACAAAATAACAATAACCACAGATAAAATCACATTTACACAACAACTACCAAGCTAGCTATCTCTATACAAGCCCTGCGGTTGTTAGTGCACTATCATTGAGCCGGTAGTTAATATCCAATACCCCAAAGCTCCTAGTAAATTGTCAAAGTCAACGAGAGAGAGAGAGGCCAAAAGTCGCGAATATCCCATGCGCAGATTCACGGGAACCACGGCAGTGAATGCAGAACAGCAGTTGGTAGGTTGAGGTTGCATTCCTGAGAACATATCAGCATCATTTAGCAGTCCTTACCTTCATGTAGGAACATGTCCATCATAACAACACCGACATGAATCAATCGTCTCCAGTCCTGTCCGGAAGTGCTGCGATTACGTTGTTCTGGCGTCTCCTCGGCAACCGAATCTCTAGAGGAAGTCGCAGTGCAGAAAGATGAATATCGTACTGGCGACACTACAAGGCGGAACTGGCGAAAGATGGCCGAACTCCGGAAGTATTTCATCTCAAACCTGCAACTGAAAGGCGTGGACTGGACAGAGAACATAGTGGTTTTTTGTGGAAGGCCCGAAGACAGACAGATCCTAAAAGTGTTTGTTTTCTGGCCGAATACAATCGAGTCGTTACGTGTAGAAGGAGTTGAATAAGACGCAACAAGAGACGCAAATAAGGCGAACAGCTGACTAGGTAGTGACGAGAAAACGACCAAGTTCCGGAAGAGTTGAAAATGTAGAAGTGCTGACCCATCTGACAATCCGGGGGGAATTACAACGTTAAAGTAAATATCTGGTGTCCTTTTTTCCCCTTGCCGCCAATAAATTTTCCCTGGGGTGTGTTTTTCGAGCGAAGTAACAAAAGAGAAAACATCAGTCAGCGATCGAAGAGCGACGACAGATTTTGCTTTTTTCATCTTGCTTTCTTGATTTCAGTTGAATAGTCGCAAATCTGAAAGGCGTTCCGAGTGTTTTCGCCGAGATGACATGTGAATGCGCAGACGACTTTTTTCCCTTGCGTGATAAGATGACATGAATGACGCTCCAGCGTGGTCCGTTAACAAAGCGATTCATCGATCCCAACCGAATGTGGGTTGTCGAACGGATCAAGAACCATGGTGGGGAACATGGGAAAGGGCAAAACAAAGGTCAGGAACTGATAAAAAGAAAGGGAGGCGAAGGTACAATGTTCAACATAACAAAAAGATGAGAAAAATGACAGGGGAAAGGGGAATTACGTGCTTAAGACCTTGACTTTGAACGCCGATTTCTTTCATGTTCACCTTGACCTACCTACCGGGAGCTGTATCTGTCGTCACGGGGATCGTAAGAGCGACCGCCGCCACCGCCGCCGCCGCTATAAGCCTCGCGAGCGGGAGGTGCTGCGCTGTGACCACCGTAGCTGGGGGGGTTGGCATCGCGGTCGTAGTAGCTGCGGCGATCATCACCGCCACCGCTGCGACGGTCTTCGCCACCACCACCGCCGCCGCCGCGGCGCTCTTCACGGCTGTAGCGGTCCTCGCGGCTGGACGCATAGCGGTCGATGCCACCGCGGTAGCCGTAGTCGTCGCGGTAGTCACGACGGCCGCCATAGTCACGGTAATCGCGACCACCGTAGTCTCGGCGGTCACTGTAGGAGTCGTAGCGACCGTAGCGGTAGTCGTCATTGCGACGCCAGCTACCACCGTATCCGCCGCGGCGATCATCGAAACGGTCGCCACGGCCACGGCCACCATGTCCACCACGGAAGTCAGTGCCTGAATGAGACGAAACAAGAAGGGTTAGCCTAAATGTACTGATCGAGTTCGTGGCTGAAGGTAAAGATAAACAAGAACTGACCACGCTTGGGAGGGCCGAAGTATTTGCCGGGAGTAGGGGTGCGAGGACGGCTACGACGGGCCTTCTCGATGCTCAGAGTGCGGCCTTCGATAACCTCGCCCTGCAGGCCCTCCTTGGCAGCATCCGCCTGCTCGGCCGTCACCATCTTGACGAAACCGAAGCCACGAGACTCCTTTGTGTGAGGGTCGACCATGATCGAGCAGTTCTCGACATCACCGTACTTTTCAAACAGACGGCAGATGTCTGACTCGGTGAGACGAGGGTGAATGCCAGTGACGAACAGGTTGGAGCCGGTGTTCTGAGCGCCCTCCTCGTCGTCGTCCAAGGGCTTACGAGAATCAACCGAAGGCCTAAAGTGTCCAAAGCTAAGTTAGTTCGGGTAGTTCATCGCGAAGTGAGGTAGAGAAAGAAGAGTGGAAAGCTTTCGACATGCTGAGTGCTGAATGCTGAAAGTTGAATGACGCGTCAAGGTGTACCTACCGATCATCCATACGACCGTTAGGAGAGCGGCTGCGAGTGCGATCGCCACGAGGTTCATCGCGAGGAGATGCGCTGCGGTCGCGGGCGAAACGAGGCTCGTCTATGACGCGGCCGAAAAAAATCGCAGATTAGCTTGTGAGATCGGGGCTGTCGGGAGCATGTTGAGGGTGGCGCGGATGAAATCATCACCAACATACCGTCGTAGCGACCGTTCTCGTTGTCGTATTCCGTGGCCATGATGCTAGAGTTGAGTGAAAAGGATTGTAAAGATGAGAACAAGAGCTGGTTGTTTCAGCAGTGGCGCGCGCGATGCACGGTCCCAAGAATCGCAGTTGTGTGGTAGGGAAAAAGAGGAAGCTGAAAATTCAACTTCCAACAGGAGAAAGGGAGATAAGAGAAAGAGCGATCAGGTGATCAGACGAGACCAAGTGAGCGAGGGATCCCTGAAAGCAGTAAGGGTGAAATTGAAGAAAAGACGAGGGAAGGGAAGAAGGGATGGGGAAGAGATGAAGGTGTGGTGAGAATGATGAAAGAAGGGGGAAGAACCGGGAAAAGAAAGGCGAGCGATTCCAGACCGGCGGCTCTTCGACGGCCTGCCAAGCCTTCCTCTTTCTATCCGGACTTCTATTTCAATTCTTCTTTCTACCTTTTACTTTGTTCTACATTGTACTCTCTTTATATGTTGATAGGATCTCCTCAAATTCTCTTCACCCATTAAGATCCGTCCCTACCTAGCTATCAAAACAATTCCCTCACAATGACAGAAAGCTACCATGAAACGCCATTCCCCATTCCTGTACTTCCACGGCTAAAAACAGCGCGCCAAATATCAAGGATCAATCAGTGAATCAATCAAACCAATAAAACAAGAACAAAGACATCGCAAATTCATACATGCGCCGGAACTTTCCCACATTCACTTGAATCCTCGCCACCGTCTTCGAGTCCGATGCACCTTCACATCTTGTCCGTTGGCAGCACCCGTGCCATTAGTCGATGACCCGTCAGGCGCAGTGACAATCTGCCCTTCCAGTTCGTCCCCAACCAGGTCTTTTAACTCGTCTTCGTCGAGTTCGCTGAGCTCTTCGCTCATCCCCCGCATCACGTCTCGCCCTGTCCAGCGTTCTTCGTGAATTGTCGTCCCCACTGGGTCGAACGGTTGCATGTACCACTGGATCCCCCCTTGCGACAACGGAAGTTGCTGATCGCCCTTGAAACTGGGCGGCGGTGTCAATGGGCCCTTTGTGGATTCAAGTGTCGAGTTGTTCGCCAGCTGCGGGCTACCTTGTTCGGTCTTGTTGGGCTCGCCATTGACAGCGGGTTGTTCGCCTTCGGCGTTTTCGGTGGTGGATGGGACAGCGGGTTGGACAGCGGCTTCGTTGTTGGCCATATCGACATCTTGGCTTTCAGGTTCCTCGACAGCGGGAGCGACCGGTTCTGTTTTCGACGAGTCCTCGGCTTGAGATTCCACCGTAGGTTCGGGAATCTCCGCCTTATCTGCGTCTGGCATGGCTGTATCTTCTTGGGGCTTTTCAGGCACTGCCGTCGCTTCGGCGGTGTCCCGAGGCTCCGGCTTCGCCACTACATTGGCTTCGTCCTCCATCTTCTCATCCGAGCCGTTAGTCTTCTGCGGTTCATCTTGACTCTCCAGCTCCCGAATTTCTGTAGGATCGATCTCCGAGTCCCTCCGCGACAAGACGCTCGTCTCGAGCATGAGATCCAGCTCTTTCAGCTCTTGCTCAAAGGGCTTACGGTTCAGCTCGCTCTCTTTCTTAATCGCATCTTCCAGCGCCGGCTGAATGGCGCGGATGATCCGCTTGGCGAGCGTTCTTTTCTCCCGTTGCTCGAGAGTGAGCTCCGGAGCGCGACCGCTGATCTGCATTTGAAGCTCCTTGGTGTCTCCAGCCGGCTTAACGCCAATCTCGGAAGTGAAGACACGGGCCAGGTCGGCCGAGAACGCAGACACTGATGTGTAGTAGCGCTCAGCCAATTTGGTGCGTATGGATAATAAGCCTTCTCGGAAGACTGCTTTCCCATCCAGCCTGCAAACCCAATTAGTCAACGTAAACAATCTTAGCCAGAAGATAGAGCCTTTCTCACCCTTGTGCTTTCTCAAAAATAGGCCATAGTAGTGGAAAGATAGGGAAATAGACTGTATCCACAACATGTCGAAGCATCTCCGCATCTTTCAACTTCTCTCGTTCCCGCTTCTTGACCTCATCGCATAGCATCCGTAGTCGATCTAGATCATGATACAATCGCTCACCAAAGTCGATCCGTCGCTGTAGCCGTTTTCCACCAGCGACCCCCATCGCGACATAGTCTCTCCGGGTCATTTCCATCGACGAGAACGTCTCGAGCTGCAGCTGGAGTCGTTTGAGGAGCGCAGCACCTCGCCTGGCCTCTCGTTTTAACGTCCAGTATTTGCAAGCGTCCTCGGCATATTGTTTCCTCTGGCGAACGCCGAAGCGCTGCAGAGAAGCCACAACCGAATTCAGTACGATTTGAGGAATTACCGGAGCACCAGAAGGCAACTTCCAGATAGTCCTGGGCACCGCGGGTCGTTTCCGCTTGTTACCACCCATCGTGAGGGTGATTCGAGGCGTATGAGTCCTTGGACCGTCGTCGTCATGGTCACACCCAAGAGGGAGCGCCGGCTCCAACGACAGAGCCGCCGCCTGGCTATCGCCCCACCGGCGACCCTGCATGGTATTGCGGTAATATTCTATAGCATCCGCGGTAGCAGCATCCGTACCGTGTTCTCTGCGCCATTCCGGGGGTACATGCTTGTCGCAGAAGGCCTTGAGTAAATGAGAGTCCATAATTGCAGGAGTGCCATGACCCGACTTCATTTTCAGGTATAGCTGAGCCCGTCGCGCACAGGTCACATGGAAGGCAACGAAGCAGTTTTTGTTGCTGCATTGGATCGAGGCTCCCATTCTCTGTCGGCAGATATAGCAATGAAGCTTCCAACGACTCCTGGGGACCTTCTCCACGTCGGTGATCGGCTCCATCAGGGAAGGGTTGCCGATGGAAACCTCAGGGATCCAAACAGCACACAGCAAGTGGGACCACTTCGAGCTCGGTGTCTGTTTGAAAGCACCTTCGGTATTAGGACAAAAGATGCAGTTCACTGACCCTCTTCCAATCAACTGACACTTGCGACATAACCATTGACCTTCGGGGATGAAAGGCACGCCGTAGCATTCCTGGTGCACTGCAAGATCGCAGCCATCGCAGAAGACGATCGCGTTTGAGTTTTCGCAATCGCCATCATCACAGATTGCGCATTTCGTATCTTGCTCTTCGCCGGGGCCGGTGGTTTCGCCATTCACAGCAGCCGCAGAGCTTGATCGCGGGCGCTGCGTCTGTGGAGGCTTGGGGTTCGGCTTCGGTATGCGTTTCTCAAGGGTATGCCACTCCTTTTCGATCTTGGTCATGGTAATTTCAAAGACCGCCGGCTTGATGGGCTCGACTTGGTCTTCTCGCCGTTTTGTGTTGTACTCCTCCAGCCATTTTTCGTCCTGCTCGTCCATGTCATATTCGACCCTTCCGACCGTCGCATTGACCTCGCCCTCCGTTATTACAGGGTTCGCGAGGTCCATGTCGTCGTCCTGCGCGCCCTCCGTCATCCGAACCAGTTGACGGTCATGGCGAAGGAAGAGGTCGCTCTCCTGATAGCCCACGCTGGCCATCGTGCGGTCGACATAGTTCTGCTGACCCACTCCGGGCTGATCGTAGAACGTAAAGGGGTCACAGATACGGAAAGACGGTTTAGGCAGGGTCAGCTTCTCACGGGGATTCGGACCCGGTGGCGGTATAACCTTCGGCTGTGGCGTAATGCCCAGGGCATTCAAGATGGCCTCCGGACGACGGGGCGGCCGACCTGGCTTCCGCTTGATAGGCGTCGGCGACGTCCCGTTGGCGTGGGCGCGCACAAGCTCCGCCAACGGATCTTTCTCGCCATTTCTCTCCAACCCGTTGGGCGACAGGATATTGGCGATCGGACCGGACGGCGCCGGACGATCTACATCCTCTGCACTGAACACGGTGAACCGCGTTTCGATGTCCAGTTCCGGGTGGAACTCCTCCCAGCCTCGCTCCTCACGAGGCTTGTAGCCGTCGCCCTGTTGTAAGGCCAGCGCGGCGGCCGTCGAGGAGCCAAAGCGACCCCGATTCTGACTTTTATCTCTCCGAAGGCGTGCGGATGGCGGCGTGGTTGGCACCGGGGGTGGTGGGGGTGGCAGCCGGACGGGCTGAGGCTTGGGTGCTGAGGCGGAGGGACGGCTGCGAGAGGTGGTGGAGGAGGTGCGTCGAACGGGAGTCGGTTTGGGGGGTTTAATCGTCTCTCTCACATCCAGCTCGATGTATCTGCCTCCACCGCCGGGGCCACCAGGGACGTACTTGCGTTTTTTGAGGGGAGGACCTTCGCTGGGAACCGGGTCCGAGCTCCGGGGGCCCTTCAGGGTCACTTTTGACGACGGTTTCGATGGTTTCCCCGGCGGGGTGCGGTTTTTGGGGGAAGCGTAAGGCGCCATGATGTATATGTAGGATCAGTAAAGACAGGCTAGATGAATATGATGCAAACGGAGTGATTGTTTGGTTGGTGAATCTCAAAGCTTGTTTGCTTTGCTCGCCCTCACAGTTGGGGACGCAACGGAACCCAGCTGCGCCGTATCGCCAGTGAAATCACAATCAGGTCAGCCAAAGCAGTAGGTCATGACCTAACAAACAAGGAGACCAGACAGGGGACAAAGCACACAGGACGGACGAGCGACAGCAGCGACGGCGATGAACGACGCGAAGGCGAGGAGTGGCCCTTCGTTATCTCAGGTGGCCGGCGGCGCTAAACCGCGCTGGGCCAAAGGCGGAGAGGCTCCACCGCCCGTCAAACCAACAATTAAACAAAGCAAACGCGGAGCTTCAACCAGATGGTCAGCATCGCCTGCTTCTTCTTCACTTCAACTTGTCTTCTCTCTCCAGGATGATTGGTCCCGGTGAAGATAGGTAAGAGCTTTATTTTCCATAACCTTTCCCGCTCTTGCTCCTCTATCCGGAACTCTCCACCTTCTACCTAGCTAACCATGCTCTCAAACATCAGATGGCGCGGAGGTCGGCCTTACGATCATAATCGCCAGTCGGGGCAGCGACACCCCAACAATCGGAACATGAACATGCACGGCGGATCTCGAGGCGGACATAATCAGAATCAGAATCAACATCAGAACCAGAACCAGAACCAGAACCAGAACGCCTGGGGAGCGGGCGACTCACGCGACCAGCTCTCCGCCGGACTGTCCCAGGACCAGCACGTTCCCGTACGAGGTTTCAATGCCGCCGAGGCAAAGGGTGCACTGAGGAGAGGTATGTCGGGTCACTGCGATGGGGAATATCGTGCGACTTGAACGTCATGCTAACGGGGCTTTGTTTCGCGCTGGATTAGGCCCAGGAGGTATGTACAATACATCCCATCCAACCATATCACAGACACATGGAGGAATTCCTCTCTAGGGGAATCTCTTTATCTCTCGATTCCTGCCGATTGATAAACTTCCCTACACGTCGCACGGGTCATACGTCGCTAACCGACTTCCCTTCCGTCTCCCGCAGCACCGAGACCCTACTTCTACAAGACCCCCGGCAAAGATGCGAACAACCGTTCGGGCGGGCCGTGGGGATCCAAGCGTACGTACCGGAGTCCAATGCAGTCCTCTTCCTTGGCCGAGGCCTATCGGCAAGCCGAATGAAACAGGATATGAAATTAACGAGGTGGTTTGCATGCAGCGAACGCGATGGCCAACGGGAAGGATTTCTTCCTCGAGCTCCGAAAGCAAGTCACGACTTTGAAACAGGGTGGTAATGTGGCGGGTGGCTAAGCCTTCCATCCGTTCTTTCATTTCGTTTTCTTATCATCGTTCACGAGCGTGTGTTTCAAACATTGGAAAAAGCCGAATAGATAGAAAAGAGCATGGAGGTTGGTTGGCTAGGGCTGGCTTTTGAGATTGGGGCTGGAATCACCATCTCGTCTGCATAACTTGGCCGGAGGAGGATGATAGGATCGATGTTTATGTATGACTAGCCCAGGGGCTAAAGGCAGGTAATCTGGTTTTTGCGCTCTGATTGCTGGCCGATCGGATGACATGACATGGATGGTCTTTGGAGACGTCACTGGGCTAGTCTTGAACACGATTTCTTATGACTATTTGGGCGGAATTGGGATCAGGGCAATGTTCGGAGTTAGACTATCATCATACCCCTGGATAGTGTATTCTGAATGGTTGTCTATTATTATGAAATGAATAAAAAGAATATCGAGACGTCTTCATGGATTTGATTTGGGGTTTTTTTTGTCGGTAGAAGTTATTATACATTGATCTATGTACACTGAAATGTAGTGGAGCGAAGTTGCGACAGTATGATACAGGGGTTTTGCTAGTATACACATTCAATATCTACGATTGTTCAAGCCTTGAGCCAGTCATCCGGACCCAGAATCCCGCCGTCCTCGGCGCGCGGATCAAGAGACCACTTCCTCCAAGCCCGACAGCCAAGATCGCTACGCCAACCAGCCTCGAACATCTCGATGCCCGCCCATCCGATCATAGCAGCATTATCAGTACACAAGGCCGGCGGCGGCGCAACGATACCGACATGTCCGAACCCGCGGACATCAAGGAACGAGCGCAACACGGTCATCAGGAAGCGATTCGCCGCGACACCGCCGCTGACCACGAGGGTTTTCACCTCGTCGCCAGACCTCTGTTGACGGAGCGCTTCGAGAGCGATGACGGTGCGGGAGGCAAGGTGCTCGAAACAGACGCGCATCGTCACGCGCGCCATAGCGACACGCTCTTCGTGGCCCATGGTTTCGCCGGCCTTGGCTTTCGCAGATGTGATTCTGGTGATTGACGATGCGATGGACGAGAAACTGAATTCGAGCTTCCGGGTGTTGGCAAACGGAGCGGTGAGGTACCAGCCCCAGGGAGTTGGGCGTGTAGCAATCTCCTCGCCACGCGTCATCGGGGGACGGTAGTCGGCGTAGTCGATGCTGCCGTTCGGAAAGGCAAATTGTTCCAGCAGCTTGCCGTACATGGTGGTGTTCGCACTCTGGAGCAGAGACTCGGGAAGAATGTCGCGAGCCGTCTTGTCGAGCGAGTCGCCGATCGCTACGTCGGAGCTCGACGCCATGATCTCATGGTCTGTGATGGAAGACGACTTGACGAGGATCGAATGTCCGCCGGAGACGAGGATCGAGAGGAACGGGAACTCAGGAGTCGGAGGCGTAGGCGAGCCAGTGTCCGGGGTGTCAATCTGAGCGCGCTCCAAACAGGACACCAGACGCGGTGTTAGCAGATGAGCCTGCATGTGATGGACCCCGACAAAGGGAACCTGCCACGCAACCGAGAGCGCCTTGCCCGTGTCCAACCCGACGAACAAGTTAGCTCGCATCCCGGGTCCCCTGGTGACCGACACAAAGTCGGGTTTGCGACGTGGCGTGGGATTATCAGAAAGGTGTAGTAATTGGTGTCCTCCATGTGTACCCGACGGTTCAGGTAGATGTGCCAGGGCCTTGTTGACCAGTTTGGCGATGTTCTCTTGATGCGATTCGAGGGCAACGATGGGATGAACGCCGCGATACGAGGTCGTGTTTGCCGTCACGTTCTCGAGGAAATGGGTCTTTGCAGTCGCACCCGAGGGCCCGGTCTTCTTTTCGACGATCGCAACCGACGTGTCATCGCTGGTGAGAGCGTTAGCATGGAACTCTGCGGGCCGTCCCATCGACCAGGGTCAAAGTCAACCCACCAGGATGTCTCGATGGCGAGAGTAAGTAATCCGCGATTTCGTGTCGACAGGCTCCATTTAGGGGCTGTGCAGAACTTCCTGCGACAGGCCGCAGCAGGGAGTCGCGCGAACAACATGAGGGATTGGATGAACGGAGATGGCGCGCGGGCAGGAGGCGACAGGCGGCGAAGGCGCAAAGAACCTGCTCGCACGGGCCACGGAAGCCCTGGGAATCTGCCCTAAAACAGTGACCAAAGCGGTAACATCATGAAGTAATAATGGAAGGGCGTTTAAGCATATCGATGTCTACGGTGTAGTACTATGGAGTGTCGGTGGCAGTAGAAGTACGTACACTGTCTTGGACATTATCAACATGTGCCTATAAATAGACCAATGCCTACTAATAATAAAGAATCTCTTTGTGGAGCCAGAACGAGTGTATGTGGATTTGCTCCAGGCTAACTAATGCTCAAAGAGTAAACTAAACGCCGGACCATATCATCACGTCATAAACATAATAGTTCTCATATACACAGGTGAACAGGTAGTCTCTTTCTCAAGGGATCAATCATCATCCGAGGGATTCACGTTCTGTTGAACATCCGCTGCTCTGCGCCACATTCCATCCCACTAAACTACATTTGAAGTTGCAAGATGACCTGTCGATTCAGAGCTGTAAGGGCCGGTCGAGAGTGCAGAGAAAGCGCCCAGGCTCTGATTTCTTGGCCTTGCGCTCCACAGATCCGCCGGTCGGTTAAGGAGTTTGTCAAGTTGATGCTCGGTGTTCCTTCATTCCCGTACGGTCCAGCGTCGCTCTTCGCGCGACACCTTGGTGTGAGTGCCGTAGTATTCCTCGGGATTTTCAATGGGCGTCACGCAATGCACTGTGGGCGTACCCTTGAATTGAATGTGTCTCTTGGCAGTGCCGTTGGCGCCCATGGCCGACTGTTTCTTGAGGATGCTCTTGGACGAACATGAGTTGGTGTAGTTGTAGGCCGGGACTTGCAGCGAGGAATGCCGCTTCGCATTGGGACTGAGGGGCGACGGGGAAATAGGAGTGCGAGGTAGAGGACCGGGAGACTTGAGAGACAAGGAGGGTCGAGTGGCATTCTGTGCCGCAGCAATGCAAACGGACAGCTGGGGTCTCGCGGCAGCACGAGGAAGCATGATGGAACGATGGACTTGCAAAAGTGAAGAACAGAACAAGGAGAGATTTAAAGTTTTGAACGGCAGATGAGAGAATAATAAGAGTGAAAACAAGAGAACACCTGTGGGGGCGGACTTCGGTCAACAAAGCCGTTGCCAGAGGCAAAGCGCGTAAATGATACTATTATTGACGTGGTGCAGATCCAAAAAAAGAAGTTCAAAGATAACTGTCGCCTGGGCCAGCCAAACGAACCACCGAAAGACGAAAATAGAACAGAAAACGAAAACACCCAAACAAATCAAGCTCAAACACACAACGTGCCAGAGCAGAGAGGGAGAGATGCGCGGCTATATAGTCTCCAGTCTCCAGTCGGCGAGGGGAGGCTGGCGGCCAATGACCTCCGCCTCTCTGCTCTAAGCGCCAACTCACTGCACGACGAGGCACAGAACGCTCCTCGTCACATCCCACGAACAAATCATGGAGCCGTCCCGGTTGCCATCACATTTCGGACTTGACCGAGGTGTCCAACCAGAGATCGCAGCTTGATCCTCTGCGATTGGCCTGCGAGGGGTTTGGGGGCCTTGGGCTGCAGGATTTCCGAAATGAGCAAAGGATTGACGCCGTACTTCATCAATTTCTGCAGAGATCGGACAGCATCACATAGATTAATCAACTGTTGGATATAATTAGTAGTGGGATTCCTCGTGGCCAAATGCCGGCCGTCGGTGGATATGACTTACAGACTGCCTGCCATGTTTCAATCATCCATTTGCGGGCGGATCCTTCACGTACTGTTCATTTCGATTCTGTCGATTAAGCGATATACTGTGTAGATTCTCTTTGCAACAATACGGCACACTGATTTATCCCCTCCTTCGCACAAGCAAGTAGCGGGGGAGACACACACAGACGAACCGATTGCCACTTGCCAAGTTGCCAGTCGACCACCAATGAAGATCATCTGCAACATGATCACAACGACACTGCAGTCACCGACGGCCTTCATTGCAGGATTAGCGTGTGCTCTGGTGATGCTCTTGTGCCGTCACATCTGGTGGGATGATAAACTTCGATAGTTCGTCCTACTTTGAACTCTGACGAAATGGAAGTGTCCGCTGCATTATAATTATGCTCGGTGTATGTACAGTGCATAATTCAGTGTGTGCTTGTATAAGCCGTTATGAAGATCTTCCACATCATATCCATCGATTGGGGAGCTTTGTGTGGAACAGATAAATTCAGAGAAGCGAAATAAGGAGGAAGAAGATGATAGAGAGATGAGAGATGAAACTTAAGGTTCCTTGTGAAAAAAATCTGTAAGAAGGTCAGCTTTCGACTTACCTTGCAGAGTATATCTCTTACCGAAATACCTCAACCGCAACTAAACCCCGCCATAGACTTCAGTGCACTAATTATCTTCTTTATCAGACAGACTGAGCCCCAAAATGCATTTGGGGAATATGAAAAGTCCATTCAACAAGCGTTGTGCAACCTTGTATGCCATGCGATCCAAGGCTCCGGGCTGGCATGAGCTGGACGGAAGCCGCGGAAGACCAGTTCAGCATAGCAGCCACGACACGACACCCCGTTTTCTTGCAGCTTCCCCGTATTCCCTGTACCTGCTTCTAATTCTAAACTTAATGGGTGCCGTTCTTTTCATCGAGGAGTTACGTGTCCGTCGACTTGTGTCCGCCGTTCCTCCTACCTGACGCATCTGGCAGGGACGTTCGATGTCCTAGTTTGAACTCATCTTTTGTTCCTTGGCCATTCTCCATAGATTGCTTGAATTATTTCATTGGTTTGCCATTATATTGTTATTTATATATAGCCATGGGAGGTATACGGAACCTGATCGAGCCGGGGGGTAAGTCGAGAAACCAGCTATAGTCCTAGGATTTCCCCGATAACTGACTCTCTATAGCAATCGTGGCTGTTTTTACTGCAGGTACCCTCATCAACAGACGCAAGCTTATCCGATTACCAGAAACACCCTCCGTCGAGTCGCCTCTACTGGGAGACCACCACCAAGCACCTCATAAACCTCCCAACGAGGACGTCGTCTTCCACTCTTTTGAAACACGCCGGACGATTCAATCGCGATTCCTGGCCTATTTCCCGTTCTTACTAGAGATATGGTACTGGACGTTGTCATACTGGGTACGATACGACGTAGACTTCAGCCAACCTGGCAATCATACATGACTGGCTAATACCAACACCACAGATCTACCAAGGCCTGCGCGCATTCTCAGCCCGCCAGATAGCCGGCCACAAGTCCATCTTCGAAACAGCCGAAGACCACGCCCACCAGATCCTCGCCCTCGAACACATCCTGCACATCGACATCGAGCTCGCCGTCCAGCGATTCGTCCTCGACCAACTCCCCCCTCTCATGCCCGTTCTCGCCAAAGTCTACTACTCCCACATCGTCCTCGGCATCGTCTTCCTCGTCTACATCTTCACCTACATCCCGCGCGACAAATACCAAGGAATCCGCCGCGCCCTGTCCCTCGAAAATGCCCTCGCCTTCTGCATCCTAACGGCCTGGCGTTGTGCCCCGCCCCGCCTCTTACCTCCGGAAGACGGTTTCATCGATGTCCTGCATAAGAACCGCACGGGCTCGGCCTGGACGTCGAATAAGTTCCAGCTGACCATCGCCGCCATGCCGTCGTTGCATTTCGGGAATGCGTTCTTCATCGCCTTCTGTCTGGTCCGGTACAGTCCGCATTGGATGGTTAGGGTTATGGCGCCGTTGTGGCCTGTCTTGATGGGTGTGACGATTGTGGCAACGGCGAATCATTTCTTGTTGGATGTATTGGTTGGCGCGTGTGTTACTATGACGGCGTATCGGTTTAATCACGTCATGCTGGGACTGTTGCCGGTTGAGAGGGTGCTGTTCAGGGTGTTGAGGTTGGAGAAGCCGGAGGAGTAGGTTGATTGTTTGCCATTGGGGATTTGGGGATAGTGTTTAGAACTATTCTTATATGCTTTTTTGGTAGGTAATGTCGAAAGAACGGAGGGTTGTGTAAGATATTGTTAGAGTGGGCTTGATGCTCTCGTACCCATAACTCCCTCTTCCTTCTGACAATGAACTACATTCCTCGTAGACTTAATTTGTAGAATTCACCCGTGAAGTAACCTCCCTGGGGACTGCGCGGGAATTTTCCTTTTGCCCACAGGATCAGTTGTGATTCGTCGTTGATGAAGAACCATCGATATCGCACCGACGGTTTGAACGCCTTATGGTCCACAGACAGCTAGGAATCAGGATTCGGTATGCAGGTCGTAAACGTTTGTCCTGGACAACAAGGGTATATTTCTCCTTTGGCCCGTTTATATTGACAGCACTTCCGGTACTCCGCGTCACACGATATCGTCATCTTGCAAAGCTCATTGCAAAAGGAACTTCCAGCCTCAACGGCCCGCTGCTGGCGTAGACTCTTGGTAGCAGTATAGACTTTCAGTTTATCGGATCACCGACCGGCATGTGCCGTAGACCGCAAGATGGTCTCACCGCGTTTATTAATATTCAACCATCTTGTTCTTGTCCAGGGGCTGAGTCTGAAATTAATCTGGATCCTGAACGAAGGACGTCATCTCTCCGTGCAGACCCGAAGCTGCACCCGAAAATAAGCAGCAACTATACAAACAAATCCTCGAAACAGCTCCCAGAAACGGCGCGTCTCAAGCTCCCAGAACATTCCAATAAATCCTCTCCATCCTCATATCCTTCATCAACCACTCCTGCCCGCCCTCCTCCCTCGTCCACGTCTCATAGTAATGCCCTCCCCCAGTCCCATGCATCCCCCCATCCATGCCCCTAGGTCCCGCATGATAGATCACCGTCCAAACAGCCTTCACTTCGTTCGGACCAACCTGCTCCAGCTCCCCCGGCCCGACGAGATGAATCGTCTGCAGCACCTTAAACGCCTCGCTGAAGTATGCGACGAACTCGGCCCGGGAGTTGAATTTAAAGTCGACGCCGTTTTCGCAGACCAGGGACCCTTCGCTGTCGTAGAATTCGAATCGCGCGTCCGCGGCGAGGAGGGTGTCCATCTTTTCCCAGTGGTTGGTGTCGGCGAAACGGCAGTATTGGGATTTTTTGAGCCGGATTTGTTCGGCGATTTCTGGGGAGAGAGAGGGGGGCATTTTGGTGGGGGGTTTCTTTTGAAGGGTGGGCAGTGATTTGTGGTTTATTAGAGGGGGATTAGAAGGGTAGAGGGTGAATAGGTGACACGTTCGGTGGGAATGTGGTTAAATATGTGACGAGAAAGAGGGGCATGGCGTTTATATAGTGCTCCTTGGTTCGGGTAGAAAAATGGTCCTAACAGGTTCACAACGGAATACTATATCCATGCAGGTTTACCGTCACATGACAAGATGAGTATATAAAGAACCGGGAGCTAGACTCAAGAAACCGGATTCTAAACCAAGAATGATATGTTCAAGATCACGGATTATAAATAATGTGCCTTTCCTTGCCAGCAGTTTCTGGGCCACAATCACCTGCACTGGTGAAGGGTCTTCTAGACCGACAGCTGGTTAATATCTACCGCGACGGAGGAATACTATAGCAGAACCATTTATGCAGCCAAGTCTCTTAGTGGTGGAGAAAATGACGGAACGAGGGACTGCGGAATCAGCTAATCAATCCAGGACACTTTCTTCCCATGATGATAATGAGGATGGAAGAACAACTGTGCAAGCCGAGTTTACCACATACAAATGGAGGGTGCTGGATAGGAGAAAGGAGATCGAGACGATAAAACGAACAGGGGTAAAGAGAATTTAGACATTTCTCCACGAAAAGTCAATGTACGAAAGAAACGGTATTTACTATTCGCTAACCACTACTTCACATCTAATTCTTCACCGAAGAATCCCATCCTGCATCCACAGCGTCCACCCCACGATACTCGAAGAACTTGTTCCACTTAGGATCATCAATGAGCGTTTGCGCCAGGCTCTTCTCATACGCAAGAGAGAACTCGGGTCCTTCATCTGACTCAGGCCCTCCCTTGCGCGGTGGGTAGATGATCATCACACCCTGAGAAACACTGTCCATCAAATGACGATATGTGATTGGCGTTGCAAAGCCAAAGTCCGCGGCAGTGATGTTCGCATCGCGGTGGTCTGTCTGCAGGATGGAGAGAGGTGGGTACGAGTTGATCCGGATGTTCATGGTGGTCTTGTCACGAACAAGCGCCACCGCACTCAGAGCCTCGTCGAGGTTCTCTTGCGTCACGCTGTTGGTGAGCTTGCGGATGAACGAGGCAAGTTGCGGCAAAGACCACTCGGAGATGACCTCGGCGAGGGTGGGCTGGGGAACTGGTGCGGACGGAGAAAAGGCGGCGAACATGATGTTGCCTTGGAGGCGTGGGTGGACCTTGGGGCTGTGGAAGCGTCGACGCATGTCGACTGCCTCAGACCAGAAAATGGGCTGAGAGAGGTCTGCATTGAAGACTGGGGCTCGGAGACGGGAGAATGTGCGCCAGATGTAGGCCGAAAAGGCATCGTAGGTCGAGATCCAGGAACCATCTGTCGGAGAAGCCTGTTTCTTCAACTCGGCTGCTTTGCTCTTGGGCAAGTGGAACAGTAGTGACACAGACTCTGTATGAGCTGGGTGCATCTCGGGCTGAGGAGGTCCATTGATCTTCTTCTCCTCGGGGGGTTCGGGCTTCAAGAGACGCGATCGATCAAGGAGGGTCGGATCCCATGGCGGAGGAGTCGTATTGTTGACAATGGCCTTGCAATGCTCGGCTAGTTGATGGGTGTATGCAGCCCAGCCCATGACATCGTTCGCATAGTGATGATGGTGCATGTTGAAGACCAATCCTCCACGTACAAAATTGGCCTTGAAAGCAGACACCACCGGACTAGAGTCGGGATGGGCTTCTGCCTTCTCCCCATATGTCATGGGAGACACACTCCAGTCCTTGAGGTCTCCCAAAGGGACGGCGGTGAAATTGGTCTTCTGGATCTCATCGAAAGACGGGTATTTGTCGTCTTCCTCCAAGTGCTGCACGAAGAAACGAACGGTACTGTCCTTCTTTTTCACAAAGCAATGTCCACCGGTGGGATCTCTCTCGATCGTTCCACATAGGTGTCGCACTTGGCTGAGCATGCGCTCCAAGCCCTCTTTCAAGACCTCAACGGTCCTGCTCTTTTCGGCATCGTCTAGTCGGAAGAATAGGGCATAGTTGTTGTACGTGCAAGCGGTCAGGTAATCGAGGGTTGAGGATTTGAATCTCTCTTCCTCGGGATCGTTCTCCCAGCCGGTCGGATGGAGATGGTAAATTTCTTGCTGCGGCATGATTAGAATCGGTTGTGGCAAGAAACGAGATGCTCAAGCAAGATGATTAGGGTAGAACCACGAGGCTCGAGAGCTTTATGCGGGGTTCAACGGCAACAGGGACAGGGGCATGATAGCGAGGAACTTTTGACAGGTGCCAAGAGCCATCTGCTAGTCACTGCTGACCAGCCTTATCAGCAAGAGCGATGGCATACGCATGTGAACTAAAGGGGTGTGTTAGAAAACTACCCCAGTCGGTCAGGGAAGATTGGCCATCTTTTCCCGTCATTACTCCGTAGTACATCGGAGTGGTAAGAGTGATGCTGCAGGGATTGTCGGACATACGTGGCGAGATCATCAACTCTGACTTTCCGGAGACCAGAGTACTCGAGACTCGAGAGGGCCAAATCAGGAAAGAGATAGCAGTCGCACGGTACGTTGGTCATTGACTGCACGGAGCCTTGAAATGGACTCCGTAGTGTGGGCCCACAAGAGGCACCCACAGACGGTGCCAATCTGCCATCTGCAAGGCCAGTGGGAGTCGGTGTTTGAAGTTGGAAGTGAGGCCTCTTGGCCCCAGGCATCAACCGACAATCCTGCAAATCCTTCGCAGCTCCACTTGGATGAAGATTCCGCGGAGGTTTCTATCGAGAACTGGTGAACACCAGCAATGATAGTGCATTTGGCTCCAGTACGGAGTACACTGTACAGTTTCCAAGGTCCTTTACACGATTTACGAGCAGCAGTTGACAGTCTGAGTCAGCACTCTAAGGACAACAAGACCTGGTGTCGAGGGCGAAAAAGGAGGGATTAGAGACTAACGGGCCAGAAAACCGACTAAGCTGCACCTAAATCCTTCTGGACATGGGTGATTTACCTTGGAACAAAAGGCAAGGCGTTCTGGAGAATGCCAGGCCACGCAGACGAGAGACCTGGCCAGCGGTCGAAAGGCGACTCCTTTTAAATTAGTCTGCAGATAGTATGAGGAATCCTTGTAAGTGGCGTCGAATAATAGCATTGTTAAGCTGGAAAGTTACTACAAGGTCAAGGAATTGGAACCCCCGAGGAGCCGTTGGTAATACCAAGCTCTTTTAATAAGGGAGAGCTAAGAGCTAGGGGTACAGTTATTAATCTATTTTCACAGGTTGATCGTTATACTCGACACGCTATTAATAGTCGACAACAATTACGAGATACCGATTGGCCATTAAGGAACGCTCAGATCGAAGTGAGATGGTCGGCCTTGCCCCAACGATCGAGTGAACGATCAAATTGATCTCAATAGTACCCCGTAGGGTGTGTTGGGTCTTGGGTGGTGTTCTGGCCAGATCGAACAGCGACCCAGAGACAGACCATCACACCAGTGGACTCCAGGGGCGGAAGTAGGCAGGAAGCGCGTAGATCACTGCCATCCCTCGGCTTTTAATCCAGTGGGTCTCGTGCCTGGCCTGCATGCTGTCAGTGGCGTTGACTTTCATTTCCGGCAGAGAGCCCGCGGCACGTTCACGCCCAAAGGACTCGAATCCCTGTCATGGCTGGGAAACTACTAGTTTGACAGCGTACTCTGTCTGCTCCTGGCGAGCGCCCGAGCTTGTGGTCGACGCTCCGTAGAACCTTTCATGGCCAATGGTCAAGACTTGGTTCTCCTGACGATCGTGTTTGGCATGCTAAACATGGGCTGGAGGAACAATACCAATGTGATCTCGGAGTCTTGTGATGTAGATAAAACCATACTCATACGCACGTAGCGTCTCACGCCTATTCTGAGAACTCCTGCTCGTTCCCCCGAACTCTGCATCGATATGGATCTTGACGGACCGGCTCTGGCACCTCCCAAGGGTATCAAGCCCAATTTCGACAACCCCCCGAATCAGAATGGAATGGCACAGGCTATATTGGCGGTTTGTGCGGCCGTAGCCACTGTGTGCCTTTTTCTACGTGCCTATGCAAGAGTGTACTTGTTGAGAAAGGTTCAAGTTGAGGAAAGTACGTGCATGAAATAAGTTCTAACCTTGCTTCGGACGATTGCAAGACCCCTAGAATTCCACTTCTACTAACACTGGAGTTCGTTTAGTCCTAGCAATTTGCGCCTTTGTTCGTACCCCCCGTTGACAGAAATGATACAGCAATTGACAATTTCTCGTCTAGGGATGTTTTTGGGGCGCAATATGGGCTACGTTTGCCATGGTCAAAACCCCTGGATATTTTGTCCACCAGTGGAATATCCGCCTTCGAGACACTGACGACGTCAACTACGTGAGTCCCGCGGTACCGTATGACCCTGACCCTTTTGACTAATAGAGATCACACCAGTATGTTCTAGTTTTCGGTGTCTGCTATTCAATCGTATTGCCTACGCTCAAAATCGCTATTCTGGTCGAGTGGTGTCGCATGTTTGCTCCTCGAGGCCGTCAATCTGAGGGTTATTTCTGGTGGGGTTGTGCTATTGTCATCTTTGTTCAAATTACCTCGGGCATTGCTATCGTGATTGCCTTGAACACGCAATGCATTCCTCATAAGGCGATCTACAACCTCGCCATCCAGGGAAAATGCTTCGATCTGTATAAGCTGGAAGTCAGTTCGGCGACTATTCAGCTGGCGTCGGACATTGCCATCATGTTGCTGCCGCAGCGGGTGATATGGACTTTGAAAATGACATGGCGCAAGCGGATGGGTGTTTCTGTGATTTTTGGTTTGGGTTTGTTGTAAGTGTCTCCCTATCATTAACCCTTTAACTCTGTCTGAGGCTAATGTCTCCTCTACAGAGCTTGCGTCTCCGCCGCCTTCCGACTAGCCGTGACAATCCAACACAGCGAAGCCCTGGACTCAATCTACCATCTCGCTCCCCTCGTCTTCTGGGCCACGGCTGAAATGTCGTGCGGCTTCTTCATTGTTTGCCTGCCTTGTATCCCTAAGATCCTGAAAGAGACTGGAGTCAGCCGGAACATCAAGCGAGCATTCGGGATGAAGACCTCGGGTACCAATTCTAAGGGAATAGAGCACTACGGGGTTTCCGGTCGGTCGACCGACCACGCCAAGGGAGCTTCGGTTTCGAACACTTATCACAAAATAGATGAAGATGGGGTGCCGCTGGGGGCATTGAAGGGATCAGAGTCTACGGAGCATTTGAATGCGGGTATTACTCGCACGACTAGGATCACTGTCACGCAGGATCCTCGCACCGTTAGTGATGATGGGAGTCGTGGGATTCTCTATCCATAGATAGAGTGTTCATTAGCATGGGTTTAGAGAATCATGGGAGGATTTCAAAACGCGCTTTTCATTTGTACAGTAGAGTCAGAGCATATCCCACATGTCTACCTGTATCTCTTCTTGGGGTTTGCTGTAAGCAGATAAAACAAAAAGTGGGGAGCAATTAGACCAATGCATGAGCTGACGGTATTAATTGATTAATTAATGCCGGCCTCTCTAGAGTCCGACACATATTTCACAAGAAGTATCGAGAAAGCCTGATTTCTAGCAATCCTTCAGCCAATATGCGGTTTTTATGTTTGCATGGCAGGGGAACGTGTGCCAAGGTATGTTTGCAGCTTTACTACATCCAAGATCCGGAATAAACACGTATCTAGAAACTGTACTGAAGATGTTAGTAGATTCTTGAAATGCAAACAGGTAAATACCTCGCAAATAAGGCTTACAATATGTAAAGTCCTAACTGCAACTAGCCCGACTCCGAGAGGAGCTCGATGACCACGAATTTGTCTTTATCGACGGCACTGTGCCCACGGAGCCCAGTGAAGGTATGCCCACCTCTCCCTATTCCTTCAAAATCATACCGCGACACTAAATTCAACGCAAAACGAAAAGGAAGCTCGCTTGTAGCAGAACAAACCTACGGCTTTCTTCCCACCCCACTCACCCCCTCCTCAGCCAGATCCGTTCTCACCGACGCAATCGAGTACATCCAAGCCGCCGGTCCCTTCGACGCATTGCTCGGCTTTTCTGAAGGCGGAATCCTAGCAGCGACCCTCCTCGCCGAGGACGCGCACCACCCCTTCGCTCATTTCAAATGCGGTGTGTTCTTGAGCTCCGCGACACCGTTAGATCCCGATGTGCTCCACACCGACGGTGAAATTAGCAGGGATGGGGAGGGGCTGCAGTTACGAGCCCTCGATCCAGCCGTCGACGGAGTGGTGATCCGGGTCCCGACGGCACATGTGCTCGAGGAGGATCTGAATCGGCTCAGGGGATTGTCGCCGATGGCTCCGCTATGGGATCGAGAGGGGACGAAGGATCCGCAGGAAGGGCTGGTGGAGATCTGTGACGCGAAGGTCGTGGAGACGGTGAGGCATGCATTGGGGCATACTGTGCCTGGGGCAAAAGGCGAGGTTGAGTTGGGGCAGGTGGTTAGGGCTATTGAGAGGACGGTCGAGAGGGCTTTGGAGTAATCTCTATATACAAAGTATTGTTTACGTGCCAAAATAGATATCGAGTCAATTAAACGATTTTCAGGAATACGGGGAAGTCCAGCTAAAACGCGTTGGGAAAATGGACCTTTGGTTTTCCAGGTCTACTAGCCGGTAGAAGCCTCCATGAGACGCCGTCGGCTCAAACTGACACTAGTCTGCTTGATCATTTGGCTGACTGACGGATCTCTAATCCGCGGTCTTTAATACTCACTTTATATTTAGTTAACTAGTTACAAAGACCAAGTTAGTCATTGTCTGGCCCGTCTAGATGTCCATAGCCAAGGCATCTATACTCTGTGCTCCATAGCAGACGCCAATAACACCATGTGGGACGTTGTCTCCACAAGCTAGGGAATCCCGGCCCCCAATTCGATGCAATTTCCGTAGCACAACATGACATGTCCATCTCCTTCCTGAACAGTATTGGACAAAAGTTTGTATGACGGGATGGAGAGAGAGCCCCGGCGCTATTTGTTCTTTAGACCCTACAGAGTACACCGTACCGTGTAATAAATAATAATATCATAGTATAGGAAGCATCCACATCTTACACCTTACACCGTACAGAGTAAGCGAAGCCCGGTACTGGACAGCGGGACAAGCCGCGTAGTGGGTCGATTCGGTAGAGTGAGGTGGACCTGGGGCCAATAAATTGTTACTGGGTAATACCATGTATACCCAGGTCTCTGGTAATAGCCTAAATTGCAGATGGATTGGAAGGAATGCCGTGGTTTACTGTGTAGAACAGGCCAGGGAATGATCTGAAGGCGAACTGGATAAATTAATTGGAGGGGGCATTCGGTAGTTGCGATGCGTGAGTCGGGGAAAAACGGCAGACACAGATACTTGATCTATTGAAATTCGAATCATGACTCGATAATCAGCCCACATTAGGTCCTGCGGAAACGTACCTAGGTCTGGGCGTACGGACTACGGAGTAGTTGGTTTGGGTCCCCGAGGTGGTCAATGAAATGGCGTTGGAACCAGGATCGGGGGATCCTCGGGAGATTAAATTATTAGTTTCTCGGTCAGTGTCACTGCATGAACTCAGCGGCCGTGTTGAAACCTGTTTTGTAGTATTTGAGTTGACGTTTGAGTCTATTGCCGGAAAGAAGTAAGTTAACTCAAACTCCCAGCATGAATTTAAAGATATCATAATAAAATCATGTCTGAACTTTGACACTAAATTGTAGTCAAGGGGGTCCGCACACTGGAATAAATCGCTATCATGGGATAAATGATTTGACGCTGGAATTATTACAAATTTTCTCTATATAGTGCAGGCGTCTTTCTGTGTTTTGGCGAAAAAAGGCCCCATCTCGAATGCGTAATATGTTAGACAGCAGAAGCCTCGTCCGACCTTCGGAAAAGATGGTCACTGAGGGGCCAAGACGAACTGGAGAGCATTTGGAATATTCACCCAGGAAAGGTAATAGCTACTACGATGACAGGTCTTAGAGTTGAACATGAACAGCCACGCCTGGGCCGTCAGCTTGAACGCAATGAGTAACATCACATCCCTTGAGATGTTTCATGATGAAATCCAGAGGCTATCGTAATGCACTAGGAGCTTTTTGAATGGCCTAGAAAATTCGGAGCATGGACCCCACTCGGCAACAACACGTTGATACAGGATGAAGGATTACAATGGAAAGTTTGTTGATATGAAGATTGGACATTTTTCATATAATTTCGTGTCGGTTGTTAACGAAAACCGGCAAATCTTACCGGTTCTTCGCTGGGGCCTAGAGTTCGTCGTGGATACCAGAGCCATACCATTGTCTCAAGATCTGGATAAGCCACCATGATCAAGATTACAGAGGAAGCCGGGCTTGCTCAAGCTTGTCTTCTTCCAGTAAGCCCGGCTCGTACAAAAGTCAATCTAGACCCAGAAGAATGGAGAGTCTCATTGACTAAAGCTAGACGACAATCTTTGTCATTTACGATCAGGTATGAGGAAGCCTACAGACGCAGGGTCTTCCGCCATGGGTGCAGGGATAGCAGGTCCTGATGATATTGCCATCGTGGGGTATTCCTTCAAGCTTCCGCAGGATGTGGACGACGACTCCAGTTTCTGGGAGCTTCTTCAAAAGCGAAGAAACTTGATGACCGAATGGCCACAGTCACGAATCAATGCTCAGAGCTTTACGGACAGCAGCAACACTAAGGTAGGAATCGAGGAAGATGTCAAGGCTCCCTTGAACTGACAAGACTTTAGTTCCGTGCTACAGGCGGTCATTTCATCAATGAAGATGTGCGCGCTTTCGACGCTCCATTTTTCTCGGTCACGGCGAAAGAAGCTGCCGCAATGGATCCGCTTCAGCGATGGACCTTGGAGGTCTCATATCGAGCTTTCGAGAAATGTAGGAAGCACATCTTACGAACGAAGAGGCGAGAAAACCTATGCTAATTACTATTACACAGCTGGAATCCCAGTGGAGAGCCTAAAGGGTTCGCGGACGGCAGTCTTTTCTGCCACTATGATCGAAGACTATTCAAACATGGTTGCTATGGATCCTGACAATGCCGAGCGCACGGCTGTAACTGGAAGTGCGGTTCCTTGTATCATTCCGAATCGCATCAGCTGGTATTTTGATTTGCGGGGCCCAAGTATCCATGTGAACACGGCCTGTTCGAGCAGTTTAGCAGCTGTAGACATGGCCTGCAAGACGTTGACAAGCGGTGATGCTTCCTGTGTGAGTGATGAGGTCCTTTAGGTCTTCAAATACCACGTGCTGACTTGACAGGCCATCGTCACGGGATCCAATCTTCTTCTCGACCCTGCCGTCTTTCAGATGTTGTCCACCCAAAACTTCTTGTCTTCCGACAGCAAGTGCTACAGCTTCGACCATCGTGCTAATGGGTACGCCAGAGGGGAAGGTATCCTTGCTATCGTACTGAAGCCAGTCTCTGCGGCGGTACGAGACGGAGACATGATTCGTGCAGTCATCCGTTCGACGGGCTCGAACCAAGATGGACGCACTCCAGTTCTTACCCAGCCAAGTCCTCAGGCGCAGGAGGATCTGATTCGGCATGTCTATAAGCAGGCTGGTCTTTCGTTTGAGCAGACAAGATATGTCGAAGCTCATGGTAAGTCGGCACGCTATTGTTCGCTCCAGTAAAACATGTCCTAATGAGACATGTTCAGGAACTGGGACACCAGTCGGAGACCCGATTGAGATGAGAGCAATTGGTCGAGTGTTCCGCAAAAGTCGGTCCCCAGAATATCCTCTCTACGTGTAAGTGAGAAAGGGTTGATAACAAGACTAGTTTTTATTGAAAAAGACTAATGGTAAAATAGGGGCTCGGTCAAGGCAAATATAGGACATTTGGAGGCAGCAAGCGCTTTGGCCAGCATCGTCAAGGCAATCTGTAAGTCTTGTCTGCAAAGAAACTTCTACCTCATTTTTGAAAGCTGACTAGTATTGACTATGACAGTAATGCTTGAAAAGGGTGTCATTCTGCCAAATGCCCTTTTCGAAAAGATCAATCCTGCCATCGATGTTGACTTTTATAATATCAAGGCTCGTTCTCCAGGCTACGTACACCTCACGATTACGTCCATATTTCAGCTAACATCCGGCGTAGGTCCCCACCGAGAGCATACTATGGCCAAGTCCTGGGATTCGTCGGGTGTCAGTAAATTCGTTTGGGTTTGGAGGTTCAAACTCACACGTCATTCTTGATGACGCATTCTATTACTTACAGGATCGGGGCTTGATAGCGAATCATTGTACTAATTCCGATAAAGAGGCTATATTCCCCGCCTTGCTTCCTGTCAACCGCATCACACGTCTCAATGGAGAAGCACACACCAACGGGCATGGTGTGACGAATGGGAAAGCGCAACATAATGGGCTATTCGCTAATAGTGATCATCATGCGAACATAAATGGTACTACCCACACAATCGACAAGATAACAAGCAACGGGTTCAGAAGAGCTCTTGCCAATGGAAGCTCTCGATGCAATGGCGAGCTAAATGGTGTCAACGGCAATCATGGAGTGCCAAGTCAAATTGTTAAAACGAAGGTGCTGGTGTTTTCCGCTGCTGACGAGAAAAGCGTTACGCGGATGATGGAAGACTACACCCGATTCTACAAAGATACGATTGTCGGCGATGCCCTCAGACTCGAGAAATTATCCTTCACTCTTGCCGCCCGGCGAAGTCATATGCTATGGAGAGCTTTTGCCATAGCCATGGATCCGTCAGGTAGTGAAGAGCAGCATGGCCTTTCACTGGCTAAGCCATTGCGAAGCTCGACTGAGACAGGTCTGGCTTTCGTGTTCACGGGTCAAGGAGCACAATACGTGGATATGGGCTGGAGCCTTATCCAGTTTCCTGTATTTGCGGACACCCTGAGGCAAATTGACAATCTTTATGGTGAGCTTGGATGCTCATGGTCATTACTTGGTGCGTGTAATTGCTGCAAAAATCTGAAAAGTCAAGGTGGGTTCATTGACCATGACCAATTACAGATGCGCTGCGAGACAGAGAAACGATCGACAATCCAGAATATAGCCAACCGCTATCCACGGCTATCCAAATTGCCCTGGTAGAATTGTTACGGAGCTTTGGCATCATGCCTAAGGCCGTGATCGGTCATTCTTCCGGCGAGATTGCTGCCGCGTGAGTTTGGCTGCTTCATCTTCTAAGTGGTTTGTAAATGCGACTAATTATGTTCCGGTATCCGTAGGTATACTATCGGGGCCTTGTCACTGTTGTCAGCTTGCAAAGTCGCTTATTTCCGAGGGATGCTAACAGGGGAATTGAGGAACACCAACTTGTCTTCCCCAGGCGCCATGATGTCGGTCAATCTGTCTGAGGAAGAGATTCCCGGGTACCTTGGAGATATTGAAGACAAAAGTATCATCACCTCTGTCAACATTGCTTGTGTGAACAGTCCCACAAACTGCACCCTCTCCGGCCTCGAAAAATCTATCGACGTTGTCAAGAGGAGAACAGACGAGGATGGTATTTTTGCGCTTAAGCTTAAGACTGGGGTTGCATATCACTCTCCCTCAATGCAAACCATCGCAGCGGAGTACCTGTCGCTTATGGGCAACCTCGAAGGGGTTGATCGTCGAGATTCAAAAGCCACCGCGGCAGTTCCGATGGTTTCTTCAGTGACAGGCAAGGTCGTCCGTCCTGCTGTGTTGGCCACGGCCCAGTATTGGGTAGATAACATGGTGCTTCCTGTGCGATTCAGCGATGCCGTGCAAACTATAACCCAGGCATCGTCAACACTCAAGGTTGGGTTGGGCAACATCACTGACCTAGTTGAGGTTGGTCCGCACCCAGCCTTACGCCGACCAGTACAAGACACTGTAGGCCAAGAAAAGAATCGCAATAAACAGATACGATACGCAAGTGTTTTACACCGATCGCAACCGGCCATTCAATCCACATTGGGTCTCGCCGGACGGTTATTTTGCTTGGGGCATTCGGTCAATATCACAGCAGTCAACCAACAAGATGCTGGCAAACCAAAGCCCTTTCTGGTTGACTGTCCTGAATACCCTTTCGATCGGTCTCAGCATTATTGGACCGAGTCCCGACTCAGCCGGGACTCCAGGCTCCGTGGAACAGTCAAGGGAGAAACACTTGGAGTACGGGCGTCCGATTGGAACCCATTCGAGCCGCGGTGGAGAAATTTCCTGAGCGTTGAGTCGTCGCCTTGGATTGGACATCATATGGTATGTTTTTATTGAAATGCAAATCTTTGGATCTTGGCACTAACATTTAACCGTGTAGATCAGTGATACGGTAATTTATCCAGCAGCAGGCATGCTTGTCATGGCTATCGAGGCTGTACAGCAAATGGTGCCGGAAGACCGAACGGCGGCTGGCTATTTGGTCAAAAAGGCTGTTTTCACAAACCCGATTATAGTCCCCGAATCGTGGGAGGATCGGATAGAAACGCAAGCGCGTCTGCGGTCGGTCAAATGGCAGCAACAGGATGAAGATCTGAGCTTATTCGACGTTGCTATATTCACGTTTTCCCGAGACAAACGGGCTGAATGCTTCCGCGCTGAAATTGGTGTGGATTACGAAAGTCAATCGCGCGATGACGAGGATTTCGAAAAGCGACTGGCAGATGAAAAAACCAGAGACCATTTCAGACGAGCCGCGCAATTATGCGACCATCCCGTTGACTCTCTCGTGTTGTATCGCGATGCTAACGTGCACGGCTTACAATATGGTGATTGGTTCCAACTAATGCAAGATGTCTCTTGGGATGGCAAAGCAAACGCGGTGGCACATGTCGATGTGTCCAGGGAAAGGTATCGAAGCAGCAGCTTGGTTCATCCTGCAGTATTGGACCAAGCATTCCATGTGCTGCGCGTGTGCTCCGGGCAGCAGCCTGCGGCCAACGTTCCTGTTAGCCTAGAGGATGCCTGGTTTGCATCTTCTGGGTGGCAGCACCCACAGACGAATTCAATCCACTGGCTGGGAACTTCGACATCGAGTGGAAAACGTGGATTCAACTTTGGTGAGCAAGGTTGTCTTCAGGCTCTGGCCGACGATGGAACTGTTTTGTGCATGATTCGGAAAGCCGTCACAGCAGCGGTAACAGCAGATGTGCCTACCATCGCCAATGAGAAAGAAAAGAAACTCCTATACAGCATAGAGTGGAAACCGCAGCTTAGTCTGCTGGATCCTGAGCAGGTGTCAAAGATGCTAGCCAGGGACACTGTCGCCAGGAATGAGAATGCCCAGGTCACCAGTTATGTAAGATTGCGCTATATATTGAGTATTTCGACTCTCCGTGTATTGGGATCTATTGACACTGCAAACGTGCCCGACAGCTTATTGCGGCATGTCTCGTGGATGAACCATCATGTCAACAAATTGTCCCAATCGATGCACGAATACGCAGAAATCGCTAGCGTGGCGGACATTGAGCATCTGCTATGTGAAGCCGAAAATCTACTTCCAACATGGCGGTTATACACAGCCTGCGCGCGGAGCCTACCAGACATCTTAGCCGGGGAGGTTGACCCTCTTGAAATTGTTTTCGGATCTGATTTGGCCGATACCTTTTACGCTGATTTATTCCAGAGTCTTTGTGCCGATGGTCGACTCTCCACCATCCTTGACTTGGCTTCTCACGAGAATCCAGGGATGCGCGTCCTTGAAGTCGGTGCTGGGACAGGCGGCATGACAGGACATGTTATGACAGCGCTTCAGGAGCGTGAGAAGCGGACAGGGACGCTCAGTTTTGCCGAGTATGATTATACCGATATCTCGCCTTCCTTCTTCACTCGAGCAAGCGAACGATGGTCCGACTTGCAGGCTGAGGGTCGAATGAATTTCAAGATACTGGACCTGGGCCGAGCTATCGACAGTCAGGGATTCAAGCCAGGCTATTATGATTTGGTGATCGCAGCCAGCGTACTGCATGCTACGCCCTACCTGGAGGCAACCATACAAAACGTTCGACGCGCCTTGAAGCCAGGGGGCCGACTTGTGCTACTGGAGGTCGTCAAGCCCGACGATATTCTGACAAACTTCATGGCGGGACTGGTGCCCGGCTGGTGGGTGGCCCGCGAGGACTGGCGGCCTCATTCTCCCGCGGTGTCAGAGGGCTTGTGGGATCAGTGTTTAAGGGACAACGGCTTCTCTGGAAACGATTTAGTGCTCCGTGATTATGAAGCTAAAGAATGCCATATCACCAGCATTATAATCAGTACAGCAGTTGAAAGCACAAAACCACTCAGCTCACCCGAGGCACGTCGTTTAGTCTTTCTCGTCGACCAAGATCAATCGAATCAGCAGATGCACTTTGCAAGCTTGGTTCGATGTCAAGTCGATCCCGACAACAAGTCGGCGGCACAAATTTGCGCGTTCGGCTCAGAGCATTTTCAGGGTGTGCTTCCAACGTTAAGCAAAGAAGACATCGTCTGTTGCGTGGCCGAAGTCAATAACAGACCGTTTCTCACGCAGCTGTCGGAGGAAACCTTCAAGGCCCTGCAACAGTTGACTAAGTTTGCGCCTCATTTGCTATGGGTCACAGCTTCGAGCATTGACGACTCTGACTTCCCTGATTATGGTGCGATTCAGGGTTTCTTACGATCTATACGCGCTGAGCAACCTGGCAGCCACTTCGTCACTCTAGCGCTCGACGGAGAGATGGATGACAACGAGAATGCAAACTTCATAGCGAAGGTATTCCGTGCAGCATTCGAAACTCCATTGTCAAGCGAAGTAGAATACATCGTCAGGGATGGATTCCTCATGACAGGTCGAGCTGTCGAAGACACCGCTGGAAATAAAGCGATTCGACCTCTCCTGTCTCCGCAGCTGAAGCAAAAGACATGGGCCGAAGGGCAAAATTTGAAACTCTCTAGCAGGGTACGTGGCGATATCGACTCTCTATGCTTTGTTCAAGAAGAAAATGTTGGAAATGACATTGGGCCTCATGAAATTGAGATTGAGAGTCACGTTTGGGGGGTTAGCCCCCGAGACGTCCAAGCTGTTCTAGGCCGCTCGGACGATGACCCTGACCATCTGCCAGGGGATTGTGCAGGTATAGTCACGCGAGTTGGCAAGGAATGTGGCCCGTCAATTCAACTGGGTGACCGTGTTTGTATGGTGGCCAGAGGCTGCATGCGCAAATATCCTCACGCCAACGAGAATTATGTGATGAAGATACCGGATGCTTTGTCGACAGAGGTTACCATCGCAAATCTCGTTCCTACTATGACTGCCTTTCATGCACTGTTAGAAGTTGCTCGACTGGAACACGTTGACTCTGTTCTAATCCATTCGGCTGCCAGTGCCGTTGGACAGGCAGCGGTTCGTCTCGCTAGAGGGCAAAGAGCAGATATCTTTGCTACGGCATCTTCACCGGAAGAGAAGCAATTTTTGGTGGAGTCGTTGGGGGTCCCTGAGAATCACATTTTCTCCAACCGAAAGGCCTCGTTCTTCCAAGGACTCATGCGTGTCACGGATGGATACGGAGTCGATGTTTTACTGAACTCGCTTCCAGCCGAGGAAATGCTACAAGCTTCGTATAAGTGCCTTGCTCCTGGTGGGCGATTTGTTGATATCAGCCGGGCGACGATTGGATCCAATACAGTTCTGCCTTTAGACGCCTTCGCTCCAAACGTCACATTCTCGGTGGTTGATGTTTTGGAGCTTCCGCGACGAAAACTTGCTACGGTGCTGAACCAGGCAATACATATACTAGCTGAAGAGAAAGTCCAACCTTGTCAGCCATTGCGAATATTCAATGCATCGGAAATTCGACAGGTCTTCCAACATATCCAGGTAGAAGAGATCATCGGTCGCATTGTTATTCGTCTTAGACCTGAAGATGTGGTTCCGGTAAGTTTGATTCATACCAAGTTGCTTTGCTGTTCAGTCAACTGATGTATCCAACAGCAATTCGGTCATGAGAAGCCAACTTGGACTTTCGATGGGAACGCATCTTACTTGATCGCTGGAGGTACTGGTGGTCTAGGTCGGGCAATTATGCAGTGGATGGCTGATCGCGGAGCGAAACATCTCATTGCGTTGTCCCGATCAGGTCCTACTTCAAAGGCTGCTGCCGAAAAGGTATCTGAGCTCACTGCGCGTGGTGTCAAGATATTCGCCCCTAAATGCGATGTCTCCTCAGAAGCAAGCTTTCGCCGGGTCCTAGAAGATTGCAAGCTCACCATGCCACCAATAAAGGGATGCATCAACGCCAGCATGGTTCTTCAGGACGCTATTTTCCAGGATAGCATGGCATTTGAGCAATGGGAACTGACGATGCGTTCCAAGGTGCAAACATCGTGGAACTTGCATCGATTCCTTTCGGACGATCTTGACTTTTTCATTCTGTTTGCGTCCCTTGCCGGTGTGGTTGGCCAGATGGCCAGCGCCAACTATGCGAGCGGGTGCACCTTTCAGGATTCCCTTGCACAATATCGCGTCTCTCGTGGCCAAAAAGCTCTCTCGCTTGATCTCGGATGGATGCGGAATATCGGCATCATCGCTGAAACGAGCGCATATCAGAGACAGCGTGAGGGCGCCGACGACATGAACCCGATCGGTGATACTGAGCTTTTCGCTTTGTTGGATCTATATTGCGACCCGAGCAATCCAGTCCCTGTGCCGAACCAAGACCGAGGACAGGTGTTGTTTGGGCTGCGCACACCAGCCGATGTCCTGAGGGAGGGACGAGCTCCGCCAGCCCTGCTCGAGCGACCTCTGCTTTCCACATTCTCGTACATCACCGACAATAGCATGAGTAGAAACACAGACGGAGCACAAGCAGTGAATGCGGCGGTTCTCTTCTCCCAATCGAGTGACTCATCCGAGCAGATTCAAATTGTCCTTCGCGCTCTGGCAGTCAAATTAGCTCGTGCTATGTCTATTTCACCGGATGATGTCGAACCTAGCAAGCCTTTATCGGCTTACGGTGTTGACTCACTGATGGCGGTGGAACTGAGAAACTGGGTTGGAAGAGAATTCGGGACTACTGTCGCCGTGTTTGACTTCATGGGCGGCGTTTCTATTGCCCATTTTGCTGATTTGATCGTTGCGAAGAGCAGTCTGAATAAGGATGTGGCTTGATTTTAGTAGTCAATGCAAATTTGTAGACATTATTGAGCAGGAGAAGTCAATTATAATGCTGGCTATCAACGTCCCTGTATGCCATTCAAGAAGGTAGATGAGCACTAAAACAGAAAGGGAAGGCTGTCGACCTGGCGAGAAAATCCAGTACGTATGCGACAATATGTCAGTCGACCATTCAGTAACGACGATTGCATCATCTGGTCAGATGCCCAGAGAATAAGGCTGGCTTGGCTTCCTTGCGTTCGGCGGATGTCCGAGAGAGCTTTTGGTTGGTTACAATGAGGGGAACCACTTTTTGTGAGGAGTTCAGATCGGGCAAGCATATAAGAGTGTTACTAGACCACTATTGTATGAGTACGGAAACCACGAGTGTTCGGGATCTACCCAGTCGAGTAGATCGAGTCGATCGAGAGGGTCGGGGCACAGCCGATAGCCGGTGAGGAGAGAATGAGGAGTACTGCGATACCGGGGGTGGATGCCTGAGGCCGCCAAGCATCTCCAATTCTGGGACCCGCTTTCCCCCCACCGGAGTCACACCTCACCACGTCGGCCCGGATGGAGGACTCAGGACTCAGGACTCGAGACTGAACAACGTCCTGATTGTTATTAGTAAAACTTCAATCGTCGTGTGAAAAAGGATATCATCTGGAAGTTCCATCCCGATCCTATCAGACTTGGAAAGTCTCCAAGTCTCGGTTATTTGCCTCCTTGATGCAGGCACCTTCTGGAAAGGATGTCCCGATTTGCCTCCCAGGGGTCTGCGGCGTGCCATGACTGGATGGCCACCGTTCCGGAGTTTGCCGCATGTGGCTCGCCTTGTACCAGTCCTCGGAACCTCCTTTGTTTTGGAAGCATGGTGTTTAGCATCGCGGTGCGCAACACCTGGCAAGGGACGCGGAGATAAGTCAGTCCGTCACTGAATAACCTGTCAGTGCTTCGGTCCGCCCCAAGTCCGCTGAGTGCCTCACCGGGTAATTTAACGCAATCCAGGGGCGGTGAGGCTGCGTCTGGCCCGGTGACTCGTGGTCGAATCGCGCCCTTCTTTTCTTTTTCACTGAAAATTAACTGAGGCTAATAATATCCTGGATCTTGTTAAAAAAGGCAAATTTATGAAGTAAGAAAGAAAAAGAAAAAAAAGAAGAAAACTCTGTTGAATCTCCAATTTTCTGATCGAAGAAATCCCTTAATTGTAATTGAAATCTCCAGAGCTGATCAGATCGCAACCTTCTCCGTACTATTTCTATTTCTATTATTATTTTTATTATTGTCATTCGGACCCCCCATTTTTTCCTAATTTCCTTTCTCCACACACTTTTCCTTATCCCAACCCCTTCATAACCCCGTTCTCCTCGCTCCTCCCCCGACTCCTTCAATTCCTCTCGCCGGGTCCCTTGTTCTTTTGGGTTGCTTTTTTTGGGTCTTTCAGCGCTTTGGATAGATCGTTTTCTTGGATAGATTTATTCTTACCACACAATGGCCAGCGTGAAGGACGCAGTCAAGGAGTCCTTGATAGGCACCTCCGACGAGCCTAAGCCGTCGCAGCAGGCGAAGGCCAACTTCCACCGCCATGCGCGCAAAGACGAGGCCACGGGGGAGCTGTATATGACGGAAGAAGATTTCATCCAGGCTATTGCCCCCAAGCATGAGGATTATGTATGTATTGCAGCCCGCCTGTCGCATGATGTGTCATCGCGGTTTATGACTCCCACGCTAACGTCAATCGCTTTCCACAGCACAAAATCAAGCGGGAACACTACGGCATCCTGTTCAGAGTCGCCGATAAGCGGAGATCGGGCAGACTGTCCCTCGGAGACTGGTCGACTTTCGAAAACCTCCTGGCCAAACCGGATGCCGAGTACGAGATCGCTTTCCGACTGTTCGACACGGAAGGCACGGGAAGCGTGAAGTGGGAAACCTTCCACAACCTCTATAACGAGAACAAGAACAAAGACAGCATTCCCTTCGATTGGAACTCAGAATGGGCTTCCTTGTACACTGGACGGACCAAGAGCCGGCACGATATGACCTACCCCCAATTTGCCCAGATGCTGCGAGGCTTGCAGGGCGAGCGTATCCGCCAGGCCTTCCACGTCTTCGACAAGGATGGCGATGGATACATCGAGCCTGAGGACTTCCAGCGCATCATCCTTGAAACGTCGAAGCACAAGCTGTCGGACTACGTCCTCGAGAACCTCCCCAGTCTGTGCAACATCTCGACGGGCACCAAGATTTCTTATTCCACCGTGCGCGCTTTCCAGAACGTCATGCGCGAGATGGATATGATCGATGTCATCGTGCGTGAGGCAACTCACAAGAGCGACGACGGCAAGATCACGCGCTCCGACTTCCTGAACGAGGCCGCGCGCATCACCCGCTTCTCCCTGTTCACTCCCATGGAGGCCGATATCTTGTTCCACTTTGCCGGTCTAGATGCGCCTTCGGGTAGACTCTCCCAGCGGGACTTTGCCAAGGTCATTGACGCCTCGTGGCGTATGCCAATCGCTGTCGCCGGGCAGGCCGTTAGCTCCGCAACGCACAAGGCCGCGGACAAGTCCAAGTCCATCCTTTACAGTGTGCTCGAGTCCGTCCACCACTTCGCGCTCGGAAGTTTGGCAGGAGCTTTCGGTGCTTTCATGGTTTACCCCATTGATCTGGTGAAGACTCGTATGCAGAACCAGCGCTCCTCTCATGTTGGTCAGAGACTGTACAACAACTCCTTGGACTGCGCGCGGAAAGTCATCCGCAACGAGGGTTTCACCGGTCTGTACTCTGGAGTCATTCCTCAGCTCATTGGTGTTGCACCTGAGAAGGCCATCAAGCTCACTGTCAACGACTTGGTCCGTGGGCACTTCACGAACAAAGAGAATGGGAAGATCTGGACCGGTCATGAGATTCTCGCCGGTGGTTCCGCCGGAGCCTGTCAAGTCGTAAGTTTCGAACCCGCGTGGAAAGAACTGGGCATGTGCTAATGCAAATCAATACCTTAGGTTTTCACCAACCCTCTGGAAATCGTCAAGATCCGTCTGCAAGTCCAGGGTGAGATCGCTAAGAACGTCGAGGGTGCTCCTCGCCGATCCGCGCTTTGGATTGTCAGGAACTTGGGTTTGATGGGGCTGTACAAGGGAGCCAGTGCCTGCCTGCTCCGTGATGGTGAGTACAACATGACGACACTTTCTCCGACCGTCACTAACACCCGCCAACAGTGCCGTTTTCCGCCATCTACTTCCCGACCTACTCCCACCTCAAATCCGACTTCTTCGGCGAGTCGCCAACCCACAAGCTCGGCATTTTGCAGCTGCTCACGGCCGGTGCCATTGCGGGTATGCCTGCTGCCTACCTGACGACGCCCTGCGACGTTATCAAGACCCGTCTCCAAGTCGAGGCTCGTAAGGGTGATGTCAAATACACCGGCCTGCGTCACTGCGCCGCGACCATTTGGAAGGACGAGGGTTTCAAGGCCTTCTTCAAGGGAGGCCCTGCCCGTATCATCCGTTCTTCTCCCCAGTTCGGTTTCACTCTTGCCGCCTACGAGTTGCTGCAGAACTGGCTCCCTATGCCCGGACACGGCGAGGTCACTCCCTCCGGACAGATCGAGCCTGGCGTCGGCCTCCAGACTGCCAAGGCCCCCCTCCCTTACCTCCGGTCAAGAAACGCTCTGAAGCTCATCCTCGACCTCGACGAGAACATTGGCCGCGCCTCGATACCCTCGGCCGACAAGTGGCCCAAATTTATTCAGCCCGCCAAGCAATAAACAACGCATGTTTCTGTACTTTCACTAGCGATGACTTGATCCCATTTTTGTTCATTTTTTTGTATGTTTCTCTGTCTTGGAAATATCTTGTTTTTATACAACACAGCCCTCGTTACTCTGGTTTCCCGGGATTTTGAAAGACCGTCCTTCAAATATTCGTTATCTCCTTTTTCCCCGTGTCCATACAGGAAGCTTTGCATTTTGTAACAAAAAGAACCGATAGACTAGGGGAGGATATCATTTGAAAAGATTTCTATTTTGGCATGAACATCCTAGACCTTTGATCTCTTCTTGTCTCAACTAGCTGTGGGTTGGTGAGATTGCTCCTTCATTCATCTTTGTTTGTGGACATTAATATCCTATTGTTTCTAAGCCACCACTCCTAAAAGTGTTGTTGAATATCTAGATGGTTGATACTCTGGTTGTATGTAACCCGTTAATATATTTCGGGTGCGGAAACCCTGTAGTTCGCGTTTCTCGAATCTGTTGAACACCACCAAATGGGTAACATCTTAGCTCAATGATGTATTTGTTGTTTTTTTATGAAGGATGTATACAATGGGAGAATCACTGCTTTTGCGGCGACTGTGAACCTCCAGGCAGTCCATATGAACACTGTGGGTAGGGTATCGTACAATGTAGTAAATTCGAATAAACATGAATTGATGCGCTAAAGACATTTTCTCCAAGAAGAGGTGGGTGTTGAAACAGATGGCATTTTGTACATGAAAAATAAAAATATTTAACCCATGCTTAATGGCATTGCACCAAGGTGGTTCTAATCATAAGAGCGTGTTAGTTTTCATACATGCAGTCCCGTTATATCTAGAACACTCACATAATTACAACTCCTGAGATGGGAGACGGACTTTACACCGGGAGCAAGTCAAATGTCCAGATAGGCGTAGTTCGCCCTACTGATAACCCACAACCGGTATAGCCAACGAGATAAAGGCAGATATGGTACGTTTAGAAGAAGTTGAGTTTCCGCCTCGAGGCGCTGTTTGCCGGTGGCTCCTCAAGTCCACTTCCTTCCGCAGGCACCACAGGCTCCTTGTGTTCTGATTCGGCCTGTACCCTCGATTCTTGCTGCGATGGCGTTTCCGGCTCCTTGTCCGAGTCTTTGTTTTTCCGATGCCATAGCGAGTCTTCCGCTTCGATTTCTCGGAGCACTAAACCGCAAAAAAGAATCCAGTCAGTCATCGTGCCTCAACTGTACACACGGAGTATAGGTAGTAACGAACCTTCATCCCACTCCCTCTCCTTCGCCGCATCGCCCGTCCCCAACAACTTCTCCACATCCACCTCCTCCCCGTTCTTCACTCGTTCAATGACCTCCCTCAGTAGCAGGATCTTCGCGTCCGTCGTGCGCGTATATGCCTTGTAGTCGTTCTTGAGCGCGATCATGCGGATGGCTTGCGATCCGATGAGGATGAAGATGATGATGTAGAAGCTGGCGGGGTTCCATTCTTTCGACTTGGGCGATTCCGACTTCGGGTCTTTGGGGCTTCGTTCGCGCAGGAAGCGCGGGATTAGAGATGTCCATACGGATCGTTGGGCGAGTCGTGGCATGGCTCTGGATGTGGAGTATAGACGTGATTGTAGAGAAGTGGTGGAAGAGGCCCGGACGGTCGGGCTGAGTCGGGGGGTTAGTAGGCCATTGGCGATGTGCCGGAGTGGGAGTGTGGAGGAGCGCATGTCGAGGGGTGTATGCGGTGAAGCGATGTGAGGGTGAGGGTGAGAGTGACGTTGAAATTGGGGCTCTCTATGGCGCAGTCTCCGGTTATTCTCAATTGAAGGTCGAGTCTCCGGCAAAAAGATCGGAGGGTCGGAGGGCTTGGCACGGCTATCCCCGAACGGGAGTAGCGTCACCAGGCGTTGCCGCGACAACGGCTGGTCGGAACTTGGCTTACGGCAAGCGATGGCTCTCCCTAACAAGACACAGACCGTTAAGCCTCGATTCCTGCCTGTCCTGCGTCGACGCTGGTTGCAGATGGACAGTACTAACATACAATAATCTTTACCGACAGTTACTAGCACAGCATCCAAATGACGGTCACGAATCTTTTGCCCGATCCCTCCGTGGAATCGGTGAAACTGGCCGTCCGATCGACTGCGGCATGCTCGAATGCCACAGTGTTGACCCTCCAAACCCTTTTCGGGCCTGCGTCGAAATCCCCCCTCGACACCAAATCCGACATGTCGAGTCGACGCGCCAGAACTACGAAAATCACTACGACGAGCACAACACGCACCAAAGCGCCGACAGGGACAACACGAACGAAAGTCACCGGGCGGGATGCCGTATTAAGCACATTGGCTGAGAAGGATGCGTCGCGGCTATCATACCAAGAGAAATTGGTTCTAGCGACGGAAGTCTTCAATACAACGTTAAAGACGCTGTCGGATGCCGTGAAATTGCAGACTTCCAAACGCGACGAAGCACGGTCTCGCGGGTCGACATCGCCCGAAACACCGAAGAAAACGACGGATGCGGGACTGCTGGCGCTATCTGAGTGCGCAACGATGGCGTTATCATCACTACGAACATTAAAGCTAGAACAAGGCAGCCAGGATAATACGACGCCGAATGTTCAGCTCGAGCAGGGCGCGTGCGTCCTGGCGGGGAGGTATCTCTCGCTAGGACTCAACGACATGGCGTACAAGGAGTTGAGGGGGCTGAAGCGGAGGATTCAACAATTCTTGGACAGCAAGGCCACGGCACGAAAGAAGACGACAAAGAGTGAAGAAGGGTCGGAGGATGCCATGACCGAACGCATGTCAGACCTAATCGGATTTACCAACCTCACGCAGGCACAGGATCTGCTCGGCTTGCTGGTCTCATTCCAATCTAATGCTCTACGACTCATTGCGTCCGAGAAGAAGGCGTCGACGATACAAAAAGCTGCCTCGTTGCTGCAACTTTCTAGCCCAAGTAGCCCTGCGAACGTCATAGTCGCCGCAATGGACAACGGTGCCCTCGCCAAAGACAAAGCGGCAGTGCAACTCCAATTGCTATCGAACACAGTACTATCGCTATCCTCTTCCTCCTCAAAATCTACCGATGGTGCCACCACGAAAGACCGTCTGAAACCGATGACCGCGTTGAATCTGCAATTGCTGGCATTGGAGGTTCGCTGTATGAGTTGGAAGATTTCTGGACATAAGTGTGATGATGGAAGAGAGGTCTGGGATCCTCTAGCTCGTTACCTTGCCAGTTTCACGCACAACAACAAAGGAATCGAGAAGACCGAGTTCGCGATTACGTACAAGACCATCGTTCGACTCCAGTCAGCGGTCGCTAAAACCCCAAAGAGCACGGCGACCAACATGAAGGATAATCACTCTGTGGCGAAGATTGCGACGGTACTAGGCCAGCTCGCTCAGGAAGCGGGCTGCTTTGATGAAGCCTTGCAGTTGTTCACGGAATCTCTGACCCCGTTTTCGAGTATGCAGTCTCTTTCACTCGCAACCGTGCGTTGCAAGATCGGAGTCCTCTATTTTGAAGGTCTGAGGAAGTCGAAGAAGTTCGCGCCGGCCCACATCTCGAACGCCGTGTCCGAAGCCACCGCCACTCTGAGTATGCCCTTGAAGGGCAGCCCCAGCGATCTCGATGAACTGCTCGTGGAGGCAGCCCGGCTGAAGAAGTACGCCATGGCCTGGTTTGGTGACCTTATTTCGAAACAACAAAGCAGGAAAGCGGAAGATAGCGACATCGCGGCTAGGGTTTATGAGTTTTTGGCTGGATTCTTGAAATTCTTGCGCCGCTATATTGGCCGTCCGCCCTCGGAGGATGACGACTCTAAGGGATATGAGACATTCTCCAAGCGAGTGTCTACTTGTCAGAGCATTGCCCTCGCCGCTGTGGATTCTGCGATTGCCGTTGGAAAATTGTCTGTCATGTCCCAGCGACCTGCTTGGGAGGATATCCTCTCCAGCCTCGCCGATTGCCAACGACTTCTGACGGTAATTGATTCGACCGATATGACCGACTCCTCATTAATTGAGCAGACGGGGATGGGCTTTGTCAAGATGTCCAACCTTTTCTGGTCGCGGTACCTTAAAGAGAAGGAAGCAGGGAAGGGCTATCGTGAGCTTGTGCCGCTCTTGAGACAGTCTGCCAATTTGCTATCGCCCTGTCTACCTGCCCAGCGCATCACCGGGTTTGCCGCCCTCAAATATGAGCGACTCGCCCATGTGTATATGGAGGGGAACATGAATGCCGAATCGGAACAGGCATTCTGCCAGTCAATCAGAGAGCACATCGAAAATGGAACTTTGAAGCAAATCGTTTCTGATTCTTCGAGCGGATTTCCACATCGGACTTCTCAGGATACAAAGAGCAATGCGTTCATGGTAGGACGGGTTCTTTCTGCATTCCTGAAGGTGAAGCTACGGTCCAAGAAATCAAAGGTGTCGGTCTTCGACGATGAGGGTTTGACGCCATTAGTACGAGGCCATCTTCTGGAGTGGCAGATGGGCATCTTGACGGAGCTCCATGTCTATGCTACAAACGATGAGGTTTTCAGAGGAGTCTTCAACCTCCTCCTTGCGAAACTGCTCGACATCTACTCTTTCGAACTCAACCCGATCCGCCGGTTACGCGTGGTACTCTGTGGGCTTCGCTTCTCGTTGGAGCGTCCGAGCGCTCTGGAACCGTCACTTCTGCAGCAATTGATAGACGAAGCCATCGAGGGCATCGAAAATGAGGAAATTGGGGAGGACACAGATTTGTTTACGTTTTCGACCCATTTGAAGAACTCAGTCCGACTTACACTGGGCCTTCACCAAGGCGATTTGCGACCAAATCAATTGGACCATGTCATATCCTCATGGACCGCCATGATGCGAAACTGTCACGACTGGGAATTGCTTGTCTCGTATGTTGGGGACGTCGATTATTGCTTGGTTCAGATGAAGGCCGTTGTGGACTATACCGAGATCCATGGACTATGGAAACTTCAGCTCTCCGCTCTCGAACTGATCCTACGTGTCAACGAACTCCAAGAATCCGGGGACTTTTCTGAAGCTATCCTCATTCTGTCGCGTCTCGTTCTGCAATATTGTCGACTCGGATTCTGCACGAAGGCAAACACTCTCCTGATTCGTGCGGATCAGTGCCTGGCTCAGAATGATGTCTCCTGCTTGGCAACTTTGTCTCATCGGCTGGCCCGAGTTGGTTACCTGTTGGAAACGGGCGACATCGAGAAGGCAGCAGTCACGTTATCGGCGGCACGGGTTCTGTACGAGAAAAGCCAGAGGAAGCAGGACTTGAACAGCTGTTCTGTTCTTACTAAGATCGCCTGGGAACGATTAGTGGCGGACGCGGCTTTTATGAGCTCGCGACTCTCGTTCGCTCAAGGCTCGACTAATGATGCCCTTTTCTTTGCTAAGCTCTCCGTGAGACTGAACTGCAGAATCTGGGCAAAGGTCGAGAAACTCGCTCAAAGAAAACAGGACAAGAGCCTTCCTAGCAGCGAGAGCTCTGAACTTGAAACTGTGGTCGAGGGGATGGCAAAATTAGATGTAACACAAGCATCGACTGGCACCACGAGCTACTCCCAGGGCGCCCCTTTCTGGCCTCATATCGGCTCTCACCACACTTCGCTGTTGAACCTTTCCTGTCTATCCGCTCACCATGGCCTGTTCCAGGATGCCATCTATTATGGAGAGCAGGCCTTGAAGGTCAACAAAACACTCAACGCGAACGTCCGATTGATTGCTTCCCAAGCACAGCTTGGATCTCATTGGATCTATGGAGGTCATATTTCCGAGGGCCGAGAGCTATTGGAAGCTGCCGAGTCGCTGTCCAAGGAGTTGGAGAGCAGCATTGAGCTGATCTCACTGCACATGGGTCTCGCTGCGCTTCACAGAGCCGAAGGAAATCACAAACACGAATTGCGCTCTCTTCTCGATGCCGATAAGATCATGGCTAGCTTTATTGCCTCCGAGAGTTCGGATTCTTCTTCGACCTCTTCCAATGTCACGGACTTGGAGCAGAAGATGGACAAACTTCAAGTCCGACCTAGCAGCCGAAGGACGACCAGGCAGACGACGACGGCAACGGCAACGGCAACGCGGAGGACCCGTACCGCGACGACATCTTCCCGAAGTGCACCAAAGGTCACAGCCTCGAGTCCTGAACCCCCTGCAACTGAGTCGACCACCTTGTCGCACTTGAAGAGTGACATTTTTCGACAACAGGCCTCCTGTTCGCGTACGCTGCGTGAATTCGAAAAAGCCTCGGCTTTGCTCGACGGCGCTCGGAAATTTGCAGTTTCCCGAGACAGTCAAATTTCTCTTCATATCGGAGAAAGTGAGCACTTCCTTGCGGACGCCATACGCCATTTCGCCTCACATGCAGTATACTGTGTTCTTCCGGAATCAACGATTTCTTTGCCGTCGTTACAGTCGCCCACCAAGGAAACGGCTTCCTCTAGCAAAACAGCTACGACGAAGAGACCGAGAGCACCCACCAGGGGCGCGCGTTCCCGAACTCAGAAAGCGACCGAAGATTTCAGCGTCATGTTGTCTAAGGCGAGTGATTGTTTGAATGATGTGTTCTCCACGGCTACCGCTTTGGGATCCACGCTTGATAGTCACGCTGCGTCTCGTCTGATGAGTCGGATCTCGATGCTATCTCATGTCACTTCCCACGAAGCTCCAGCGTTGTCTCTGTCTCCTGCTAATGTTAACGGTATGTTTATTCCCTTGAAGCCAAAATGAAGAGTTGGAACTGACATGCGCAGAAATTGGCCGCATTGGTGCATTTGCTAAAGAGCACGTTGCTATCAGCATTGACAAGCAATTGGCGGACCTCAGTGACCCTCTTCTTTGGCCCTCATCCTCGAAGGAAACATTCCAACTCGACGACCCGTGCTCCAACTTCACCAAGGAATATGTCGACATTCTGCCAGCGAGCTGGAACGTTCTCTCATTGTCTTTGAGTGCTGACTGCAGCGAATTCATTGTTTCGAGGCTTCACCGAGACCGCTCGCCTTTCCTTCTGCGTCTCCCTCTCAAACGAGGCAATTCGGAGGACGAGGAAGAGCAATTTACCTTTGAGGATGGCAGGGAGGAAATGCAGGAGCTCATCAAGCTTGCAAATGAGAGTGCCCATGCCGCTAAGGCTCAGACGGACCGACAGTCGAAGAAGGACTGGTGGAAAAACCGCGAGGCCCTTGATGCTCGAATGGAGAATTTGTTGCAGAATATTGAAAATGTCTGGTTTGGAGGATTCCGGGGAATATTCTCGCCTGTGCCGCATGATACGGCTCCGTTGGCTCGTTTTGCGACTTCCTTCCACAACATTCTGGACAAGCACCTTCCTTCACGCCAGAAGGGTCGCCGAGCAGAAGCTCCACGACTGACGTTGCATCCCAATGTTCTTGAATTGTTCATTGGCATCAAGGATCTTGGCGAGCAAGAGGATCCTGAGGATACTTTGATGGATCTTCTCTATTTCGTGGTAGACATTCTCCAATTCCAAGGCGAGCGGAACGCATACGACGAGATCGACTTTGATATGATGGTGGTTGAAACCCTGGATGCGCTTCGAGGATATCACGAGATCGTCCAAGATGGACACGCCCACCAAGCCCCGAACCACACCGTCTTGGTCTTGGACAAGTCCCTCCACCTCTTCCCCTGGGAGTCCCTCCCCTCCCTGCAGGGCCTACCCGTCTGCCGCGTCCCATCTCTCGAATGTCTCCGCGACCGAATCCTCCGCTTCCGCAACGAAGGCGCCACCAACCTTGATCAGGGTCTCAGTATCCCACGAAACAACGGCTACTACGTCCTCAACCCGACCGGAGACCTCCAAACGACGGAAACCACCTTCGAGAAAGATCTCTCCGCCCTCGATAACTGGACCGGCGTCGTCAAACGCGACCCGACTGAGGACGAATTCAAGGACGGACTCGAATCAAGGAGCGTGTTCCTCTACTTCGGTCACGGCAGCGGCGCGCAGTACATCCGCGGTCGAACCATCAAACGCCTCGACCGATGCGCAGTCACCTTCCTCATGGGTTGCAGCAGTGGCGCGCTGACCGAAGCCGGTGAATACGAACCATACGGTACCCCGATGAACTACCTCCAAGCCGGGAGTCCCGCCTTAGTGGCTACACTCTGGGACGTGACGGACAAGGACATTGATCGATTCGCGAAATCTGCCTTCGAGGAATGGGGTCTTATCGGTGGAGACGCAAACCGGGGGACGGGTTCTCGCAAGACGTTGGATGAAGCCGTGTCGGCGTCCAGAAAGGCTTGTGTGTTGAAGTATTTGAATGGTGCAGCACCGGTCATTTATGGCGTTCCTACAGTGTTTTTGGAATAGATGGGATTTTCTTGGTCCGTCACAAGTGCACGGACTTGGACTTATGGTTATGAATGATTCTTATTATTGTTAATATTGTTGGAGTTGATCAGCATGCATGGGCCTGGTGTTGATGGTTATTGTGTATAGTCGCTAGCATTGTTGCGATAATCAATTTGTTAGGCTTTTTTTCTGACTTGTCTGATATGAGTAGTTTGTTGATTTGTGGCCAGAATACTTGAAGCTAAGCTAGGAAGACGACCTCACCAACGCAGCTCAATGCCCCTGAAAGGCCTTCTCAACACTCATACAAATCCCAATACCTGTCAGTCTCAATCCAGAAAACAACATCATCGAACATGGCTTTACTAGATACGTGTTACCGTAGGGAAAACACCTGCTGTTGCCTAGGTAGCGACGCAGGAATGACGAAAGCGGACTGACGTGAAGCCATCGCAACATCCCTCCTTCCTGATTAGTGATTCGCTGTGTTGACGGCAGGTGCTTGAAGGAAGGTTTCCTGGTGCCTATAAATTGGTGTCCCTCGCGCGTCTTCCTCTTCTTCCTTTCTTCTTCTTCTTTCTCCTCTCCAGCTGCTGTGGTCTTGGCCTAACCACCGTGTCTCGTGTTGTAGATGTAGTGTATATAGTCTTCCTTCTTTCTTTGTAGTGTATATAGCTTTTCTCTTGTAGAGTATATAGCTTTCCTTTGTAGAGTCTATAGCTTTCGTAGAGAGTAAGCTGTAAGCCGTAGATGATGACTTCCTGGATACCTCGTAGTCGTAGTCGTAGCCGTAGCGTAGCGTAGGTGTAGTTGAGGCCTTTCATCGCTTGTTGACTGTAGACGTAGCGTAGTCGTAGTCGTAGAGAGTAAGCCGTAAAAGCTGTAAGCCGTATATGATGATTCCCTGGATACCTCGTAGTCGTAGTCGTAGTCGTAGTTGAAGCTGTATTCGCGATCCTAGTGAGTCATCAGCGAAGGGCTCCAGAAGCGCGTCTCAGTCATAATAATTACTCTCCACATAGATTCATTCTAGTAGCGAGGGTTTGAGCCCTATTTCCTGAAGACCTGCACATCTCGAGTCGTAGTTTAATGCAGGGACGAGAGTAGAGAAGCGTCTTACGTGCAAAGCTTCGCTTCTTCACGTCACACTGAATGACTTCAGTTCATATGATCACGCTCGCATCTCTTTCTACAAGGCTCTCTTTAGACTTATAGTCCCCCATTTGTGTCATACCACCATGACACTATTCAGACGGGCAAGTTAGACCTTAGAAGCGCCTACAACAGTCAGCTTAGCTTCAGGTGCTTTCAAAGAGACTCATAAGCCTCATGACACTCAGACGCAGGCTGCCGTTGTCGTTGAGGAAAGCCTAGGGACGATAGAAAACTTTTCCGGAATTCGGGAATATCAATATTCTGGGGCATCATGAAAGCTGGAACGCGAGATTGTGTAGCGGTACGGCATTTCTCCGACATGGTGATCTAGATAAACACTCTTCCAAGCACTCTTCCTTGCATGACAAGATTTCTCGTCCGCAGCAATCGGTATATAGCTCTAAGGGGTGTTTTGACCCCTCGATACTTGGCGAAGCATATCTGCGTTGATTGGGGAGAGTAGGGCAGCAAATACGCCCCCGTCCATTTATCGCAATCCAACCCCCATCGTTATTGGCTATATCAGGTCCTCATATCCCTGCCCAGCCTTGTCAGTCAGCAAATCCAACAAGGCTGGATCAGCCATGCCAAACTGAAAGGTCGAATGCTGGCTTTCGTCCTAATTTGCCCATGGGTTCATTGGCTGTAACTGCCTGTAGCTTAACCGCCCATGATTCACCCATTCTTTTGAACACCGTCCCGAGCGGGGATTTGAGACTCTGAGTCCATTTTCTTCAGAAGTCTTCTTTTCTATGCAGTGGATATATTGACTTCGGGCCAACATTCTTTGCTGATCGTGCTGGATCCCAGAGTTGAACATCGCTATCAATTTTCACACCAGTAATCGTCGCCATGTCAGTGTTAGAACTATGAACTAGAATATGATTATTGAATAATGCTAAATCCTCGACCACAGGAAGAGATCGCCCACACAGACCGAGCTCGACTACCCAGCCTCAAAGCGTACGGTTGCGTCGCGAGACGAGCCCGAACAGAACCCACCTGATTTAACGAACGATGACTACACTGTTGGGTGGATTTGCGCTCTCGCTATCGAGCTGGCGGCATCCCAAGCGATGTTAGACGAAATACATCCCGACCTTCCCCTGGAGCCCGGGGATTCGAACATCTACACCCTCGGACGGATGGGGCAGCATAACATTGCCATGGTATGCCTTCCTGAAGGCACGACAGGGACGAATGCGGCCGCTACTGCAGCAAACGACTTGCTTCGCAGTTACCGTAAAGTCCGGTTTGGCCTGATGGTCGGTGTTGGAGGGGGCGCGCCGTCACTGCCAAATGATGACCCGTTTAAGGATGTACGTCTTGGTGACGTAGTTGTTAGCACTCCTCAAGGAAGTCATGGTAAGATCTTCATAGATATTCATAGAAGACGAAATGGAAGTTAAAGCTGAAAGATGCTGGCAGGTGGTGTGATTCAGTATGACTTTGGAAAGACCGTTGCACAAGGCAACTTTATCCAGACGGGCTCGTTGAACAAGCCACCCAGCGTGCTTCTGGCTGGCGTTGCTAAGCTAAAAGCCAATTATATGCGAGGGAGTCAGAAGTTGGGTTCATATATGACGACAATGTTGGAAATGTACCCAAGCATGGAAACAGGTTTTGTTTACCCTGGGAAGGATTGCGACCAGCTATTTGAAGCGGACTATAGTCACGTCGACATGAGATCAAAATGCGATAAATGCGATCAGACACGCACTCTTGAGCGTGAATCTCGAATGACGGATGGCGCTGCGATTCATTATGGTCTCATTGGATCGGCAAATCAGGTCATGAGGCATGGTTCCACCAGAGAGAAGCTGCGACGACAGCATGAGGTTCTATGTTTCGAGATGGAGGCTGCGGGCCTAATGGAGAACTTTCCATGCATTGTCATTCGGGGAATCTGCGATTATTCCGACTCTCATAAGAATAAGCGTTGGCAAGGTTATGCTGCAGTGACGGCTGCGGGATACGCCAAAGAGCTTCTTTCATATATACCTTCTGACACTGTGAAATCCACCACGGATGCCGCAAAGATCATGAACATGGGTCCGTCTAACTAGTTATCATGTTAGCTGGAAAAGGGTAGTTTGCTGACGAGTTATTTTTTGTCTAGTGCGAACGGAACTTGTGCCTCTTCATGAAAAATTAAACCCCCTCCTAGATGGTACGTAGACTCAATTCTGCATGAGGTTTCCAATTTTGACCCCACATAGATAGGATGTGCGAAGAGACTAGAAAGATTGTGACTGGCTTGCTCCCCCGAACTATGAAGCGCAGTATAACGATGCCCTGCACAAGCGACGAGAAGGCACAGGGCAATGGTTTTTGGATTCATCCCAGTTTGCTGCCTGGACTCGAGGTAAAATTCAAAACCTCCTATGTTTCGGCATCCCTGGCGCTGGAAAGACGACTTTGGCCTCTATCGTTATCCACCATCTGAGAGTTGATCCTCAGAATAAAGTTGCTTTCTTGTTTTGTAATTATGGAAGACACGAAGAGCAAATACCCAATGCGTTGTTTTCGATGCTTCTCAGACAGCTTGCAGAGCAAGAATCTGCAACTCATGAGCTTATTACGGACCTTTACAATACTCACTGTCCGAAGCACACCCGGCCTTCAGTTGAGGAGATGCGAGATGCGGTTCGATATTTGTCTCAAGAGAGCCAAGTCTTGTGGTCATCGATGCATTGGACGAATGCCAAGAGGAAACCCGCACATTCTTGCTCCAGGAGATCCGGCATTTACAGGAGGTAACTGAAATGCGCTTTATGATAACCACAAGACCCAATCATGAGCTTGAGCAAAGTCTTCTACCCCATGAGCGACTGGAAATTCGAGCAAACGAGGGGAATATGATGACATATGTGGAATGTCAGCTAAGAGACTACTCAGAATCAACATTGAGCCGTTCTTATGCCATGCCTTCCAGGAAAAGATTAAGAAAGCACTTGACACGCTGCTCTCTTGTTACAGGGTAGACCCTGAAAATTTATTTGCTCTAGCAGGGATGGACAAAGACGAGAAAACATCCAGGACTTTGATCGTCGCGCATTTCAAACCCTTGGTTGACAGCGCAATCGAGCAAGATGATGAGGAAAGAGTCAACGAATTTGTTTCCTTATTCGAGGATGACTCCAAAGACGCGTTGCTTATGGAACTCTTCGAACATGGCGGTAAATGGATCAGGCTTTTCTTCAACGGCTCCGCAGATGATTCAGAGCCCCTTCTCAAAATTTCAAAGCCCCTGCTTAAATTAGCAGCGGAGAAAGGTTCCACAAAATTAGTTCAAAATATCGTTCAATTTCTGGGTTACGATGCCGTTGAATCAATACTATTGTGGGCTGCTCGCTCTGAAGGCCCCGTCATGGAAATTTTGTTTGCCTGTTTGTCGATCGAGAATCACCAGCAAATGGTGGAAGCTTTACTTACCTGCATGCCTATCAACAAATCTCCCAAATAGTGCTTCGGCTTATCCCAGTTAGTGAAGAAAACGAAAGGAAGATCAGGGCTCTGTTCTCAACTGACAAGATTGACACGGAACTTCCTTCGAGCAGTGAAGGTTATAGATTGGTCATGAAAGCGTTCAAAGACAAAGCCACTCATTCCGAGTACTTCCTCTTGTTCTGAGAGAGCTCAATGCTTTGGTATGCTCACAAAGAAAGCAAAGGAGCAATCCAAAATTTGTTGCAAGCTGTACCCTTCAACGAATACATGAGAACATTGAATAAGTTGGTTTCCCATATCCGAGAGAATGACGCTTCCGATCTCATCGCATCGAAAGCCAAGGATGAGAAAGTCGTGGAACGCTTGATTTATCCAATCGGCCATAAAAAAGCCTCTTTGATCCGGACACGTAAAGGAGAAGACATTTACCTGCTTGACTTCTCCGAAACAGAGGTAGGGGCTATTTTGGATCGTTTTTCCATCAACGATTATCCTGGGGTGATTAAAACTTTACTTTCCTACCACCTTACGACAGAATCTTTTCTTCGCTTTCTGATGCGCATGGATGAGGAAATGGCCGCAACACTCCTGGCTACAAGCGAATTTGATCTTGGAGCTCTATTACGCCTCGCGGCGTTTTGGGGAGTCGAACAAATAGCGAGAAACCTCCTTGAGCTTGGTAACGTCGATCAAAACATGGAAAGCGCGGCAGGAGAGAGTGCTCTAGATATCGCAGTTCGCAGAGGCCATGATTCAATAATCCACCTTCTTCGCAAATCCGGCCCCTCAACCAAAGGCCGCTCGCTCCGCATGGCGGGCTACCAATGAGTCGTGACACCAGGCAGACACTGCGGAGATAGAGCATTCTTCTCTTGGTGATGATGAACAAGGGCATGCTCTTCGGTAATAGTGTGAGTCTTCTGTTTGAGTGTGAATGATGTTAAGTTAAGAATTGATCCATGATTCCTTTCGTTCTCAGTAAAATGATTCAGTCTCGAGATTAGACATGAGTGAATATTGAAACTACCCACATGGAGCACAAAGAGATACCAGACGATATTTTGACGCCTCGCGGTTGACTTGAGACTTGCAAGAATAGGATTGAAGAAAATTGGACTAAAAAATCACGACTGTGAAGCCATGATCTCCCATTTTTCGTATCACACATCGTGAAAATTGAAAAGAACAGTTACATATCAAAAGGCAGCTCATTGAGCTAAACTAAATATATCTTGCCATAGGCCTCATAAGAACCTCCTCGTATGATCCATATATATCCATCTCCCCTAATTTAAAGTATGTACATACGCGACAACCACTGCAGCTCAGGCCGTCCAGCGCAGGCCTCAGGACTTTCGCAAGTGCCAGCATCATAGCCCGCGTAAGTCCAAAAAGCGTCCTGCTTCTGAGTCAAGTCCGTTCCGCTCACATTAGGAGTCATATCCTTCGTCGGGTACCCGACGTATCCAACGACCTCCGCATCCGAGGTTGACTGTCTGGCCGCATTGTCCGCGAAGAAGCCGGTGACCGAGTGATCGGGATGGTCACGGTTGATATCCACATCGTAGACATAGTCGAGGGTGTTAATGCGCAGGGGATCGAACCCCTCGATCAGCCACGCCAGCGAATTCAGCAGCTTGTCTTTGCTGTACTCCGTCGAACCGGTGATGGATTCAATGGAGTCGATGTCGCCGTTCCAGAGCTGAAGGAGAGAGACGTGGCCCGTCGAGTCCCAGCCCGTGCCGTCGAGACCGCCGTCAGGGAGCTGCAGAAAGGCGAGTGAGATATCGTTCCGCCCGTTCAATGTGTATAGCGGGATATCGGCGTCAGGCACGCCAGAGTCGCTTTCGGTCCACTCGTTGGCCACGCCGGCCATTTGTGCGTATGCGGCCAACGAGCCCTCCTGGCGCCCGTTCCAGTATTCGGAGCCCTGGCCGGCATCACCGGCTGTTAGGAAGACGGTACGAAGACCGGCTCCGCCTTGCACGTTGTGTAGCAGGTCGGGACTCAGAAAGAGTAGGTCATCGTCTTGGTGGGCAACGATGTTCAGGGTCTTGAGGGTTTGTTGGGCGGAGGCGAGAGAGTATTGTGCTAGGAGGAAAAGGGCGCGTAGCGCAAATGTGGACTTCATGATGGAGGAAGGTATGGAATGAGGATACAGGAAGAAGTATGAGAGGTGTGATCAAGACACATTTCGGGGTGAAACACCCGCTTCTTATGCTTGTAGGTGTGGTCTCCAAGGGATGAAAGCTGCTCATCGTGTATAGATGGTTTGTTGTTTGTTCATTCCAGGGGACTTGTTTTGGGGGTATGGTGGTATGATCGGCGCATTCTTGCTGTCACCTATGAGTACACCTGGAATTGTCGGTGCTTTTACTAACATAGTACTATGTTTTGTTTTGGTCACTTGATTGAAGCGCATTCCATAGGCTAACCAGGCGCGTCATTTACCTTGATACTCTATGCTCAGAGTCCCATTTTGAGTACCTCCGTAGATACTGTAGGGGACGCACTGAAACTATGATTTAAACGCCCTCCTAAGTCTTGTCTGCGATGACGATATACTATACAATCGTCACTTTCAAAACTCAGCTACCCACATTCTTTTATAAACACTAATTTCTTTTCAATTGGGCACCCCCTTACTCTACACGCCATTATCTGCACCCTTGTACCCTCTCTTTCTACCCTCCCTTTCTTCACTTTTTTCTTTCTCACTCACCACCTTCTGAACTGTAGCCTCACTTTAATATCTTACCGTCAGGAACGGCACGAAGCAAAGCGCCACGCCGAACCAAGAAACACCCAAAAATGGCCGGATCACGCCCGCGTCAGCATTTCCCGGAGCAGACCTTCTGACCATCGAGGTATGCAAGCAACGTAGTGGACGTTACAATTCACCCCCTGTGGTGGTAAGGAAATTCGTGCTCGAGGGTCACCAAAGCAGATATCTAAGTCATTGTGCAGATATGTCAGAGCTCGGAGTACCTAATCAGTATGAATATCAATCACTAGTAGACCGTACGAGATTGTGGACGTGACCCACAGTGAGATCGACAAACAAATTCCACCTCGCTCAGCTGAGACACGCGGAACAGCTGTCTAACTTCTTTAAGTGTAACCCCCCACGACCGGCAGCAGTACTTGACGAAAGAGTATGGACAGAATCTTCAATCGAGACCATGCGGCCGTGATGAGAGACCTAGGTTGAAAGAACGTGGCTTTTGAAAACAGGATATGTGTAGAAATTATCCCGGGGCGTGTGTCGTAGGATTTGCAGCAGCTTATCTGCTCACGGCCAGTGCTCAACAGGGCTAATTAATTCCTCCAGGTCACATGGACTTGTGTGTAATGGAGGAAGATATCACATATGCAGATAGTGGCAACAAGTCGTTTGTGCGTATATGGGGGAAGTCTAAGCCTGTGTTGCTGGCCGGAAGATATGATGCCGCATGTCCATCTCCAACCCGGACCTCCCCTTCCGCCTGCAACGAGGCCTGCCGCTGCAGTCATATAATCCCGACACATTCTATGTGACCTTCACCGACAAGGTCTACACCCAGTATACCTTCAACATGGAGTTCTTGGAAGCTAAAACCACAGCTGCTGATTAGTGAAGCACATGTGTCTTGGCAACCTAACTTCCAAGAGCTGGGACCGAACAGGGAGTATTTGATAGCTTCTAATCCGGGCCATTAGAAGTCGTAGATATATTCATAGTAATAATAGGGTTTCCAGGAATTATAATGTGCAGTGGATTTATAGCAAGCTGAAACTTGACCCGCTGTCCTGGTTGACGTAAAGAATGGGCTCGGGAATATACCACAGCTAGAATATAGAGCTAAAATATATAAAATCAAAACACACAGAAAAAAGGAGAGGAGGGGGAGAAAAGGAGCTAGATCGAGTAGTTCAACAAGCATCGATTATTATTCATAGGCCCCACAGCCCAGACCATGATGTATACTGCCTGAATGGCTATCTAATAAATTAGAAATATACAGAGAAATGAGATAGAATAGAGGAGGCTTAGGAGGATATGAACCATCTAGATTTATCAAAATACTACCTTAATGGTTCGAGGAATACCAAACAGAATAGGGATCCGGTAAACTTATATACCTGGTCTAGACCTAAGTTTATGGCCTGTCTAGATGCATTGAGACGTGATAGTATCACCCATACTCATCCATCTTGGCTCTATTCCCAGTCCGTTCTCTCAAATGTAGCACCATAGCACCATTCATGATACTTGCTATGGAGGTCAGTCTTTATGGCAGTGATCATGCAACCCATTGCGGCACTGGGCGGACGTAGTAGGGCCTCAACGGCATGAGCGATTTTCTGTATTGCAATTCAGTTACCCAGATCAGCGCATTCATTCCAGATGCTGGATCCCTGGGGAGAGTGATTTAATTAATGAGTTATCTTGTTTCTTAAACTCTAAAATCCCAATTGTATACTGAGAGGCAGAAGTTATATCGAGTGGGGTAGTACCCCCAGGATAGACATGCCTATGTAGGTCATAATTTAGCCGGGTGGGCTGCGAATGCTTGGATCAACCGCTTCGAGCGGATTCCGGTCTAAGCCACTGTAACCAGCTATCTAGTCAGACTTGTGCGGTAAATTCATTGAAGCAGCTGGGGGATCGGCATACTATATGCAAAGAATGCATCTTGAACTTCCCGTCGGCTGAGCTAGGGAATGAAAGATTCTTTTGCTCAGTTCCCATTGGGCACTTGCCACTAGGATCCTTGTACCCCCTGTTCCATATTGAGACATCCAGCTGCCCTGTCCACTAAGAATGTATCATACATAGTCAGCCTGTGGATTTAATTGAATAGCTCACAATGCGGGAAACACCCTTACTGAAAGTAAGATTCCTATTCTTTGGCCTCTTGCCTGGGCTTCAGTTGAATGCATTCCATGGCCTTCCCTTCATGACTTAAATAGAGGTAACCCCATAGTAGGTCCATGGAAAATCCCCTGGCTCACGCAAGTGAACGTTCATACTATGTGGCACTTCGGACTTTTCCCTTTGACTCTGGTACTTGGGCTTCTTGCACGTGCAGAAGCCCAAGGTGCCCCCGAACTCCCATCAAATGATGAATTTTATAAACCCCCTTCAGGCTGGGCCGAGAAGGAACTTGGCGATATCCTCGCTCGCCGCCCGGTATCCATCGTATCCGAGCACATCCCTGACTACGAAGCCTGGCAGCTGCTCTACGTTACCCAGGACCTCTACGAACAAAAGACCACGTCTGTTACTACCATCATAGTCCCGCAAGGAGCCAACACGAGCCGCATTCTGTCCTACCAGATTGCCTACGATTCACCGGATGTCAACTGCTCCCCTTCTTATGGACTGCAGCCCGGCGCTAATGAGGCTGCGATTCCGTTCACTCAGGGCCAAATGAATTACATAGCCGAGATCCTGAGGGATGACGCCCCGCCGGTTCTAAACATCCCCGACTATGAAGGATCTAATGCCGCGTTCACTGTGGGGCCCCAGAGCGCCTATCAGACCTTAGACTCGATCCGTGCTGCGACCCGATCCGGAGAGACTACAGGGATTGATGAGGGTGCGGAGATCGTCTTGTTTGGCTACTCTGGGGGCGCCTACGCCTCCGAATGGGCAGTTGAACTTCATGGTGACTGCTGCGCGGAAGATGTTAATATCATCGGCGCTGCGATCGGTGGGCCTCCGACGAATATTATCAAGACCTACCGAAATGTTAATGTCTTTGTTTATCCACCGTTGAATGTTTGGGCTATGCTGGGTGTGATGAATGCAATCCCCGAGATTAACGATTTCATGGAGGGAGACCTAAAACCCGAACACAAACGCAAGTTCCTTCAGCGCCGCGAGCGCTGTAGCGAACCCGACGAGCCATTCGAGGAAATATTACCTTTTTCCAATATCAGCAACTGGTTCGTACAGGGAGACTATTTCTTGACCAAGTTCGAACCCGAACTTACGGAGATTGGCGTCTTGGGTAACCACATCTCGGAAGAAAATCCCCCAACCTTCCCCCTCTACATTTTTCAGGGCGGGCTGGACGCAGTCACGATGCCCCTTAATGACACCGTAGCGCTGAAGGCGAAGTTCTGCGATGCAGGAACCCCGGTGTTTATGAAGGTATACACGTTGCGAGACCACCTTGGTGCCGCCGACGTCGGTTCCCCACCTGCCATGGAGTGGATTAGAGCGGTTTTCAATGGCGAGGAGATCGAGACAAACTGTGCCGGGTCCTTCGCGGAAGATTCTGCCGCGGATGTTCTTGGGGGGGTTGCTCAGTGAATCAATTTAGACTGTCCTTGACAATTCGCCCGCAGTGGCCTGGATGGGGAAGACGATTGGGCTGAGGACGACATCGAAGGCTTGGTTCAATGCCGATTAGATTTTCATACAACAGAGGGTGAGGATGCAGTTGTAACCCTCTTATTTGTGTTTTGTGATTGCTATGATCTTCAATATTAATGAAAATTGCACTAAGCCGTCATTTCATCACCTTGCTCAGCCGAAGTAGTATCCAGTCATTGATAGGATGAAGATTTTCCGCACGCTAGCCAAGATTAACTGAGCCTGTCACTTACGCCGCACTAGCTGTAAACCAGGCAATCTCAGCAGAGGTCATGTTGAGGTCGTCGCCGATTCTAGCGGTGATTATGTCGGTGGCACCCTGGAACACGGATGTCTGCGCATTCGCGAAGGCCGCCGATACCACGAAGAGGCACTCATGTGTAGTAGATCCGAAGAGGGCATATTCGTGAGATTATGTATCATCGCTGGGCTCTGTTGATGGCGGATTTGTAGATGTGTTGTTATCCGAATCCATTTTGGATACGGTTTCCGTGCAGTGAACTAAGTGAGACATAGTCGGAAATATACTGAAATGTGTAGATCGAAGTAACATGGCCATCCCTACCGCCGATAATCTTCTGGCAAGCTTAGTGCTGATCATGACGTATCTACTGCTTGCAAGGGATGGAGTCAAGTTGTCGCGGGATTTGGGGTTTAAAGACGTTCATCATATGAAATCACGAGAAGTTACTTCATGTGATCCGTCAGTCGCTATTTAATTGCCTTTTAACTTCTTCGAAAAGACCCGTAGGTCATGCTATGTAGCCTCTCACCGGCTCATTGTAGGCCATGATCTTGTAGATAATGTACAACATGTCACGATATGTTCGCCTTGTTGCTCCCAAATATACGCATGTTTCTTTATGGGGATGGAATTGATCAACAAACTTTGAGTCTTTGACATGTATTCATACATAATTTGAAATGAAATACTAAACGATTGACAAGGGGTATGTACACATAGAAACATAGGGAAATAAAAAGGGTCTTTCGACATTGCTCGTCTCTCAAATCTTCTTCCGTTTGCATCAGGATGGCCAAAAAGCATCATCACAGCGCATTCCCCCCGTAATAATCCCCATCATGTCCATGATTCCGAGTCGATGGCAGTGGATCTCCTTCCATAGTTTCAGGAATCGTCCAGTTGTCGGGCTGCTCCGGACGGCCGAGCACGTTCTCTGCAATGGACTCCTCTGTCTGCCTCGGTACCCATGTGGATGGTTCCTGGACGACGGACTTCCAACGTTCTGGCGCTGTGGAACGGGCCCCCAAATCATATGCCGCTTCCAACAAAGGCATGTAGTATTCTTCCCCCAGGCCTTCCCAGCCCCCGTTCAATTCATAGGTGGACTTCAGGAAGCGGAGCTGCTCAAACATTACATCGCTTTTCGTCTCCGGCACGGTCGCCCCCCAGTTCTGAGTATCGGTGTCCTGCCGCGACGGCGTCTCAGAGTGGGAATATGCGCCTACTGCCTTCTCCAGCAACTCCCAATGGACCTCAAAGGCATTACTGTAGTCGCCTTCTGCTCGGAGGAAGCTGGCGTACAGGTTCTTGCACTGAACGATGAGCGGATTCAAGGATTCCTCTCCATACACATCGAGAAGGTTGTACAAGATGTCGGTGACGAGTTCCTGGGCCTCGTCAGAACGCTGACGCGCGAACTTCACTTTACAGAGACGCAGGCCGATGGAGATGGTGGTGCCCAGGTGCCAGTCGTCAAGGCAGACTCGAGCATCCCAAAGGGATTGGAAGATTTCCTTTTGGGCAGGTTGGGCCTGGGTTAGCTAAAGGTACTTTTTCGGAGAGGTGGATTATGCGATAAAGGGGGGAGAATAGAGGAAACTTACTTCCAGGGCGCTCAGCTGACGCTTTTCAATGAGGATTCGAATCAGAATATTGATTTCGTTCAACTGAAGGTCGGCAATGTTGATTCGGCCCCCGCTCTCGGGCTTTCCTCCAGGGTAGATCAATGCGACGATGATTTTGTCCGCAATACTCTTCATCTCCGCTTGATTGAGGTCACTAGTTGCTGGAGTTCCCATTTGGATCTCTCGCACGAGACTGAAACCAATGCGAGAGAATTCCCTGGTCTGCGAGCCCCAAGAGCGCAGCTTCAAGCAATCATAGGCCCATTTGGTGAAGACGAGGCAGTCTGCATAATGCTGTTTGCGGTTAAGGTCGATGCATATTCCGGTGAGAGAGGAGAGAAACGAAACAGACGAATTTCCTCTGTGAAGTTCCCCAAGCCATTCCTCCAGGAATGGTCGCACGAGTTCAGACAGGGAAGAATTGGACTGAGTGTACGATTGAAATAGCGTCAGTGTTTCCTCAACCACAGCCTTCTGCTCCCACAAGCGCCCCTGCTCTTTGAGAAAGGCCATGAGGCGAGAACTGATGACCAAACGAGTCTCTAGGGGAATTTGCATATGCTTGGCAGTCGACCAGGACTCATAAAGCGCACTCTCCCTCAAAACCTCCTGCATGATATCGTGAAGCACAAGAGGCTGGGGCTCACCCTTCAGGAGCTTCTCCAAGGCATTGACCAAAACGAATGACCGACGATCGATGAGTAAGATTCTGGACTGGCCAATACGTTGAACGAAGTCATTGGCAGAGTTACTCACGAATGCACGCGCGACGCGCAGGTCGCGCACCAGCTTCAACCCAGGATCAACGACATTGAAACGATAATATGCATCATAGAACTTTGAGGCCCAGTTCAGGAGACGTTTCTCGTCGTTCTCCTCGATCATAATCTGGACAACATACTCTTCCATCCACGTTAGAGATTTGTCAGTAAAATGCTCTTGGAAATGGAAGTCTGCAATTTTCTGGAAGCAAGCATCTGTTTTCGAGTGGGATATTCCCTGGATACGCCTGGTTGTTTCCCATCTCTGGTGCAGCATCTCCTCAGCTTTTCTGATGAGATTGCTATCTCGGGCGTAGAGACACAAAAGCCGGTCAGTGGCGCACTGTGTAATGTTTATAATCTCCTCCGCGTCAGATATCTCGTCGCCAGTTCTGCAAACATCCTCGTAGATATTCACCGCAGCCGAATAATCTTGGGTTTGCTCGAAGCATTTGGCCAATTCATAGTCTGCAACGATTGCCCAAGTGCTGCCGCGGGATATGAACGTGCGTAAGTGTTGGTTGATTCTGATAGCCTCCGCGGGCTGATTGCGAGAAAGGAGGAAGGTGGAGTACCCGTGGAGGGCCTCGAATATTTGCTTTTCAGTGATATCGCCGGAATGACCAGAACGGTGATAAAGGGTGATAAAGTTCCAGATTCGCCCATACCAGGAACGCAATTCGGCGGATCTTCCGTGCGCTTCGTAAAATTTGATCAGAACCAGCACGGCGTCGATGTAGGTTGACTGGCTGATTCCCTCGCCATCCTCAAAGCTTTCTATGAATTGAATTAGAATGCTTTCGGACACATTTTGGATGTCTGTCATTTGGAACAGAGTTATCAGCTTGGACGAAATGCAGTTGTACTGATCGCGTGTCCCGTAGTTCTCGCGAAACCTGGAGCGAAGTTCCTGCAAAACGCTGATCGCCTCGTGGACTCGTCCTGTTCTGTGAAGAACTTCAGTATACAAGTCCACTACTTCGAAGATATAGCCATCCTTCACGTTGTCAGAGTCGCGGAACGATTGAAAGATGAACCGCAGAATGTCTTCTGCCTCAGGCAAGGGCTTTTGGGTGACAACTAGATTAGCGAACACCAGAGCCATTCTGATCGCACTCTCCGTGTTCTCTATGGGAACTGTGAGATTGTACTGGTCCCGGATGAGCAGGCTGGGCCAGATGACCTGAAGCACAGTTTGGCAGGTTAGCATGGCATTGAACCCATCATCCAGTCCTTTATCAATGTCAACGAGTTCTGTAGCCACATCGATCCAGTACTTGTCGAGAATTTCCATGGCTACGAATCGACGAAATAGCTCTTCAACGAAAGTTCTCGCCTCTGCATGACGTCCATTATGTCGGTAACACTTCGACAATAAGATGCTTACTCGAGTTGCCATGATGGAAGTCTCCCGGGTCAGGTCAACACAACAGATCGATCTTAATTCAACAAGAATTGGATTGACCGGGGAAAAGAGACCATTCTGGATATAGGAGTCAATGAGAGACAGGAGCTCATGTAGTGTATCCTGGTCAAAGAAAGATGAGTCTCTCTTGAGGACCTCGTAGAGCTCAGTCACGATATCGCTGGCTTCGTTGAGTTTGGCATCATTTATGAGCAATCTCCCCAACCGCGTAGTCGTTTGGACAAAAGTTAAACGCGCTTCTAGACTTCCACTAGTAAAGCAGACCTTATCTTGCTTCTCCCATGAGCTGCGAAGAACTTCTTGAGCTTGGATATGCTGTCCCTGACTCTCGTAGCAGTCGATTAAGCGGAAGAATATCTCACGTCGACATGAATCCCAGCCACTGACATCGTCACCCATGGCTTGAAATAGATCTTTGCATACTATACTGGCCTCGTGGTAGTTGCCGAGAGCAATCAGCACATCGACAAGACTACTGGCGTAGCTTATGGTCCGGTTGTCAGATCTACCATATGCCTGAGCAGACATCTCATACAAGTGGTACTGCAGGCTTGCCACTTGATCGTGCCTCTCCTTGGATTTGTAAAGCATGATAAGAATGTTCACCTGGACGATAGCTTGTTCGCTCATTGGGCCAAACCTTGTCCGTTCAACGTCCCAGACGAACCTGGTTGCAATTAGTATCACGCCATACCACTGCGGAAAGAGACGACTTACTCAAGCAGTTCCTCGGAGGGATCCACATCAACCTTTATTCCGGGACCACCAATGTAAATCTCGCTGTATTTCAAGGCGAGGTCCCGGCAGATTGACGCATCGCGGCCCATCAACTTGATTGCTAGACTCCATGCCTCATTAAGATAGGCCAAAGTTCTCCCACGGTGTTCAGGAGTCTGGTAGAGCGTAGACAGTGTGATAAGATTTTGCACGATAGAGAGACTGCGTCCCCCAAACACTGCTCGACGGAAATTAAGAGCAAGGAAATGCCTCTGCTCGAGGATGGCTCCATCGAAGTTTAATCCCCAGTAGTAACGCTCGCATTGTGCTAGTAGGGGTGAATCAAGATATGCACGGCGGAAATCAGAAGTTGTCTCCCAGCGGCCTTCATCGTAGTGTTTCATATAATGTAGAATTGAGTACTCGAGAAGGGTATCATTGGAAACATGAGATATTTGCTGATCCCGAATATCTGGCTCGGCCAATGTAAGATTTATCTCGGGAATATCGGGTAATCGATGCTTGATATATTCCAAGCAGCGCCAGAGAGCAACCTGATGAGCCGACCGTGGGCTAAGTGGGATAATCGATTCCCGACCCAGTTGAAGGAAACGCTCCTTGATCAGAGGATGAATGAACTGCACCAGCCCTTCTTGAATCTCGATCAGAGAGGCACATGATGTATGGAGAAACTCGCTGGCATGGATATTGAATGATCCAGCTATAAACCGCGGGTCAAGCATAGTTTCGATTTCACCCTGTGCCATGACGCGTTCAGAAACGAGCAGCCAAGTGAGGAGGTTCTTAACCAGGGGCTCTTCAAAATTCACCCGCATGATCATGAAATCAATCAAACCGAGAGGCGTAGTGGGAATCGACTTCAAGACGATGATGGCTTCTCGGTAGCTCTCCTGGGACTCTAACAAACTGACGAGGAGATGGGCCGTGATCAAGGAGCCTAATTGAAGAGCTCGCTCTGTCACCAGCTGGATGAACCCAACATTGTTTCTCAACCAGGAAATCTTCTCGATACGTGTCTTCACTAAGTAGCGGATGTCATCTCTGAGCACATTGGAAGTGATCTCGTAGTGAACGCAGTCGGGGCTGTGGTTTCCATCGAAGACAGGGCGAGAAAAAATGATGCAGCGATGAGACTGATGTTTCTTGACCACATCGTGCAGCAAAGTACGTACTTGAACTTTGTCACCTTCAATTTTGTCTAGCCCGTCGATGACGAGCAGTAGCTCTTCGCCCGGACTCTTGGTCATTAACCTGAAAGCCTGCTGCTGCAAGATCGACCATAGGCGCCTTTCCTCGTCATCCCCACGGTTGAAGTACACATCGTGGAGGGACTTGAAGAAGGAAGCGTCACCGACGCTCCGGTCAAACAGTTGAAGCAGAAGGCTCTTGACGAGGTCGGTAGAAGTCCGACGCCCACGCAGGGATGGCTCTATGACGATGTCAGCCAGGATGCCCTAGGACTCAATCGGAAAGAAAACCTTTCACATACCAATGCTGAAGAATAGGACCTTTGCCCCTCGCGAATAGCGAGCCTTTGAGCGATCCACGGTCGACTTAATAAACGTACTCTTGCCACACCCAGCTTCCCCAGTGATGAACAGCATGGAATCACTGCTCTGCCAGAACTTAGTCGTTAGGTCAGACAGCCATCTGAGGGGCAGCTCTGTTCCTGGGGAGGCTATAGAGGAGAAGCCATGAAATTTCGTTATCTGTTCATTTCTCTCCTCGACAGACAACCAGCTACGAATGGTCTCAACACTGGTACCCTGGACTGTAGCCTCATCATTAACAAAATGTTACTATGAAGGACTCGTACAAGAACACTTACTGTCGCCAAATTGGGAGCGCTCGATAGTGACCCGCCAGACTTCGGTAGAGAACTTGTCCTCGATTTGAAGAAATTCCTTCAGGTGAATTTCGAATGGTGGCCCAAATTCAATTGCCGCCGAGGACCTCGTATCTGTTATTATCAGGAGTCAATCTCACACTTCATCGATTCGGATGAGTTATCAATGCTTCCTAACTTACTCTTGACAGTCTTTAAAATTTCTAGATCAAGCTTGACTAGCAATATAAGGGCCTGAATAGAGATATCGGAGATAATCCTTGAAGAACAGTGCATGTGCTGGGCGAAATGCTTCAATATCAATGCCACTTGGTCCAACGCGATGAATGCCTCCTCGAGTACAGCCGAGTTGGACCGCCTAGAAATTAACTACCGATATGATAAGCGTTAGTCACCGCTTCACCGCCACTGGTTATGCTTGAAAGGGCACTTACAAGGGTAAGATGTTTGAACGAGGTGAACATGATAGTCGAGCAATCGGCCACCGCGGGATCCGCCGATCGAAGGCTCGAAATGAATTCATCGACGACTTCCGCCAATCCATCTGCGCGATGCAAGATCCGATCTGACCGACTGGCCCGATGCGGCATGATTCTCAATCGCTGGTTTTTCATTCCTTGCTGGGCCTCCTTCAGGGTGACGACGCCGTTGGGGAGCCCGCCATTTAGCACCAAGGCAAATTCAGGCTTTATCCCCTGGACGAAACTCGCGAGATCAGACCTCCCTCTTCCAGCATGATTGAGAGATCCGTTCCAGTCCTGTGACCTACCAATTCCGGTCTGAAAGCCCCGAGAACCGAGACGGGCGCCCCTTGCCAGCGGCGTTGGAGACCTCACTTCTCGTCCTGATCGAAAAGGCCTGAAAGATGGGCGCGGCTCTGTGAACTGAGCAGTTCTGACACCGTTACCTGTACTGGGGGAGGCCGGTCGTGCTCTCCAGGAAGGAGGCCGTATCGGAGGGGAGGAGCTGCCTACAGGAGGGCTGGGGACGTCAAATTGAGAGCCGATGGCCGCTGATCCGTCGACTGTAGCGTATACGAGAGGAGAAGAAGGCTTCCCGCTGACAGTGTTATCCTCATCCCATGTCTCAGTTCCACTGCCCGAAACACCCGCGATTCTGGGCTCGACATTGTTGGCGTTCCGGGGTGCGTTGGGGGTTGGAGGATCGCCGCCAATGGCTGAGCTGTTGTCACCATCGTCACTGGGGCTCATTGCGCGGGCTTGGGAGGGAGAGTCATCAGGCGAGTGACCACTTCCGCCGGGCGAGGAGATATTGTCATTTGTTCTCTGGTTTGGTGAGAAGTCCGACTCCAGATATTCGACATGCCTTACTTGGGCGATGCTCCCTGGGGAAGGCTGCTCTCTTGGTATTTCTATTCAATAAGATATTTAGCTCTTTCCGGGTCGACGAATTTCCTCAATCAAGCTGAGATAGGCTCACCGGTTGGTAATCCGGACATGGTGTTAATGGATTCTGGATTTCGCTTTTTCGACTTCACTAAAGATATATGGCGAGACAAACAGGATACACAACGACTCAATAGAGTTGGCCTGTTCACGCTAAGGAGTGGTTTTCGGGCCCGGGAGTGTTGATTGTCGACTGGAGGACTTTGAGTGGCCATAACGAACAGGATGCGCTGCCCATATTTATCGCTGCCTGTAATGGCTATGTTTCGAGAGACCGCTTCCAAAGTGTTGACACGTGGATCAGAGTATAGACCAATTGAGCGCTTTGCAGATACCGAAATAACTGACTCACCGTTCATGCAAGTTGAGGCTGACGCTCATATACACTAGTTCTCATATTAAGCGTGCATACTCCACACGGCTCGACCAACCCAGTCCATCCCATCAATGCTGCCCTGCTGACGCTGAGCTGCGCCATCCACGCCCAAGCCGTGATGCACTGGGAGCATATGCGAGGCGTAATCCAGACGCAACCCAGCGGGTCTCACAAGATGTGGAACGGCGGTGACGAAATCAGTTCATAGTACGACCACTTGAAAGCATTGAGCTATTATTAATAGCGCTCCTCGAACTCGGGCCCGCGCTGACAGTGCCGGTTTATGTGTATTGGTGGCAAGCCCGCCAACAGGACATACATACACTACTGAAGACAACATATTGGTTATTCCTCTTGTGTAACCACAATATATAATCGGAGATATACCTGCGGTTCCTCTAATCATCTTGTTCTATCGAGCCGGACACGCCGAGGGCGTCCACACCGCCATGCCTTTTTACAGGGACAACAACTAAGGATGTCTCCCTGCATCCGGGCTCCTCGAGGTTTCCCCTCGGTTCAATATTCAAGATAGTTCACAAGAGCATTGGCACAGGCTCGCAAGGACCGATGCTGCGTGTCAACTCCTGCTGTGGATACCGAGTTGCGCGGTTCGTCTAGAGTGTGGTGTTCTCTAACTGGCCATGTCAATTCATATGTGCTATGAGACCATTGTGAGGAGTCACATCCACGAATTGTGAAGCTCTGTACCGAATACAGACAAGGCATCGTGAGCATCAAACTTGTGGGAAGTAATTAGTGAAGTATTTCAGTTGCCCCAAAACGATGTAGCGAGGCAGTGTAGCGCGAGGATTCTCAATCCGGTTATGATATACTATCTTCTCGTTAACCGAATTAGCCCTAAATGCAGCCAAGCAACAAGTATAAGCAGTACCCCCATCAAAATGCTAATCGACGGACAGGTAGCTCCTTCCCCTTTCTTCTTGCCACCTCCACCTCCCGATAGAACACCAGCTCCTCTGCAACCTTCTTCGTAATTTCATGAACATCGCCCTCCTCGCCTTCTTCCTCCTGCATTCCCTCCACCGCATTTACAATTGCCTCGCAATCCCAGCACAAACAAACTTGATACCTCTGACCGAACCTCATACTAAACACCTCGCCGGTATACTGCAGACCCTCCTTCACAACAGTCTGTGTCACTCGATCATCATGGTTTACCAACCTCCCTACCCTCTCCAGCATTGCATCTCGATACCGCCCCGCGCTGCACTGATGCGTATGCCAGACCAGATCTACATCCAGTGTCGGTACCAGACTCTGAGTTGGGTAGAGCCTTAGTAACTGCAAGAACTTCTCATAGCGCTCGATAGCACGTCGCAGCGTGCCTCGCACAGCTGGACTCCGGATCCATAGATGCGCATCCATCTTCTCGACGAATAAGACCTGACGCTGGATTTGGTCAATCAGGGACTTGTTTTCTTGCGTTTGAGATTGGATAACACTGGAATGAATGTTCTCGAGGAATGATTGGGGTCGTGGAAGGGGCGGTTTGTTCTTATTGTATTGTCTGATGATCTTGAATGTTTCGATAATGCCGCCTTTCGTACAGCTGAAGCGCGACAGGAGCAAATTAGCTTGGGTGTTTGATTTGGCCGTTTGGATAAGAGTTCTCAGGAGATCTGGCTCGAGGTTAGCAGCCTGGAGTTTGGCTACGTTCTCCTCGGGGAGCTGGTATGTCCAATCGTGGGGATCGATAGATTCATGCTGAACCTGTTAACAATGCTGTCTCTTATAACTTTGCACTAGGGTAAACTCACAATCAATCGCCATGGAAAAGGTAGGTTGCGTAGAAGATCCAGCTGATGCTTTTCGCAATAGGTGTCGAAATCACGCGGATTTAACAGGAAGGCATGCCAGACCATGAGCACGTCTGTCGTTCATCAGCACCCAACTTCGAGGCAGTTCGAACTAGAATAAAGACTATAACCTACCCAGAGGAGGCAAAGCTGTCAATATCCCACCGTCCGACTCCAGCACCGACTTCTCCGCTATCGTCACCCACACCTTGAAACGAGTCACCGCCAGACCCAGATAATGCGGCCATTTCTCCAGGCGCCGTTTTGCAAATCCCAGGTCGCGCAGGTGGTGCGGTTCAATAACATATCGCCTCTGGACGCTAGACCATCGCCTGCGATATACAGTGCGCTTATCCGGCTTGATACCGAAGGTTTCGTCGAGGTCATTACAGGATAGAACGCGCAGCCTGAGGGCATTGAAAACTTGTAGGAGCTCTAGTTGCACGGCGCATTCACTGATGGTAGGTAAAGAAGTTGAATTGGGGAAGGTATCTGTAGAGAGCGAATCAAAGAGGACTGGCGAGGGGATTGCGGGGCTTTCGGATTTAAGGTATGTTCTATCGTAGTCGGATGAGGGATGAGATTTTATATTCATTATCTGGAGGTTGCTGGCTCGATGGAGGGCAGTGAGTGATGAGGTTGGCATGGCTTTCTGTCTGTGACTTGGTTGTGGTGAGGGAGTGGGAAATTACAGGTTAGAGTTATCTAGATCTAGCACGGGGATGGGAGCAGAAACTGAGATGATATGATCCAACTACAGAATAAACTAAGCCTCACCCGGCCTCATGACTCGATAATGAATACGAGGTGGTGCCTCGTTGGCAATCTGACAGGGCAAAACGGGGGATTTCCGGGTGAGGCGGAAGCCCTAAGATGCATAAGACTGTTATGCATCGTCGAGTCGTTCTCCAAGATAAAGTCGAACCGGTGGGTCTCGTACCTGAATAACGACCCTATGATCAGTTCATACCAGCTAACCGGCACTTGAGCTAAATGCTAGGGAGACAGATAACGTGCGTGATAAGGCAAGGCTCCAACTTGGAATCAATCCTTTTACCGAGGCAACTGTCCAAACGGGATAAAATTGACGAGCAGTTCTTTAGAGACATCCGCATACCCGCGGAGCCAGTCCCTATCGGCGCTAGTCACGGTGCTCGGTGACCCTCAATACGAGATGCGCTGGGAGGGGGGACGAGGCTATGACGCAGAGCTCGCTCGATGATTATACACCATGCATTGGCATTGATTACTACCCCTGGGCAAATACGAATATTGCGCAGCAACTGTTCATATAATTGTGTTCGCCTCACTGTCATCCAGCCCTGTTTCCTGGTCCTTTGTTCGGACGTATATGGTTGAGCGAAAGTCCAAGCAGTACTAAATGCCTGGTCTATACCTCAGAGCCCTCCTCGATGGTAGATGAGCAGAAGCGAAAATAAATCGCAATGTCGAGATTCAAGTCGCGGCCTCATCCGCCCCCTCAGGATATACTCACCCCTGGTCCCGACCTCCCTTGGGAACTCGTCGGACCGGGCGAATCTTATCTTCTGGTCGAATTAGAGAAACTCTACTGGGCAGGTGTTGAACGCGAACTGAAAAATATCATCCAAACTCTTCGCGTATGGCGACGGCCTGAATATTCATATATCAGCATTCCAGACGAAACGGACGATTTTATATATGGTTTCGATACGTTCATCGACCAGGTTTGTCAGGAGAGTAGGGAGTTTGCGCTTCGCTATGGTGTGTCTCTTTTTACACCTGTGTCTTCAGGTCAGTGCCAAGGGATTTACAGCTAACAAAGGAACAGGGAAGAGAAGGCGTCGCGAAGATGCAGATAAACCATCTGCTATTTTAGGGCAGGATCATAAATCCGAGTATGCGCTCAAACAGGCATTTCTGGATAATAAGGCAGAGAGAAATTCCATGAGAATTAGAGGAGAGGTTAGGGCCGAAATCGAGAGTAAGTCATTTATTCTATACCACAGATGAGAGTGTGACTGCTGATAGAATAGATCTTCCCCAACTCGAAGGTCTCGAGCTGCGAGCAGCCATGTTACTGCAATCTGCTGGTAAGTTATTCTCTTTTCGATGTTTAGTTCACTTGCTCATATCAATTCCAGGGTTCCTGGACATCGACAAAATCACCGAATATCGACCCCCTCGAGACAAGTCAAGGCCAAGACCAGGGATACCTCAACGCATGTCCATCTCCCTATCTATCGCCCTCAAGAAAACTAACTTTAGACCAGTCACACTCACAATCAACGAACACTCCCAGCCCGAATTTCATCCTCTACACTGCTCCGCCTGCAACGCCATCATCTACGACAGCATGTTCGCCAGACAACCATTCGTACCAAAGCCCTACACTATCTGCTCCGATTGCTACTGGGCCCAACACTACAGCGATCCTGCCTTCGTCAAAGTCCACAAACACTCCGTCTTGCACGCCATCGACACGTCGACCAGCGGACGACTTTGCAAGTGCGAATCCGTCCCGCATTTCGATTCGTCTGGTCGTTCGCGCTCGCTGTTCCCTCTTAACCCCAACGATCGACATATCACGTCCGGCAAGGACCGCTGCCCTCTGTTGGATCTAGCTGGTATGGTCTCTCATGCGAAATACCGCGGCTTGCTTTCTAGCATAGGGATGAAGCCTCAAGGCTCGGAGTCGGGCTCTGTGGGGCGAATGATCGAGCGAGTGAAGTCGATAAAGCTGGGGAAAGCAGACAGAAAGAATAATGCGAGTCAAGTAGGGACGGGACATCTGAGAGACATGGATCACACGGCAGGCCCTCCGGCAGAAGACGATATTCCAGCATTTTTTCGCCATCGCACCGAGAACAACCCATTCGGGGATGAGCATATGGCGTTGAGAGTTGGGCCATTGGTTATCGAAAACGGTGTGGAAAGGTGAGCTCTTTTTTTCTTTCTATCTTGGATACAGACCTGATCGGCAGTAGTACCAAGTCAGGTGCCCTGATAACCCTAAGGAACCCGCCTGTGTTCCATGAGCGTTTTGAGCACGCAGCGAGCCAGCCTGCTCTCATGGTAGATGGAACTCCAGAGAGACTTCTCTGGCAGCAATCAAACCGGCTAGTTAGCCAGCCCAAGCGATACAAAACCATGATGAAGCAAGTGGTTGGCGTGCCGTTCTCAGGTCTCGTTAGGTCCAAGCAGGATCAGGAGCTGGAAATCCTCAAGCTCGTGGTAGAGGCGAGTCAATCGGCCACTGCTTCCTCAGAATCAGATTTACAACAAGACCTCGACTCGCGCATCTCTCGAATCCTCGACCAACTCCAGGATCTCCTTCTCCCGCGCGTGAGAGTCTACCTGTCTAGCATCGCATCTCAGCTTCTCAACCCATCAACCACACTAACATGGAACCCGACAAGCAACACCTGTCACTCCTTCTGTACCTCCCTGCTTGACCCAACTCTCTTCACTCCTTTAGTCAACGGACCTCCCAAGAACCCTGACACCAACACTAATCCCCTCTACCTAATCAGCTTCTACACCCCTCCTCCCCAACCCAACCAACACCCCTTGACTCAAACTCCAACTCCAATCCCAAGAACCAAACACGACATCCCTCCGGGCCACATCCAAGAATTCCTCATCCAACCCTCCACCTCCCCCTCCTCCAACCTCATCGACTCCCTAACCCACTATTCCACCGACTAGTCCTCCTTCTCTCGACCCCTGTACCCCCATCAACTGCTCTTCCCATGGGACTGCACAGAAGGATACGCCCGCTGCCCGATGCCGTGCGGAGGATGCAACCTAAGCAAGCACGTCTGGGCCTTCCCGTTCGACTCATGGTCACTTGTCTCTTTGCACTTGGGCAGAGAGAAATATCTTTATCCGGCATTGCAGCGGGGAGAATACAATCATCTTCCATTGCGGGGGCTGATCCATACTCAGGCTCACACTCAACCTCCAGATCCATCTCCATCTCCATCTCCCAATCCTCAAAAACCCAATCCCACCCTCGAAGAAACCCACGAAACCCGCAAAGAATGGATCCAAAACCGCCTCTCTATCCTGCACGCCTCATGGATCCTCGCTCGCACAGCAAGTGGAATGGCTCGATCCGCTACTTTCCAAAAATCAACCACCTGGATACACGCACCATCATCCTCCTCCTCCTTCTCTTCCTTCCCACCAACAGAGACAATCAAGAAAGGCGGAATCCACCGCGCCCAACCAAATAGCCATTACTTTGAGCGCGGCACAAACGCACATTACTTCCTGTCCACGTGGGCGGGGAAACCGGCTCATGAGCAACAGAGCGAGTACGAGGCGTTACGAGGGGAGAGAATGAGGATGGAGGATGTGTTAGGGAAGACGAGGGGAAGGTTTTATGCTGATAGTAGTTCTAGCTCGTCTAGGGCTGGTTCTAATGCCAAGGTACAGACACGAGGATGGTCGTCGAGGGGGTTGAAAAAGAAGGACAAGGGGTCAGGGGATCGATCATACCAAGGATTTGAAGGGGAGGATAGCACGCGCTTTACAGGGAATTCTCAGGTCTTTTATCATTCGACGTATACGCCTGGATCGGGGTCTGGGGGTGGAGGAAGCGAATGTGTGGATGCGCAGTTCGGGAGCATAGTTGGGTTGGCGAGTATCGGTCAACATGGTGGAGAGACGGGGTATGATCCGGCGATGGATCCAGGAGTGAATTGTGCGAGTGGCTGCGGCAGTTCGAGTATACCTAGTGGGGGTGAATCTGGGTCTGGGGGTGGAGGTGGAGGAGGATGGAGTGATGGCGGTGGTGGTGGTTATAGCGGAGGTGGTTCCAGTGGTGGAGATGGTGGTGGTGGAAGCAGTGGAGGGGATGGAGGAGGAGGTGGTGGTGGTGGAGGAGATGGGGGAGGATGAATGGACAGACCCGGTCTATCTATAACTTATTATATCCAAGTAGGTATATCATAGTACCATTCAGACATCCACAGGTTCAAATCACAAAAAAATCGATTTCTAAAAACAAGTATGTTCATGTCCAACGTCAATATCAATAGGTACCTATCGTCATCATCACCACCAAACCAATCCCATAGTGGATAGTAAAAGAATAGAAAAGAAGAAAAGAAATCCTATCCGTCTCTTGCGCTCTCACGTCCCATTCCACCCTCACCTCCCTCGACCAAGACTAGACTTCAGAAGACCTGCTAGCCAGTTCAATTTCCGCCATTCGGAATCCACCTGCTCAAAACGCAATAAAACCTGTTATTAGAACGATCATCGCTTGTGCTTTTATTTTGTTTCTCTCCGCTGCGCTCTTGCATCGCGCTACTTAATGAGTAATTCCAAGGGGATGCATGGGTGATGGGATGAATGCTCCGGGAGAAGAAGGAAAAATCAACGCCTGATCATGCAGAATACCTCGCAAACTATATACTTGTTTTTGGTCTTTTTCATTTTGTGTGTTTCGCAATCTTTTGCTTTTTTCTTACTGATCTTCAACAATAGACAGGAAGACGGTGTCCGCGGAGACACAGCTGTCAGTGTAATGGAGCACGCGAGGACATCAGTCATCAAACCAAACCGTAGGGGATATCTAAGACGAAGGGAAAATTGCGAGGAATGATCGAGGAGCATAGGAAGGGGTGTTGGAATAAAGAAATGTCATAAAGATAATGTATGAAGTGTAAACAATAAAGGCGGTCAGAAAAGATGATAGCTTCATGCGCTCAAACGCTGGATAAAGGTCTACACAGAGACAAGTTAGCTTGAGGCCTTCGGCTTTCCACAACGTCAATATTTAAAAACCTACCGGGAAGAATTGCCGGAATCCCCTCGTGTCCAACCGGCTCAATGCACCCAAAAATTCTTCCACAAGCTCCGCCGGCATCCCCATGCCGGGAAGCTCGCGGCCCCGCAGATATTCAATATACTCCATGCCCGTCTTGCAGTAGATCGTGCGCTGCAGCCCGCCCGCTTCGGCAAGAACCTGCTTGGCCTGCGCATCCTTGGCGTTGAAGGACGGAGTTGCCGGAAGAGCCCAGCAGAGCGGCGACATACGCGTGATCATAAACTGTCCGAATCCAGGCAAGGCAACCTGCTGCGCCGAAGCCCCGTTGGCGGCCTCGGGGGTGAGATCTGGTCCTCCCCAGGAGCTACCCATCTTGGAGAGTAGCGAGAACGCCATCTTGGCCGTCGTAAAGTCTTCAACATCCTTAGCAAAATGTTCGATAGTGGTAATCACAGTATCAAACATAGGTTGGTTTCCTGCGAACGGTTAGTCCCAGAACTCAGACTTGGAAGTCTATGGAAAAACTTACTCTCGCTGATAATCACAGCACCCAAATCGTTGTTCAAGACCGCCAGCAAGAAGTTCAGGTATTCTCGCTTCAGCTCCGCCAATTGAATCTCGTCGTCGGTACCAGTAGTAGGATCGGCAATGCTGGAGAAAACTCGTTGCAAGAAAGGTGTCAAAAGAGCATCAAGGATGTTGTAGATCTCGCCCTTGAACCCAAAGATTACCTGGTCCAGAAGACGCAAGAAGAGGGCCATCTCGTCGCGGGAGGAGGTCTGAGTGAGCAGGCCATCGATCCACTGCGGCAACTGCGGGAGGATCCGGGCGCCCAGAACGCCGATCAACCGAGAGAAAGCGAATCGGGCAGCCGTTCGGACATTGAACGACGCCTTCAAAGACTCAAGCGAAACGAGCGTAGCTTCGGACACCTGAACAAAGGCTTCCGAAACCTCGACAGCTGGCAGGGCAGAGGGCGTAGATGTACCCGGCATCCAGTCCGAGAATCCGCGGGCCAAAGTTCCCAGCGCCATGATATCGTGGTGAATCTGGAGCAAAGCTCGCTCATCGTTCGACTTGGCGGGACCGAGGTTCTTCTGCATGTCGAGGAACACGGGGTTCATCACGGACTGCGCGTAGAGAACCTGTTTATCCGCCGGAACGGCGGGGGTCGAGCAAATTATGCCAACCGCCTCAAATAAGTACAGCTGGCTATTGAAGACGGCGTCGGCAGAGCCCTCGTGGTCCTCCGAGGACATTTCGTCGCCATCAGATCCGTCCGTGGACACCTCGGCTTGGATGACCAGCAGATCGCCCAGGGCCTCCACGACGGTTTGCGCCACGTTTCCAAGGTTGGCCCGCAGCTGCTTCACCAGGCGCTGGAATAGGTACCAAGACCGCGTCTTCACCTTCTTTATCGGGTGGTGCACGAGCTGGAGGAAACTCTCCAGAACGCCCGGAATCAGGTGGGAATGATACTGGAAGAACGAGCTATAGCGGACGCAGATTTCCATATACTGCAACTGCGTTGCGGGATGGGTAAATGACCGAATATCTATAGAGGTGAGCATTTCTCCATGTCAGCAAAACAACGGCTTGCTACCTACCGGACTCGACCATCCTCAACATCATTTCGATCAATCGCTCCGCAGCAGAATTGTGGGGAGCGCCCTTGATGTAGAGACTGCCGGCCTTGACAGCAATATCTCCGAAGAGGAACATTTCATGCAAGGCAAGATCCAGATCCCGCCAGTCAAGCTGGGCACCCGATTGGCGCAGATTTTCGAACGTCGTGGCCACGACTTCGGAGACAGCGTCGATGTAAAGCGACTCGTTCACGGTGGCGATGATCTGCTGAAGCACGCCCAGTCTCTTGCGGAGATCCTGGAACTCCGCCTCGTCCTCCTGGTCGTCCTCGTCACCCCACGAGGAGGTCTCGTCGTACCGCATCTTGGCAATGATCGCTTTTAGGATAGGGAGGAGAATCGAGGAGTGCTGGGCAGCCAGAGCAGGGTTGGTCTTGGCGATCTTGCGCAAGTACGACAGAAGGTCGCTCACGGATGGGATGATGGTGGAGCAGACTTCGTCGTACTCGTCGGAAAAGTATCTCAGGATGTGCGGCAAGAAGGCCTGCAGCAGGCCAGTAGCCTTCTCCCGGCAGTCGGCGCTGACCGTGTCCTGTTCCAAAGCCCGCACAATATCCACGACGCTGATGTTGACGAGCTTGGCGACGGTTTCCGCAAGGTCGGTGTCGTACTTGAAGGTGAACCTATTGTCGTAGAGAGGGGGGCTATTGGAGAGTTGGGAAACAATAGTGTCGAGATTCAGGAAAATAATCATATCAATCTTGTCCTCCGGCTTCATCTTCTTGCCGATGATCTCCGTGAAGACGTCGACCGCCGCATCCCGTACCTTCTCTTCGCCGTCTCGCAGCTCCGCTTTCTGCGCGCGGCCCAGCTGCTGGAACAGCAAGTCCAGCATGGTCTGGTTCACCACGAGGCCGATGTCAATCCAGCTGACCCAGCTGCCAACCGCCTTCAGCGCCATCTCGACGATCAGGTCGTTCCCGTCCCGCCATTCCGACAAGATCTCTTGCCACGAGTTGGCGATCTTCTGCATGTCTTGACCACGGATCAAGTCCTTCAACGAATTGGCCTTATCCTGCTCGTGGCGGGATCGGGACACCAAGACGTCACCGATCTCATCGTGGATGGAGTTGATCACGCGAAGGTAGAAGACGATTCCCAGTGGGTTGTCGCGTGTCGTGCTGGCGGCGCTCTTGTGCGTCAGACCGAGGAGGTCGTCGAAGAACGACTCCCACCCGTTCCCATACAGCGCCGAGAAAAGGTACGTCACGGTCTGGGCGATCTTGTTCTGGATATTGGGAGGGTCGGGGTTGGCATTTTCTTGTCCGTACACCTGGCGGAGGTAGACCAGCAAGCCGTCCCGCACATAGACTAACGACTGAGGGTCAATCAGACCGGCCTGGGCAGCACTGTTGACCACTTCCAGAGCCACGAAGCGTACGATTTCAGATTGCGGCGGAGACTTGGTGAAGAGGTTGAGGCAGGCCTGCCATCCCGAGGGGTCGGTGCGGAGTTGGTTCACATATTCGATAGCTTGGGCCTTGAGGGCTTGGTCTGAGGAATGGTTCCAGGCGATTTCTATGGCATTTGCTACCTGAGAGAGGAGAACAATCACGTCAGGAACCGAGTAATACTCAATCTTATTTTGTTATGAAGTGATTGCTAGGTAGGCTGGAAGGAGGGGCAAGCACGAGGGGAAGGGGGGGGAGGATCAATGGTGGGGGTGGATTTCTTTTTTTTTCTTGCATCATTTTTTCCTTAGCATTTTTAAAGCACACACTATGACTCTTACCTGTTCTTCCATCTTCGACCAGCCGAGCTGCCTTCAGAGTCAGGGTAGGACTCAGAAAGCAAGTCAGAAGGAGGGGGGGAGGGGAGAGGAGAGGGGATAGCTGCAAAGGGTAAGATCGAAGTTGTTGGGTTCAAAAATCAAGGGCGGCGGAGAATCATCTCATTCAGACGTTTATCGAAACATGGCTAGTTCGTTGGAGCAATAGACGGGCGGTGTTTCGGGGCTTTGCCTAAGAAAAGGAACTAGTCAGACCCAGTCGCTCGGGTAAAAAACGATGATGGCAAAAAATAAAATTAAAAATTTCTGTCGGTGGATCAGGAACGTGCCCCGATGATGTTACTCACGAGACCGATGATGCGCAACAATATCTGGAAGGAAATTGATATTCTGAAGCCGAGACAAGGTCGATGAAGGAAGATAAAAAAAAAAAAGAAGAAGAAGCCAAGCCAACGGAACAAAGAGGGCAACTCCAAATGTGCGGCAGGTGGCCGATGCCCAAATGGGGTAAGGCGCCCATCTTTCTGCCGGCAGATTCAGGCACCCTTCCGGAGGCTAAGGCAGAAGAAGTAACAATAACAAGAAATGACATCAGTTGATTCTACCGAAACTAAATACATCATTAAAAGCTATACTGGCTCAGGTCGTAAGTTTATTCATAACCCATACTTTTTATGTCCTTCACCGTTTGCGGTCTGCCTCTTCTTTCAACACCTGGGCTTCCATCTTCTCGAATCCCTCGACAGCCTTGCCGTACTGCTCGAACACGCCCTTCTGGTACCCGTCGGCAATCTTCTCGATGAAGTCCTCCTCCCTCCATCGCTGGCCGATCAGGTCCTCAAAGGTCTGTCCGCGGGATCGCTCAATCGCCCAAACCGCCTTGTACGCCGCGCCCAGCGCACAGGCGTTGTCTCCGATCTCCAACTTGTAGATGCCCTCGCTGCCGCCGAGAATCTCCCCGGCCAGTTTGGCAATTGCTTTGTTCTTAGATCCGCCTCCGACTAGGTACACTCGTCGAGGTTGAGCGGGGATACCTTCGCCGGGGCTCTGCGTGAGACCGCGGGACCGCAGACGTAGAGAGAGCAATTGACTTTCGACAATCGCGCGCGCCTCGTCCAGCGGCTTGTCCCACTCGCTGCTCGACTCGCGGAGACTACCATCCTTAGGATCGTAGGTGTATCGCCACTGTCCCTTGTGGATGTTGGGGACAATCTCCGGTCGAGGGAAGAAGAGACCCAGTTTGATGGGGTCGGAAGCCGATTTCTGGCCCAACGGAGCGGTCTGCAGGGTGTACTTGTCAAAGTTCGCCCACGGATCGGCAGCGCTGCCGCCCAACTTCTCGTTGATCGCATCGCGGACCAGCTCACGCGCCAGACCGCCGTTCTTGTAGCACAGCATGAACATGTAGAGACCCGGCGTGGTCGGGTGGTCGAAGAAATGCGTCGCCGGGTCGGGCTTGTAGCTGGGAGTCGACATGAGGAACGTGGTCGAAGTTCCCAAAGAGACCATGGCGTCCGAGGGTCTCAGGGGCAAGGCCAGGATCGTGGCCGGGTTGTCACCGGTCGACGGGACCACGGTACAGTCCAGAGCGAACCCATATCGCTCGACGAAGTACCGATCGATTTTACCCAGACGGATGCCTCCGTCCTCGGGCACATCGCCCAGTTTCCGCTTCAGATCCTCCACGCCAAAGGGGCCGGAGCAGAGCTTCAACAGCCGATCGTCATATGCGGCCTTTTGAATGTTCCATAGGTTCATACCACACGCATCCGAGATATCCAGCGGAGCAATGCGGCCCAGCAGCAAGGATGCCAGGAAGGAGGATACCAGCGAAATGCGCGCCGTCCGCTTGTACACGTCGGGGTATTTTCGCTGGAAGCGGAGAATCTGGGGACCTGTGAATCTCTAGAGTTTCGCCACCCCACTTCGTTAGCCAAAGGGGTCCAAAATCCCAGAGAGTGCTCCGCACACCGCCAGTATTACGAGAATCAAACAAATCACCAAACCGAAAAGGGGAATAGGTGAAAAGGAGGGGGACGTACATGATGAGCCTTACTTCCCGTCGCATCCGCCAATTGCTCTTGGCCGCCCAGGTAGGCATCGAACTCGTCACATTCCTTCTGCGTGCTCGAATCCTGCCAATTGGGGCTATACGGGTGCGAGAAGGCTCCACTCAGCTGCTCCTCCAGCGACTTGTTCGCGTCCAGGGTCTTGAGCAACACCTCAGCGTTCTCTCCCCAGTAGACGCTGCCGTGCTGCTGGCCGGCACCGCTAATACCCTTGACGCGACTGAAGTCGAGTCCCTGCTTGCGCAGACCTTCCAGCACACCGTCCAGAGCCTGGAGCCATAATGCCACGGGGGCAAACACCTCGTGTTCGGCCTCGTTGGTCTGAACGCCCTTCTTGATGGGGAAGCCGCGGGAGTCGGCGTCGAAGTCGAATTTCGACACGTAGACGACCTTCAGGTCGGAATTGACCACCAGGCCTTTCAGTTGCTGGGTCGAGAGATCGAACCCAATGTACAAGGGGCCTTGCATGGTCGCAGGGCGAAGATGGGAATGTTTCGTGGTGGTGGCGAGAAACAATGGGAAATGACGTCGATAAGGTGGTTTACTGATAAGCCTGGAGTGGGAAGAGGAAGAGGGAGGAAGAGCGAATATAAGGGGAAGAAGACGGGGTGGGATGAAGTAAGAACTACCAGTTTCCGAACCGGAATTAGACTGAAGTCCAAGGAAACAAAGGAAGCAAAGGTTCCACCGCTACGGAGGTCCAGAGATTTATACAATTGGGGGGAGGATTGTCATCCTTTGCCCCTACGGAGTACTACAATGTACACTTGTACACCGAAAAGTTATTTATCCCTGTGCTCGGGAAATAAACATGATAGATAGGAAATAGATTAAGGAGGGTGACTGAAGATTCGTGATTAGCTCTTAGACATAATAGCTAAATTACCGAAGGTCTTCCTAAAAAATTTTTGATTCTAGCGCTGAACCAAGACATCGTGAGAAATCCTTAAAAGAGACGAGGATGACTGCGCAGTGATGTCAGCTGCTGGGTAAATACCGTACGCAGTCTGTCGCCCCAGAAGGACTCGGATTACGCCTACCATACGTAAGATACAGTCAAATACGGATGACTAACCGGTCGGGTGTCCCCCGCCGCCGGGAATTTACCCGGTTAATCTGGGCAAAGAAATTCTTCCTTTTTACCAGAAGGTCCAGGGTTGAAGGCACCAGGACGGTCTAGAACTCAAGATGCATTGTCAGAAGGGCAAGAAACCCCGAGCGCATTATTCTAGAAGTCTGCACACCCAACAGCGACGGCCGCTAAAATTATCCTAGACCGATGTCGACAGGCATCACCAGACTAATGTCGAAGATCATAGTTCCACGCTTGGCGGACGGTCTCGGCTGTTTGCGATGCTCAGATGACTGCTGTCTGTCTAGAATCTAGTCTGTATGTACATGAAACAACAGTCCGTAGTTCGTTACAAGGGCCAGTCTAGCCCAGCCTAGATCCGGTGGCCAAACCCCAGACTTTGTCCCGTTCTCTCCGCATTTCACGGCGTCCGGAATAATGTCTCCTAACGCCCGTGCTCAGGACTAGTCGTCCTCTCGCCAGCAGACGAACTGAAGTCTCCTCAATTCCGTTCCATTCCGGGGGTATCACATGCCTGATCCCGTGGATGAAGGGTCCGAAGATACACGATGGTGGGAAATCGATAGTCAATAAACACATGGTGAAGCCTCGAAAAGACCCTGTACATCGGTGGGAATTCAAAAATCACAAAGTAGATAGAAAACATAGAAAATCGATCATGATCAAGGGAGCCTCTATTTTTAACGTCTCTTGCGGGCGGAGTGTTCATGCTTATGCTCATGCTCGTGCTCATGTCCATGCTCGTGGTGCGCATGCGCCTCGCATTCCGCCTCCACGTCCTCCTCCTTGGGTTCGGGGTTGGCTTGCGAGGAAACATCTGACGTAATAAATTCCTCCGAGAAGGTCAACTCCTCGTACTCCAAAGGCACAAAGCGAACCTTGACTCGCTTGACGCCGCGGACGCCCGTGCCGATGGCCGCTCGGACCGCCTCCTCGATCTCCCGCGAACGGCTGATCGGCCATGCGCCAGGCACCGCCAGTTCCACGTCCATCAGATAGTTCTGTCCCGATTTCATACCCTGGACATCGCGCACCTTGATCGCGTCGCCGTCCTTCATTTTAGCCAGCATCTTGGACGCCGCCTTGGACACGGATTCCTTGATGTCCTCGTCGACGGCGGTGTCGGCCAACTCCAGCAGCGACGTGGCAGTGTTCCCCCATCCGGCTTTAATGACCATCAGCGAGATAAGCAGTCCGCCCACGGGGTCGAGCCACGAAGCGTTCTGGAAGAAATAGGTTCCGCCGATGGTGAACAAGGCGACGATACTCGTGAGCGAGTCGATGCGGTGGTGGACTGCGTTCGAGGCCAGGACCGACGATTTCCGTTCGTTGGCAACTTTCATCGCTATTGGGTTGATTCAATCGTTAGTATTTGTCCAGCACAGAACAAGATAGAATAGAATCGACACCTCGAAACTATAGAAATTTGAAATTTGAACAAAGAAAAGTAGGGATACTCACTGGCGTGGTAAAGCCATTCTTTCACAACGATAGACCCGGCAGCCAGCCACGCGGCGTGAATGCTAGGCCCGAGAACCTCGACTCCGTGACTGTGCGAATGCCCATGTCCCGCAACTCCCAGGTGGGAGATTACGTGGGCGGCTTCAGGGTAAAATTGATCCAACAAGACCTGCCCGGAATTCAAGCCCATGAAAACTCCACCGCAAAGCAACAATCCGCTCACGCCCAGCGCGCCGATACTCTCGATCTTCCCGTAGCCGTTCGGGAACCGCTCGGTCGGGGGTTTGAGCGACCAGGCCACCGTCCCCAACGTCAGGAAATCCGACACGAGATCAGTAAGGGCATGGTATGCATCGGCGATCAGGGCCTGCGAATGGAAGACGTAGCCGCCCACGAATTTGCCAATGGCCATGGCGAGATTGGCAACCAGGCCAAGTCGCGTGATCCGAACGCCGGCATCGTGCTTATTCGTGGAAGTCAGGTAAACATTTCCGTGATGGTGGTGGTGGTGGCCGTGACCATGGCCACCGTGGCCACCGTGGTCTCTTGTTTGTGTAGTCGCCATGGGGAGTAATACTGGCAAGGGGATTGGGGTGGTGGTGGTTGCAGGAGAGGTTATGACGGGGCGGACATTGGCGGGCGCAAGGCCGTTCTTATGATGGCGGAGGGGGGCGGAGGTCGAGGTGCGCAGAACACGGAGCTGCGGCGGAGGAAAAGGAAAAAGCGCGGGTCGCCCTTGTCGAGACTTCAAGATGGAACGACGGAGGACTGAATGTGATGATAGCGTTGGTGATGGATGGGCCCTGCACCGCAGGGGCTGCGTCAGCGGCATCAGGCCGGGTACGTAAGGGCTAAAATGGGCGAAATGGGCGACGTTTCGTTAGCGGATCGATAGTCTAGTGGCTGCCGGGATTATCGGGACACTCTGTTCTTTTGGGCTGACTGGGGGCAGAATAATAACGAGGCCATTCCATGCCTCAGTTCCCAGAAGGGTCGTGGAAGGAGAAGAGGAACAGGAAATGAAGCTCTCGTGGGAGAATCACCGCAATGATATAATCAACTCCGGCAGAGGCGATCCCGACATGCGCTGACGACCTGTTCGGCTCCGACCCGCCGTCTTCCTCCGATGGCATCATTCGGCTTGCTCTGGACGGTGTACAAGTGTAGACATTCTTGTCCTATCGTGAAGGGGCCATTACTCAGACTCTTAGGGCTTCTTCCCCAATCCGGAGTTCTTTCCGCTATCAATCTATTCTCAATCAGGCACTCCCTCATCCCCCATGGTTGTTTCATCAACTCTCCTTCAAAGGCTTGGCTTGTCACTTTTAGGCTCCAAAATACGTATACTCCACCACCACCTTACTTCATTTCCTCTCCACCAACACTTCAATTGCACGAAACAGACATATCCATGCCTAGCCCAGTCGTAGATAAAGTGCCTGGCTAACGGCATTTCTCCTATCGGGATTGCCCCCGGCGAAGGTACGTACAGCCTTGTCGTCAGCCAACTCTTGGCAGGTCCCGCTCGTCTCCATTTGCTTGTTCGGTGGGTTTCGGCTGGGCTGGCCTTATTTTTAACATTAATTCGGCCTGAAGAACGCTTGCATCCGAATCTTGGTTGCTAAGTGATTTTACCATATGCCTCTAAGACAATACTTCGTAGCAGTCCCACGGAAGGTCTAATAATATGAAGAAGTATGTCTGTATCGCTCGCTCGTCCGGTCTTCCACCAGGCCCTTGTCGCTGCCTTGGCCCTCAACTACACAAACAACGCCTGGTACATAAACCCTACTCTTGTATAGACAATGTTGAATGATGTTTCGATCATGTAGACTGCCTCTGTGCTCGCAAGGGAACTCCCCTCATCCCATTTCGGCGCCAGATTCCAGACTGCTTCTTCCCGACACCGACTGCTAACCCTAACACAACATGCCAAATGCAGTCCTCTACTCTGTCGAAGCCACGCCCAATCGCTTGCATGGAGTTGTACAAGCCTCGCTTTAAAGACCAATTCTCGCTCCTTCGATTCTTCTATCCTACAAGTACCTCAATCTCAAGCCACCCACCTACCCATTTGACGTTCTCTTGCAGGCACTTCTCTCATCAAATCCCCTTCTCTAGCTAGCTAATCGATCAGCATGAGCAACGCAATCATGGCCACCGACAACAGGCTGACGGACTTCCGTCTTGATATCTTCGGCCAAATCCCCGCTCTCAGGAGCTATACCAACATCTCTGGTATCTACTCCGTCCCTGATGCCTCCTTCAAGCCGGCTATTATCGACACTCTCTCCAGAGGCCTTGAACGCCTGACCGCCAGCTTTCCCTGGGTGGCAGGTCGCGTCGTTGTCGAAGGCAGCACAGAGGGTAACACGGGGGTTTGCAAGATCAAACTGTTTGCCAAAATGCCACCCCTCCTGGCTGTGAGAGACTACCAGGATGAGTCTTCGACGCTGTCCATGGAGTGTCTGCGAGATGCCCAGTTCCCCCTGAGCATGCTGGACGAATCCCTCGTCGCCCCTATCAGCACCTTACCGGCGGAGACTGACTTTCCTAATGGACGTCCTGTCTTCCTGGTCCAAGCTACTTTCATCCCTGGCGGTTTAGTCCTGACCTTTGTCGGCGAGCATCGTGCAATGGACATTGCCGGACAGAACCAGCTCATCTATCTGCTCTCCAAAGCCTGTGGTGACGAGCCATTCTCGTCCGAAGAGCTCTCCATCGGCAACATGCCCCGTCACAACATCATCCCTCCTCTCGAGGACCACGATGCTGAATCCCACTTTCCAGACCACCTCCCCCCTAGCGCCCCAGCCAAACATCAACAAGCACAAGCTCCTCCCTCCACCTGGGCCTGCTTCCACTTCTCCTCCTCCTCCCTCTCCGCCCTCAAATCCCTCGCCAACGAATCCCTCCTCACCTCGTACATCTCCACCGATGATGCCCTCAGCGCTTTCATCTGGCAATCCATCCTACGCGTCCGTGTCCCGCGCATCCCATCCTTCTCGGCCTTCTCCTCCTTATCTTCCTCATTATCATCCACCCTCCTCCGCGCCGTCGACCTCCGCCCCTGCCTCGCCATCCCGCCAACCTACCCAGGCGTCCTCATGATGGTAACACCCGCAAGAAGCCCCCTGCACCAAAAAATCCCTCTAGGCCACACAGCATCCCTCCTGCGCACAAACATCCATCCCGACAAACTTTCCACCGCGGCACGCACCTTCGCCACCACCCTGCACCACACGCCCGATAAGCGCATAGTGCCGTTCGCGCCGAACATGAACCCGTCCACGAACGTCATGTTCAGCTCCTGGTCCAAGGTCGGGCTCTATGCGCTCCACTTCCATCTTGGGTTAGGGTGTCCTGAGGCTGTGCGGAGGCCGAGGCTCTTCCCTGTTGAGGGGTTGGTGTATGCCATGCCGAGGGACAGGGAGGGCGGGATTGTGGTGGAGGTTTGTTTGAGGGATGAGGATTTGGGGAGGTTAAGGTCTGACAAGGAGTTCGGGACGTTTGCGACGTATATTGGATAGGGGAGGGCCTGTAGATAGGTGAATTAGGGCGAGAGGGGAGCTGAGAAGAATCGTCCAAGGTAGTTGATATGGTGGATTCTGGGAGGAGATGGGATACACAACAAGTCCAAATAGATTCAAGCTAAAGATTGAATTCAAGAAATGGGGAAATGAAGAGAGAAAAAGGTAACGTGACTTGGTACATACCTACTACCATACCCAGTAATTCACTACCTTACCTACTTCCATTCTTTCACCCTGACCCCGGGCAGCCCGGTTGAGTATGAAACTGTTGACTTACTATTGACAACCTCATTCATCACTCCCCACGCGTTTCTGACAGGTCCAAGTCACGGAACGATTGGTCCTCTTCTGGAAATGGATTTTCGCGATTCGCCATCCAGGGGAAGCTGGTCGTTTCATTGGTCTGTGGGTTTCGCCCTCTACTAGGGTACCATGATAAGGATAAGTTTGAACCTTATATTAGCTTAAGCTTAAATTCTAGTACGTGAATGTCATTATTCACTCTAATTGAGATCGTAAATTTGGGGTTTGGGTTAGGGTGGGGATCCGGGGTTATTGAATGCATGAACTTACCTACCTAATGATTGAGATGACTGCGTAAGGGCAATACATCCTTCCTGGATTTAGATGCATTGAAAGGCCATGGCTTGGTACATAATTGCACTTCAGGCTTTCTCACCGTCATATTTGCTCTCTGTACTCTCTCTGATGTATTCTCAGTTCAATAGGATATAATTCAATCAGAGCTACAACTTTATGTATCCAGTTACGCTTTACACAAATACTCAATCAACATCTATATGTGCAATGGTCGAAATAATTCTATCGTAACGTATATACATGCATAACATAAGGCATAGCAGTACATCCTAGTTTGTTCTAGGGTGAAAGGAAATCCCTTTTGCTTCCCAAGGTCGTGGCTCAAAACAACAGAGGACGAAGGGATAAGCAGGCACGGGGTATATCTCTTTGATCATAACTCCATGATGTATTGAATACATTCCGTGGTATAATAATGCTGTAGTTGAGGGGGGCAAGAGGGACCTCGGATCGTGAATCTGGAAGATATTCGATGCAAGTCCATTTCCCCCTGGTGAATTAGACAGGCGGCAGTATCTGTCCACCCGCGCCCGATAAGACCAATGGGTCTAAACAAGCGAGCTTCAGCCAAAGAAAATCAAATCTCTCCTAAGGCTCAATGCTAGGCTTGCTAACTCTCCGACCATTGTTCTCCTTTCGTTCGGCAGCGAGCGCCTGCGCAAACTTACTGCGGGCACGAACCTGCGGTCCTTTCCAATAGAAGATGTAGATGGGCAAGACGACCAGACATGACAAACACGCCAGCACAGTACTAGCATACTCCACATGGAACTTGTCGCCAATATTGGAGTACATGGGCGTGGCGTACATGGCTGAGATACCAGCTAAAAAGTCTCGAGCGAAGGCATTGCCACCACACGCCGACGCTGAATACACACCGTAGGAAGCAATCATGTAGTCGACCGAGGAAAGATAGATGGCGTAGTTAGCAATACCGACGCAAGTGGAGAAAATCATGGTGCCGATCCAGTGAACATTGTATTCCTGGCCGAGAGAGGTCCAAGCAAAGCCCATTAGGCCGATAGGCTCCAAGGGGGCCAAGAACAGCAGCCATTTGAGACGACGCTCGGGAGGAAGCGCATCATCACCTTCGCGCTGCCGGATGCGTTGATCGCGCCAGAACCATGGGAAGTAGGAGAAGTATGCAATGACGTATGCCAGGTTGATAGGAATAAAAGCCCAAGCTCGGGCAAGCGTTCCGAAACCCCATCCTTGCTCGTAGACGAGGGTGAAACTCTCCAGGAAAATAAAGATCAGAGCGTCCGAAAATCCGGAGAGCAGAGAAAGACTGAGCACGATAGGCTCGCGAAACAGCATGTGGAAGGGTCGCACCAAGATGACGCCGGTCTCCTTGAGAGAAACGCGGGGCTTCTTCAGCTCGTTGGGTCCGTAGCAGTTAGGGTCTTCGCCCGTTTTGCGGCGTCGCTTGGCTTCCCGATCGATTAGGATAGTGGAACGGCTCTCGGGCATGAAGAAAATGATAGCCTGGGTGACACCTCCGAAAATGAGCTGGATCCAGAAGAACCAGCGCCATCCGAGGACTGAATTCCACGCGTTAGTACGCATTCCTTCGTTGAGCATGCGAAAAGAGACTTGGGACTTACAACGAGCGATAGGACCACCGATAATTCCACCGATACTAGTGCCAATGCAGGAAGATAAGACAATGAATGCGAGGGGGAACTGCTGCGTCTCAGGCTCGTAGATATCGGCAACTAGACCGAGAGTCACACTACCACCTGCAGTAGAGACACCGCCCTACATTGTGTCAGTTCATGGAGAATGTCTCGGAATGCTTTCATGGAATGTAACCCGAAAGGGGAGATAGGGATGTCCAAACATACCAGTGCACGAGCGACGATGATGGTGCCCCAGTTCGGGGCTAGGGCAGCGGGGATTTGCCAGATGTTGATGAGAAACATCGAGAGCTGGAGGATGGGCCAACGACCGAATTCCTCACTCCATGGCGCCCACAATTCACATCCAAAGGAATATGTCACCAAGTAGATCATCTGTCCGACTCGGGACTTCTGCTCGCTGATGCCCCAGGCTTCGGCAATGGGGGACACGGCATTGGGAAAGACGGAGGTGTTGAAGTTCATGGACACCTGGACGAATGCGACAGCCGCCAGGTATGTCCATTTCTTCCATCGGGGCCAGCAGTAGCCCAGCTTGTCGTAGCACTCATATTCCTTTAATTCCCGTTTTTCGGACGGGTCTCTCGAGTCGGGGGAGCCGAGGGTTTCCTTTGCCAGGGGACCATTCAGAACGTCAGATCCACCGCTGCGTCGACTCTCTCTGCCCTTTTCAGACAGAGAGGACGGTCGCCCGGGGTTGCCGTCTGCTAGTTGAGCGTTTGTGACTTCGTGATGCGCGGCCTCGGTCATGATCGCGCGGGGAAGATGAACAGAAGACTCGACCTGGGGTAGAAAAAAGAAAATTTTCACAAGATTCTATCAATTCCTTATAGATATGTCGGCGAAGGTCAGACCATTTTCGTCATTCCTGGCAAACCGGTTTTAGGTACTCCACCCATGTATACCTCCTCTGAGGGTCCGACCCACTCCGAAAGAGAAAATGCAAACTAGTATGCGTGCGCACGTGCAGTGCTGGTCTTTGACTTCCCCCTTCCCTCGACCACTTCTTTCAGGGACCACGAATGTCGTGTCATTGCCATCGACAATTGCCAGCCACCCTGATGGCTCTTCACGGAGGATCCATGTCTTTCGCGATATCACCTTCTACTATCCTCAACCGTATCAACCTCATTAAGCAGTTCGAGAGCTCCACGAGTTCTTATTGGCACTGGCGTGATCCACTTCAACGGGTGTGACGTCAATGAAGGAACGCGCTCTGGACTCTTACGTCGATCCCGGCGACATGGATGGCTGCGAATGGAAGAAGAAGGTAGATCCGCTCGGAGGGGGGCCACTATCTTAATCTTAGCGCTTTCTCTCACCACTCAACATTGCAACTCGGTCGGACGACAATTTCCAATTCGACCGTTCTCGTTTCCACCCCTTGTTTGTTCCCAAGGGTCGGTCTGCCTCCCTGGGGCCCCGAGTCAAAGTGGCTGACTTGTCCAATTCCGACCCGGGGTTCAGGGCATGTTGAATGTACTAGAATTTGTCCTTCAAGCCGCGGTTAGACTAAGCACACCGCGGCGGAAAGGTTAAGGCGCCACCAAGAGAAAAACTCTAATCAAGACTTTTTTTCCTTCCGCTCCCTTGTGCTTGGCTGCTTGGCCGCCTGGCTTGACATCATATGTCTCGAGCCATTATGATTGCGCGTGGAACGATCCATGGTTTTCTATTGTCGGTGAAGTGCATCGGATCCGACATTCGATACTAGGTTTCTGTGGAAGTAACAAATCCGTGGCCGCTTATCGGTTCGGTTCTATGGACATTGAAAGGATCGCTCTAGTGTGAGATTATCGAACTTTCCTGTAGATGCTAGATGCTAGGAGCAACTAGCCCGAGTCATGCGTAGACCCGAGTACGACAGTATTTGCCTAAGCGTCATCGTGCATCGAGACAGCTGAGGCTCGGAACGATCGCTCAGCTCTCGGCAGCGTCATCGGTACATGCAGTCGACGTGGGTATCGGACGGATCCCTGACTCCATTGCTCGGTGTTCGCCATTCAATCTCCATCGAATTCCACCTGGATTGCATACCGAGACATACGGAGAAGCATGGAGAGTTGGGGGTAGAGAACCGACCTCCACAATGCCACACTTAGCGCACTTTCTTTGTCGCGAGCGACGCGAGGCTTGTCATGGGACTTCCAACTTGGCGTTCTTACAACAGGTTTGAATTTTGATAGATTGAATTTGCCATTGCATGCGAGACAACCGACGTGTGCAGATTCGATGGAAGTCGTGTGGTTGTTGCCAGCTCATCCGTGACTCTCGGCAGCCGCGTTCTTCCCTGTCGGCTCCCCGACTTTTGCATCGGTTGCACGCCACGGTCACATGAGTTGGCATCGGTCTCGTCCCTAGTCGACTCGGATGCGGAATAGAACGCTCTGCATCAAGAACGGCAATTTGTTGTCTTGGTTCACCTCGTATCTCTTCGGCCGCGCCTGTCCACTAGGTCTCTGCATAGTCATGGAATGTCGCAAATTGTATATGCAAGGGCCTACGTCCGGTGGGTTTTAATCTCCGCCAGAACGCTGTGAGCATTTCTGCTTTCCCGTGAGAGGCATTAACAATTCATGGTGTGTAAGGGGTTGCAATTGCATCGCATTATTCTCGGGATGAGCCTCCTGCATGCAGAACTCGGATGGCAAAAAAAGCCGCTCAGGAACCGAACCAGAAGTTCTAGAGCTTCGGGTGGGTGGGCTTCGACTGGAGACCAACTACCCATGTTCGAAACCATTGGCACACACGCCTATCGCAGTTGTTGTTACTTGATGTCTTCGGAGTATCAATTCCCTGCTGCCTGGTTGTCTCGTCGGTTTTACTTTTCCGCCACGAGCCCACAACGCACTCAGCGCCACCAAAGGCCACAGCCATTGCTGGATTAAACGAGTGGCCCTCTCTTTCTCGAAAGAGCCATCTTCGACCATACAGATTAGTAGTCCGGTGGATCCTAAACGGGCAGGTCGGGCGCAATCAGATATCAAGGTAAAATTCTCCGCGCATCACACAATCGGCCGATGATATCATAGATCTCCATACGATCGACCAGGCGCAGCAGTCACCTCTGATTCTGCAACGAGCAACCGAAGAAAGACCGTGTAGCCCCCGGAACTCCCCACTACACAGTACACTCTACATTGGACTACGCCTGCAGACGTACCACTTTGTGATAACAGTTCGGCACCCTGTCATGCGGAGAAAAAAGGGAGAATGCATCAGCCAAGTCTCGCCTGTACTCTACTCCGTACAGGACAGCCTCTTCCACAAGCAGTAGTGATGTCGAACAGGTTGTCATGCACTATGGATCCCTACAGGTCCGCCCGTACACACACTTTCCGTGCACGATCGATGCTTCCACTGTACTGTGTAGAAACTAGTGTCAAGTGTCAACACCGTAAGGTTAGGCTCTCCACACCGTAGCCGTCCTCTCTCCCCATGGCAACCGGGGCCCGCGGCAGGGTGAGGGACAGAAACAAGTTAACAACAGGTACACGCTGGAGAAAAAAGGGCATGAACAAAAAGCAAAAGAAGCAAAAAAGGAACATCTGGCGCTGGCCGGAATCGAACCGGCGCTGGCACGGCCACAACGTAACGTCCTACCACTAGACCACAGCACCAAAGGTGAAAGATGTTCAGAAAAAGCTGGCGCTGGCCGGAATCGAACCGGCGCTGGCACGGCCACAACGTGACGTCCTACCACTAGACCACAGCACCTTTTTCTTAAAATAGAAACTAAAACTTTGAGCACATGAGCTTAGATCACATTTGTTGCAAAACGGCCGCTAGTGGTTTGGGATGGTTGTCATGTTGTAGATGGATTATGTCTTGGACTCTACTCTACCCTGTTCGGTTTTATTGGTGTTATTACCTTGGAATTGGTACTCAGTGATCTGTCAAAAGTAACGATAACGTCTTAACTATACTTTGACTGTGGTTCAACATGGAACTGTTTCTGGGTAATGCTGTTGTTGAGATATATAGTTCCGGCAAGGATAACCACGCAGGTTTAAATCGAGACCCAACGCATACTTTTTCAATTCGCGAACCATAACACCCCAGCATATCACCAAGGAGCAATACGCACTGTCCACTAGAACCCCTCTGCCATGCCCTGTACCAACTTATCCTGCATGTCGCAGAAGATATTCACAGCCTAACATGTCATAATGGAGTATTAGCAGCGGACCCAGAAAAAACACCATACCCCACATACCTGAGTGAGCTTCTCCTCGCTTGCTCCATGCAAGTCCCGAGTGAACGCAAGCCGGTAAGCCGACTCGTCGTTAATATATGATAGATCGGAGGCAGGAGTAATGGTCGGGACATTGGTGTCGAATAAAGACTGCACGCCAGGGACGGAATCCGACTGCGAGAGCTCCTCCAGGTGTCCCGGAGCAATAGTAATATGCTGCACGCCAGCGAGGGCAAAAATTTCATTCGTCGAGGTCAAGCTGGCAGGTAGAACCTGCGTCTTAGCCTGGATGGAGTCGTAGTATTTCTGGATCAAGACACAGAGAGGAAGCAATTTGTTCGGGTCGGTGAATCTGGACAGATGTGAGCATAACACTGCGTGAGGGGCCCAGTGTAGCATACCCTGGCTCGAAGTGGACTTTCAATTGATTGACATAGGGTGCGACATAGGTGCATCCTACTTCAGCGGCCAAAACGGCCTGTGCCATTGTGAAAAGAGTAGTGGCCAAGGTTCGGACACCTGCCTGCTCGAGGGCTCGACAGGCCAGCATGCCCTCCCATGTGCTAGGAATTTTGATGCAGATTCGAGATTGCTCGAATCCTGGGTGGAAGTGTTGGAAGAGCTGCACGATTCCTGGTTACGTCAAACTGATCAGTGCTGCTGTTCCCACTACCAAAATAGATACACAGTCCACAGTGGTGCCTCACTCAAAGCGTTTACAATGGTCTTCTCGGTTGAGTAAGAGTAGTACGAATTGGTCTGGATATGGACGTGCCCACGGATATGAGGTGCGATCTTCAACGCCAATTTGACCATCTATATCATACCCTGTGAGCATCAACGAGAACAGCCCCAATTGGAAGATAAATACCGCTATCTCTACTGCCAACTCCTCAGCACCCAGGCCTGGAAACCTGGAAAGCAGAGCCTTCGCGTCTGTGACCGAGGCAAAAATCAAATCAGCATGCTCGGGTTTGCTGAGTTCGCCATATGCGATCGCCTGACAATATTAGGATGCCAACTTCCTACAGCGGCGCTTAGTGAGTACCGACCTGATTGGAAGTGCAATCCTGGAATGGGCCCAGCTTCTTAGCAACTACGAAAAGTAATAGTAAGTATAGGATATTGATTTGATGCAGAACGAGGTAGTACCCTGTTCATCCATAGTATCGCAGTCAACAATGGTCCTCGTGCGGAGAACATCCAGTCCGGATTGAGAAGTCATTGCTGACTGGCGATTTGAGTAGTTCCTAGATATGAGTAGAGATGGATAGTGATGGTAAAGAATCACGCTCGATGGTTTGGAGATGACATGGGAAAAGGGAGATTAACAAAGAAGATGTCCTGGTAGATGGATAAGATAACCTTTCCCCTCCCCCTCACCCTAGCCTAAGATATTAGCCTAATATACCTCTCGGAAAGTATGCCGGGCTCTGGATCGTAGTTTTGTTTTACAGCGTCCTCGGACCGAAGTTGGATGCTAATTCCATGCACCGGCCACCGATACTAAGGAATCGCAGTTGTGATTTCCTGCGGACCGATCAGGAGCAAAAAGGATTTGGTAGCTTCCATGAAGTCACAGCTCCGAAATATTCACAGTTCCGTGGGTTCCCGCGCGTAACAATACTCGGTGTAGGCGCTGACCCTTGCCGAAGGGCCTGGGATAAACACGCCCATACTTGGGACTCCAACAAGGCAGTTTAATATGCCTCATCAATTGATTAAGCGACTCAGGCGGACTCAGATAGACACCATAGAACTGCGTGTCAACAGAGATGGGCTGGTGACAACACTACCCTTACGCCAAAGCATTCTACAAAATGATATCCGAAGACATACGTGAATGTAACCCTGATATGAAACCCATCAGTCCCATGGACAGAGAAGAACGGGCGATTAACGACGGGTGAAGGTCCTTCTCCGGTATCTCATAAACCTCGGCGATCGCGACAGAATGCCGAAACCAGTGAGGCTTTGCTAAACACGTCAACATCATCCCAAAGGAAGTGGTAGACAACGTGGGCGGAGACCCGTGGAGAGGAAGAGAGAAGAAGGAAGGGAAAGAAAAGGGAAAGACACAAATAAAAAGAGCGAGAGAAAAAACCCGGAAGCGGCAAGCGGAAGGGAGATGGAAGAAGAATCTTCCGGCTGGTAATGCAGCCATCCTGATTGGACCAAAGGCCCTCGCAGCTGCCGGTCCCGTGACTGGGGGCTCGCCCGAGGTTGTCCGTCCCGTGATTCCGAAGCGTTACGAGCGTCGGGAATTCGAGGTGACTTTCTTCGTCGATTTGCTGTCTGCATCGTTGAACGGGCTTGCATCTCTCACACACAGACACCATGTTCTCTCAGAAAGTTGCTCAGCAGTCGCTGCGACGGCGTATGTACTTCCTCTACCGTCTGATTTTAATTACTTCCCCTTGCTAATTATCGCAGTCGCCGTCCAGCAGCCCTACGCCATGCGGTGGTCCATGATGAACTCCGCGTCCCCCGCCGCCATCGCCCTTGGAAAGAACATCCAGACGAGGTCAGTTACTGCCTCTGGGAATCTGCGGTTGAAGAATTGAGCTTGGGTTTGACCGGGGGTTCCGCGATAAACCATCGCTACGTCATGCATACGACTGGTGTTACAAGTCCTGAACCATGCTGGCGACGAGGATCGCTATATCTCCGTCATATAACTATCGCTGTCCATGGTTGCTAACCTTAGATTATATAGATACACTGCCTCCACTACGAACACCTCCGACCCTACCAAGATCCTTGAACAGCAGCGATTGAACCGCCCCGTCGCCCCTCATCTTTCTATCTACCGTCCCCAGATCACCTGGTACGCCAGTGCTTTCAACCGTGTCACTGGTGTCGCTTTGTCGGGAGGCCTGTACCTGTTCGCGACCGCTTATCTCGCTGCTCCGCTGCTTGGGTGGCACCTGGAATCGCCTTCTCTGGTCGCAGCTTTCGCCGCTCTTCCCATCGTCGCCAAGGTCGCCATCAAGGGTACTGTGGCTTTCCCCTTCACTTTCCACTGCATGAACGGTGTGCGTCACTTGGTCTGGGACCTTGGTCGCGGTATTACCAACCAGCAGGTCATCAGGTCTGGCTGGACTGTGGTGGGCTTGAGTGTCGCTAGCGCTCTCTTCCTTGCTTTTTACTGATTGTTTCTGTGCCATACCTTTGAGTTCTGTGATTTTTTAAAACCATGTTCTTTGTGCAATATTATTATTCATACCGGTCAATTGAGACTGCTTTTTCTTTTTGGAACTGATCACCATCATGCCTTTTTGCGCTTTGAATAAGATATTGCCAGGGAACCCTTGCGCGCCCCCTGGAACTCAACTGCAGGACTGCAGGATGTAGGGAGTCCCGCCATGCAGCGGCCTTCAATCAGGTGGGGATGAGTACATACAAGATGTCGACTGTTTGATACGCTCCATTGCAGCTCTTCAATACTTCCATTACAAGCATGCTCTGAGAGAATTGCTTTGGCAGATCAAAGAATTCGATAAATTTGTTGATTATCGGTGGCTCAAGGGAAGCCAATCAGCAAATCCCGAAACTACCCCTGATATGTGAAATGAAAAGTTTACAATCTTGACTCGCAACCGCCAACTCCTCCCAAATCATCGCCCAGAAAACATTCTATCAATTATCTTCGTTCGCAGTTCGCCACCCTAACCACAGCCCGGCCCCGTTTGCTGGCCAAGATCTTTATTCTCACAGGTTTCCTCATTGGTCCCCATCATTGTACAGATTGTCATCGAGTGGCATCTGGGGGTGATCTGTACTTACTCGTCAGCCTTCGTGCTCCGAGCTCCTGTGATCAGACATCGGCAGGAGAAACCACGATGTTGCCTCATGTTTGCGCCAAGGAAGTTATGCCCAAATCAAGGGTGAACGGATAAGCTTACTGATTTCACAAATCTATCTTCGAACAGTCGCTCGGTCCGCTCGATGGAATCAAGCCGGGCTTGGAGGCGGGTTAGGAGGAATTGGCCTTGGAGAAGGTGGGTCGTGTGAGCAGTCCAGTTGAGTGAGCTTTTCGCTGCTGATATGGCTCCCTTGAGGGATGTTCTCGAAGCGGTGGGAGGTGCGAGTCATGTTGCTCAGGACCCAGGCCATTCTGTCCTTGTTGAAGAGAGCTGACCAGCGTGGTAGATCTTGAGAAATGGAAGATGAATATGGAAAGGAGGATTCTTTGGGTTCTTTCTCTGAGTTCAATGGAAGAAACTTGAATGTATGAGAATGAAGAAGAAAGCAACGACCCTTCATGGGTGGGCTAGCACCAGCTTTTTAAAAGCGACAACCAGGGCAACCTTGGAGCAAGCTGTACACCGCCAGACGTCCATTCCCTCGGGAGAGCATCGTGTTAATGAGACACTCCCGGCATTCTAAGCGTGATCTTCGTGGATATTTTCACACCCAGAAGGATTTTCGGGATCCCCTGCAAGGACCCGACGGAAGTTTGAGGGGCAAGTGTCGGACAGCGTACTAACAGCAATGGTCGACGCTCCGTAAGGATATTGGCTCCTTCGGATGATGGAAAAACGGTCTTCTCGATAGGTCTAACGGCTTTGCATCCGCCTAGTTATAGACCGTCTGTCCAGCCAGTCAAATTGTTCAAACCTGCAGGCTTTTGCAGTAGGTAGGTGACACCCGGGGGTCTCGGACGAAAAACCTCTACGGTTCATTGCAGCAAAATCCGTTGCTGAAACCGTGTCGTTGGCCGGCTTTCAGCTCGCCTACATCGAGGCGAACAAGTTACTAGCCGTAATGATCCCGCACCAAAGCAAACGACAAAGCCCTCTTTCCTCTCTCCAGTAACCGCTCCCTTCTCATTTCCCTCTATGTTTGGCGCTTTGGTGGACCTATCGTCCTCAAACCGGGGAGACGCGTTTGACACCGCAGGCGCTGAGCGCTTTAATTGCCGGAGGACCGAGAGACTATATTCTTAGGAAGCAAACAATGGACAGTGATGCTCATGCTCCTGAGAAATAAGAGCGGTAGGTGTGTAGTAAGTTTACATGCCCTCGGATGTCTATATCTCGCTCCTGGCGGGACATAATTAACTTGTTCCTTTCTGACTACTACATCCAGTCTCATATCCCTTTGTTGATGGTTGTTTGACATTGGAACAATCTTGGTTAGGGTGGCTTCTTCTAGGATATCAGTGCGGTAACCTAAAAGCAAACATATCAACGCCCGGTAAAAGAGTACACAGGGGGGACCTTGCACGACTAATCCAATACTGAGAACATACGGTACAATATTTGAAAATGCACGCCACACGTGGATCTTCGCTAAGTTGGAACCGCGAGGCGGAAAGAAAGAGACAATAAACGGGAGGCAGCTATCCAGACAGCTAAACAATGATCGAACGGCGCAGTAGTCTTGCAGAAATCGCTAAAAAGACCACCGGACTTAGTGGCAAGGATCTAGACATCGGTTGTTTGATGGCTTAACAACTGCCGACAACCGATGCGATCTCTGAGTAGCTTGGCTGCTGTCTATTCCCGTACAGCGCTCAGGTGGACATGGATATACTCTTTGCTATTTTCCCCTTCAGCATCGGCCCGTCCACGGATAACCCTTTACGGAAAGCTGAAAGGCCTGAGCGACCAGCTGAAATTACCCTTGGGAATGGAAAAGCGTTCCGATAAGTACTTCCCATGCTATGATTCCTTCGTCCTTTCCCAACTTAGTACGCTTAGTTTGTTTCCCGCACCTTTTTTCTTGACCAGAGTGGCTTCCATCAAACGAAACTAGCTTGAAGTCATTGGGAGGCAGGGATAATATCCCGACAACCCATGGTTTTTTGATGTTGATCGTCCCAAAGGAACAAAACCCATGGCTTGGCCTGTGCCTTCGTGCAACGCTCGAACGTATAGACCGGGAATTTCTTCAAAATCAGTACGGGTACCGTCGGCGTCCTTTGCGCCGGCAACTATTCCTATAGGGTACATGGATAACAACAGACGGGTAGAAGAAGGAGAATCATGCAATGACAAGGCCATTGCCAATCTGGTTACCATGGGCTATGCGGCATACTGGTGGACTTCTACCCCAACAAGAGATGCTCCATACGTTTCTATTTCCAAATATTACACCCTCCTTGGTAAGACGCCCCCAAGCTCCTGACGTACAAGGCTCCGAATAGCCCGGATACAGAAAAGCGTTCAGCCAGTCTAGCAAACTGCCCGCAGCCCGAATGGAAGGCGGCTGTGTCTCCCACGGAACCCCCAGCCGTTTACTTCGGGGAAAACAGCTGGACAGCGCTTTATCTGGTCTCTGGGAGGTCCTGACAGAACAGTATGAAGATCAAAGGCTATCAAGACGGCAAAGAAATTGAGATACTTAGTATCAAGTCCGTAAGTTCGCCTACAGGGCCAGTGCAACATGAAGGGTACGATAGAGTAGTTGTTTCAAGCCAATCCAATGGTGTCAGCATGCTAGATGAGCAAAGAACGAAGACAGAGAAAGTGTTGGTGCCTGAGGCAGACAGATGTGCCAGACCGCGCTACGACCCGATCGGGACTAGCGCTACATCTCCGAAATCTTCCCAAATCCATCCATCTTCAATTCCACCCGCGGCCGTCGTGAAAAAAGCCCCGGACTGGCGATTTGACACCCTCCTTCTCTCTTCCCCTTTCGCGGCTTCTCGCTTTCCTTCTGCATACACACCATGGCTTCGATGCTCTCGACCCGGGCGGCCAGGACGGTTTCCTGCACTGCCTGCCGCTCTTTCGCCAGGCCCGGTTTTCTCCTCCCCCAGCGTGGACTGTCGACGACCACCGAGCAAACGCCCGCCGACCTCGCAGACAAGCCTCGATGGTCCTACACTCCGCCTCGGGCGCAGGCTCCCTTTAGCTTGCGATTCGATTCCAAGAGACGCGAATTCACCGTCAATTCCGATCCGAAGGTGCTTGATCAATTCTACATCCGCATGCTGGGCAATGACGGCGAGAAGATCCTCTCCGACGAGATCAAATGGCTCGCCGTGACACATAAGAGTTTCGATCAGGGTCGACGAGGCTTCAACGATCGATTGGCTTTCCTGGGTACGTGGCACGCCTGTTCCTCTCCGCGGGTCCAAGCAGCGGTCCGCAGGGACCTCAATCTCAACTTCAACGGGAGCTAATCGAGGCATTGATTTTTACTAGGGAAACGACTCGTTCAGCTACAAGCTTCCCTGGCCTTGGCGCAGAGCCCCGGAAATGCTGCCTCCGCTACCCCTGATGCTCATGGCCGACAACCCTTTTCCCATCCCGCATTGGAAGGCCTGGACAACCTTTCCCACAGCACTAAGAACTTCCTGACGTCGAAGTCGAATCTCGCGGAGCTCGCGCGGAAATATGAGATGGACAAGGTCTTGAGATGGAGCCCCCGGAAGGTGAGAAACCTCCGACTGCTGCATACATTGTTTTGTCGTTTTCTTCATCCCCGGGTGTTGTCCTAGGACATCCAGTTGCACATTCCATGCTAACAGATTTCTCCTCTTCTCTCTAGCCCGACAACCTCCAGACCTCGGGAATCGAACTCGTCCTTGCTCACACCATGTACGCTGTGGTCGGTGCCGTGTCCCTGGAGAAAGGCGGGCACGTTGCCAACCAGGTGGCTCGGGAACGGATACTGGCACCGCTGGGCTTTAACATCACGGCCTAAGACGTGGTGTGATTATTGGGAAATGGCCGCGGGAGCATTTGCAAGGCGTTATTTCCTTTTGCTCTGTTTTCTTTTTTTTGTCTTGGATGTTGTTCTTTGTATGCCTTGGGGGCTTCTCTCTTTTCATCCACCGTACATGTACTTTTACAACGATCTGTGCTATATATTGACTGCAAATACCACCTGGAAGGCTCATTGCCAATTGAAGATATAAATATAATCATAAATATAAATTGATCTATATAGGATGTACGGTTCCTCTGACACCGCCCGGGTAACAGCGCAAAATACCCGGCCAGCTCTTATGGAACCCTCGTTACGATGCATAGTCTCCGCACCTCTGTATCGCAAGTTCCAGTAATAGAAACTAGAGACGAACAGACAGAAAGTCCGACGAATCCAGAAATCACATGGAGTAATTTGTACTGGCTTGCACTGTCTATTGGGAGCGTGGGAGAAAGAAAAGAGAAGAGAGAAGCCGAAGCGAAAAAAAAGCAGAAATAAATATGGTCCTGTCGAGGGCGCTAGACTGCATCGGGGTTGGCGGTGCCGTCTTTCGGGCTAACCAGAATAGGCAAGATAGTGACTTGCGACGACTCCAAAGGAAGTACGACGGCTTCTTCTTTCTCTTCTTCTTCTTCTTCGATTCCATCCGCTCTCCTGTTCCATCTGTCGGGGTTTCGTGCTCGTCACTCCTCCCCGTAAGTTATGTCTGTTTTTGTTGGACCCCGTCGTGCGGGACCAAAAACTAATGCGCAGGGTGCAGCTCCTTTCCTTCTCCCACCCCCACGAGCAGCATGTCCGACTAGTGTGTTTCGTTGGCCTCTCCCCGTCCCAATCCAATCTCGCCCAGGAGCCCGTCCCCGTTGCTACCATACAATTGACACTCACCTGCTTTCCGCCGACCGATCCTACACCATCGTCCCTCCTCGCGCTGCCACCCTCCTCAATCTCCCGCGATGGCCTCCGCCCTCTTCTTCCTCGACCTGAAGGGCAAGGTACGTTGGTGCCCTTCCGCCCGACGTCAAGTTATTTCGACCGCAATTCCCCTGGCCGCTGACCAGCCAAAATAGACCCTTCTGGCCCGAAACTACCGCGGAGACATCCCCATGTCCGCTGTCGAAAAGTTCCCTATCCTCCTCAGTGACGCCGAAGAAGAAAGTTCCGCCGTGCCACCCTGTTTCTCCCACGAGGGCATTAATGTACGTTGGCCCTCCGCGACCTGCATACTTGCTTGTTCTACCTTCCTCGTCCCCGCCTAGCCGCTCCCCGCAGTCCGATTCGCTTTTTCTACTCCCCCCTATTTGCCCTTTGGATACTACGCTTGAGACTGGCTTAGTTCCGCGTATAAGGAGGGGAATGTTTGCACGAAGGGATTTTCGTTGTGCGCGTGCTGATCCTCAATGGGGCCCTTTTTTATAGTACCTTTACATCCGCCACAGTAACCTCTATATCCTCGCGTTGACCAAGAAAAACACCAATGCGACCGAGATCCTTCTTTTCCTCCACAAGATCGTGGAAGTCTTCACGGAATATTTCAAGGTGTTGGAGGAGGAGAGTATTCGCGACAACTTCGTCATTATCTACGAATTGCTCGATGAGATGATGGATTTCGGGTACCCACAGACGACAGAGAGCAAGATATTGCAAGAGTAAGGCGGCCACCGGAATCAGCAGATTGGACGACAAAAGAACGGCTGAGGCTGACATCGGCGCTCAACTAGGTACATCACGCAAGAGTCGCATAAGCTTGAGGTTCAAGCTCGGCCTCCCATCGCCGTCACCAACGCAGTCTCCTGGCGAAGTGAGGGTATCCGCTACCGCAAGAACGAGGTCTTCCTGGACGTTGTCGAATCGCTGAACCTGCTCGTATCGGCCTCCGGAAATGTCCTTCGATCAGAGATTCTGGGTGCCATCAAAATGAAGTGTTACCTGAGTGGTATGCCCGAACTTCGTCTGGGGTTGAACGACAAGGTTATGTTTGAAACAACCGGTCGCGCTACCCGAGGCAAGGCGGTCGAGATGGAGGACGTGAAATTCCACCAGTGTGTTCGTCTTTCTCGATTCGAGAATGACCGAACGATCAGCTTCATCCCGCCGGACGGTGAATTCGAGCTCATGAGCTATCGGTTGAACACGCAGGTGAAGCCTTTGATTTGGGTGGAGTGTCTTGTCGAGTCTCACTCCGGCTCTCGCGTTGAATACATGTTGAAGGTAAACTGCCCCGACCTTTTCCCTTAAACGATGTCCATTGGAATTTCTCACGCCTAACACATTTTCTCCACCAACAGGCCAAGGCTCAATTCAAACGTCGCAGCACGGCAAATAACGTTGAAATCGTCGTCCCTGTCCCGGAAGACGCCGACTCGCCCCGGTTCCGAACCAACATCGGAACCGTCCATTATGCCCCCGAACAGTCTGCCATCGTCTGGAAGATCAAGCAGTTTGGCGGCGGCAAGGAGTTCCTCATGCGCGCCGAGCTCGGGCTCCCCTCCGTTAAGGGCGACGACGAACACGGCGGTGGTATGACCGGTGGATTCGGTGGCAGCATGGGAGGTACTGGATCTGGCAAAGCAAAGAGACCCATTAACGTCAAATTCGAGATCCCCTATTTCACAACGAGTGGTATCCAAGTACGGTATTTGAAGATCACAGAACCTAAGGTATGTCCCCGATCTTTTTCTATCCCGAGTCACTCATCTTACTGATAATGTTTTCTTTTCTAGCTCCAATACCCCTCTCTCCCCTGGGTCCGTTATATCACTCAATCGGGCGACATTGCCGTTCGTATGCCAGATGTACAATGATGTAAAGCGTCGTCTTTTTTCTTGTTTTTCTCTTTCTTATGTAGCTCAATTACCTAGAATTTTTTCCCCCTCTGCTATGGAATTAATCAGCCGTCCACTGCCCCGTCTGCGTTGTGTTATCAACTGTACTGTACAGGAATATCTATCTACCTAGGTGTAGGTAGATTGGCATGTTTGTTTGGTAGCTTCGTACGTCAATATTCAATTTTCATATTTCTAACTCCCTCCCCATTCGCCTTGCCTTCTTTTTCTTCTATTCGCTGCTGCTGTTGTTAGGAAACAGCAAAAGGGTTTCTATTCCTGCCTCTTTCCCGACCATTCCGACCTCTATATTTCTTCTGTCCAACGTGCTCTCTTCCTTTCCCTATTTGGCAATATGGCAGTCTCTGGCAGGCAAGTCTGAATTGCATGATTGCATAGAAACCGATGAACCGTCCCACAATTGCGGCATCCGTTGTAAGTCTCGGTGTCTTTTTTTTCCCTTTCGGTGATATACTATGCTATCTACGATAGGCTTATCAGTGCAAATAGATACATAAGCAATACAGTATATGTCATCCAGTAGATTCAGGTGGGTAGGTGGGATGGATGGATGTATGTGTGTGTGTATGGAGGTAGGTAGGTAGTAGACAGAAAACCACACGTGGGTATCTCAAGATAAAGGTATGAAAGGAGAAAGGAGAAGAAAGGGAAGAAGCAGGAAGGAAGAGAAGACAAGAAGATGAAGGAATGAAAACATGTCACATTATGTGTTGGACCGAGGGAAAAAAAAAAGAGCCATGCACAGGTTATGGCATACAATGAACCAAATAAAAAACGCCGAATTTTCGCTAGATGTCCTCGCAGATAACTGACACCTTGGTAGTGTTGGTGATAGATAGGAGGGATAGATGGTAGGTGATATGGTAATGACATGATATGAAAATGCTCAATTGTTAGGGTGGGGGTGATTCGATTCCCCTGACTTCTTGAGTTATAACCCTTCCAGGTTCGTTCTGATTGACTTTCGGCGGATGAATTATGTCAACCGTGTGAGTTGAGGGTGGTTTCGCCATCGGGCGAATCTGGCGCCGGGAGAGGGAATCCATCGCCCTGACCGGTAGCTGCAGCTTTGGAAAACCCCTCGCGGGCTAACATGGTGTTCATGACAGCGCAGTTGTACGCAGCTTCGCCAGGCGGAACCACCATGAAGATATACGTGTTGTCGGTGAAGCGGCCGAGGAAGACGTTGAACTGCGGCGTTTTCGTGTGCATGACGACGAAGCCGGCCGATGCCGGGGTGGTATGGGTATTACGGGCGGCGCAATGCTTGAAGGCCTTCATGATGTTGGAGAGTCGCTCGTGGCGGTCGTAGATGGGGTTGAGATCGCCGACTTCGGAGGCCACCGAGGTGACGGTGAGGAAGGTGGAGCGCTCGAAGAGAATGACCTCCTCAGCATTGATGCGTTTGGCGAAGGCGTGCAGGAAGCGCTCAATAACGGTGAGATTGGGAATGAGGCGGTGGACAATACCGGCCCAGGCTTTATAGAGTGATTGATCCCAGATGCTGCTGCCGAAAGTGTCGATGGAGAAGTGCTCGGAGCGGCTGCGGATGAGGGCGGAGCGTTCCTCGTAGATGCGTTGACGGTGTTCGGCCTGGATAAGGTCGAGCTTGTGGACGAGACAGAAGACGTAGGCATTGGGACTGAACTCTTTCAGAGCGTTGATGATGGCATTGTAGGTGTCGAGGTCACGTTCGACCTCGCGCGATTCAATGTCGAAAACGTAGATGAGCACTGCAACGTCGGAGAAGATGTTGCCTCGTTGAGAAGCGAGATAGGTCTCCATGAAGGCATCTTGCCTGTATGGGGAAGATTGACGACGTCAGTTTCCCCGAACGAGGGAATACGCATTATTTATAAGAAAAGCAAAGAAGAGCTTACCCTCCGCAATCCCACAGGTTCAGTGTGAGGTTTCCCATGAACTTGACATGACTGTGCTCCACATCGATTGTGGCCCCCAACCGGCGGACATCTTTGGCGACGTAATTGCTAAAGATGATTGAGCGCATGGAAGACTTCCCCGAGCCGCTCTTCCCCATCAAGAGGACCTTTCTCTTCTTCTTGCGCACGTCCATGTCTGCCGGAGGTGTGTAGGGAAACGGTGGTGGTCACTGGTCGTTGACGGTATGTACCCCGCAGAAGCGGGTGCTGTGAAGCTAAAGTGGGAGACGGCAACTCTGTAATGTGAATATCAGCATCTGCAGAGAGATTCTGAATCCATTGAGGTCAGCAACGTGCAAAGTCAAAAGGCACGACGCTGGAACAACCAATGGCTGGGGGAAGAAGGAGTTAAAAAGCACCGACGAGACCGGGATCGACCAGCCTTCTCGTGACCCTCGTCATCGCTGTCACGTGGGGGTGCACGGGACCTGTCGATCCGAGCCCTGCAGATTACCTAAGCCATCATGTGTCTGCAGTTACTGTAGTTATGTGTAGTTAGAAGGGCACTACGGTTTAGATTCATCTCTTTCGTACAAAGTTAATCTTTTGTTAATACTGTTTGGTTGTTGGTTTCGTTTTGTCATCCCAGTATCACACCCCTTGAAACCCAGAATAGAATGGCAAGTATACACGGACAGATTCATCATCTCATAACAATAGCTCTACATGAAAAGGGAGGAAATGAAGATTGTATAGCTTCTCCATAGAACCAGTCGATAGAAAAGGAGAATGCAACAAGATGGAGGCGTAGAACATCCGGTCATTAAGAGGTCGTAAAGGACCACCACCAGCTTATTTTTTCTGAAGAAAAAACCGACGCAATACTGGTGGAGTCAGGTATCCAAAAATAAGAAAGTAGAAAAGAAAGTCAAACAGGGTATGCGATAATTAAAATACGGTGCCGTCGGAGCGGATCATGATCGGGGGTTCCTTCGTGTTGGGTCTGGAGACCTCGGCAATCTCGCGGCCACCCTGATGCATTGACGTCAGCCTCTATATCTACCAAGACAAAAGGAATTAGAGAGGATTCCTTACCTTCCATGAGCCAGCCTCGAGCATCTGCGCAAGCGTCAATTGGTCTTCCCCGCGGAGTCCCAACTGACCGTTGACTTCGTCCAGTAGGTCATCCAGGAACCCAACAGTCACTGCTCGCCATTCCACTACCACGTCGTCGTCGGTCGAGAAGAGGGGAACCACCTCCACATTCGGCTGACCCTTGATCTGCGCATTTTGCTTGTATGCAGCGATTCCGCGCTGGAGGTCATCCTCTCGCAGAGTAAGTAGTCCCATATCGATCAGAAGGCCGCCATTCCGGTACTCGGGGAGACCGGTAAGCAGGTCACTGCCAGCGAAGTGGATCTTCATCAATCGAGACATAGGGACCATGATAGAGTAACACAGCCATTGGGTGAGCTTGTGGAACGGTACGATGTTCTCCCAAGGCTGCGCCGGAGGCGATGGCGGTAGGGTCGAACAGGGCCAGGCATCCCCAATAGACAGACCGTCGATTTTCGTTCGCGAGGAGGGCCAGATCGGGGTCAGACCGTCCATGAGAACGGTCCACAGCGTGGTGATCGGAACGATTGGTACGGACGAAGCCAGTGTTGACGGATGAGAAAGAAGGTGATCTATAGGAATCATTCCGTTAGCAATGTTTATGGGAGGAAACAACCGCGGATTTTGCCTACCAAGAAGATTTCCTGGACGCGCATCCACGCCGAAGAAGTCCTGGTTGTTCAGGGCTTCCGACAGACGAGCAAGAAGTCCGGCGCGGCCCTCCAGACCGGCGAGCGGGTTGGTTTCAGAGTGCTGCATTCCCTTGGCCAGGACTTCCACCGTTACCTTTTTCAGCCCGGCCCCGTCGACCTGGCACGGTTCGGTTGGGTCGCTGCTGAAGAGCCCGCTTTTGAACATCTCGAGGGTGGCCACCGCAAGGCCTTCGCTGCGCGAGAAGACCCGGCTCGACTCCTTGGATTTGTATGACCATTTAGTGCCGGCGCCGGCGTCCAGGAGGACCGAAACAACAAAGAGATCGATCAACCGACGAGTTCGTTCTTGCGCATCGATCGTACTGGGCCAGGACTGCAGCAACTGGTTGACACGCGGTCTGCCGCCCACGTCGAAATGTTGCCAGCGGCCATGAGGAGGGATCGATTCGTAGTCGGGAGCATAGTCGCGCTGTACATGAAAGCAGGGTCAGCCAACATCACACGGTGACCGGAGGGGTCTCAAGGCTTGTTGGGGGTCACTCACCTTGATGATGGAGACGATGTAGGATGCCGTAGCCTGGAACTTGCTCATGTCGACGTCGAAATGTTTAAGTTGGTTCCTTTTGGCCTTTGACAGCACGAATTTGGCCCGGTCTCGTACGGCATGAACACTGCGAAGATAGGCCGCAGGGTCTAAGGCTGGGTCGGGGGGTTTGGCAATCGACAACTCGGGGATTGATGCGGGCAGGCCACTTCCTTTGTAGCCGGGCGATCGCAACGAGGCATTGGAGGTGCGAGCACTGTTAACGGACGCGAACGAATCTTGTTCATCCTTCTCACTCTGGATCGAGTTTTTGGAGTCCTTGCGCTTGAAGAGACCCATGGTGAGAAGGCGGATGGAGAAGGACGTGAGAGATGTCCTGGCGACGAGGAGAGAAGGGAGAAGATCGGGCCGAATAATCCGAATCCAACAGACAGACGATTATACTGAGAGATTTAGGGAGAAGTAGGGTGAGGTTAGGAAAGAAGAGAGGGGGGAGAGGAGAGGAAAAGAAAAGCGAAGAGAAGAATGAGGAGAGAGAAAGAAAGAAAGAGGAGAGATGGTGGGGGGGGGGAAAGCAGAGAACAATAAAAAAGATGATGATCTGCGGCGGTTGCGGGAAAGCAACCTGCTGCTGGTTCGGCTTTATTTTTTTTTTATTGTTTATTCTGATTCCTTGATTTATTTTGGTATTCTAATCTTAAATGGATTTTCTGGTTTTATTTTTCTTGAAATTTCTTTTTAAGAAAAGAACGAAAGAGAGAGAGAAAAAAACACTAAGAATACGGGGCGGGGCGGCCGAGAGATGGTTAAGGTCGTTAGGGGGGAATTAGGAGGAGTTAGGAAGGTGAGGAACCAATTCTCAGACGCCTCATTGGAGCAAAAAGGAGCAGCGAGTTAGGTAGGCTCGTTGAAAGCTCGCTATTTTCACTATTTGACTAGTCGAGGCTCGGAGTCGGGAGGTGGGGAGCTTTTGGAGTGATGGAGTCCATTTGATATCAGGAAATTAATTACCGCGGCCGCGGGTACTTGTAAGGTACTTCCCGACCCTCCCTCGTCGTGCCTCCCGCCGAGTACTCTGGATGTACTCGGGCGGTCGTCAGATATTAGCCCCGTTTCAAGGAACTGATTCCGTACTGTTCTGATGTAGATTTCATCAGTGACGGCTGTCATATTCCATACACTATGAGTCTAGGTATTTCATATGAGGAAAACTGAGAAATCCCATGGAGTAACCCCAACCGACCCTTGGAGGACCCAAGCCGTCGTTGACCCGAGTTTCTCAACTCAACGGCGTCAACTCAATTCACCTTTGCCAGCTCGAGATTCGCGATCGAGAGAACAGGAAGGTCGGGAATCCACTTGGGAAAACGAACAAAGAAGAAAGAAAAGAAAAGAAAAATGGAGACGAAAAAAAATCAAAAAGCACGGACGGACTGGCGCACAGGACCATTTCCGGCCCTTTGCCCTTGTCCCTGCTCCACCACGCTGCCCCAATGGTGCGGATCTAGATTTCTTGTCTGCTCAGTGCTCAGAAAGTCAGAAGTCAGAAGTGTTCGGTCCGGCTCCCTAGGGAATGGACACAGACTCAGGTCCTGCTCCGACCCTGCTCGTCCCTAATTTCGGACCTGTTCCCCAAGGCAGGCATGAGTGAACCGCGAACCCTGTTCCCCCTTGATCCATCGTCTCTTAGACTCTTTCTCGAAGGGAATTGGAGTTGTGATTGGTCTACGGAGTACACCCTTTCTCTTTCTGTCTCTCTTACTCTCGTTTGTTATTACTCATCATCATCGCAGTGATGGTTCGATCTCTGCAGGTCGCCCTGGACGGTCCGTAGTGTCTCTCGGTTCCTTGGGTCAACCCTTCATAGTAGATGGCCCTCTGCCCCACTGAAGTCTATACCCACGGAGATTGAGAAGGTACGAGGTTGGAGACCTGGGCATTGCCATTGGCCTTATTACTTCATAATTTGAAAGAACATCATCTTAACTTTCAAGAGAGGGGAAGGACAGATCCCAATCCGAGCTGCAGCACATGCATTAGAATGATCAGTTGGGCATCTCCAACCTGACAGATACCCAATCACCGTTGCACCCCGGCGCTTAGGGTTAAGTGCCTTGAGTTCCCTAAGTTCTCTAAGTTCTCTAACGGAGTAGGTTGAAAGTTTCTATAGGGATGGCCCCAAGTCGGGAAGATCGTTCCACTTCTCGCCTTCTCGCTTGGTCATTGAGGAGCCCAGATAATAGTAGTTTGAAGAAACAACACAAACAGTGAAAAGTCAAACCTTCCCTGTGTAAAGCAGGGGACGAGCTAAAATAGTGCTCAGCATTAGCCGACTTCGTGGAGAGAGCCGAACTCTAAGCGTTGATGCTGATGAATCCTCTTCTCGCTTTCCCCCCGAGGACCCACCGGCTGGCTTAACTGACTCTGGGTTAACTTAGCCCTTGGCAGGTTAGGCCCTTCTGTCAAGACTCGGGAGTCGGGACTCAGAACGGAGTAGGCTAGGGCACTTCGAGTGTACGGAGTAGAGTGCAGGAAGGATGCCGGACTTTGTGTACGAGTTGCAATATACTGTGTACACTACACACACGGCGTATGTATGGTTCTGCATGCAGGTTATATGCAAATATGCAAGCCATCCCATGTTCGGCCCCTTTGCTATGACCGCTAAGGGGCTCTTCCAACCGGAGAAAAAAAAGGGGCCGCAGTTCACCGGAAGTCTTCCGTACGGGATACCCTTTAGGTATGTACTGTACAAGTCTCGAGAGTCGAGGCACTTCGTACTTCGTACATTCTCGACAACAGGTGGTGACAGCCCCTCCTTTCCCTCCCATCTGGCCATCTCCATGCTAAATGACAGCCGGCGCGCGCACTAACGCGGGAGACACGGTGCTGGCCACACTGCTGGGTCGCTCCGGTTTCACGTTTAAACTCTCGTCTGCCGCATTCCTCCGGATCCGGAGGTTTGTTGATTAATGGTCTAGTCAAGTAGTCATAGTAATAGCAGAGCCGTGCTATAGTCTATAACACTTCCCCATTATTATTCGGAAGTACCGTCTCCGTAAGAATAGTGGTTGTAATACATAATAGCAATGTTTCCCCGAAGTCGAAAGGGGCCCGATTTCCCCGAAACTCCGCCGTTTGACTCTGATGTCTGATGTCCGATGAATTCCTCTTAGTCTTAGGGTGGTATCGGCAGTGGCTGCGTGGCCTGTTCTCAAACGAGGCGTTAGGCAGATCCGTTCCGAGTCCGACTCTTTTTCTTTTTCTTTTTTCTATTTCTTTTGGTTTATTTTCCCTTTGCTTTTTTAGCTGCTCTCGATGGCTCGAATCCTAGCGAGGTCTGGACTTCCATCGTCATGTCATGTCATATGTATACGGAAATGCAACCCCTCAACTCAATGGTCCGTAGGATCACCCGATCATGATAGTAACGATAGTACTCTATCTCCCCCGAACGATTGATCGAAATCACAGGTAATGACCTGGACTGCATCGGTCTTCTAATCCGCGGGGATCTCCGTGGACTCCCCCTCGAATTTTTGGTCAGAATCTGGTCAACAACAGTTCGTTATCACCGATGATTGGAGGTTGCATCTGCCCCCGAAGCTCAGCTCGTCCAGGGCCTCAGGAACTCCGTCGTCTTTCTGACTCAGCCCAATCTGTCATTGGAGAACAGATTATCGCTATGCAAAACGCGTCAACTACTGTAGGAACCCTTTCGCTACTACCGGGCGGACTGTGACGCGAGGGGCCTGTGCTTTCGTTCGTGATAACCCTGGGATGCGTTGAGAAATATCGAAAATCGAACGTCTCCTATGATATCTCGCTTAGCCCTGCCCTCCACAAATAAAATCGCCTCTCCTAAAGCCGCAGCAAGCCACTAGACGCCCCCTCTCTGACCTTGCGATAGACTAGTCACCGGTAATCGACGACCGGCTAGGCTCCGCGATGGTTGGATCCTCGTTTCTTTCAATTCCGGGCCTTCGGCCCTTCAGAGCAGGTCGTATCATCTAAACCTACGACTGCCAAGTTGGCCAACTAGTCGAGAAATGGATGCATATCCCATTCCCACACGACCACCCCCGGTCTATCCAGATCTGACTGTGCGCCAGACAAGAATTTAACTCGAGGACAGTCCCCCCACCGGAGCCCACCGGCCGGCCTAAGCATAAGAGGTGTACACCGTACACAGTAAGCTATCCTCGTTGGGGTTTCCTGGCCAAGAGACAGCGTTTTCTCTTTTCGTACACAAGTATTCCGTCCAGACGGAGAACTGCGAACTTTTCTGTTCTCTTGTTGTTTTTGATTTGTCCAGTCGTCGAGTCAGGTAAGACAGGTACTTTGGGACAATGGACCAGCCGCCAGCTGCGGTGGATACAGTATTAATGACATGGCTGGGATTATCCACTTGTGGCGATTCGACCCATCAGCTCGAGCCGATGACATGAGTTACGGGAGGCTGTATCTTGACATCTGGTCAAAATGTCTTGACTGATACTGTTAGTCTCGATTTCGGAGACCTTGAGGGATGCTCGATGCAGGAGTCCGTTGTCAAACTAATTTTTTTGTTTCTGGCAAAGACGATGCAGGCTAGAGAAGAGGTCCACAGTGGCGTGGGTTCTGTTAACGGCGTTTAATCTAGGGATGGGAGGATGTGTTAGCTTGTTGGCTGTTAGCTTGTGATAGTGTCGGTGGGAGATAATAATACCGTGATAATAATAATAGCAGCAACTGTTACAACAACAATAGACACTACCAATTATTGACTACGGAGTAGTACTTGCCATTCTTCTAGTGGGTGTTTTCTCTCTTTCTATTTTTGCTCGCTGATTAATTCTCCGACGGCTGATTCAGCAGCACGTGTTGACGGGTCACGTTCGGGCGGAAACTCACCAGCCACAGTTCTGGTCTGCGCCACCGCTGCATCATCGGGCTCAGCCACGGTCCCCCATCTCCAGGGGAAGCCGAGTCCATCCATCGCCCGCATCTCCGACAGGCGAATCTCTCTTCGTCCCACTTGTTGTTACACTGTTTGCCTCATTGTTGTAAAATCCCCTCTTTCTTTCATTCTTTCATTTCACGGGACAAACTCATTTCCGCCCAGGTGGCCCGCCGATGGTGAGATGAAAACCATGGAATCCTTGCGTCATTTCACTACGACCTCTATCCTAATGCAATCCTCCCAGACACTTATCTACTTCTTCTTTTGAACTTTTGAATCCAGACCCATCATGGATGACCTGAGTGGCCTGAGTTGGTCTGCCAGCTCATCCAATGCCCCCCAGAAGCCTCCGCCCATGAGCTCTAGCTCTTTATTTCCCAATGTGAGGCCAGCTCACCCCTCCGGCCGCTCTACTCCCCTCTCCGCCTCGTCTACCGCGTCCAATCCGCCGGCCAAGCCTGCGACCTCGGACAAGGACAGCTTCGCAAACCTCGTCTCGTTCAATTCGTCAAATTCCAATAAGAATGTGCCTCTCGTAGAGCAGCAAAGGCGACTACAAGAGGAAAGAGCCAGGAAGGAGGCGGAGAACCGATCCCGGTTTGAGTCGCAGTATGGAGGGCAGAACTCCCAGTTCTGGGACAGTCTTGAAAAGGGAGGGAGTGGCAATTCAAGTGGATTCGGAGCTACGCCTACCCAGCAGAAACCGCAGTCTCCCGACGAAGATGATATTCTCGCCGCCTTTGACGCCTCAGCCCCCGTGGACGCATCCACCCACTTCCCCATTCCAAGCCCGTCGCCTTCGCCGCAGGTTGGAACTAGCTCGCCACAACTTACTACCAATGGAGCGCCGTCAGCGCCTCCGGCCGCGGGTGGAATGGACTTCATGGATGACGATGATCCGTTCGGTCTCAACCAACTGAAACCCAAGCAGCAAGCCCCCCCGGCGCAGCCTGCTTCAACTAACGACGACGATGACGATTTTCTCGGCTTGCTGGGCAAGCCCGTGTCTGAACTTCCTCCGAAGCCACCGGCCAAATCGCCTACCCCTCCGTCTACACACGAGAGCCCCCCTCCGCCCCCACCTTCCAAGGGATCCAGCGGGATTGATCGCGCCGTCGCTGAGCTTGTGGACATGGGTTTCCCAGCAGACAAATCGGCACAGGCTTTACGAATGACTCCGACGGGTACCGATATACAGGCTGCTGTCAGTTTACTGCTCACCCAAGCGCACGAGGAGTCTCGGCAGAGGTCGAGGAATCGACCCACACCTGACGATTTCCATTCAGATCATTCCGGCCGGAGCAGAGACCAGAGCGCGAGATCGGATCGCAACGTTCCGTCATGGATGCAACAAGAACGCGCTCATACGCCCCGAAGCCGCAGCAACAACCGGAGCCCCATGGCCGCAGACAAGGACCCGGCGCAGGTCGCATCGGCTTTCGGAAACAATCTACTGAAGACGGCCAATTCTTTGTGGAAGTCGGGTAGCAAGAAGGTCCAGCAGGTTGTTCAGGATTTCAACACGGAGCAGGACCCTAATCAGCCCAAGTGGCTAAGAGAGGCTTCCATGCACGAGGAGCCATCTCCTGATGAGTGTCGCCAGGCCCCGGGCCAGTCTTCTCGCGCGCCGCCTGCGGAATTCACCAACGAAGCTTTGCTTCTGGAATCTGACAGGGATCCGCGTGCATCGCACAGGCCGGATAGGTCGCATGAAGCACGACCTCCGCCTCGATCGGACAGCGCGAGCTTCCGTAACCAACCTTCCCCGCCTGTCGGGGAAAGACGGGCGCAACAGCCGGCGTTCCTGCGAGAGCAGATGAGAAGCGAGTCTAGGGACCCTCGAGTGCGCGTGTCCAAGACAGCCGTGGAACAGCAGTCTGCACAGGCATATGTTTCCCCTGCTCGGCGGAAACGACCTGTCGCACCGTCCCCTGCCCCAGAGCCCGCCGTGGATTTGTTTGACTCTCCCGCCCCATCATCAAGTGTTCAACAACCCAAGCCGGCATCATCACCGGCGCAGGCACAGGCCCAACCTTCACGATCTTCAACACCCGCCAAACCCCTGGCTTCACGGCCGAAGGCTCTTCCTCCCCGGGCCGTTCCTCCCTTGTCCCAAGAGGCGCTTTCATCCACCCATCGTCATAAGGACAAGGGTGCCGAAGCATACAAGAGAGGTGATTACGGCTCCGCTCACGAGTCGTTCTCAACAGCCCTCGGCATGCTGCCGGAAAAACACCCCCTCACCATTATTATTCGCAGCAACCGTGCCATGACCGCTCTAAAAATTGGCGAGCCGAAGGTCGCCATTAGCGATGCCGACAGTATTCTAGAGGTGATCGGGCCTTCCAAGGGAGAAGCGGAGAGCATCGAACTTGGTAACGGCGAACCCAACAAACCAATGAAGGACTTCTTCGGCAAGGCTTTAATGCGCAAAGCGGAAGCCCTCGAGCAACTGGAGCGCTGGGTCGACGCGGCCCAGTCGTGGCGACAGGCGGTCGAGAACGGCCACGGCGGAAGTACGAGTATCCAAGGACGCAATCGATGCGAGAAGGCCGCGGGAATTAACAAGCCGACACCGAAGCCCTCGGTACCGACACGTCGATCCGCTGCTCCTGCTCCCAAGAGACCGTCTGCGTTGGCCGATCTGCAAGGCGGATCTGCCTCGTCTGGCATGGACTCGGCGGCTGTCAGTCGTCTTCGAGCGGCCAACCAAGCAGCCGAGCAAGCCGACGAAGAGAAATTCGCTCTTACCGAGTCGGTCGATGCCCGCTTGGCCGCATGGAAAAACGGAAAGCAAGATAACCTCCGAGCTCTACTGGGCAGTCTGGACACGGTTCTCTGGCCCGAGTCCGGGTGGAAGAAGATCAACATGTCGGAATTGATCATGCCCAATAAGGTCAAGGTGCAGTATATGAAGGGGATTGCCAAGGTGCACCCGGACAAGGTACGTTCACAGGTCTGATGCATTAGCATAAGTGTCGAATCTAATCTGAGTCTCTAGATTTCCACCACCGCCACGACCGAACAGCGCATGATTTCCAGCGCCGTGTTTGGAGCCTTGAACGAGGCATGGGATAAATTCAAGAAGGAGAACAACCTATAATAGGCCTTCTTTTCGTCCAATTTTTTTTTCATTTTTTTTATAGACTAGCCATTTCCATTTTCGATATATGACAAGGCCTGCTATAGCTTGGTCGTAGCATATCTCGTATGTAGATAGACTCTACATGGAGTTATGAATCAATGCAGTGATGACCACGCCAACCCGTATTCTTCTTTGTATCTCAGCAGTCTTACCTCTTCCATGAGTCTTAGAAATCAACATCCTCGGAAATGATATCACCCGCCCCACCGGTTCTTCCCCTCCCTCCAAGCATCTACATCAATCCCTCTAAATACTTTTGTCAACACCCTATAAACAGAATATCGACTTCATCGTCATCATGCCCAAACTCTTCATCACCGGAATCACCGGCTACATCGGCGGCGACGCATTCTACCTGATCGCCCAAAACCACCGCGATCTCGAGATCTCCGCCTTAGTTCGAACCGCGGAGAAGGCCAAACCGATAGCGGAGAGATATCCTCAGGTCCGGATCGTGCTCGGCGAGCTCGATGACGCAGCGATCCTCGAGCGAGAAGCTGCCTGGGCCGATATTGTGATTCGTACGGGATACCCTATCCCAGACATCGCGAGAGAGGAGGAATGAACCCAATGCTTACTATTTGGATCAGACACTGCCGATTCATCGGACCACGCCGTCGCCGCCAATGCCATCGCTAAAGGCCTAGTAGAGGGCCACACGCCGCAACACCCGGGTTATTGGCTGCACACCGGGGGCACGGGGATCCTGACGTACTTCGACTCCGAAGTCCGCAAGGTCTACGGCGAGCATGACGAGAAGGTCTTCGATGACTGGAACGCCGTTGATGAGCTGGTGAATCTGCCCGCGGCTGCGTTCCACCGAAACGTCGACGAGATTGTGCTGAGGACGGGCACGCAGCATGCCGACGTCGTCAAGACGGCGATCCTCTGTCCTCCTACGATCTACGGAAGAGGCCGCGGGCCTGGGTCGGGTCGAGGACGCCAGGTCTACGAGCTGACGTCGTTCATCTTGAAGGAGAAGTATACGCCACAGATTGGGAAGGGACTGGCGCGATGGAACCATATCCATGTGTATGATCTGAGCCGGCTCTTCGAGGCGCTGCTCACGACGGCCCTTGCGGGTGAGGGTGGAGAGGAGGTTTGGGGTGCAAAGGGGTACTTCCTGTGTGAGAATGGCGAGCATGTTTGGGGGCCCTTGGCGCGGCTCATCGGTCAACAGGCGTTCGAGCTTGGGTATCTTCCTCAGGAGCCGGCATGTAGGGACTGGTCTATGGACGAGGCCATGAAGTCATCGGCGGGCTTTGAGGCCGCTAGTTGGGGCTTGAACTCGAGGGGATCGGCGCTGCGGGCTCGTAAGACATTGGGCTGGGAACCGCAGGAGCGCAGTTTGCAGGATGAGGTGCCGGAAATCATTCGTTCGGAGGCAGCTCGTTTGGCGAAGTAATTAGAAACAGATGTTGTTCCGGAGTATAGATACCTATTATTTAGGGATGATGGTTTCAGTTTGTTGGTGGATTTCCCTTCCGGGTTATCCGCTCTGACCGACTTCCTCGCCGCCTTCATTTCTTCCCTTCATTGTCCTTCCTTCTCTCTCTCTTTCTCTCCCTCTCAGCCTCGCTTCCTTTCCTTCGGCATTGAAACCAGCCACCTCCGACGTTGTCCGCCTATGCTTAAGCTTCTGGTGCCTTCGAGTCTCCTCGAGTCCAGTCCGACCTTTGACGGCGGTTTCGCTGTCGTAGCGGGCTGGATCTGCCTGATCTGGTATACAACGGTGGTGGCTGTTTGCATCTTGGGATACTACCAAATGTTGGTGACGTGACACCTCACCGCTGGGATACTTCACTGACGGATCTGCCTCCCTCTCAGATGGCGATATTTCCTCCAACGGCCGCGACCTTCTGGTTCCGCCTCCGACACTGATGCCCCTCACGTCACTGCCATTCGCCCTGTGAAAGGCCTCGAACCGAATCTATACGAGTGCCTGTCCTCGACCTTCCGTCAAGATTACCCCCGCGGCCGCCTCACCGTCTACTTCTGCGTATCTTCGCGCGATGACCCGGCCTACCCGACCCTGCAAAAGCTCATGACGGACTTTCCGCACGCCGACGCGCGCGTCTACATTGAGGACGAGGACCCTTTGCTCCAACCCGACAATGAATCTGCATATAGCTTGGGACCCAACCCGAAGATTCGGAACATGAGTCGGGCCTACCGCGAAGCAAAGGGTGATATCGTCTGGATCATCGATTGCAACGTGTGGGTGAGCGAGGGTGTTTGCGGGCGCATGGTCGACCGACTGTGCGGGCTGGGGGCTCACTCGGGCAAGAAGAAGTACAAGTTTGTGCATCACTTGCCCGTGGCGGTGGACGTCACCGGGGATGACCACGGGCAGGACGAGCGAGCCACACTTTTGGACACTTCGGCTGATGGGGAACAATCTGAGGCCGTGTCCGAGGAAGTTCCCGCAGGTACACTTGCGATGGGCGGCGGTCGGCTGGAGGAACTGTTTCTGTCGTCTGCACATGCCAAGATGTACACTGCCATCAACACGGTCCTCATTGCGCCGTGCATCGTGGGCAAGTCGAATATGTTCCGGCGCTCTCATCTGAACTACCTGACGGCGCCGTCGCCGAAGGATCCCCATCGGCGGAATCCGGGCATCGACTATTTCTCTGACAACATCTGCGAAGACCACCTGATCGGCGACCTGCTGTGGAAAAAGCGCGTACGTGAAGAGAAGGAACAGGGCGAGCGTTTCGGCAAGCACGGCATGGTCTTCGGGGACCTGGCCTTCCAGCCCGTCGCCCATATGAGCGTACAGGCATACGTGGCGCGGCGCGTGCGCTGGCTGCGTGTCCGCAAATTCACGGTGCTTCTGGCAACCTGGGTCGAGCCGGGCACGGAGTCGCTACTGTGTTCGCTGTACGGGGCCTGGGGTGTGACGACGTCTCTGGCGCAATGGCTTCTGGAGAAGGGATACCACCACGCAACGCACTTAACGACGTGGACGGCTTTCTTCGCTTGTTTCTGCCTCAGTCTGGTAGCCTGGATCCTGGTCGACTGGACACTCTACATCAAACTCCATTCAGCCCGGACGGTCGAACTCGACGAGAATACGCCGGCTTTCGCGCGGCCTCCCCGCTCGGGTACCACCCGACGGAGCTTCCGACAATGGTTTGGAGCCTGGCTGGGCCGTGAGTTCCTGGCTCTGCCGATCTGGCTGACGGCATTCTACGGCGGCGTCACGGTGACCTGGCGCGATCGACGATTCCGAGTCGGACTGGATATGAAGGTGCGCGAAATCGACATCGACAAGACGACTGAATCCGAGGGAAGCTTTTCCGGGACGAAAGTACGACAGGATTAATGAATGAACCTGGGGAAGTAAAGGGATAGACATGATAGATGACGAGCACGAACTAACTGAATTGAACTGACTGAACTGACCATGAAACGAAACATGTATATGTTCATGTACCATAGCATATATCCTGCGCATTATATCAACATATAACTAACGAGAGAAAAAAAACAAACATGAAATCCAACTTTTATCTAAATCCTTATTACCATATCATTTAAATAAATCCCAATCATACCTCATAGAGAGTAGCAATCAGCCCAACCTAAGACTATTGTTTCTTCGCACTCTCCCCCTCCGCAACACCACTCTCAAGCTCACCTCCCTTCTCCGAACTCAACAACCACTCCACGACCTGTCTGCCCTTCGACGGCGGCGCCTGCTCCTTCTGCTCCCCCCCATCCTTCATCTCAACCTCCGCCTCTCCCGATTCCTCTTCCATCTCCTGATCCGCAGCAGCAGCATTCGCCTCATTCACCTCCACAGCCGACCAATCGGCCCTCTCGGCCAAGAAAACAGCGTCCAGACCGGCGTCGTTCGTGACCGCGATGTCCGCGCCGGCTTCCACCAGCGCCTTGACGCATTCAAGGTGCGTGTTCAGCGCGGCCCAGTGCAGGGGCGTGTTTCCAGAGTGGTTCTTGTGGTTGAGGATGGATTGCGTGGTCGTTTGATCCGAGGGTTGCGTTGTGAGGGTGGTGAGGAGGTACGTTAGGATTTCTGTACGATTACATATATTATTAGCATTGATCAATCAATCTCGTTCCCATACATAGACCAGATATTCCCCTCTTCTCAGGAAAAGTTGTGAGGAACAGAATGATGTAAGAATCCATACCCAAATTTCCATTCGCTGCCGGATAATGCAACAGACAGCATCCCGTGCCTCCCTCTGCCTCGGGCGCGGCATCAACGGTCGCGGCGACGATCTGCGCAGGCGTGCATTGCAAGGAGGCGCTCAGTTCCGAGATGGTGGTTTTGAGGGAGTCAAGATCGCCGGCGCGGGCGTCGTAGATGAGATCGTCGATTGTGTCGGCGGGGATGGTGGGGAGGGACATTTTGCTTTTTTTTTTTTTTCGGCCCGTTTTACTTTGCCTTTTATTTAAGGGTTTATTAGAAGGTGGGAATGCCTATTCGTTGGCTCTGCCTGAGAGGAGAGAAAGGGTTAGTAATTTTTGATACCCCGCTATATTGTAGATGTGCCCCTCTTCGCCGAAATTTGTTATATAAAGGAGATTGGACCCGGACAGGCCACGGGGAAAAGTTTCTGGGGGGTTCAAACACAGGGACCGGGCAGGAAGGGGCCAAACACACTGGACAGGTTCAACGGACACACAAAGAAAAAGACTTACCTGGCGATGCGATTGTGTCTGGAGAAGAAAGTCCGTCGGCGGAGAACTTTGATGCCCGGTCAGGTGACTTGTGGATCCGGGGATGAAGAAGGAAGAAATACACCGTCAAGAGGGACTACTATAAGCCGATACAAATTGATATGGCTAGCAGTAAGAATAATCACGTATGATACATGTACAAGGCCCGCTATTCACGGTCTATATGCAACTGAATACAGTACAACGCCAAAAACGCAAAAGGTATCATATCACGAATTACAGAACACCATCCTCCGTCGGTCTTTCCGTAGAAATAAAACAATCAATCCCTCAACCAAGCGCGTCGCTTCTCCTCCTTCTTCTCCCTTCGCTTTTCCTTGAACATTTTCAATTCCTTCTTGCTCAATTTCTTCGCACTCCGCTCCGCGCGCAGACTTCGCCCGTCGTGAGTGTTGGCCGCCGCATCCACATCAAAAAATGCATACATTTGCCGTCGCGACTTATTCTCATCATTATGCTGTTCTGGGTTCTGCGCGTCGGACTGCCACCGCCCCGTGAACCGGTTGAACGACCCGGTCGCGTCGTACGACTGCGTCGGGTCTCCCGCACCAGCCGCCGCCGCCGGGTCCTCAGGCTCATACTGTTGCGCATACGGGGCCGTCGGATCGTAGTCCCCGTGAATCGCGGGATTGTACCCCCCGGCTACAGGGGTTTTCTTGGCAGCGGACTGGGCGGCGGAAGGCTCGGCGTCGTCGTCTACGCCGGGTTGCGGCTCCGAGGGTACGCGCGGATTCTCCCACTGCGAGACGCCCGTGAAGCGGTTGTAGAAGTAGTAGGCTTGGGCGGAGGGGTCCCAGACGGGTTCCCAGCCGTCGTCGTCCCCGGGGGCGGCCTCGTCGGGGAGCGGCGGCGCTTCTTCGTCCGGTAGGGGTGGTTGTTCTTGTTTTTGTGCCTCGGCATCTTCCTTGGACAGCTCCTGTCCCTGTCCATGTCCTTGTTCTGAGGTGGGTGTGGCGTCCTTCTCTGTTCTCGACCTTGACGCTAACTCTGACTCTGATGCTTGGCCCGACTCTTCCTTGTCACTGACTTCTCCCTGTTCTTTGGGATCCTGGACCTGATTGGGGGGTTCTTCCTGGGTTGGATGTGACGGAGAGCCCGGAGATGGGCTGCCCGGAGCTTGTTGGGGAGGGGACATATTGATTAGCACTTTTTTTCCTCGTTAACTTTGTTTTTCTGTATTTTAATTTCTCCCTTATTGCTCCCTATTTTTTTTTCTGTCTTTTTCTTTTGGGTCTGCGTCCCTCTTTTTCTTCTGTAGCCAGGACCGAGTGCAGAGGCAGAGTGTTGATTAGGAGGAGAGAGAGCGAGAGTCGAGGAAGAGGAGAAAGAGAAGATCGAGTCCGCGGTCACTAGGCCGCTTCGGGTATCGGTCGCTGCCCCCAGATTCAGGCATTATCTATTATCAGGCATCACTTATCTCCGATGCTGCCTGACTGCCTGAGGCTTGCAGTGTTCAATCTACTCCGAGAATGCCTTTGGATAGTCTTCCAGACCACTGCCATCTTATGATGCAAATCAGCAGATGCATCGTAAGGACAAACGGTCCAACAAATCAACAATCTCTCCCATTATCCACAGTAGTTATCATGCTCATCATCAAGTCATCAAGTCATCCATTCCACCATTACCCCCCTCTCCAAGCATCAATCCCCAAATGTATCAGTTTCACTCCCCCTGCACGATTACCCCCTCATCCACCAACGCCTTCGTCGCCTCGTCCGCCCACTCCCCGCACCGTCTCAGCGGCTCCGACGGATACAGCCTCTTCGCGCCCTGAAACTGCTTCTTCGGCACCGGAATCGCCTCACAGACGGCCAGAAACCGTGAATAGTCGGCGACCGCCACCCGGCCGAGCAGGTCCTTCGTAGCAAATGAGGGCTCCTCTTCCGGCGGCCCGCCAGGGCGATGGTTGAAGGTCATGCCTTCTTGGATGTTGCCGATGACGTGGTAGATGTGGCCGGATCGAGGGCCGGATTCGTGCGTCTCGACGAAGAGGAGTTGGTGGTCGCGCGGAAGGCCGAATTCGGCGACTCGGTAGGTGGCGTAGGTCGTCATTTCTATGGAATTCTTTTTTTCTATTTGCTGGGAAGGGTGTCTTGGTTTGAGGATTGACGTGGATGTTCTTGAAGGGGACGATGGGAAGGGAAGGGTCATGTACCTTATGGGAAGAGAGGGAGTTCTTTATGCAGCTTGCATTCACTAGGCAGATGGCAGATGTAGGCAGCCGCAGTAGTGATTATATGCCATTTTACGATCTAAATAGAGTAGTCAATTATTATATTGTTAAATCTATGAATGAGCAACTCCTTAACAAAAAATTTATTACATTACTAGACATGGTATACGATGTTCTACTGCATAGCCCTAACTCATGTGCAATTATATATTCCAGCACCACCAGAACCACCTGCGCACCCAATAACATAACCAACGTGTACAGGACAAAGAATAACGAATGGAGAATAGAGAATAAAGGAGTTAAAAATTCTCTATCAATCCAAACACATGAAATTTACTGTAGCCTACTCCAAATACCCAGAACAACCGAACCTCTCCCTCCATCCCTCATCGAAACATCATCCATCACAGTCAAAACAAACAAGACCCCAAACAGTCCAAGAAACAACGCCACATCTCAGCCTCCCAAGTGCCTCATCCGCTGCCAACAATGAAGGCAGTTGCCACCGACGAAACCGAATCGAAACTGGGCCCAGATGGCGCCGATCATCCCTTGGAACCAGAGGTATGTTGACCCCGTCAAGGGATGGATGATTGTCCTCCGGGCTGTGTGTGTGGATGGGATGAAGGTGTTGGTGGGTGAGATTGGTTGGTACGATGGGAGTTTGGGTGGTATTAGGCAGGATGTGAATAGTAGGAGGTGTGCTGGTTAGTGAACGCAAACGTTGGTGGTGGGCACGCAGGGTCTGGGGTGCAGGACAGTCTGCAGCAATGGTGATATTGGTTGTCGGGATGAGGTGCTCGATGGTGCATTAGTTCGAGGAACTTGAGTCTGTCATATATAATGGATCATATGCCAATGTGTATAAGATATTGATTATATGCTTATATTGGCAAATGCTGCATCTCATTGACTCTATGGTGTTGTGGTCAAGTGTGTACATGTCCTGAATATAAAATATATATCTCAAACCGGTGAGTATAGCTGCGAGATGTATATATTTGCGGAATGACCGACAAAAAGCATCTTTGGCTACATCATGCCTCCTGACTTTCAATGACATATGCCTGCAATTTCTGAAGACCAACCAGTACTAATCTCGACCAGTGTGAGTGAATGTCTAACCCATCCGGATGACCCTATCCAAACTACGCGGTATACGACTACAATAACTCGATGAAACCCTCCTTGACAGACACATTACGTAGTCGCATGGAACTCTGAGTTGCCGACAAAAAATAGCCGGAAAAACAAAAGATCGCCTGAACAAACAGAGGATTTCCAATGACAACATGCCTATCTCAAGCTTGATGAAGCCAATGGCGTCTCTAAGCCACGGTCATCAGAAGGCCGCCTCTACCCAGCGTATGCCGAAAGCGGATGACTACTGCAGTCTGCGCCTGACCGAGTCTGCTGCAGGCGCTGGTCAGGATAGGCGAGGATAGGCTCCGGGCTCTGGTCCCTGCATTCGGAAATGAGACGATCACTAGTCGACCAGGCCCCTTGCCTAGGTACGAGCTGTCCACATGGGTCTCAGACATTGGGGAGAGAGAGGGAGAGACAACAATCAAAGTGGCAAGGAGTCCTAACGGCTGGTCAGGAACAGGAAACCTGTGAGACATTGAACGGGCCCCTTGCAGATCGGTGCATGCCCTGCAATGTCCTGCGACTTGGGCGATGCCCCGAGAGAAATGCTCCGTGACACCTGCATACCACGAGAGATTGCACGATGGCCAGCAAGATCTATCACCTCTGTCAAGTTTCATGAAGCTGAATTGTTTTTGAGTAGGCATTCTGAATGCCCAGTTCCAGGTTAAAAATCTCGGAGTTAGTCGGTCAATGAGGAAGAGAAAGCCCTAGATAGTCAGGAAGGGAAAAGGAGCTAAAGGCCATCCAAGACATACCTTAATGCAACCTAATCGCTCGCATTGGACAATTGATGCACCCCACATAGCGATCTTGCCGCAGGAAGGCAGGGAAGGAATGAGACAGTAGCCTTGATCATCCAGAGCCCCGACAGATGCGGCATGTGTGCAGTCTTCCGTCAATCAGAGCCATCGTGAAGGGGGCAGATCCATACCAGGGGTCAGACCTGTTCAAGGAAAATGCCTTGCGTGTTGCATTCCACAGAGTCAGCTTAAGCGACAAACACAGGGCGAGGCTAAGGAGGTAGACGAGCGTACAGGCCTCCACCGTCGTCTATATAAGGAGGTTGAACTCTGGCCTACAACCGATTCTTCTCATCATCACAAACAAACTACATTCGTTAGCAAGTCTTTCGTTCTCTCTTCTCCAGTCTTCTTCAGACCAACTTCTATCAATCACTCCGAGTTTCAATTCTCTCGTTCAAAACCAACCCCTCAGACACAATGAAGTTCTCCATCTCCGCTGCCGTCGTGGCCCTTGCTACCACCGTCGCTGCTCTCCCTCCTGCTGTCGCCAACGGTGCTGGCAACGGCGTCGGCAACAAGGGCAACAGCCAGGTCCGCTTCCCCGTTCCTGGCGACGTCACTGTCAAGCAGGCCTCCGAGAAGTGCGGTGACCAGGCCGAGCTCTCTTGCTGCAACAAGGCCACCTACGCCGGTGACACCACCAACGTTGACGAGGGTATCCTTGCTGGTGCTCTCAGCAACCTGATCGGTGCTGGCTCTGGCAGCGAGGGTCTCGGTCTCTTCGACCAGTGCTCCAAGCTCCCTCTGCAGAGTAAGTCCCTTTACCCATTCTTAGGGTACCTTCACAGTACTAATCTTCGCAGTCAACATCATCGATATTGCTCTCAACGACCTGGTCAACCAGCAGTGCAAGCAGAACATTGCTTGCTGCCAGAACTCCCCCAGCGATGCCGTGAGTATCTCTTTCAAATTCTCGCCTTAATATCACTAACATATCCTCCAGAGCGACGACCTCATCGGCCTTGGCCTTCCTTGCATTGCCCTCGGCTCCATCATCTAAGCTATTCGCTTACTGGTTTGCCCTGCGGTGGACGAGAAACCCCCGGTGACCCGCGGACGAGGCGATCGGAACAGGGTCTAGTGTACTATTTGGATAGAATCGGATTCCTGTTGGCAATATTTGTATCATTACCTCTTGTGTCTTGTGGCACCCTCGGAGAAAGAAGACTGTTTTGTTATTCTGGATTTAGTTCTTTCTGCATCTCGTGCTGTTCTCAAGCGCTCGGATGCCTAGTCTTTATAATGCATTAGAGTTGTAGTATTTGGCTCACTTCCTTTCGTAGTCAGCTCATGATCTATTCAATTGACAATTGAATTGTTGAGTTCTTGATTTTAAAGTAACCCAAACAAACTGGTTCACTCATGTTTTCCGCTTCGACATTAGCATCTCTCTTTGTCTCTGAACAATTCATTCCCCTGCTCCCCCTTGAACCAATTTCTTTTGTTACCTCATACCCGATAGTTGTCTCTATAAGACCGGCAACCGAACTGGCCTACGTTAGCTTGTGTTTGAGTTCCTCAGGAAGTTGTAATTTACCATCATTCATTTTTCCCATGCGTCCCATGTAGTTAGGTACATACTCTTGTCAATTTCTCAAATCTACTTTGCATCTTTCTTCATAAGAATGTATTAGGTAGTACTGTCGTGATGTATACATCAATCTCATCCCACTCACTCAGTCCCAATCAATCTTCTTAATCCATCATACAAAAGAAAAAAAAAGCCCTAGTATACAGCCTCCAAATCCTCCCTTAACAGGAGAAACTCCCCAACCCAACACACATACACACACCGCTTGATTATCACAAAAGAGAGCTCCAAAAGAACGACAGGTCAAGAAGAGAAGATGCTCCGACAGGAACCCAAGAACCAAGTACACAAGATAGATCACCAAAACCCCCTAATAACGGTCCACAAACCGCCCGAAATCGACCAAATGCACCAAACAAAAACCCCCGAACCCCAAACTCCGTTCCTAGCAAAAAAGAGACTTCTTACCTGTGTTGTTGATGTTGAGCCCGTCAAGCGATTGTCGTACCCGTAGCGGAATTCCCATGCCTAGCCCAATGGCGCCCATGCGTCGGTGCTTTTTGGTGCGCGGCGTGGTTTCTTCTTCTTTCTCGGATGGGCCTGATAACGGCTCTGGGTTTGACGGTGATGGTTCCGAGGGAGTTGTGGTAGCGTACGAGGTGGTAGGACGGAGGAGATCTGAAGGGGAGGGCATCGAGCTGGCAGAGGCCTTTTTCCGGAGTGGTGATTTCGGGGGAATCGGGATCTTCAGGGCACTGAAGCGGTTGCTTGGTGGCTGTAGGAAATGTACCATTTCGATGAGGGACTTGCGGCCGCTGAGTCTGAAGCTGTCGCGCAGAGATCTGGATTTGGTGCTGAGCTCTTCTTCCTCTTCTTCATCTGCTTCCTTTTCGACCTTTTCTACCTCTTTCGGCAGAGAGGGCAGCTCCTTCTCCTGTTGATGTTGCTGATGCTGTTGCCGCTGCCCTGCCCCTGTCCCATTCCCTACTATCTCATCCTCCTCCGGGATATCTTCAATCACTCGACTCTTGATCTCCGGCAGTGAGCAACTCCGCGCGATCCTCTTGGGCCCAAGTCTCTCAGAATCAGACTTAATCTGCCTCTCCAGGTCCTCGAGCCCTGCTTCGATAATCGCAGACACAGTTCTTCCTCCCTCAATTCCTCCTCCAGCTTCGATGTCCTTCTCCTCGCTCCCGGACCGAGATACGTTCCTCGACCCGGCCAATGTATGTCCTTCCGATGTGGACGAGGATGATGAAACCAGCGTGCTCTCGGAATCATGACTATTCACGATCCGAATCGATGATCTTTTGCTGAGCTTGGTTGCATTGCCGGTGCCGGTGTTGCTTATCTTTCCCTTCTCAGTCCCGGACTGTGGTTCAGGTGCGGTAGACGGACACTGCTCGTTCTGTCGATATGAATACGTGTACGTGTACGTAGGCGAAGCGACGGATTTCGAATTCGAGTTCGAGTTCGAAAGACTAGACATAGGAACCGTCTCCTTCGCAGGCACAGGCGGACGCTCGTCTGGCTCCGTTGTCGGTCTCTGTTTTCGTTGAAGACATGATAAGAGGAGGGTTGATAGCGAGCCCATTTCGCGGGTTTGTCGGCTCATTGGGAGACGTTGCAAGAGCCTTGATTGAACGGGGGGGTGGGCGGATGAGGCCATTTATATCGTCGGTTGTGGCGGTTGAGATGGGAACCGGAGATTGCTTTTTGGTTTTGACTTTGGGGTATTGAGGGTCTGGAGGTGGTGATTGATGTATTATGCGTGTGTATGTATGTAGATGTATGTATGTTGATGTAGGCGAGTGGATTATCTTGGTTGTTAAAGTATAGGTAGGTAAGAATGGAGAGTAAGAGTATCTTCCTGCTTCAGTGTCTATCCCAATGGGAGATCAAAATAGATTAGATAGCAGGTGGCGTGAATTTTCCCCCTCTTTCTCTCCCTTTCTTCCTCACCTGGGTGATGGTAGCGTTGCCCGCTAAACTATCTTCCAGATTAAGCTACAAACTAACCCACTAGACTGTCTGCTGTCTGCAAGGAAAGAAACAGATCCGGTGAGGCGAGGCAAGGCAAGGCGAGGTGAGTTTACCGTTGGATGGGAATTAGGGCTTTCTCCAGACTCTCGATGTCGTCTTCTAGACGTGGGCGGATGTATGCTTGTCGATCGTTATTTCAGGGAGCTTGCTCTGGGTAAACTCAGTCATCTTTATGGTCTACTCTCTATAGACATGTATTTGAATCCGGACTGATGCCCAAATGACCTGAACCTGTCTTGTCAAACACCAAAACGTGTCTGCATCTGACTTGTCCATGTGCAGTCCTGTACTCCAGCCTGATCACTCGTGCAATAATGTCCTTGACGAGGTTTGTCTTCCTCGAGGATCTGTCTCCTGCGTGAACTCTATGCATGCATGCAAGGGTCGTCGTGATGATATTGCAGCAGCTACCTTACAGGAACCAAAAACAGCCAATCATATCGAATGTACCGAACAAACATACAAAGAAGACTCAATTTAGAGAGATAAACAAACAAACAAACCTCACAGCTTACTTTGCGCAGTTGCCGTGTACAACGACCGAGAGCGCTGCATCGCCTCCAGGGCTTCTTTCTCGATGCGCGTCAGCAGCTGCGCACAAGTGGGGATATCATGGATCAGTCCGATGACCTGACCGGCTGTCCACACCTACAATACGGGTGTCTGTTAGCAAGGGCACGAACGTCGCGGGCAACGGTGCAAGGCAGAATCGATAAAGACACAGATGGCAAAGAACTTACTCCGAAATCCACGTCTCCGTTCAAAAACACCTCCCTACCTCTCTTCCCGCTCACAAACGGTGCGATCTCCGTGAACTCGCCCGTTTTGCTCTCCTTCTCGACCTTCAGCGCCTCCTGCGTCACCTTGTTGGCGAACAGACGCGTCGTGTTCTTCCACCGTCTCAGCACCAGTGCCGTATCTGTCTCCTCGGCCTTGACGATCGCCTCCTTTACCTGTTGGTGGATTGGCGCCTCGACCGTGCACATGAACCGCGTGCCCATGTTGATGCCCTCGGCGCCCAGCGCCAAGGCGGCCGCCAGCCCCTGCCCGTCCGCAAACCCGCCCGACGCGATGAACGGGACCTTGAGCTCCTGGCGAGCACGGCTGAGGAGGATGAAGTTCGTGATGTCGTGCTCGCCGACGTGGCCCGCACACTCGAAGCCGTCGATGGAGAGGAAGTCGACACCCAGCTTGATGGCTGACTTGGCGTGGCGGATGGTCGTGCATTTGTGCAGGATGGTCGTACCGGCTTTCTTCAGCTGATGGATCACGGGGCCCGGGTTGTTGCCAGCCGTCTCAACGATCTTGACGCCCTCGTCGATGACCACCTGCGCGTAGGCGCCGTAGTCGGGCGGCACCAGCGCCGGGAGCAGGGTGATGTTCACGGCGAACGGCTTGGGCGTCATGGCGCGGGTCTTGCGGATCTCTTTGCGGAGGTCTTCGGGGGTGGGTTGCGTGAGGGCCGTGAGCTGTTGTTTTGTTCGTAGGTGTTAGCCCTTCTCATCCCTGTAAAGCCTTCAGTCAGGGGCAAACGTACGATTCCAAGACCGCCGGCGTTACTGACGGCCGCGGCGAGTTCGGCGTATCCGACCCATTGCATTCCACCCTGTACGACGGGGACTGGTGCAGACGCAGGTTGTCAGTGAGATCTGGCAGAGAGTAAGGGTGTATAGATCTGGACCGAGGTACGGTACCTTCGATGCCCAGTTTGCGGGTCAACTCCGTGTTAAAGGGCATGATGTGGAGTCTATTGTCTCTGCTGTATGGGTGTAGATGTAAGTGTATTCATAAAAAAGGGAATGAGAAGGGACAACTGTATCAGGACTGAAGGTGGGTATAAGAAAGACAGGAGACCGGGGCAGATGAACAGAGCCAAAGCGTTAACCGCGGTGTGGGGGACGTCCGAGCCGAGGTCCCGTGGCCGAGGACGGATTACTATTCGGATTCTGGGGGTTTTTGCCTCTCAGTGTTTCGAGATTAGTTATTCGTGGCGCGGAGAAGATGGGGTACACTGAAAGACAAGAGCTAGCGATTCATTCATATACTTTTGGAAGGTTTTCTTCAATGGAGGATTCGCTGTCGTCGTACAGTGCCTCCGCATGTGATCCGCCGAGTAAAGGGAAGATGTGTGCAGACTGTAGAGTGAAGCTGTTCCATTCTCACTAGCATCATCCTTAGAAAATACGTAGAGCAAAGAAACTTCATCCTTTGGCCAGATGGGATCTGTCAAACTGTAAATGAGGATTGTGATAATTGACGCCTTGACGCCTTGACGCCTTGACGCCTTGACGCCTTGACGCCTTGACGCCTTGACGCCTTGACGCCTTGACGCCTTGACGCCTTGACGCCTTGACGCCTTGACGCCTTGACGCCTTGACGCCTTGACGCCTCGACACCTTGAGGCCTTAGAGCCTTAGAGCCTTGTAGCCTTGTAGCCTTGTAGCCTTGTATCCTTGTAGCCTTATAGCCTTAGTGCCCTGGAGCCTTGAAGCCTTGAAGCCTTGTAGCCTCGAAGCCTTGAAGCCTTACAGCCTCAGGCAAGTACCTCAGGCATGAAGATAAGGCATCAAGTTTGACCGCCCGCAGACCCTAAGCCCTAACTGCCCAGAGCGGTCTAGACTCAAATCTCGATCTTCTCTCATGACGCTCAGGTAGAAACTTTGCGATAGGAATGACTTTGTGATCTCTCATCAGCCCTCACTCCCCGATTGAACGTCGTCACCATGCCCTCCCCCTTCCTCACCCCCGGCGCACAGACGCAGCTCGACAACCTCGCTCTCCTCCACCTCCGCCGCGACCAGACTATCCCGGCCCTGCTGCGCCTGCACGATGACGAAGACCAGGGCTACAGCGAAGGGAAAGTTGTCAACACGCGGTTCGGTTCGTTCCCGCACAGCACGCTGGCCGACCAGCCGTGGGGGTCGCAGATCGTCGCATCCAAAGTCGACACGGGGTCGCGCGGCCGCAGGGACCCGTCGCAATTGAAACGGAAAGCCGACGATTTGGATTCGTCCCCGGCCGGGGATAACAAGAACAAGAAAGGATCTCCGAAGGTGCCCGTCGCTGCCGCTAGCGGCTTCCTGCATGTGCTCGCTCCCACCCCGGAACTGTGGACTGCGTCGCTGCCCCATCGGACGCAGGTCGTCTACACGCCGGACTACAGCTACATCCTACACCGGCTGTGCGTGCGACCGGGGAGTACGATCATCGAGGCCGGTGCGGGCAGTGGATCGTTCACGCACGCCTCGGTTCGCGCGGTGTTCAACGGCTACCCGGGCTCCGAGGGCACGAATCCCAACAAGAAGAGACGACTAGGGAAGGTATGCAGTTTCGAGTTCCACGCGCAGCGCGCCGAGAAGATCCGTTCAGAGGTCCAGCAGCACGGGCTGGACGGGCTCGTGGAGGTCACGCACCGGGATGTCTACGAGGATGGGTTCCTGCTGGCGGATCCGAAGACGGGCCCTTCGCCCAAGGCCAATGCCGTTTTTCTGGACCTGCCGGCGCCCTGGCATGCGCTGAAACACCTGGTTCGTCATCCGGCGTCGGGTGGCGAGTCGCCGCTGGACCCGTCAGCGCCGGTGTATCTCTGCACGTTCTCGCCATGCATGGAGCAGGTGCAGCGGACGATCAGCACGCTGCGGCAGCTAGGCTGGCTGTCGATATCGATGGTCGAGGTGGATAATCATAAGATCGACGTCAAGCGGGAGCGCAACGGGTTGGAATTCGAGGGCGCCGCTCGAGGAGCCGTCGTGTTTCCGAAATCCGTGGAGGAGGCCGTTGCGCGCTCGCGCCAGATCGAGGAGCGATCGCAGAGGTTCCGCACGGAGCAGGAGGGTGGGAACGAGGGGAGCGATGCAGCACCGCCTGCTGAGAAGAAGCAAGAACAGAAGAAGGAGCCAGAGCAACCTGCTGCTTTTCGGGAATCCGACCTTCCGTTTTACAAGCAAGGTCGCTTGGTGCATCGGTCCGAAGCGGACCTGAAGACTCACACGTCGTATCTCGTCTTCGCCGTCCTACCGCGCGAGTGGTCAGAGGAGGACGAGCAGAAATGTCGGGAGAAGTGGCCGTCAAACCAGGTGATTGAATCGACTCAGCCAGCACCCAAGGGCAAGAGGCAGCAGAAACGCGAGGCAAAGGAGCGGTACGAGGCACGAGAACGGCAAAGGCAGGAGAAGCAGAAACAGGAGAGTGAAACGAACAACGCCCAGGAGTAAAACACCGAGCAAGCCGCCCCAAGAAAAAAGAGCTGGACTATGTATTAGAACTGACTGGAATGAAACAAAAGCTTTTATGTACTATATTTAATTATCCTTGGCCTGATTAGAAGATATCAGGCGAAACACTACGAACAGTCAATGGAACCACTGAGTCAGCTATCCTTTCCTCAACATCAACATGACCTCTAATCTAATACTCTGATCATTGTGCAAACGAACATGATATCCTATGTAAGACAAGTCGAAATTGTGCGTATAAAGTCATATATTAACAATGCATATAGTCTATGCCGAATTCTCCTCCTTAATATGATGCTGCCCGACAATAGTGAGGAACACCTGGTCCAAAGTGGTCTGACTAACGGAATAATACTGCACTCCTAGCAAGGCTTTGTTCCGCTCCAGACGAGAGAAGAGCTGACTGACACTGCTCTTGCTGCTCCCCGGGATCTCAGAACCCTCGGTGATCTCGTCCTTCTCCAAGATGGAGGAAGACTCGTCATCGGTTCCAAAGGTGGCAGGAACACTAAACCGAAGCTGACCGTGATATGTCTTCTGCTCGATGACGGCGCCGGGAAGATTCTCCCTGACCCAGCTACGAATCCGCTCCATTTCGGCATCTGTTGTGTGGGGTGCTTCCGCATGGACCAGGTGAACGTGATACATGTTCCCGTACTTGGAGCGCAGGAAGTTCGTCGTGCCAAGGGCGAGCATGCGCTTCGCCATGATGCCGGCGCGGTGGGCCAGGGCGTCGGCTTCTTCCATTGAATGGGTCGTGAGCACGATGGATCGGCCCTCAACTACAGAGGCGAGTGTTTTCCACATGACTCGCTTCGATGCGGCATCCATGCCGGAGGAGGGTTCGTCGAGAAGTAGCACGGTGGGGTTGCCCATTAGGGCGATGCCGAGGGAGAGCTTGCGCTTGTTTCCGCCGGAGAGCTTGGCTGCCATGCGGTGTTTGAAAGGGATGAGGCCGACGGCGCGCATGACCTCGGTGACGTTATGCGCAATGTCGGACACGCCACGGATGCGCGCGTAGAAAGTCAAATGCTCCAGGACGGTCATCTGGTCAATTGCATCGAACTGAGGGCATACACCTAGACGGGAGCGGGCCGCTGCACGATGCTTCAGCACGGAAATGTGGTCGACGAAGATGTCGCCACCGTTGCGAGAGGGCTGGACATCGCCGCGGACGAGAGAGATGGTAGTGGTCTTTCCGGCACCGTTCGGTCCTAGGAGGGCAAATACCTCGCCTTTTCCGACACCGAAGGTCACATCTTCGACGGCGGTGAATTTCATGAAAGTTTTGGTGAGATGGAGCACTCGGAGCCCGTCATCGGAGCCCGTTACGCGACTCGTTTCCGCGGCAAGGTCTTGGTCTATCGGGTCTTTTTCTTCCAAGTCAATGGCTTTGGTCTTGGACTTGACCCTGAGGAAGGAGAGTGGGAAGCCCTCATCAACCCAGATAATCAGTCCAAAGAGTACAAAGGACTGGACTATTAGGTAAAGAATCGGCCCTCCGTAGACCGTGATATCGCCGGGATAAGATACCATTTCTCGGCCTCGACATAGGATAGAGAATGTGTTTAGCGAAACGAACATAGAGCGGAGTAGGTTTCCGGATGGCGATATAGCGGCGATAGTGAAATGGGTAATGTTGATGTAGTCGTCTGTCTTGTCTGTCGGAGAATACGTCAACACCGCCATGTAGGCAATGAAGTATATGAGGAACAGACAACACTGTCCGCCAGCGGCGAATGCAAAAGCGGCCAGTTGCGATTTGCAGAACAAAGACACCAAGTATGACATCAAGGTAGCACACAGTCCATACAAAAAGAAAACGACAAAAAGATATCCCGGGTAGTACCAAATGTCGGAAACTGCCCGGAATATGATGATCGCCAGAACGCTACTAGCGACAACAATACAAAAGTCGAACGCAAGATATGCTAGCCAAAGTGAGACACTTCGGACGCCATTGCTGAAGTGCAATGCTCGCACATTGCGCAGACGTTCGATGGTTGGATACAGAGCGAAGAGAGCCGGATAGGCCGACATAGCGAGACCAAAGTAAACCATGAGCTGGAGAGTATCCCCGGCGCTCGGTGCCCAAGGAATATCAAGGTATTGAAATTGGAAGGCGATGGGAATGCCAGTCAACAAGCGATTGAGGCCATTCTGAGTAATAGCAGCGAGCGGAAAATCTCCATTGTCACCTTTCCAGGCAAGCGTCGTCTCGGAGGAATTGTCTCCTAACCAGAAGCCGCCCGGCGTTACGTTGGCATAATTGTTTTCGAGGTAGTTTGAGAATTCCGGAAGACTGTCCACCATGTGAAAGAAAGACTCGATGTTCGCAGGAGAATCCCCTGTGCTTGAGCCTCCATTGCCCGATAATGAGCCGACAAAATTCTCAAGGACAGATGTGGATACTCGATCAGACGGCCCAAGCAAAAGTTTGAAGCTGTCTAATGACCCTAAAGATTCAACATCTTGCGTCCTAGAGATTGATTCCCCGGAGCATCCGGCCTTATCAACATCCTGGAGGAAAAGAGTTACTAAGCCCGCCGCGATGATGGGAATTAAAAGAGCCGCCATGTATGGGATAGGGTTGCGGCGTAGGATGATGAATCTCTTGCGAAACAAATACCAGGCCTGGAGAAGCATGCCAATTCTCTTGCCTGTAAGGAGCTGTAACGTCTGGCGATCATCCTTGCCGTCCAACTTCTCATGGCCTTTGGGCAGTTCTTGCACATCCTCGTCGTCCACGGAATCCCGGGCCCTGTTGGAATCCAGCTCCTCAGCAACCTTGAGAAACACATCCTCGATAGTAGGCCCGCTGACTCGGTAGTCGGTGATCCCTTCTTGCTCCAGCATCGAAACAAAGCGAGCAGCTTCCGCCGAATCTTGAACCGTATACACCGTCTCATCGAAGTGAGATTCTTGGGGAATCCCCTTGAGTTGGGGACCCAATGTGATATGAGACCCTGGGACTTTCATGACATGAATGCGGTATCCTGAGCCGAGTCGATGTTTCAGCTCGACACTTGATCCCTCGGCCTTGAGGACACCCTTTGATAGAATGGCAATGTAGTCCGCAAGGAGATCTGCCTCGTCCAAGAAGTGGGTGGTTAAGAGTATAGTTCTAAACCCTCTTTCCGCGAGAAGGATATCCCAGATCTTTCTGCGGGAGATTGGATCGAGACCGGAAGAGACCTCGTCCACACAGCAAACAGAAGACCCTCCAGTAAACATCATTGCCAGCTGAACTTTGCGTTTTTGACCTCCGGAAAGCGTCCTTGATGGTGCGTTCACTTTCAGGCCCAAATCACAGTCATCAATGAGTTTTAGGAGTTGGTCATTTGTGTCCGTCTTTCCAGTAGTCTTTAGTCTGTTGAAGATTTTGACATGCTCCTTGACAGTGAGAGTGTCCCAGAGCACGTTTTTCTGAGGACATAAACCAAACTTTCCGCCCGAGGGGCCATAGCTGATATTGATTTCTCCCGAAGAAACCTTTGTCAGACCAGAAATCGCGTCTAGCGTCGTTGATTTGCCCGAGCCATTGGCTCCCAGTAGAACCATGATCTGTCCCTTGTTGACGTCTAATGTCAGATTATTGACCGCATAGACACTCTGGCGATTGCTCCCAAACCGGGCTGCTACATTTCGATGAAACCAGCCAGGTTGATAAACCTTACTGAATGATTTGAGACTTAGGGCGGCAGTACTGTCGCCAGAGACGGTTTGGCGATCTTTGGAGGTCGTACCATAAAGTAGACGCTCGACGATAGCAGCCAGAATAGGATAGGCAAAGATTTGGACGATGAGAAATATCCACAAGGCGATGCCGGGAAGAGACCATGGATTGTCCGGCGCTTCCTGAACAAGGTTTGTAGCAAGGCTCTGTTTCTCCCAGCGAGCCATGAAGATCAGGAAGTAGACATAGTTCATAGATGGGAACAAGAGCCCGAGAATTGCAACTGGTCCGTTGCTTTTGGCGGGCGCTACTTGCGCCACCACGCCCAGAAGCAAACAAATGATGACCACTGATATGCCGCTGAGTTGTGCTTTTCTGAAAAAGGAAGCACCGAAGATTGCAAAGGAGGACAAGGCCAGACCCACTAGAATGTGGTAGATGATAACAATGCCTGCCGAGGTCTCGCTGAAGACGCCGAACTTCAAGATTGCGCCGGCGACAATCCAGCCTATGCCGTACACCATGTCCAAAGCCAGATGGGCTGCGGTAAACCGAGCTGCTTGGGACTGCCAGAGAGAGTTATTCGGCATCATGCAGTCGATCAACTGACTCATGCCGAGCTCACGTTCCATTGCGACCAACCCGGTCAGCTGGTATGTGACTCCAACAATACCAATGAAAATAGCGATAGCGAGGATGTTGATGATCGAGCCCATGTAGTTTCTTCTTATCTCGTCCTGTCGCCCATCTTGAGTCAAAGAAGTGAACGGATACTGCATAATCTGTAGCTGGGTTAGCTGGAAGAGACACACGCGGAATATGCGTCCTACAAACCTCTTCCGGGAGCGCATTCTGACCATCAGAGCTGTTGACTTGAGCGATAGCCCAGTCAATAGAGTGCTGGAAGGGAAGAAGGTATATCTCCTGGTCGTTGTCATGAGAGTCGACCTCGATGCCTGCACCGAGGGCAGCGTCCGTTCGAATCGAGTAATTCCAGCCCTCCCCTGATCCCTCAGTTGGCGAAGAATAGAAGACCGCCGCCGCTATGCAGGACGACACACCTCGCAGAGTCGAGCGACATAGATCTCGGAGTTCACTCTCGGAAGATAGGATATGAACATCCTCATTGGCCCTTGCAGGTTCTGCAACTCGGTCAATGACCTGCTCGATGGCACCGCCAAGAAGGTCATTATGGACAAACACTAGTTTGTCTCTGCTCGCGCCGACAAGCCCTAGGGCGTCCGAGAATGATCGCAAAGCAGTGGGGTCGCCGATTCCGTATGTTGCAGGCTGGACGAACAGGTTTCGAGCATAAGAGCTAGTTCTGTATGAGATCATTTCACACCATGTTCGCGGATGGGGCGACGCACATGAACGCAACGAAGATTACAGGCAACACCAAGGCCCTCATAACCGTTGTAAACAGCGGGCGAACAAGAACCACTAGGAGGTTCTTGACCGTTAAGGTCCATACCTGCCTTAGGAAAAGTCTCATGACGGGAGCTGCGGCAGAGAGTGTGTACTGAATATCTGGAGGCGCATTTCGCGCTGTTGATTAACCACCACTCGTCAAGGAACAACACATGGGGGTCGTTGGATGCGACATCAGGCTGAAGATATTCATTCCAGAACCCCAGCCCGACCAGCGTCATTCGGGGCAAAAAAGGGCAGATGCCAACGGCTCCGCCTCCTGAATCGTGTTCCCCATCTTCCAAGAGCTCAATTATTGATTAGCGAGAGACAGAATCAAGTTGTTGGCCAATGAAAAAGGGTGTTGCTAGCCAAGCCAAGACGAACCAAGAAGGCTAGAAGAGCGGCATAAGACCGATCGATTTGGCGCCCAGAAAACATCGCTTAGGGAGATGTGGTTAGACGCATGACTGGATGAAGAGCGAACAGCCAATGATCACATCCATAAATGATCGATCGAGCCTGGGCAACAATTTCTATCAATTTTGGATGGAATTCTGAACTCGAATTTTGCCGACACGCGATGATGACTTCATTCATCATCGATCAGGGCAGTTTGACGATGACAAGAGGTTTGTCGGCAAATTGGCAATTCTCGTAGTCGTAAGATTTCCCGTGATCTGCCTAGTCGACAGCCCGCAGTCCAGCGTCCAGACTAGAGTAGATGAGTAGATGTCCGCGGAGACTTGACATTGTTTTGCCCTATATTTAGCTTATGGGTAGGAAAGTTCTGCAGTTACGTAGAACCTGAACATGAGAACGGACCGAGTAGACGGCAGCTATCCGGGCGTATTGAGACAAATACCCTATATTGTGTTCTATCCCAAGGTACAAACGATAAACGATCCAACGTCAAGTTCCATATACATGTGCTATTAATACAATCGCCAAATGCAAAACCCCAACTGCGCATCACGTCCCGATCACCGTCTCCTGTTCTGACGACCACCGGCAAGAGCGGACTTTTGGCGGAGGTAGTTCGACACGATGTTCTCAACGCTGCGCATGTCATGCCTGGGCTGTCTGTAAATTCGGAAAAAGTTACGGTTAGTCAACGCATAAGAAAGATAATATAAGACCATCATGGATAGAAACGCACCTCATGTAGTACAACCTGGCTCTTCTCTTCCTCTTGTCGGATCTCTGCACAATCTCCACACTCTCAACGTTCGGACTGAAAACCTTCACCCACATCTCAACTCCAACCCGGGTGAGCTCGTTTCGCAGCAAAAAAGAAGTGTCAATGCCGCGCAGACGGATGCTCAGACACACTCCCGCAAATGGGTCGCCGTTCTTGAAGGTCACGCGGAGGATGTCGCCGGGCTTGACACTGCGAGGGTTCCGTCGGTAGTCGAAGAGGGCTCTGCGTTCACCGTTGGGATCAAGGGTGGCCATTTGGGCGTCGGCGACTGCGTTCACGGGGTCTTTGCACGCCTTACGAGCGCTGGCCGGTGGAGGATAGGCACGGAGCTTCTTACGGCCTGTAAAGCTGAGTTAGTCACGAAAGTTGCACGGGAAACCCATGGACCCAAAAAGCGGATGGAACAGAAGAGCGCACCGAAGTTAGGCTGCATTTGCGGGGGTAATTGCGACAGCATCGACTTGGGAATCTGTGTAGGAAGAGGAACTGCCTCTGGTTTCGGAGAATGCACAGTCGAGAGGGATCGACTGAACTGAGCTGGCTTGAAGGTCTGAGGCTTCATGAGCGACCTGAAGCAGCCCAGCTGCCGCATTATCGGAGAAGCGGACGCCATGACCGGGGAGAATGGACGGACGGAGGTTAGAGGCGGAGATTGAACGATGTCCAGTCTCCGGGTAGAGCAGAGCAGAAGTTTGGAGATGGCGGAGGAAGATCCGGCCCGGCAGAATTTCCGCCAAGCCCGCGAATCCCAGAGAGAATCGCCAACTTTTCCGCCAGCAGATGAAGCCTGCGATTCTCCGCGTGTGATTCGGACTCTTGCGCCAGGACTGTGATCACGCAGCTGGACACTCACAGATCTTGTATTTAGCATATAACTTGATACCCCCCTTTTTTTGTCTTTACAACATGGCGCAGAACGCCATTGGCAGGCTCTTCCGCGGCCAGAGTTCCGGTTCTCTGCGTCAATCAGTCGGGTCCCTGACACAGAAGCGCAGCTACTCGAAAAATGGTACGTTTGCTTCTTTCATATCTGTTACTTTCGTGATAAGTTCTAACGGTGCTCATGTAGCCATTCCCACTTTCACCCAAACCTCCTCCGCCGACTTGGACGCCGACCTGAACCGTTTCCGAGAAGAGCTCTTCATCCCATTTGGACTGAGAACCTCGCAAAGAAGGATGATGTTCCGACAGAAGTACGCTGATCGATTAGATGAGGAACCCATCACTGTCCCCATCAGTGAGACCGAAAACTTCACGCTCCGGCCCATGGACCCGCAATCGAGACCGACGAACAAGGAGGCTGTGGACGTGATCGCCAAGTTGCAGACGACAAGTGACTGGCAGAACCTGCTGCCGTTCCTTTCTGGACTTCACATGTCGCACAGACGCCTCAATGCCAACCGGTGGGAGTGGTTGATGCGCAAGGCCGGGCAGGCTGATGCGCTGGGAATCGTTCTTGAGTGCGCCAAACAGTCGGAGCGGACCAACCTGCGACTGACCAATGCTGGACTCGTCCAGCGTCTGTTCTTCGAACTGCACCTGAAGGCCCAGCAGGGAGAGTTCCAGGATCCTGCCGTCTCCAAGGCTCTGAGGCTGGCGCAGCAGTTCGCCTCGCTGATGGAGGCTCCCGAGCACATCGATCCGAACCCGGACACGGATCCTAAGAGAAAGCCAGCGGTGATTGGTGTCTTGTTGGAGCTTAGCTCCGCTCGTGCACTTAATGTGAATGCAGGGAAAGATGAGGGCCGCAACGTTCGTGCCTATGCTCAGCGTCTGCTGGGAAGCTGGCAATTGGGCAACTTCAGCAGTGAGGTCAAGGATTGGACCAGCGTCGACCAGATGCTCCGGGACAACGTGCCTATCTACAACGGTATGAAACTTGCCTTGCAGGTTCACGGAATCTCCAACGACAAATCGATTGCCCCCGGCTTAAAGACGCGCATTAATGAGCTGGGCATCTTGATCGCGAACCAGAAGAAGCTGGCACCCGAGAAGGTCCAGCGAAAGCCGACCCTCGGTCTGGCACAGAGCCATCTCTTGCACCAGGGTTGAATGACTGATTACTGTTGTCTTTCTTGCATTGCCTATGAACTGTACATTACCACCTAGAATTCTCGGAGCTGTATCTTATCTGATTTTTTGAAATGGATGCGATATTTTCTCATGTACTAGATATGAGCGATATTCAACAGTCCCGCCAAAGCTATCTCTGGTCTTTAATCGCAAATAATTCAATTCAAATTTTGCTTCTTGACAAGAGGCATGAAACCGAGAGGAACAAACAATTCTGAAGCTCAACGCTAACGCTCAAAGTCACTATACTTGAGCAATTAAATCAAACCAATTGCAAAGTGTTGTCATCGCGTATGCGGCCTTGCGTGGGAAGAGTCGTCTTGCCAGAGATAACGGCAGGACCGGCAACGGTGATCTATCATACAGCTATTAGCTAAAACAAAAGACACGGACATTCGGGCAGACTTACTTGGCCTTCAAGTTCCTGGTCTTCGGGCACGTCAGTCAGCAAAACCTCAACGCTGCTCAAGGGAGATCCAAAGGGACTGGCTCCCTGGAGTCGCCTGTAATCGAAGATGTTGGTCTGAGCAACAGCGCCGGCGATCCCGGGGCCAGTCAGGGCATAGACAGTGCGAGCGCCGGTGAAGACCCTCAAATCAGTCAGCTGACCAGTGGTCAGACGGACTTCACGGTCCGCATCAAACCGATGAGAGATACACAACAGACGGAGTTTATCAAGTGACAATTCAGCGGTCGGCCCGACTGTGGCAAGCTGACTGAACAGGCCATGCGACGGCATAACCCCGGAATCAAGAGTTCGAACGTGGAACCAACGAGCTAGCGAGGTAATGATGCCGGAATGGGGTTCCATGTACTTGTCATGATAGTCGGCCATGGTGCGAGACGATGCGACAATGACAGTGGGGGACAATCCTACAGTGGCGAGCGCGAAATCAACGCTTTCACCAGCGACAGAGTTAACGGCAACGGATGCATTGGAATACAGAGCAGCCATGATCTGGCACAGGGGGTAAGACCGAGAAAGAGAGTCAATGGAGAGAACCAAATCACTGGGACCAAAACGCTGGTTTCGAGGTAATGCGTAAGTGAGGCCAGCGATACCCGAGACCAAGTTCTAGAGTCCATTTGTTAGCGATGGCTATGATAGAGAAGAAAGAGCTTACCTCTGATTGATATTCAATGAAATCACCGGGACCCGTCGCCGACGGCCAAACGGTGGTCAGGGACGGCGTAGGGGAATTGGGCTCCCACTTCGGCACCTCCAGTCCAGCCAAGTCCTTCTTCTCTTCAACCAGCTCATGCCAGACAGTCACTTCCAAGTTGCCCTTGACATCTTCAGGCACGTCATTCCAGTCCATATGTCTACTCCCCAGCTTTGCCACCCAGATGACTTGGTGAAGCTGTCTATTACTATTGGCCACATAAGACAGATCGAGAGCGCCGGCCTCGGCAATAAGAGCTTCAGCCTGGGACTTTTGCAGAAGTGCGGATAGAGATTCAGGGTCAAGGTTATGAGGGACGATAATGGTCTTGAAACCGTAGAAAGCGCCGGCTGGTCCATTGTCAGTAATCGCTAGATAATCGAACCAAGGCTCTTACCAAAGATTGCGGCCAACAGTTCAACCGAGTCTGTCAGACAGATTGCAACAGTTTTGATACCGGATTCTTGTAGACGGTGTCCAATCACATTGATCTCCTGAGTCACTTGATCCAACGAGTGTTCGATCGCTTTCCTTCCAAGCACTGTATAGACCTTGCCTTGTTTGCCCGAAATCTGGCCCGTCTCGTCGACGGCTCCGCGCACAGCAGCTTTCCAGATATCTCGCAAGTCTCCTTTTCTTCCACTAGTCCATTTCGGGGCTCCGGGGTCTTTCACATTGAGGCCGGAACGAAGGGGAAAGCCGTGCGGAGTCTCAAGGCTCCTGTAGCTGGCCGACTCGCCAGGCTGGCGCACGGGAAAGGCGGACGACTGACGGGCAAGCAAAAACGGATGAATATCGGGGTCGCTCGAGGTGACGAAGGAATAAATAACGAAGGCAACGATAGCGCCTGCGATGACGGTAGTGTAGAGGTTCCAGTCTGCCAGAACGTCAGACACTACGGCGTCTAGCTTGGCGAACAGCGACGGTTCCGAAGCCATGGTTGGAGTGCTAGTATCTCAGCGGAGAATTGTAACCATGCAAAGGAAATTGAGAAAGGGAATAGTCGGAAATAAATACTGAGTGGCACAGCCTCGTTGGCGACTTCTCCCAAGACCGGAATAAAAAGGGAGGGATTGAATGATGCAGGCAGAAGCGAGAGAGGGAGACGGTGACGTGAGGGAGGGCTGAGCTGCTTGAGGACATGTGGGGGGGAAAGCCCCGTCCATTGTTGGCTTTGCGTCTAAACCCGCCCGAGTTTAGCAGGAAAACTCCGCGTCAAAGGCGCTTGTGTGCACTCGTTGCCTGAGAAAAGAGGTGCATCGATCACCAAAACAACCACCTGCCTCCCTCCTCCTTCACTGCCTTGCGATAAACTATGGTCCCGTCCGGACCTTTATCGTGAAGTACCAGTATTGTCTCATCTGCATGCCAATGTACGTCTAACCGACTTCTCCCAGCTGGCTCTGCAATTCGTTCTCCGGTAAGTTCAGCAAGTTCCTTTCTTCTAGGTATGTTATCCCTCCCCCTCCTATACCAAGTCCTAGGGTTTGTGGTCGCTGACCCTATGCAGTCTTTTCCTTTCTTCTCTTTCTTTTGATTTTTTCGTTCGCACCGCGCTGTATACTTCAATGGCATCGTCACCCCTGCCCTCAACCCCTAGAGCGGTATCTGCGCCTTCTCCGACTGCCGATCAGTCTCGTACACCTGGAAAATGGCGCCATCCTCAACTGGCTGAGATAGTCCGGCGTCAGAATGCCAGCACATTCGGAGATCAAAACATAAAAAGTATTGTCTGGAATAGCGTCGCTCTTATTGCGGTGCGGGCTTACGGCGACACTGTCCAGTCATAGTGAGTAGAGTGTACTGCGGTGCGTTGTGTTTCACTACTGACCATTTTCCCCTCCTCAGTTCTAGTTCACTACTGAACACACTCGAAATCTCGAAGATTTTCAACTTGTTGCGTTTGGTTCTACAACTTCTATTCTTGTCAAACATAGCTCTGGCCCTGTCACCTCTAGTCCGATCAAAGGACGACCTCTCCGATATCCCCCTCACCCCTACTCAGCGCTCTCTCCTTGGCCTCGATCCCTCTACTACATCGCCCCTGACGCCGGGAAGTACATACGTCACCCCACCGAAGTATCGGCTTTCTGCGTCGCGAACAGCAAGCTCTGCTAGCAAGGTTGCGTCGCCTTTATCGACAAGCGCCAGCGCTTCAGGACGTCGACTTTCGTCGGGCGCATCGTTTTCCCCCTCTACCAGTCCGCTATTCCACAAGGCAGTGTCAAATGGTGGAAGGGACAACGGACGCCGGCCCAGCTTCGGATCGTCTACCGCGTCGTTCGGGCGGAGCTCATTGTTCGGAGAGTCCAGCATTGCGCCGTCGACTCCATCTCCTGTTGGTGGCAAGCGTGTGAACCTGGGGTTGAGCAACAAGTGGTTATATGAGCGGAGTCGGCGGCTATCAGCCAGTAACGGCAGTCTATGACTGGATTTTGTTAGGGAAGAATTACAGCGACCTATGGAAGGAGGTGGACGGCAGCAGTTATTTTTCGTAAGAGAAAGCGTTTCAGTTTTAGATCCAATTGTATCATTCCGGGAGTTGTCTATTATACTAGGTACGTGGAGTATGCGACCGGAGGCCGCAGCTCGAAATGAAATGAAATTTAAATCAAGCCAAGTCAACCAGATTCAAGGTAGAAGAGCGCCGTAGAACTAGTCTTGATACAGCACGGAGTAAATCCAGGCACGAAGAACGTCATGAGCAGAAATCGACCAGGCAGATCAAGGCACGCACGCTATCTGGAGTTCCCCGGTGCGGGCTAATCAGTAGCTCCCGCAAAGAACCCCAAAGAACAAGACCGCCAACATACTAACAAGTCCCATCCAACACGCGGCCTCTGACAACTGGGAGACCTTCCCCGTATGCGACTCTCTACGCACTCTTCAGTCTGACTTCTAGGCATTCTTACCTGCCCGACGACCGCTACTGCATGCGGCACATAGGCTCGTGAATACCGTTGTGGCTATCATGGGTGCCTCGGAGTCCAAGCTGGTCTTCAAGCAGGGGATTTTCCGTCTGTCAGAAGAGAGGGATATTCCTGGTGATGATCCGTACTGGGCAAGGGTCTGTTTGCCCTTTCGTGAACCTGCAGCATGGTAGATGTTTTGACCCCGGCTGATAATCCGTCTTGCAGTTCTGGGAGCTCCCCGAGTCGACGGAGGATGTCTTCAGCCTGTTCACCCCGGCCGATATCCGGCGGACTCGCGATCATGCCATTATGAATTTCGAAACGCTCTTGTTATCGGTGACGTCTCGTTTGATGATTCTGAAAAACCACCCTTCCTTCCCGGATCCCGAACTTGCTCCCGACCGTGACGCTCTCAACTGCATTCGCATCCTTACCCGCATCCTCCCCTTCATTTACGAGGCCGACTATCTGGAAGAATGGGAAGACAAATTTTTCTGGGGTCGTCGCAGGAGAAAGACGAGGGAGGCTCAGGTGGCGGCCGAGGTGCTCTTTGATGAAGCCCAGGCGGAGGAGACGCGCGATCAACCCCGAGCCAGCGAGTACGAAGACAAGAAACCTTTGGCAGAAGAATTGATCGATACTTTGTTGGATCTTCTCTTTTTCACCGACTTCACCATCCCGAAGCTGCCGACGGCGACAAACAAAGTTTCGTATTCCATCTGGCAGAGTGGTGTTGGGTGCAATACTTCCATGGGCTCTAGCAAAGAACTGGAGAGCAATCGCTGTGAGGTTCTTCGGCTATTGCTGACTATAACAGGGAAGGCTATGTATATGCCTTCTGGTAAAGCCTGCTCATGCTGAGATCAATGATGGCTTCGGTTAACAAATGTGCAGGATTACTCCCCGTGCAAGGCGTGAAAGCCATTACGTACATCACGACGTCCTCCGACAAGCAAGCGGTGCTGACCTTGCTTTGCTCCCTGCTGAACACGGTATGCTTGGAAGGACTACTCTTGCTTGGATTGTACGCTCACACCGATAGGCTGTCAAATACAACCCTGCTTCCTGGCGAGTCCCATATGATCACGTTGTGTGGAAAGACCCGAAGCAAATATTGGTCATATACTGCCTGCAGTTTCTTCTTGTCCTCCTGTTATATCCAGTTCCCGAGGATGGACGTGGCAGTCCGCCCAAGAATTACCACCGCCATTACTTTGGAAGGCTTCACCGGCCGCAGGATTTCCAATTTCTTGTTGACGGCATGACGAGAATTCTGAACCAGCCCGTAGGTCTCCGTCTCGAACCTTTGGGGTCTTGGTGCTCACATGAAATTGGCAGATGCAAGCGACAAATTCTTACCTCCCTGGTAGCCAGAAAACCGTCAAATGGGCGCCGGAGATGTTGATGCTCTTTTGGGAAGCCCTGCAATGCAATAAACGGTTCAGGTCGTTTATCATTGATTCGAAGCGGTCGCATGATTTCATTATCCTCTGCATATTCTACGCCATAGAATACAAATCTGACCCATCCAAACAAGGCATGGTTCGAATGTGCATCTTCATCCTCCAGACTATGAGCGTTGAGCCCAACTTTGGGAAGAGCTTGAACGTGAAGTTCGAAGCCCAGGAAACTCTTCCTCCCAGCATTCGCATTCCGGGATTCAAAGGGTCCTATGCCGACTATCTTATCATGGTTTGTTCTTTCCTGTCTCCGGCATGACCTCGCTGACCGTTCTAGTCCGTGCATACTTTGATTACCGGAAGCAAAGGCAATCTAAATGCTGTCTACCCGGCGCTGCTCGCAATCATCAACAACATCGCGGCCTACGTAGAGAACCTGTCGCCAGCGGCATGTTCGAAACTATTGCAGCTCTTCGCATCGATGTCCGCACCTAGTTTCTTGCTCGCCAACGAGTCAAACCACGGCCTTCTTTCATCCGTCCTAGAATCTATCAACACGATTCTGGAGCATCAGTTTACCAGTAAGCAATTCATCTTTGTTCGCAAAAGCCACAGCGTGCAGAAACCCGTCTGACGTGTCATAGAAAACCCCTTCTTGGTTTACGTCATCCTGAAGCACCGACGACGCTTCGAGGCAGTTCGGGAGTTTACACTCGAGAGCGGACAGCAAGAAATCGAACGCCAGAATGAGAGACGAAAGGCGGAGAATAGTTCCAACGAGGCCGTGTCTAGCCCCGTCCTGTCGGCGTCAGAAGAAGACCCTCACGCTTCTTCCGGCGCGCGATCGCCGTTGGGTCGCATCCCCGAAGAAAACAGTCCTTTCGCTATAGGCGGAGATGACGATTCTGAGGACGAGCAAGAAGGACAAAAAACACCGGCACATACGTCTCCATCTGTCCAGAGCTCGCGAAGACCCTCCATCTCTTCCGTCGTGGATGAAAGTGTCCCTCTACAGTTACGAGGCATGTCGGAGAAGGCCAGAGGAAAGATGCCCGCCGGCCAGCCAGCATTTTCTCGGCAAAATAGTATGACTAGCCAAAGCAGCATGTCAGCGGCACTCTTGACATCTCCCAACGGGTTCACGCCGACTGCAGCGTGGGTGAGTATCGATCCAACCTAAATCTCCCAACGAATCACTAACAGGATAAATTCCAGCTCGAGTCCTGGTTGCCAGAACTTCCACTACACACGATCCTGACTCTCATCTCGGCCATCACGCCTCACATCCCCGAATCTGCTTTCCAAGCGTCTTCAAGCCCGGAGGCCCGCACCCTGATCGACAATCTGCCTTCGTTTGCCGAAGACCCGGCCATTCACAACATTATATCCGAACCTGCTCCGGTGCGTGTCCATTCATTCGAATGGTCGGCGCTCTCCATGGGCTGGTATGAGTCCTTGCTCTGGGGATTCATTTTCTCGAGCGAGATGGTCGTCGGCTCCGCGTCGGGCGCAACCCCCGGCACCGTTGGAGTGTGGAACGGAACTGGGATTAAACTGTTCAAGGTCCAGGAGGCTGCAGCCCAGGGGCCCACGTTGCTTGCGCCGAAGGGGGCGGTGGATGCCGTTGGAAGCAACCTGGTGCAGCGGATTGGGAACCTCAGTCTTCGACGCACGAGCACGCAGGACTCACAGGCCAACTCTCGGCCAGCGTCGATTCGAGAAGTCTAACTATTTTCTTTCTCCCAAGCGCTCACTCCATCTCTGCTGGTCGAACTGGGGTGTATTCGTGTGGTTCCAAGAACATAGCTTGATTTATAATGATTTCCTTCGTCTACATGATACCTGATAGGCGTTTTGCAATTGAGACGATACTTTTTGTGCTCTTTGGTCGGACATGGCCTACCTGGGCGGGCTTTCCGTTTGATTTTATTTCGTTTCAATTCGTTTCCTTATCACACTATTCTTTTGCATGCTCAATTGTTCAACCGCTATCCTAGTAGACCATAGCCCTAGTAAATTCCATAATATATTAGAGACCGGTAGTAGCAAATTACCTTCCCAGCCACCGACCGCACCAAATTGATTAAAATAGATAATTGAATCAGTCCACTGTAGTCTGGCTGTTCGCTATATTCAAATCCCAACCCCGTTCATCGGAATGGGAGGCGACGAGACGTTGGCCAGGATCCGCCACGTGAGGGCGTCGACCGTTTTGTTTGGCAGCTCAACGTCGCCGGATTTTCTCGGCTTTCATCATTTGTCCTTCCACGGTACCTACAAATCCGTCCTCTATTTATCTATACTCTGTCATTGTTATCTGTATTCCTATTTTATTCTTTACTCTCACTCCTCAAGGAGTTTCCAAGCGGGTCTCCGTCTCTGCGATTGCTCCTGCAAAGATGTTCCCGTCGCGGTCGCTTCTCGTCGCGAGCCTGCTGAATCTAGCGGCGGCCATTCCATCGGAGCTGCAAAACGTGCTGAAGAACACTCATGGCGGAAGTGAGTATGGTTATCCGACGGATTTGACGAGAGGGATCATGCCTGTAGGTTGTCTTTGAATGTTGAATTTCCCCCGGACTGGCAGGTTTGGCCAGCACCAAATCAAGTATGCAAATGGCCGCGGAACAGCAAAGGGTTGACATTCGACGGTTCTACTCTGTAGATCCCAGTGCATTCCCATAAGTATGAAGCTCTCAAGATCCATCTTTCAAGTGACTACTTGCTCACTATTTCCTAGTGATTATTGGAGAGATATACCCTTCTATAGCGGTATGACATGGTTCTTGCCTCTCCCTTCGGTGATAACTGACTGTCTTCTACAGGCCTCTCCAGAGGATGCGTCTCCACCGAAGCCGATGTGTGGCTGTATAACGGCACCCTCTATGTGCGAACTCCGGTACCAATGCTCGTTCGTCTATGAAAACTAACACCTCGTAGGTCGGACATGACGAGTCTTCCTTGACTGAAGAACGGACCTTTGAGTCCCTCTATGTGAAGCCCATGCTAGAAGTCCTTGAACGCCAAAACCCCCAAACTCCCTTTGTCACGTCGCCCACGAACAAGTGAGTTAACATGATCGGAGTGATCTACCCCTAGCTGACAATGGACTACAGTGGTGTTTTCGACACGGATACATCTCAGACGATGTACTTCTTTGTTGATTTGAAAACATCAGGGCCAAAGACCCTCGAGGCCGTGACTGCTGCGCTGCAACCCCTCCGTGAAAAGGGATACCTCACGGCATTGAAGAGCAACAAGACCATCACGCATGGACCTATCACCGTGATCGGAACCGGGAACACCCCATTGAATCTCATCGGACCCGTTGCAGACCGGGATATCTTTTTCGACGCGCCTCTGCATGCGCTGAACCAGCCGGAGTATGCGGGTGTCACGTCTCTGATCTCACCCATCGCATCGACAAGCTTTAAGCGGGCGGTCGGGGCTCTCAACTCCAGTGACGACAATGCGATCCTAAGTGAAGAGCAGCTGGATAGTCTGCGGTCGCAGATCCGAACAGCCAAGAAACGAGGAATTGGCGCCCGGTACTGGGAGACTCCTTACTATCCTATCTGGGCTCGCAATGCGGTCTGGAGGACGCTTCTTCAGGAGGGGGTGGCGCTGTTGAATGCGGATGATCTGGATGCGGTGTCTGAGTACTTCTGATTCTAAGCATAGACGAGGAGTGGCATCTCTAAAGCGACCGTTGTTTTAGTGTCACCGTGTTGACGATGATGTCATTTGTATGAGTTTACATCGCATTCCAAGTCGCTCGGACGATGAACGGTTAGCATCCCAATTGCACCTGTAGAGATAAGGTAAAAGGGAACTCGAGGCCAATTGACCTCGACGAAGTGTAAAAAGAGGAATAGATGAAATTACTTGATTGTACTGGAGGCACGTGATACCCCGGATTTTCCAACGGGAAAACCGAAGAAGCAAAGAAAAAAAAAGGCGAGAGAAGCAGAGAGAGACTTCATTCAAGGGGAACATTCCCCTTTCCCCCCGGCGATCCGGCCATCGGTCAATTCCCCTCCTTCCTTCCTCATCTATGCAACCCTCCTTCTCTCAAATACCTGCGCCCGGCCGTCATGTCCAACGTCGACGTTGATCTGGGAGACCTCTTGGCCAAGGTACTCCCCACCGATGTGAAGCTCACCATTCGCCATGTCTCGTCAGTGCCAACTCGCTGTGTAGCGCTCTTTGCGCCACCCCCGGGCGAGGAGCCCGAGTCCACCTTCTGCGAGAACCACTTCCTGTCCGTCTCCATCGCCGCCGACGCCAATGCTGACCAGAACGCGGCCTCCGCGTCGGCATCGGAGCTCATCGTCTTCGGCATCGAGGTCCTAGTCTACAGCACCGCGCACCTCACGACCATCTTCGTCTCCAAGGCTGACTCGACGGGCCACCTGCACCTTCTCCGGAACGCACCCAAGATCTCGCTCCTGCGCCGCGTCTCGAACACCTTCCTCTCCTTCCTTGTACAGACCCGCCAGCGCCCGGGCGTCCGCCTCGTCGTGTCACTGTTCGCCCGGGCCCAGAACCAATACCTCTTCCCCGGGAGCATCGAGAACGCTGAGAAACACGTGCTCGATGACCGCGGGCTGATCAAATGGTGGTGTCGCGTCGTGGACCCCATCCTGCGCGAATACGAGCCCGAGTCGCGCTCCCACGAGAAGGGCCTCCTCGACCGCACCATGGAATCCTCGCGCAGCTCGGCCACCGCGTTCCTGATCGTACCGAGTTGCGACCGCTTCGAGACCCGCAGCTTTTTCCCGCCCAGCGCGAAGACCGACGACGCGGACCGTCCGCGCTGGCTGAACAGCTACCCGCTCCGTCAGCTGTGCGATAACCCCCAGGCGCCGCCGCGCTGCTTGATCCCGCGCTTTCCTGATGACCCGAAGACGCGGTTCTTGGTGGACTTGGATGACGAGCTTCCCGGGAACAAGGAACGAGAGGCCACCGGGCAGTGGAGGAGCGTGCGCTCCCTCGAGCAGTTCTGGGAGATGATGTCCTTCCGACAGGAGTGTTCGGCGGGTCGCTTGGTCGGGTTCCTCTGGTTGGTGATCAATCCGCCGGGACTGGTGAACTCGGTGCAAATGACCAGCTCGAGATTGGTGCATCGGCCGACGGAGAAGGAGGTCTCGTCAGATGCGGTTCCCACTGCTTCATCCCCGTCCGACAAACCCACCGCGACCACCGATCAGCCCCCCCAATCCACCACAACCACACCATCCTCCGACCTTCCTTCCACGCCACCGAAACCTCTCACGCAGCCCACCGACGCCGACGCATTCTACTGGCCCGAGTCCGGCCGCGGCCACGCCGTGCTGAGCGAAGAAGACTACAAAACGGCCATCAACCACCTCCTCGACCAGGACTTCTACAACGAGGAGGTCTCTATTACCAGCACCAGGGCCTGGAGCGAGAAGGTCGCCTCCGTTGCGGACCAGCTCTGGGTGGGCCGCGAGGTTGTCGGCCGGAATTCCAATGGCAATGCGCCGCTGGCGCCCGTCGTGACGACCACACTCATGGACAGCGGGCTGGTTCGGAAGCGGAAGAAGCCTGATCCTGGCAATACGGAGCCGCTGTCTGGGGATTCAGCTGCGGAGTCTGGGGCTGCTGAGAGTCCTGCTACAACTGCAAGTGCCGTTGGTACCCCTACCTCGAACCCGTCTCCGGCAGAGGAGCCAGGACAGCAATCATCCGGGGTGAATGTGCTTCAGGCAAATCTGATTCGGAAGAAGAAGAAGGCTTAAATTTTGGATTTTCAGTGGTTGATCTGGCCTGAGATATTTCTTTTGCTCTTTCATTATCTTTTTCATTTCCTTACTTTCTGCATGCAATTGGAGTTTTGAGATTGGAAATGGGGTTAGTGGTGCTTTTTGCTTTGGGGGACAAGGGGGGGGCGAAATATGAACATTGGCCAGCGAGATCTGCTCTATTCCATATCCGTGGATTTAATTTTTGGTTTATTACGCATATTTTTGGTTGTGGCGGGTTGGTTTTAACCAAAGTATATCCTTGGCATATTTACACAGTCGGCTATCGATGGCCAGGACGAATATATCAGCCTCATCAACACTACAGCCCTACCGTCGTTCTTCATACACCATGTCTTTGAGCCGATTGCCGCTCGAATTAATCCTTATGATCGCTCGCTTCCTTCGTTGCCATAGAGATATCAGCTCTTTCATGCGCTCTACCCGGACATTCTACCATCTGGTACATCCCATCCTATGTCGCTTCAATGCACGCAACCACCGCAGCAGTGGGTTGCTATTCGCAGCCACCAACGGCCTTACCGACTTGGTGGAGAAACTCTTTGCTGCCGGCGCCAGCATTGAAGCATCCGACCGGACAAATGACTCTCGCGAATATGAATTGAGGGTTGACGGATCCTTCACCAAACCAGGCAACCCCATCCTCGCCGCTGCCTATCATGGCCACCCTGCAACCGTCAAAGCCCTGCTCAGCGAAGACCGACCGGGTCAATCATACGTAAAGCCCCAACTGCGCCCAGTTCTCCACTGGGCGCTTCGCTCTCAGAAGATCGAGATCGTTGATTTGATGCTTGCAGAAGGGGCTGGGCTAGGTCCGCCACATAACATTGATAGTATTTATGAGGAAGTATGTATGAAACAGAACACTGCTCTTGGTGTTGCCATTTGTTCGGGCTGCAGCAACGAGATCATTGAGCGACTTTTGCAGAGGGGCGCAGAGGTTTTGGAATATGAGAGGCCCCACCCTTGGTACGAAGCGACCGTGCAGCGTGAAGGTCAAATGCTTCAACTACTGCTCAAGCATGGTCGCCGACCCAAGTCGGACAAAGTTCTAGGTGAGCTAGCGATGCGAAGTAACGATACTAGTGCGCTGGCGCGAATGACAGACCCCGCGAATGGAGGATTGGATATCCGTGTTCATGGCCATCCAGCATTGTTCACGGCCGTCGAAAAGGGGCACTTTGACATGGTCAAGTACTTGATTGCGCATGGAGCAAATCCGAATCTCCGGTGCAACTACTACGAATGGCGTGGGCCTTACAGCACGGTCTGGGCAGCGGTGCAGGCCCGGCGCATGGATATCTTGGACTACCTCGTGACCGAGCAGGGTGTTCGTCCAGACGAGCAGGACCTCCAGCAGGCCGTTAAAATGGAATTTGAAGAAGCTGTTACGTTCCTATCCTCACACGACTACCAAAATGTGCCGGAAAAGAAGGACATCCCATCTTACGTGGCAGTGATGAAGCGGAAGATGAAGTTGAAGCGGGTGCCTGGCTTCGACATCGTGACTCGCTCGCCTCTCCGGTGTCCAACCAGTGAAGCAGAGTGGTATTTCATCGAGCGCCCTGGCACTCCGGAGTGGCACTAATGACAGCTCGCTAGAAGAATGCCTTAATGCAGCAGTCTGATTAATCCAAGGCGATAATTTAACTTGCTATTTGTACTATGTACGGTCAACTTTTCTGCTTCAAGGCTCGCTCTAGACCTTATTACTTACCTCGGTACACTCTTTCCAAGGGAGTGCCAATGTCGGGCCTTGGCTCTCTCTGGTTAGTTAAGCATTGAGAACTACCGATTAGCTATTCCTATAGATCTAGTCTTTTATACATCAAATCTCATTTTGGCTGTGGTTGTGGTTGTCGTATGTTGCGTGATACCCCGCAATTATCGGTATGCCACTGGCTATCTACATGTTTCATGAAAGGACTCCGTGGTGTATTTGATCTACCGTGTGTGGGCCGTATGTTATGTTTGTCACTATATGGTTCTTTAGACAGTATATCAAAATGGTTATGTCCGCTTTGAAAATGAACATGAACATATCAAGTCAGCAACGAGATCTGCCTATCATAACCTCAAATAGCACATCACAGTCATGATCATGACAAGATGCCAACAACCCAAGCAAATCACCTTAATAAATGTACCGGAAACTAAACCACAAACACAATTAGCAGCTCACACATCAACACGAAAGAGAACAACAACAAAACAGGACCGAAGAGGGGAATCGCAAAAACATACTTCATATTCTCCCGATCCGTCAAATCCATGAACGCCGTGGAATCCAGATCCCGGCCTTCCAAACCACCCTCCATCTGCGATTGGATTCGATCACGCTTCTTGTTCTCCCAGCGAAGTAGCAGCCCGAGGGTGCTGATGAGGACGGCCTCGATCAAATGTGAGACGATCATGGACCAGATGCCGAGCTCGTAGGTGGGTCTGTACATGTTGGATTAGTTTTTTCTTGTCTGCTGATGGCTGCTTCTACTTCTACTTCTGCTTCTGCTTCTGTTACCAGGGGGAGAAGCGGGGTGATTTACTTTTGAGAATCCTTGAAGAAAAACGGACCCGCGATGTTTCCCGTACAGTAGCCGAGGAAAAGCACGGCGTTGGTGACGACTTTCTTAGTGTGGCCTTGTTTTTCGTGGTGATGAATTAGCGACATGGGATCAGTTATTACCTAAAGGATTGGGAAAAAGACACGCACCGGCTGTGTTCGCAATCTGCATACTCAGGATGAGGACAAAGGCGGCATTGTATGGACCTGTCAGGTAGTAGCAGATGAGACGGCCGACTTGTCGATCCGGCGGCACAAAGCGCAGCCCGAATGTTCCTGCGATATTCGGGATCAGGAAGATCAGGACAAAGACGCAACGTCTGTTCTCGAAGCGGTCATTGAGATAGACACAGGCGAGCACGGACAGGGCAATTAGGGCGCCGTAGGGGATCTTGAAGGATTAGTTGGCATGTTGTTGAGGGCGCGGACCCTCTGTATGGTGGGCAGGTTTTGGACATACCTGCATGAGAGTAGTTACTAGCGTGGAGTATCCGAATCCTTGGATGATGATTGTTCCAAAGTTTGAGATCCCACCGTTGGGGATGTTGCCTGAACAAGTCTCATCAGGCTAAGTTTAACAGGATAATATATATAGTGGTCACTTACAGACAAGTCCCAGGGTAAAGAAGAAGTAGAGCTTGTAGTCCAAAAATGCTTCTAGCACTTGACGAGGTTTGAGGTGCTTGTTTTCAATACCGGTCTGGTTGTCTCGTAGTCTCTCAACTGCGATCCTGCGCTCCCTCTGACTGAGGCCGGGAGCAGAGACGGGAGAATCAGGAAGGAGAATGAACATGACGATTCCCCAAACTGAACACAGAGCGCCGCTATGGAGAAGCCGTAGAATCAGTGAATTGCCACAGAGATCATGAAGGCCAGTTTCCTTACATTACTAAAAATTCGTACTTCCACGACGGAAGTGCGCCTTTGATATGGCCGATGCCATAGCCTAGCAAGCCACCCAGCGCGATACCAAGTCCATTGGCTGTATACCACAAACCAATGCGGACAGGTTGCTCACGTCGCGTATACCACATGCTCGTGATAAGCATAAATGCAGGGTCCGCGCAGGCCTCCGCTGCTCCGCCTAGAGCTCGGAGAACGGCGAGCGTAGCAAAGTTATGGCATGCTGCTTGAATCATGAGAAAAACGCCCCTGTGTTTTGAGTGGTTAATGTCGGATATCATTCTTCAAGATTGGGGCGACCACTTACCACATGAAGATGTTGGCTCCCAGGTACTTTCCTGTCAGTAAGAGATCAGCCTATGTCTCTTGCATATAGAGAAGGGAGTCATTACCGATTGGTAAACGTTGCATAAGAAAGTTAGTAGGAAAAGCCCATGCCAGGAAACCAAAGTAGAAAATACTGCTAAGCCAACTGTACTGTGTACCATGTAGATTGAGATCCTCATTAATACCGAAGATAGCGGCGTAACTCAACGTTGTCTATATTACCCAAATCGCGTCAATATGGAGAGCCCGTGTCGGAAGATAAAGGGTAGAAGACACACCTTATCGATATAGAAAAAGGCATAGCAAACAGCGAGATAAGGCAATATCATAAAATCAATCTTCCATAGCAGCCGTCTTGCTTCGGCAGGATCGATAGGCTCATGATCGTCCGAGTCATGGAAGAGTGCCATGGCCGTATCGCCCTCCTTGGGCTTTGGTGCCTTCCATGCTGCTTCGATATGGTGGCTTTCACTCTGCGTAGCTGTAGGTGTCTCCGCACCATTCTTGGAGCCTGAAGCTGGTTCTAGGCGAGGACTGCCCATGGTTGACTGCTAGACACCTATTTTCTTCCTGTACGTGAAATCCAAAGAGAGTTGGATGCAATGCTGAGGAACAACAAGTGAACGAGCCGTTTCAAAAGGAAAAGGAAACAGAGATTTCGACCACTTCTTGATGGACCTAGTGAGACAAGCATTTACCGCAAGGGAACCCGCTGGGTAGATATGCGCGGAATATTTCTCATCAGTCAAGCTCTTGTCAGGCCGGAAGAAGCTAGAAAGCCACAAAATTGATCGACCTTCTTCGGCCAGAGCTTGCACTTTGGGGCTTTCGTGGAAGCGGAATCGGATCGACCGTGCCAAGGTCATGGTCATCACGGCCTGATGAGGGGCACAGAGCGTCATGAGGATCTCACACTGGTGAGCCATACTCCGTACGACCGGCATCCGCACAAATTAGCTAGCTCCTCATTATGAGGGTGTCTATTATGATTTGGTTGGTCGCGAACGGTCCATATCTCGGACCAAATCCGAGACCATCTAGGGTTGGGGTTACTTTGTCGAAAAGCGACTAACAGGAATGAAAGCGTAGTAATAGGTGGAAAATTTCGCGGACGCGATGTCGATCGAAAAGGATGAGACAAAGAAGACGGGAATGGAGAGAAGACGTGGAGCCAACTAAACCCCCTCATGTGCGGGGAAATCTGGGGAATATTCATCACTAATCGACTGCATTAACTAACTAACTAACTAGTGACTAGTAACCATTTTTCCTAGTTCCTATATGCCCATTCTACACCCAGGAATTTATGTGCCCCGTGATTTGCATAGAAGTCCACATCCTCTCATCGCCGGTTGTACGCCAAGTAGCGTGCCTATATGAATGACCAATTAGCTGGAACATAGAGATAGATAGCAGGTTCCATCCTTGACTTACCGCTAAGAATATGATGATCAGATTCGACCCAATATAGGCAGCATAGATCCCCAAGTCCCGCCACCGGTTGTCGAATTCCATCTCGAAGGTTTGATAAAATTGATCACCGACTCTGAACGCACAGTACTCACAGGCCCGTGTGGCGTTCTCCACTAGGTATCCCACGCCCCCTTTCTCGAAGAATGGCTGCATATATTCCCCGCAGGTTTGATTTGGAGGTGACTGGAAGTAATTGTATTCACCAGGACTGCAAATGACGGGTCGGTCATGGAGCTCGGTCGTTACCATTCCACCAACGATGCGAGTGAAAGGGTCGAGCTGGTGAAGCCACACTCGCCAAAACTTTGGAATCTGTGGCTTTGGAACCATGACTCCACAGAACAGCGAGAATAGAATCGTGATGGGAGGATTGATTTGCGAAGCGATAAAACTGTTGGGTGTCAATGCTGCAATCACTTGGCCAAGAGTGACAGCAAAAAGTTCCGTGATGAGGATCATGAAGAATTGGTAGCCAGAACGACTGGAAGCGGATTGGAACCCGGGGATGTAGAAAAGCGGTAGGAAGAAGATGACGGCACAGAATATGCAGTATGGAATCTCAGCTATCACCATAGACAAGGCAAATGCAAATTCTTTGTATGTCTTCGAGGCGGACTCTCGGTAAAACACTAAGCGCGACATTTCATAGCGCGGCTCGACTTGTTGTATAATGATAATCGGGATAATGGTCACGTTGAAGATGATGAAAATCCGATATTGCAACGAAGCACGAGAGTCATCCAGTTGTAAGAACGCAAGACCGGTGATCACTGCGATATTCAAGTGAGTGAAGAAGCGAGTAAACCCATATTTACTAGACCGCCAAAAGACAATGTTAGTCCGCTTGCAGACAACCTTGATCTGGTGCCACAATGGCGTTGCATATTCCTTGTGCACAATCTGAGAACCGCCGGGCTGACGAGCTTGCTCGACACGATTGGCTTTGATCTCGACAATCTCTTGCTTTACTCGTTCTATCTCTGGGGACGTGCGCCAAATCTCGCCCCAGTCGCGGTCGCCAATTTGGGGTGTCTGTCCAGCGCCAATAGCGTCAAGCATCCATTCTGCCGGGTTGGTATCGGCAGGACAATCTGCTCCGTGTCGGTGGAAGTAATCTAGCAGGATTTGCGAATCTTCTCCGATATCGCCAAAGTACACGCATTCACCCCCTCTCTGCAGCAAAAGTAGACGGTCAAAGTTTTCGAAGAGTGCAGAATTTGGTTGATGGATGGTACAGAGAATGGCCTGACCAGCGGCCGCAAGCTTTCGCAAAAACCGAACAATATTGAAAGCAGACTGGCTGTCTAGTCCCGAGGTCGGTTCGTCTAGAAAGAGGAGTAGCTCAGGTTTGGCAGCGAGCTCAACTCCGATGGTAACTCGCTTCCTTTCTTCAACCGACAGACCCGTGTCGGGAGTACCGATGATGGCATCTGCCAAGTTTTCCAATTCAAGAAGTGATATAATCTCTTCAACATAGGCAAACTTCTCCGACTGCGGCGTTTCATACGGCTGACGAAGCTCCGCAGAAAACCGCAATGCTTCTCTTACTGTTTGCATCGACTCATGGACATCCAGTTGCTCAGCATAAGACGTCCCTCGCTGAAAGGACGTGGCAGGCGGTGCCCCGTCCACCAGTATATCGCCACTGATGACTCCGATATTCTTTCTCGCCGCCAAAACGTCCAGGAGCGTCGTCTTCCCTGCTCCTGATGCTCCCATCAACGCTGTCAGCTTTCCAGGTTGTACATACCCGTAGACTGATTTGAGAAGCCGCCGGGTTCCAGAGGGCACAGGAACATCGTAGCAGACGTTTTCCCAGGTCAATACGGATTTGGACGTGATTTTGAGATCGGTTCCCACTGCATCTTGCTCCTTCGAACGTCGATTCGCCCAGTTTTTCATCAAGTCCTTGTTTAAGGCTTTTCTTTGCTTGTTCTCCTTTTGGTAAAAGGTGACGGTTCTGCCCCCTTCGTCAAATCGAACCGCTTCTCCAAGGTACAGATTGGCTCCGAGAAAAGCAACAATGAGGGCTATCATGATACCGAAGTTCCGCCAAAGATCCCCCTTCATATAGTTGAACGTGGTTCCAATGTAGCCCGCTCCTGGGACAATAGCAGAGCCTGGTTCGCCTCCAGCGAGTGTACATGCCTGGTGCGCAATATCGTCATAGCCCGGCCCACTTGGAACCAGTGACTCTTGAGTACAAGTCATGTTCAGACGACTGAATTCGTTGACCATCAGACCCGCAAAGCCAAGACCAAATGGATTGATGAAATAAATCCACCTCAACCAGACTTGTGCACTTGCCCATTGGACTAAGTAGCCTGAGGTAAGCACGAACAAGGTAATAAGCACGGAGACAAAATTGATCGCGTGGTCGAAACCTGGGCACATACAGCCGATGGTGCGGAAAAAGACGGTCATATCGATATACCCAATGAAGATGATTAGGACAAAGATAAAAAAGGCTCCTGCATCCAGAGCCAAGCCACACATGAAGTACACTATTATGCTGAACACGAGAATCCTTGCTATGGCAAACGAAGCATCAACCAAAATTTGGGCGATGAACAGAGCACTTGGTCGGTAAAACGTGAATTGGCGGTGTTTGTTGACGATTGACCGGCCCATCATGGTGGAAGCAAGCTCGGAGAATGCTTGAAACCCGTTGAAGAGAAGACTCGTAAATAGAAGGCCACCTCTGGTAAAAGCACCTGCGCTTGTCTGCGGCTGTTTTAGCCAAACAGTACCTAAGACAATAGCCACCCCGGTAGACGTGATCCAAGAGACGGTCAATGCGAATTTGTCCTGCCATTTAATCAAAAACTGGCGTTGCATAAGAGCCCATATCTGCAAATAGAAGGGGACTGAATACACTGAAGACTTTGGAGTAAATTTGCGCTTTGCTTCTTGGTTAGCCAGCTCGAATTCCTCGTATATATGCTTTTCCCGTTGAATTTGCGTTCGATACACGTCCATTTCCTGCACGAGTCGTTCATTGTACGCGGAATTATTGAATGCCTCTGCGAGGGCACTAGGGGTTGAGGGGACGTCCTCAGCGCTGCGACCATCTTTGAACTCTCGTTCAAAAAAGTCCGTACAGCCGGTCAGATAATCAGGTGTAGTCTGGCGAGGCTTCTCCTTGAACCCGAGGTCTTCGAAATAGGATCTTGCTTCAGCAGCTGGGCCAAAGAAAAACTGGCGGCCTTTGTCAATGACAAGAACTTTGTCAAATTGCTTGTATATACTCTCTGAGGCCTGGTATAGGGAAACAAAGGTCGTGGTCTTATAGATATTGGTCATAATCCGAAGAGATTTGGCGAAGTCGAGTGCGGTCGACGCGTCCAAGCCACGAGTGCTGTTATCCCAGGCCAAAACCGTTGCCGACGTGATCATCATCTCAGCTATGCTAACGCGACGCTTTTCTCCTCCCGAGACCCCTCGAATGAACGGATTCCCCACAACGGTATTAGCTGTGTGTTCGATATTAAACATCTTGAGCAGCATGTCTATCACCCTCTCTTTAAAGTCAGCCTTGGACACGCCGAGTGGCCGCTTGCCTGGCGTCTTTGTGTCTAGAGCGAAGCCCAGCGTTTGTTTCACGGTGAGAGTTGGCTGGTGGACGTCGTCCTCCTGGTTGTAGACAGCCTCTCCTCGAAACCTCTTGGAAAATGTCTCGGCGTCGAATGGGCCATAAAGAACCTCCCCATCCACCCCAGTATATCCAAAACGCTGGTTTGTGATTGCCTTGAGGAATGTTGTGCATCCCGAGCCGGGGCGTCCTAACACGAGCACCATCTCCCCAGGACGCAGGACACCTTTGAAATCTTTCAGAATTTCAAACTCTTTACCTTTCTTCCCATAACCAAGCAAGTCGATTATCAGTCCTGGGACATTGAAAAAATCTATCAACGCGTCGGGAAATGTCTTGATATAGGTTTTGATGCCCCCGAGCCCACGAACCGTAAGGTTGTCCCAAATGACGCCTGTAAGAGTGATTAATAAGAGCATCAAAGCTTTTGTGACCCACGATTTCCGCAAGGTCGCTCACCAATGTGTTTGCTTTTGA